AATCATCCGCAAAGCGGGCCAAATCATCCGCAAAGCGGGCCAAACGAGACTAATCATCCGCAAAGCGGGCCAAATCATCCGCAAAGCGGGCCAAACGAGACTAATCATCCGCAAAGCGGGCCAAACGAGACTTACTACCAACGGCAGGGGCGTTACTCCCTGGGAACAAGAGAAGGCGAAACAAATACCAGCCCGAAATTCGGTGGGTTGTCCTGACTAATCTTCTCAAGTCCTGGCTACCGTAAACAAAAGGGCTGAGGGCGGACACGGGCATAAAATACCGCCCGACCATCCTCAGCCTAGGCTCACAGGCTCGCTAGCCTGCTGCTGCCCGGGCATACATTTATTGTCGAGTCACCGCAACTGTAATCATTGTCGTAAGAAAGCAAAGCAGGTATCTGCAACAGCGGACTTCCGATAGCAGCTGCCTTTCTCGTCCAACTTTGAAGATGAGCCAGATATTCATGAGTTCGTGGTTGTGGTCAGAAATGATTGCTATCACTTGGATAGGCAGATAAGATGCACAGGAAAACCAGAAGGCCCGTGGTTTTCTTCATGTTCTGTCGTATGAATTTCAAAAAATGATAGAAGTATGACAAGACTTTCAGATAAATTTGCGTTTCACTTTTTGTGCAGCAAATAACTACATTTATGAGAGTACAGCATGGGATGCGGACATTACTATTCTTGCACCGGTGCGGCCTTTAGGAAACGACACGAGCCTGACAAGGGCGTTTTCGTGTTTAGGATGACAGTATATTATTTCGCAAATGACAGACAAAAACCAAGAGAAGATGGAATCAGTTACGTTGAAGATCGGCGTGCAGCGTGCAATGTTCAGCGTGATGACGAGAACTCCCATCAGTGCCAGATGCACGATGGACATGGTGAATAACGGCCACTCAGTGTCGCCAATGATCGCAGTCCCCCCGGCATTTTTTTCTGGGGAATGAAACGCAAATTGCATGAAATCAATGAAGGAAAAACCGAACGCGTCGCGGTATATGGTGTCCCGCCACCAACCTTGAATGTACTCCTTATCCATGCGCACGCCCCAAATCAGTAGAAACATGTACAGGGACAGCAAGAAGGCAAACAGTCCCTGGGTCAGCTGGATCCCGGTTTTTACGCAAGCGGTGCTCCCACCGGAAGACGCTGGCGGAGCAGGGCGGTGCTGGACTGTGGAGAATTTTTTTCGCAACAAAATTGAAAAGGATTTGCATGCGAAAGCGCTTTTGCACAGAATAACCGCACTTGATTGTGGTAAGTCGTATAAGCTGGCACGCTTGCGTTTTCAACAACTACAACAGATATCAGCGCCTTGGAATTCTCAAGACACGTCGATGCAGTTGCATTGCTTTTCTTCCCACATCTGACTCAGAAGTTCATACATCTTGCATGCCGCACACTTTACCATTGCTTGTAGTTTGATGTAAGAAGGGCAGGTAGGACCATGAACATTATATGTGGGAAGAATTCTTCTCCTCTTTGTACGCCGGTGCGCGTGCGAATTACTGTCCACTTTGATGCCACAGCCGCATCTCGCGATTGTATGCTGAGTTTGGATCACAGACATTTCTTCTTCCTCTTCGCGCGAAAGTTTCTTTCGCACTTGCTGCACCACAAAGCATGAGGACCAATAAAGAAATATTTACCCCTTTGCGGTTGTGCGATGATGACCTGCGGCTGTTGCTGGGCATAGACCGGCTGCTGCTGCTGACCCACATGGACGTGCACTTGTGGCTGCGGCTGCTGCCCGCTCGTGTAGTACGCAGTAGTCGAAGTCATTTTTTCAGCGTGCTCGCCCCTTAGACTGCAAATTTCAGCTAATAGCTCGAGCGAAAATAATACACGTTTTTACTCTCTTCCAGAATGACACAATAAGAACGTGACGCGAAGGTGAAGTAGATGCTTCCTCTATCGATCTGTACTATCTGAGTAAAGTTTACTTAACCAAAGTAGTTCTCTGCGTGAATGATAAATGAATGTCCTCTGCGCGAATGATGAATAAGCCTAACTTCATCTATGAGAACTCCGAGCCGTTTTCGGTCGGCCTAGGAACAGAAAAAAATTTTGTGAGTAACTCGCAGAAAAGGGTTTAATAGCAATTTTTTTACATGTAAACTAATTCATGTTCATTCTACCAGATCATCAAGGAGGGAAATGCAGCTAACAGCGAGATTGATCTGCAGTGCAACCTCAAAATCATAGACCCACTGCGTAGCAGGCTCTTATATATTTAATGCAGAAAACTGCTAAATTGCATGCGGATCACGAGAAGGAGAACGAGGACAGAGGATCCAAATTGAGCTAGCATGAGCTGCACGACCACGGGGATGCGGAAGAATACGATGCATTGATATTTGCTATATTTCTGCTGCTTTTTTCTTTTTTCATCCTGATGATCCTGCTACAACTACTGATCTCGTTATTTGTGTTTACCGTCTTGCTGTTCCTGCTCGTCGCGGTGGATCCACTGGTGGAAGAGATCTTCAACAACGTCTGGGCGTGTCCTCACGTTCGTGCCTTGCGCCGCAAGACGAACTGCGCAAGACGATAAACTGGGCACGATAATGTTCGAATAGAAGCCAACATGAATGTTATAAATTAAGCTTCACAAAAAGAATCGGAATCCGCAAATAGAAATAACCGTGTGGGCAAGGAGGAACGAAACTTTCTTTTTCACACTCTTCATCCTGCTCGCCAAGATCCTCCACCAGATGTGCTCGACGACCTGCCAAGCAACGCCACTTTTCTCGTCGGTGCCGAACAACGTCGATTTTCACAACTGTGGCATCACTCCGTGGTCCAAGGCCAGGGCAACAAAAAAAAACAAGCCCTGGCACACGACCACCAGCATAACGCTTTCATTTTTTCAGCTTTCTTCATCATATTCTTACAACCTTTGTAGTTACTGTCTAGAATTGGAATAATACGGTTTGCTGCTACATCAGCTTTTGCGCTTTCATTCGGCGACGAATCGTCAAAGAAAGCCGCAACGCGATGCAGCCGAGAAAGATGAAGAGAGCGTCAGTTTTAGTGGTGCGGTATTGAATAAGGGCAGATAAAATTTGATGTTGTTCGACGTCACGACACATCGCCGCGACATCATGTGTAGTGCTTTTTAATCCGAAGTAGACTCTTGTTGAACCTCAGCCATGTGGTGTGGTCTACTAGACCCCCAATACTTTGTATCGGGTGGGTCTCCCATCACTACATCGGTTCAATAGGTACTAACAGAGTCAATTGCTTCTACTCCACACGGTCGTTAGGATCAGGTGGATCACTAATATTTTCGCTAGCATCAAATGCGTATAAATTATTCTATACGTTTTAAACTATTCTTTATTGACAAAGACTTTTTGTCAATAAGAATAAAGTTTTTCGAGCGGAATGCGTGTTTTACGCAAGAAAAATTCTCGGATTTTTTGCTAGGGAAGTGGATTCGTGTCTGAATCATCTGCCCCCCCATCATCATTTCTTTCGTATACATCATACATATATGATAATTGTTCATCATACAACTTACATGCCATTCCCATTGCCGAGGATAACATAATCCTCTTACAACAAGTCACCAGGTGCATTACGTTCTTGCGACGTACTTCTAACACTTGATTCAGAAGTACTACTGAAGAACAGGATCTGCAGTGCTAGTTCGGGGGCATGGTGCGACAAAACTATGAACCATGGCTCAAGCATGTGATAAGATAGCACATTAGCGCTCCTCTTTCTTGGTGTCATTATTTCTTGAGTTTTTCATTCCAAAAAGACCCAGCTCTACTTGTTCTAGTTCTAGTTCTACAAGTGCTACTTCGCGATGACGATGATGCGCCAGCAAAAAAAAGCATCCGGTAGTAGTACAACTAGAAAATAAATGCTGTGATGTTGCTCTTATTTTCCATTTTCAAAAGGAAAAGTAGCTTAGATCTGGTCTGTCGTGTTTCTCTGCTTGGGTGTCGGGTAGAAAAAAACAGCTGGCGGCTTTCTTGCCGCAGAATTGTTGATTTCTCCTGTAGCAATCTTCTGTCGATTTTACTAGATCAAAACTTCGAAGAAAGCATCTCCGCCTCTCATTTTTCTTTTGGGTCAAAACATCAACTTCTCGATAAAATTCCATGAAAATCTCCTCTATGTGTGGTTCATCTCACCTAGGACAACTGTACTCGTGAACGTGTGCGTGATGTTGCAGCTGCATGACAGCATCAGGGAAAGGGAGCCAAAACTTGTCCTTCTACTTTATGGCGTATTCATTCAAATAAACATTCGCCGCTGGTTTGCTCCAAAACATAAACAACACTGAGTAGTAAGCTTTACTATGTAGCAATGAATAGCTTCACTTTCAAAAGAAACAAACTGATCACTTAGACTTTTTCTCAGCAAAGAACTTTCACTTCTACTCCGCCTTGAATTTGTGCTAGGTCGCCGTATTTCTTCTGTAACTGCAACAAAAGGTTGGTTCTACACTTCAAATCTCAACAAAATCATAACTCCCACAAGTCAGTATCCACAGCAAATTTCCCTCGCACGTACACTAACCAATGCAGTTTCTGCATGACAAAACGTGTGCTCAATCCTATTCAGGACGACAAGGACAAGTGTCAATATGCCGCCCTAAGATAAAAATAATGTTCAACAAGTTTCCGAAATTCATAAGATTTACGCGTACGGCTTCGGGAAATTTGTATTGCATAAACATGTTCAATTACGGCTCTTCGGACCGCAGGTACTCGAAGCGCTGCTGCGGCGAGTAGGCCTTCGGAAGGCGGCAGTATCGAATGCAAAAGTGTCTGAGTCTGGAAGATTGCCGGGTTGGCATGCATATTTTGCATGACCCAGGATGTCTGTAATGCACGCCCTAGCGTCAGAGATTTGTAGAGGGCTTCCTGATGCCTACTCCGCATGACAAATGCCCTCCCCGCGTACCACAAACTAGACTCCTCGTGCTGGTCACGCAATACAAATTTTTTTCGAACCCAGAGACAGCATCACAAGTTTAGAATCTTCCAGACCCAGAGGACACTTTTGCATTTGATAGGCAGTAGCCCCAGACAATGAGAATGAAGGACGTGACGAAGGTGACCGGCATCCAGACCTCCATGAGCCAGAGCATGCCTGTGCTCGCCTGAATTTTGGTGTAGTCGATTTTTCCGATCTCTACCATGTCAGCCGCCGAGTATCAAAATGAAAAGCGCCCCTAGTTGTACCCCAGAGCGGATATAAGTGACTGCATTGGAAAAGATGTGGTTCCCAGTGCTGGGAACAAACATTTGCTATATTGCATGTAGCAGCATCACCGAGTATCTATTTTCGAACTCGATCCTGAATGAATTATAGCGAAGACCTGTGGCAACGCACGGCGGAGGAACATGCTCGACATAGTTCACTACAGCTACTTACTTCCCTTCTAGATTCTGAACCAAAACGCCTCGCAGCTCCATCATGCAAGCAAACTACAAGTTTAAGTTCGTCTTCGTCAGTAGGATAAACATAACAATAACATCAAGATAATGAGGAAGATAAACTTTGGAAAAAATGCAAAGGATTTCGCGTTTCTGGGGGTTGGGCACTTTTCAGTTTTGATACCGAAGGACGGGAATAATTCTTGCCAACGAAGTACGACATCGCAGCCCCAAACATGGCAAGAGCCTGAGAGAAAATATTCCCCGCGCGAACTTCGTTCCAGATCACCGCATTCTCCGCGCTGAAGAGTTGCGCCACGCGCGCCCACCGGACGACGCCCAAGACGAAGGAGACGAAGACCATAACCAGGGTGATGATCAGGAAGACCAGAAGCCCAGTCGTCTTCTTCATGTCACGGAACAGCGGGGTGCACTTGGCAATCTGCAGCATGAACACCAGGGCGAACAGAATGCAAACCTCGGCAACTGAAACATTGAACATGTTCCGTTGCACATCAGTGAAGAAGTTCACGACGACACTCGTGTCCAAATTGGAAGGAATTTGCCCAACTGGAACTGGAAGTGTATCCACTGCAAATCTTAGGGCTGGGTCGGGCAGAATGCAGACATTTGCGATTCATTTCTCGGATTTGCAAGAAGGTAAAGGACTGGAATGCACACAGAGCATGACAAAAGATCCGCTCCTGCGGGTTTTCAGGACTTCTCGCCGAGACACAAGAACTGCGCATCTTTTGCTAACTATGCACCACAACAGATGATTTTTCTGTTTTATTTTTTATTTTTTTAGCATGACAAGCTTCCCACCGTCCGGACCCAGTGCCTGACATATTTGCAATGCCTAAAGACCAAGTTGTTGTAGCACTTGTTGCAGCTTTGCTCCGACTTGCGCAGGAGTTGGGAGAGGCCCGTCGAGCTCGAGGCTCTTGTCGTGTATGCCCTTGCAAAGATGTTGAGCTAGTATTTCCCTCTTCGCTCTCCCTGTTGAGGCGAAAGAAAAAAATAAAACTCGTTTTGCGGCCTTGAAAACACTCTCGTACGTATTCATCGCAGACAAAATTTTGAACTCGCCTCGTTTCATGCGGTGACGCAAATGCAAGGAAAAAATGAAACAGAAGCGAGGAGCTCGCCTGACGTCACAGAACAATTTACGTATGCATGATATTCAGCAGCCATAATTTCAATCTATTCTGTCTCCGCGTTCTAAAATTGCGTCCCCTGCTTCTGTATTCCCCCGACCAGAGCAGGCGGAGGTAAAAATACTAGCTTGTCGTGTTTCACCGTTACGTACCCTTGGTGCCGTATGCGGGGAAAAAGTTGTGTTAGTGTATACTCTTTTGCTTTCCTTGAGAATGGAAACAATGAATATGACAACTCTGTCCTCTGGCCGCATGACGGCGCAAAATTGTCATCCGGCGCAGGTCGTACTTCTACTTGTACGTGAAAACGCGTGCGAATAAAAATAAATTACTCACTTACAACTTCTCTATGACGCACGTTTACGTTACGCATGACAAGTGTAAAAACTATGATCGTGCTGCATCGTGTTTCCGCTACACAAAACTCCACTTACACAGGTTTTTTCCTGGATATGCCGTACCCGTAGGAGAGATACTTGATGAAGGAGTAGTTGAAAACGTTACCGGACTTCATACCGTCCCGCATCCAGCCAGCGACGTAGGTCATGTCCATGCGTGCGCCCCAGATGAGCAGGAAGAGGTAGAAGGAACTAAAGAATGACACCAGCCCCTGGGTCACGGAAATGCCCACACGGAGCAGCGTCTGCGAGCCCGCCGTGTCCCGGGCCGCGCGGTAGTAGCGGGGCGTCGGGGCCTCTACCACAACCACCTGCGGCTCCGGGGCCTGCCCGGCGGCGTAATAGCGCGCCTTGGTCTGCTCGTTGGACTTCACCATCTTGATTTTGGGTAGAAAATGTGTCGGGTAGTACGACAGTTAGAAGGTAACTTGTAGTCTTTATTAGGTGGGTTGAGTACGAGTTTCTTTTGTTAAAAGTTTATTCTTGGTTGTGTAGTTCTGAAGGCAGCAAAAGATTGTCTTGGATCCGTGCGGTTAAAAACTGCGGGAAAGGTGAGTTTTCAAAAGTCGAGCGGGAGGTGCCACTATTGGAGGAGGAGATGTTTGCGCTTTTTTGCTGTGTGTTCGTTCGAGGAAATTTCAAGCGTGGTCTTTTGGTTCAGCAAGGGTCAGGCGGCCGGCAAATCGAACCGAAAATATTTGTATATTTATACAAAGTCACAATGATTTACATTTATGATCATTGTCACGACTTCAATGCAAAAAGATGAACAAGATACCGAGGCAGATTTCTTGCGAATTTTTCAAGATGTCGGAGTTACTGCTATAGTAACATGATCATCATTGCCCGCTAGCTTTGATTTGAAATTCTATTTTTCGATCGAGTCAAGATAATTTTTTTTCTTGTACACATTACAAATCTGAACCGAGCAGACCTCAGAAAATCATCAACAATGTTGTGATCATGTAGAATTCCTGATGAAGTCGCCTGTTATCGTATTTCCGATTCCGACTCAGACCGAGGACTTTTGTTGCAGGAGCTTGAGATCAATTTAGTCAGTCACGTCTTTCATATCGGGAGCAAGATGCGAATTCGGAGAACTTCAAACAGAAATCTTACCGACCTTCTATGATGATGAAAAGGTGAATTCCGCTTGGTTATGGTTGGTAAGCTCTTCTGCGGAAACCATTTGATACAGAATTTTTAGATTCGTGCTACTGGTTGCCATCATCTGGACTGATACAACAATTACTAGCCAGCAGCGTCTGCCGCGAGACGCTCGGAAAACAAGGGAAAAAGTACGGACTTGCGCTTGTTAGTGTCCTTACTTCTCGTCTATCCTAGTATGCCAATATCGAATTCTACAGAAACTGATCCAACAGCTAAAAATAAAATCGCAAGAGCTGCGTGGTCGAAATTGCAATGTTAAACGGAGTGAATAGATACAGTGAGTACGCGTAAAAGATGAAAGCGAAAAGATTATTAAGATGTACTATATGATCGACATGATGATGATCAATCATTTTATGGTCGAAGGAATGAAGCGCAAAAGCTTACTGATCTTTGTTTCGCTCTTCTTCGTCGTGATGATGTTCACGTGTGCAACGGTGACTACGAAGATTTCTTGTCCATCAAAATCTTTGATGCACAACCAACTAATCCGAATCCTCCTCACAAAGGCGTGACCCGTGCGTTTTGCTTGTACAGGTGCTGAAAAGTGTCCCACTGCGTCGAGTCTTTGTTCAGATTATTCGCCTGCAACTCGTTTAGCGGCTTGTTGAGCGTGTTCCTCAAGAGCCCAAACTGCTTCAACGAGGGCTGTTTCCGTAACCGGTTCTGGTAAACGACGGCAATGCCTGAAGGTTTGGTTGATCAAGATCTTTAGGCTCATGATAGACGATCTTGCAGTCGGCGTATTTTGGTCAGAATTGTTGTACTGAGTTTAGCCATACTAGCCAAAGTAACAGAACATACCCATAAAAAAACTTATCCCATGTTGAGTATAAGTCAGAAATGCAAATCGTTCAAAAAACGAAGGCACTTTGACATTTCAGTACATGCTTTCCTGCCCCAGCAGGACGAGTCGTCTATTTCAATCTGGCCACTGCTCCCGTCCATTCTGTCACCGGGAAAGACTACCTTCTTTCGTGCAAAATTTGTGTTCTTATGGTCAAGCACGCCCGGGCCGATTTTGTCGCTACCTTGATATTGAAGACGATGCAGCGTTTTTTTGGTCATCATCTTCATCAACGATAGATTGTAAATGCTTCGAGCAGGAGACCTGGCTGCGTAGTGATCGATGACAACTCAATCTCAAAAATCCATGATGCGACAATAGCAAGAGCAACTAGAAGTAAACATGCAAGAGCAACTAGAAGTTGTACGAATCAATATCATTGCGAGTACGGTACCTGGCCCGACGAACGTAATGTCGTATTTCGTTTGGTTGATCAAGGGCAGGCCTGCTATGCCATGCGATATGTACTCCTCGTAGGTTGCTGGCCTACTTATCCTGTGGAAAAACATCCCCACCCCAGAGTTGTCATGCTAAACAGAAGTGCGGCACACTTTGCCTCCCCTTTGTAAACGACCCCAGAGCTGTCATGCAAATCAGCATGGTGAAAATGTCTCTCATGCGGAGCCCCATGAGAAGCAATTTCTAGTCGTATTTCGGAATTTGTCATGCTCGAATCATCATGATATGCTAGATCTGTGATGCTGCTGAAATAGCTAAATAGGATTACACTACGGGGCCCAACTTGTCATGCGCAGCAGCCAAAGCTTGTCGATTTGTCTTGCAGATTTCCCAACTTGACTATGGGGTGGGGATGTTTTTACAAAAGATACTACTGCAGGGGTATTTACTTGCGCAAGCCGCGTACATGAGCCGGTCCTGCTCTCCTCTTGGCATCGCCCCGCGTTCCATGGTCCATTCTACAAACCCCACGAAGCAACCTGTTGGGAGATTGACTGGAGAAAATCGCACGGTAAAAAATTCCTCATATCTACAACTCAACATGCAAGGTGGACGAGATGATCATCTTCACTCGTAGTACACAGCAGGGTGGTGTCGCATCACAGATGTACTGCGTAAGTACTCCAGCATGAAGATGAACAAGAAGTCCTCGAACACAAAAATATTAAATACACACAGGGTGGTGCTCCCCCTGCACGCCCCTTTTCGGCACGGAGTAACAGCGGATGTCTCGCCTCATTTTTGCCTGCTCAAACTTGTCCAGCGGCCGGGTCTTCCAGTTTACGTGGTTGCCTTGGTTAAACACTTTATGGAGGTGTCAGAATCTTCGAATTTGACAAAATCGAAAAACTTGTGATGCACAAAATCGATGCCATTGCCAGTTGGAGCCTCAGTCTCCAAGTGGCGCATGACAAATTTCGGGGGCACCTCCCGCATCCAGTCTGTCATGCTGTTTGGGCAAAGAAGACTTCTCATGTCGTGCTACTCTGGCAGCACGTTGTATACCCCTAAACAGGCCCACAATCGGCGTCATTTGCCTGCTCCCTAGTACTATTACTATAGGCCCTCAGTGCTCTACATTTTATGCATCACAAATTTTTTGACTTTGTCGATTTCGATCCTGACACATCCATACACTTTTGGCTCGACGTAGGTCCCTGGAGGTACCTTACGGTCGTAGCTGTAAGCTGTCATCGTTCGGACGTCCTTTTTATGGATTGTAAAAATGTCTGGGTCTGGGAGAATGGAACTTGTGATGCAGCGTCCTGTGGGTCACACAAAAATCTGTGTTGCGTGATCGCTAAAAATTAAAATTGTCCTTTTTTGACCAACATGAGTTGTGGGAGTCTCTCATGCAGGATAGGCATGATAGAGACTTCGCAGAATCTGTCATGCCAGGTCCTGCATTCCAGACCTCATGGGGCAGGGAAAATATGCATGACAAGTCTGCACTCTTCCAGACCCAGACATTTTTGCATTTGATACTTTTCCAGGTGGTAGGGCTGGGTCGAAAGTCGGGCGTCCTCATAGGTGTTGGAGCCGTCGACCCAAAGATTCCCCATCTCGGCATCTTGGTTGATACCTCAAGAAATTTGAAGATACGACTAAAACCATCTTCTATTCTTGGTTGCGGTTGTCATGCAGAAAGGCATCAAGGAAGAATCACATTCAACTTTGGCGCGTCTCAGCGGCGGATAACAAAACATGTGAGTAAATGATTTTTTTAGTTGTGTATACTTCTGTGAAACTGCGACACGGGCGGCTGCGGAAAAAGTGACCTCCCACTCGGCGTGCACTGGTGGCCCCAATTATACCTTTGCCCCAGGGACACGCCCGGCATCATCTCGGGTGATTTGTGTATTCTGGGCGCATCCGGCAGTGGCCGCTGGTTGTTACCGTCATAATGACGGTGCTGGTCAGCGTTCATTTTCAGAGAAGGCGGTTGGCTCGCAGAAACTGGTGGTGGTGGTGGTGTGTCTCCCGTTTGTCAGGTGACCTTCGTGCTGCTGCTGGTGCAGCACAATATCAAAATGCGTTGGTGCTCTTGTTCGTGATCGATGTCAGAGTTCACCTGAAGAACGGCGTGAGCTCAAGGGCCGACGCACGCAGTGGCCATAAAGAATTTGAATTCTGGACCCACTTTTCCTGTTACGCCTTCTACTTTCAAGAAAAAAATTATGCTGTGGCACAGCTAGTGGTGTCTACGGTAATAAGACTAGCAGGTCAATCAAGTGTATTTCCAAGAATTGAAAATAAAGCAAGACCAATATATTGCGGAAATTCGATGCTTCGAAAAAGTTTTCTAAAAACAGGTGATCGAGCATAATATGTAGAATTCTTTGCTGAAACCCGTAAGCCGGCACAAGAGCAGAAACTGAACTTCTGGTCGTTCTAGTGCTACAAGCAAAAGGCCAAAGGAATTACGACCTAAGAGTAGCAATTGAACATATGTCAACAATTATTTGGTGTAAGCAGTTCCTCCCCACGGTATCTGACGATAGATTCCATGACTCCCAGCCCCATGGTCCCTTTTGAGACTTGTTTCAGCCCTGGCACCTTGCTCTATCTACTCCACGATTTGGATCCAAAACCGAGTTTCGTTATAAAGTTTTATACTTAAATTCTTTTTACTCGAACACGACCCAAAACGATCCAAAGCTGATCTTCGATACCTTTGCATCGACATCTTTTTTCTATATTCGAGGAACCTCATGTGTACATGGAGAAAGTGTCAGCTTGCTGGTACATTCGATGCTTTCAGGAAGCGGGGTACGCAGCCTGACCGTGATCAAGCACGGCAACGTGCGCAGCAACAAGGATCTTTGTGAAAAGGTGAAACAAGGCTCAGCGAGCCTTTCCGAACTGTTTTCGCAAAGCAACTAGGATATAGCAATGCCACGCGATGACTATAGCGCAAAGTATTGTACAAAATGCTGACGTTAGACCTTCAGCTCACTAGATTTTTAAAAAGGAGTAAACAGAAGGCTAGGCTCCTCTTCGATGTCCAGTCCCCATAGCTGGGGGGCCTGCAGAAGAGCGGATGGAATAACTCGTTCTTGAATATTTGGAAAAGTAGAATGCAAAAGATGATGACGATCGGCACGCGTACCGACATCTGCAAAATTCAGAGCGGAGCACAACCAGGTGAAATAAACCTGAATGTCGTATTTAACGCAAAACTGATGAAAAGCATGAGAAATGTGTTGAATAATAAAATTTCTAGACGAATTCTTGCCCAAGGAGAAAACATCTCCTATGTGGTCAAGATGCAAAATGAGTAATTTACCGGACAAACGTTTTTGAAACACATCAATACCCACCCGCGGTGACAAGGCTTCGAAAACACCTATATTCACCGTGGAGGGCATTTCCGCGATTTTAGGTGGAACTTGATCAAGTTTAGAACGAAAGGCAAGGACAGACTCTTGCCCATCATACAACACCACAGCACAGCGGATTTCAAACGGCGACAGCGACGGCCGAAAAAGTTCCGGCTTGCCTCGGCCCGCACGCACTGCTTTCGCACACGCCGGCGCATTCCGCATGCTGGCGTCAGTGTACATGTGGATAATTTCCTTATCCACAGACGCACGAGAAATCTCCTTGTCGCGAAGATTTTGCTCCACAAAGAGGGCCGTAACGATGCGATGCTTGAGCTCGTTCCTGGACGCCGTACGAGTGATGTTCTTCTTGAAGAACGACTCCTGCTGCCAGATGTCCAGACCCTTGGCGTAAAAAGTCAACTGCCTGTTGAACTGAATACAATGGCGAAACAGCCCAATGAACGAGAGGAGCGCCGAATGTTGTAGGTACAACTCCCGATCCCGACGCGATGTTAAACGCGCCAAGATATCGTGACCATCAGCACGAAATTGCGCCCGCTTCTCGGCCGCAACGGAAACGAAGATTTTCTGCCGGAAGAAGTTGACTTGATACGCGATTCCGAGCACGACAATAGCCTTCTGAACCACATCACGCACAGACGACGACGAAACCGGCGAGAAAGCAGAAGCATCATTAAACGACGCGACAACGGCACCAAGCAGCGAAGACTGTTGCTTGCCTGGTGACTGCTGCCACCCCAGAATGTGCAACGCGAGATCGCATAGAGCTTCGTCTGACCGCTGAGCACCCAGCCTGGAATGGCCATGACCGTCATCAATATAAATGGTATAAATTAGTTTAAACAATTGATTAAAAACGAGCATGAGCGCTTCGGAGACAGTACAACAATCGTGAATACTAGTCAAAGAGCCAAATACGGACACAAGAGAAGAAACAAGAAGGAACGTCCTAACGAAGTTCCCAGCGGAGTCTCTCTTTCGGTCCTTAGGCTTCACACGCGAAAAAGGAACGGGAATCCAGATCGAGTTCATGTATTCGTTATTTACAGTAGTTTGATAGTAAAAACCTTCAAAATCACGAACGAAATCACCGGGAACAAAAGAGTAAAGCGGCGAGCGAATACGATCATCTTTCATACGCAAATTTTCGCGTGAAATACTGCCATGCTGCTCGAAAGAGCGGCGAATCGCGAACTCGGTCAGGACGTCCGCCTGGATGTCCTGCTTGTACTGAAAGGTGCCCACATGCGTCGACGAGCGGGAGAGGCATCTTTCCTTGATCTGGATTGCTGTGCGACAGCCAAGGAGCCGAATCTTCTCCATCGACTGCAGGTGGAAATTCGAACGCCTCTTGTCGATGCAGGTGCGATTGCGTTTACCGACGCGCTTGACGGGAAAAGCTATTGCCGCCCTATATTTAATTCCGCGCCGCTTCAAGTCAGCGTGATCCTGCACGCGCCAGAGGCCACGAGAAATCATTTTCTCGCAGTCCTCGTAAAGGGACTCAATGTCCTCTTCGGCAGCCCAGTGCGAAGTCGGGGGCTCTTGGAAGTCTTCAATCGGATTTGCCTGCGCCTCAATAAGCTGCTTGAAAATTTTGTCTTCGGAGAGGGCCGACCAGAAACCGGAGGGGTCGATCTTTCCGTCGGTAACGAAGCCTGCCTGAAGCTTCGTAACAATACTTAGAATTTTCTCACGATGAGGGTGTAGCTGCGGGAGCTGATCTACAGCTTCCGAAAGAAGACGACGAAGAAGCACGAAGCGCTTACCAAAATAGATGCCACGACGCGGCTGTGGAATTTGCTCATGGAAGGCTTTTTCCTCCGCATCTAAACTGCGGTCTTGGGCGTACTGAAGAAGCTTTTTAGCCCATTCCTGATTTTTCTCACAAACAGCCTCATCAGATCGTCCTTTATTAAACTCGATTGAGTTCAACACCCAGTCTGGATAACTTCGCGGCACACCGTAAGCACGAGACTTATTGGTGTCCATAACCTCGATATAAACACGTTCCATGATGATGTAAGAAAGAAAAAGAAGTAAGAGAGAATTGAACAAGTATATAGTAATGAGCACAAGATCTTATTATTCCATCCACAGGTAGGCCACAGCAAGGGGGGTTGAGACCTGGACGTGGGGAGACGCGGAGCGCGGATTAAAATCGCAGGTGCGGAATCTGTTATTTAAATTTCCAAAGTCCAACGAAATCAGTACGCCAAAAGTTACATGTGAACGAAGCATTTTGTACGAACCGAAACATAAGCGTAGCGTCATCGAACGGAAACTACATACGACTATGTCGGGTGGGCATACAAGTGTTAAAGGCGGACGGCATAAAAATTACTCTTTGACGAACTTTTTAAGCTCGTCGTCAGCCAAGGTGATGCTGAAGTTCTTCAACACCTTCATCAACCGTGCCTTAGGGGCTTTGTGTAAGTCCTTGCACTTAGCACCCTTTGTGCATTTGCCACGAATGTGCGCAATACAAATACGATCAACTTTCTTCACCTCCTTGAGGGGAGTGCCGTCCGCCTTAATTCTAGTCGGTGTATACGAAGTAGCAGCAACATCTTGAGTTACCTCAGCCAGACGCTTCTCGAGCGCAATTGCGGAGGTAAAGGCGATGCGGAAGTTGTTCGTCAACGCGAGCGTGCAGCGGCGCTGATACTCGTCGTTACCCGCGGCGACGTTCGGCAGCAAGTCGCGCTTAAGGGTCTCCTTGAAACATTTGGAGAAAATGGAGGAGACCTTCTCAATTGGAAGGGCTTTAACGAGCTTCTCCATATTTCCGGACATGATATCGGCGAAAGTCGGCATCTGGTCGCGGCAGGCGTCGTACAACATGTCCTTCAGCGAACGATATTGATCGTCGTTTAAATACTCGATGGCACGACAGCCCGTAAGGGTCTGACCCGGCGTCAGGCGGCAGGTCGGCGGCGTAGACTCGGAGTGCAACGCATCCAAGCGCTGATTTCCACCGATCTGCAAGAGGTACAAGTACTGGCGCCCGTCGATAGTATCGGAGCAGTTCTGCTGCGCGACACGCAGGTCATCGGCCTGCTGCTGGGTCAAAACACCCAGACCGATCTCGGCCTGAGCCATCATGTTCGCCTGCATGAGAGCAGCGGCATCGGCCACACCCGGAACAGCAGCTGCCATTTTGTCTTTTTGGGTTGAAAAAGAAGTAGTAAGTCGCAAGACAAAAACAAGTAACTGGTCGAAGTCTTAAAACAGATCTTCAGTTCGCGAATCCCTGTGAGCGAAAAATGAAGAAGACGAAAAACGAATTAACTTCGAGCGAAAAACGCAAGCAAAAGTAAATTTGTTATTGTGAAAAGCAGATCAAAGATCGAGAGAACAGAGCCTAAACAGCGAGGAGCAAATTAAGATGGAATTTGCGAGGGGCTGATCGGAGGCGAGGATTTATATGATTTTCGTTTTCTTCAAATTTGCAAAAAGATCTGATATAAAAAGACTTCGAACCAGTTAGCCGTCTTACGATCGTACATAACTGACGTTCGAGATCCGGAACGATGTCGTGCAAAATTTAGGGCACAGCATCATCGTTAACATCAGCTGGGTTTCTATACTCGAAGAAGCTGTCGGACAACGCCGCGTGATTCACCCTGTCACGCGGGAGCACGCCGCGTCTGAAACACTTCTGCTGAGCCATGAACTGATGATTTGTCGCCAATCGCACAGCATGCGGATTCGGACCAAAATGTGTCCCCCGCAGGCGTGGCCACCCGATCGTAATCGTATCTGGGAAGAGGAGGGCGGTGTTGATGTAACCTTTGGTGGTGCTAGCGTCCTTGTGGCGGGCCATCAGCTGCAGCTCATGCTGCTGAACACCACCTTCGTAGGCACTTTGCACTGAACCGATACGCACAGAGTGCGTACCGATGTCGTCGTTACGCTCCATTTGGTCGACTTCATCACGGAGTCCACCGCGCTCCACCATCTCGAGAAAAGCACCACGAATACGTTGGATGTCCCAGAAACGCATGGTCTGCCAGTCCATCGTATCGATGCAGTGGACCGGGCAGAAGCGAACATAACCTTGTCCAACGAGCGGCGCCGTACTGCACCCGCAGCCCAGAAGCCAGCCATCACGATGACCTCCGGACTGATCGTTCTTGGCACTAAAAATTGTGTATTCCACAAACTCGTCGCCGTTGCAGAGACGACGGGTTGATCCCGCATCGTCGAATCTCAAGTGTCCCCACCAAATGGCGAGGATGAACTGATAAAACTTCAGGATCGGCGCGCCCCTGGATGTAGCCAAAGCACCGACGCGCACCCGCAAATTTTCGATGTTAAGCAGCAGGACTACCATATGACTGAGTCGAAAACCCGTCTTCTTCATGGCGGGGGCCTTGAGGCGCAAGAACATCTTGAAAGTCGCCGAGTAGGCTTCTTTTGCGTTGTGCGACAGCGGGGACGCGGCTGCGATAAACGACTTGATGTGGCTGATGTTCGTACAACGGGATTGCTTTCCCTTCCCGATTTTCAGCATAAACTGACCGAGCAGCATCATTGAATAGTGCGTGCAATCTTCAGGCCAGGGACGCAGACCACAAGTGATCATGAGTTTGGCATATCTGGCGTACTGCACCCGGTACTTCACGGAAGAATTCTTATTCCAGCGAAAACTCTCGTTCACGATGTTAATCTGCTCCGTGATCTCCTGCGGGGTGCTGTTGATGGAGGCGCCAGCAGGTTTGTGCTTCGGGTCGGGCCCAGCCATAGGATCGTCGGATTCGACGATTTGAAGCATAGCATTAAGAGCTTGCTCCTCGGTCAGATTTTCTTCGTCCGGAATTCTTTTCTTGTTATCGATCTGCATGTCGGCTTGCCCGGACACGGCAGCAGCACGCCGAGCAGCATGAAAATTCATGAGGTGCTGACCGGACACAACAGGCGGGTCAGCGACCGAGCCACCATGTAGCAAAATAGATTCTTCTTCGATTTCCGTAGCAGGGGCTTCGAACTGCACACGACGATTTTCCATCGACGACTGCTGCGGCGGCTGGAAAAATGCGAAGCTCTGGGCGGTGGTCGTAGAAGAATTGAAAGAACTCGAAATCACGTTGACGTTGTTGTAATTATTGATTGTAGTCGAGATGCGACGAGGGGATCTTGCGCGAGCCGAAGACGAGCTCCCTAGTAACCCAGAAGGCCGAGGCGGCTTATTATCAAAACTCAGAAGGTCCTCCTCGTCGGAAAGAAGGCCAACATCGTCGGGAAGAACTCCAAAGCTGTCCCCAGCGTCCGCGGGATGACGAATTTTCGAAAAATCAATGTTCATCGGCATGTATGCGGGTGCGCGAGCACGCCGCAGTTCTCGCTCACGCATAAATTTATCTGCTTCCGATTTTTCAAAAGCAGCTTGTTCTTTTTCCAGTTTCTCCGCACGCCACTTTGCGAGTGGACGCGATTGCTGAAGGACTGGTTGTGCGGCTTCAGAAGCCGCCTCTGATTGTCGCAGAAGCTCTGCCGGAAACATCAGATGAAGTCGTGAAGGACTGCCGCGGGTCGGGCGTAGACGGACCCAGCTTACGAAAGAAGACCGGCCAGATCTCCTCTAGGTCGTCCGGGTTTTCGACTTCTGCTTCGTTTCGATTCTCTTCAAGCGAACCAAAGGCACCGAAGAAAACCTTGTTATCCAGCGCGCGGACTAGGCTAGCACCCAGGTTCGCACTAGCAGATGGGTCGATGACGCAGCAGGCGCACAACTCGATGTCGCCGACGTGGCGTGTCTCTTGCGTGTTGGACGGAACGACGACCAGATGCCGCTGCAGAAACAGTGCGGCCTGAACACGATCCAGGTCCTCGTTAAAATTAATATTTTCCGGCGTGAAAAACTCGTTACTGTTAAAAGTTTCGAGGCAGGCTTTGACGTCCTGAAAGTGAAACTCCGAGCCGACACCGTCGAAGACGGTGTTCACCAAATCGATGTCAAAGTCAGTCTGCAGGTTGGTGTCGTTTGTACGCAGATATAACTCGTTCGACACGTAATTTTTCACGACGCCTGCAATAATCTTGTCCAAACACTCGGTGCAGTTGAGAAACTCTTCCAACTGCAGATCGGTGAAGTCGCGACACAGGATCTCGATATACCCCGCGTAGCAGGGGTGCCCGATCGGGTTGAACCAGAACAAGAACTTGCAAAAACTATTAGTAGTTGTTCTGGAGTCGACTGTATAGCCGGTTTGTCGCCCAGGCAAAGCTGGAGAAACCACGTTCGTCGGCGAGATATCCGCGGTCACCAACGAGTACGTGGGCGGGATGAGGCGCTTCGCTGCAAGTCCCAACGTACGTACGTGACGATACTGATGCAGGAGATCGGAACCCTGCACCTCGTTAACTCCAACTTCTTGCCGAAAGGCCCAGTCCGTTTGCGTGTCCCTCGCCTCGATTTGCAGGAGGCTGTCTGGGGCGGCGGTGGGACAATATAGACTAGGCGATTGCACTTCGGGCACAAATAGATCCGTAATTTTGTGGTCGACGTTAAATAATTTCCAATGCAAATCGCATATATTAGGGATGTGCAAAGGGCTGTCGTCACCACTGGTCGCTGTATCAAGAGATCCGAAGGAACTTCCTAACAAAGTGCTCATTTTTTACTAAAGAACTCCGAAAAGTACACACAAAAATTAATCCACGAACGATGCTCTGCGAGTGAGAAAGATCAAAAAGGGATGGGAACGGGTGGGCTGAAAAATGAGAACCTACGAGATGTTCCTTACCCATGGATCGTATTCTCGTGCGTCGAGCATCATCTATAAAGTTTTATACTTAAATTCTTTTTACTCGAACACGACCCAAAACGATCCAAAGCTGATCTTCGATACCTTTGCATCGACATCTTTTTTCTATATTCGAGGAACCTCATGTGTACATGGAGAAAGTGTCAGCTTGCTGGTACATTCGATGCTTTCAGGAAGCGGGGTACGCAGCCTGACCGTGATCAAGCACGGCAACGTGCGCAGCAACAAGGATCTTTGTGAAAAGGTGAAACAAGGCTCAGCGAGCCTTTCCGAACTGTTTTCGCAAAGCAACTAGGATATAGCAATGCCACGCTCGACCGTACTATGTCTCCCTCCCATTGAAGAGACTAAGAAGCAGCATGCATTCGCTCGTTGGATCATTTTTCCCATGCAGACAACGATAGCGTAGACAGAGTAGGGAGAGAACGGAGCATACTGCGAAAGTCCACAAAAAACCGCGAAAACTCAAAATTTTATTTATAACGGATTACAAAATCCGCGAAAATTCGAGATTTAATTTATATGCGCGTGTGGATCGGAGGGTCGGCTGGTGGGCCAACAGAACAAAACAACCGGAGGTGCCAGGGGCAGGAGGTGGGTAGTCTTGAGACATTTTGCAGCAACAAAAATACGTTGAACCGCGAAAGTTCAAAATTTTATTTTTATTGAAGTGCAAAACAGAGCGTGGACGAATCCACTCGAGCTCTGGGGAGGGTGGAGGCCGAACGGTCCTCGCTCACATCGATGTAGGAACTGAAAAGTGAGAACCTACGAGATGTTCCTTACCCATGGATCGTATTCTCGTGCATCGAACATCATCTATATATCTTCACGATTATAGCGATGTTTTAGTTTTGCAGCACAGCCTGCGGAAAATGATCACAATCCATGACAGAGTGAAGTTCGACCGATGAAAATGTCAGACTACTATGTGGCAGTGGCTGAGCAAAGTTGTGAGTACATGTTTATTTTTATCTCCGAACACTATTTTTCGTGTGAGATTATTTGAGGAGGCTATATCAGGCTTTTTGTGGTTGCGCTTTTCCTCTGCGTATCTTTTTCGTCCTCCGGCCACGAGACGAAGAACCGACTTGCGTATTAGAGTAAGATTTACTGGATCCAACGAGGAAAATGCGTTTCTGAGGTGGGGTGGGCGTGTTTTTCACCAAAAGAAGTGTGGGGGACAACATCGCGCTAGTACTACTACCACGATGGTATCAACAAAACTTGATGTGGGCAATCAATATAAGCGGGGTGAAACAACAAGTACCTACTGCTCATCTTTTTTTTGTTATTCGAACTCTATCTACTTCCTTGCCAGATTTTTGAGCGCGTTCGAAGGATGAGAGGCAAAAGCTGGCAATCGCTTTGGTCCCGATAATTAGAGACGGCGGTATAGTTGTGAATTTGGATCTTATCTGCATCCGCATCAAAGAGCGGCTTTCTCCTAAATTGTAATGGCAATAGAATCGCTGTTGAAATAAGTGGAGTACATCAATAGAGGTACAGTGTAATCATAAATAACGTCGGCCATGTTTCATTTCCCTTACATGTTGCGCCTGCACGTCACGAGCACGACATGAACGACAGTTATGAATCTCGTCCACAATGAGTTCACAAGAAGGCAACTTGCTGCTTTGCAGCGTGAACGCCGGAGGAGTTCTGATATAACTCAATATGGCATAATGCTTGATCACAAATTCATGTGGTTCATCGTACCATTTTCGAACATGAAAAAAGGTACATCTACATTTTATGCCACACTTTTTTCCACCGTCGTCACAATGTCCATAAAGCTGGGCTTCAGGCTCGCGCCGCCAACCAAAAATCCGTCCACATCCGGGCAGGACATCAGCTCAGCGCAGTTGTCCGGAGTGACAGAGCCTCCGTACTGGATGCGCACCGCAGCAGCCACGTCGGCGCCAGCGGCCTCAGCGATGATCTGGTTTTTTGCAAAGGTTCAGGTTGCCATGCGTGATGATGTAATAAACTACAGGACGGATTTCTATGCCATGCATCGAAGATCACGATGATCAAGTAGAGTGATGACAAAGTACAAGGAAGTGCACGGACACAGAGAGATAAAAAACATAGAAAAATAAGAGTACCTCCCTGCATGCTTTCTGTGTGTCCTGCGCTTGTTCCGGGGTTGCGACCACGCCGGTACCAATGGCCCAGACCGGTTCGTAAGCGATGACTACCTTGGACCAATCGGTGATCTTCGGAATCACCGCAAGAAGCTGGGTCTTGCAGACCTGTATATAATTTTATTTCATTTCATCATTTCAAGCTGAGACTTATTTTGGAAGAGAGTTGCACTGTCGCCTATGTTGAAGTTGTCCACCAAGAACAAGTATCACGAGCTTATGGTCCACCACGCTGCTACTTGCCAGTGGCACAGTTGATTTTTTTTTGTTCAGATTTCTATCCTCCATTCGTAAAACAAAAACTCAATTGCCTCCTCCGTCTTTCCGCCCTGTCTCTCCTCCAGCAATTCTCCAATGCAGAAAATGACGTTTAAGCCAGCCGCCAGGGCTTTTTCCGTCTTCATTGCCAAGTCGGCGTCCGTTTCGCCGTATTTGTGCCGGCGCTCACTGTGCCCGATCAAGGTCCACTCTAAACCCATATCCTTCAGCATGCCGGCGGTAATTTCCCCCGTGAACGCGCCTTCCTTCTCCTTGGACACGTTTTGGGCGCTGACCTGAATGATGTATACGGTGATTTCGGTTTTTCGTGTCCTTTATATCTGACCACGACGTGGTGTGCACGACTTTTGTTTTCCTCCCCCTCAAGTGAAAACCCGTCTTACGATCCTACGGCAGTAGTATCACATCAAAGCAGTTCATCTGGCAGACTTCTATCTTACCTTGAATTTGGCCTTGTCCAAGGTATCCATAGCCAGTGGGATGTGCAAGGCCGTCGTTGCTACGACGACGTCCACCTTACTTGTGTCCACACTCGTTTCGTTCCATTTGGTCGCCAGCTCGACGATTGCGGCTTTGGTCGCCGGGTTGCTCTTCCAGTTGCCGCCAACGATAGGTTTACGGGCCGCCATCTTGACAACTTGATGTGGTCCTGATAGGAGTCAGAGGGAAAAAAGAAAAACTAGAAAAGCAATCAAGTGTCGAAAATTCGCTTGTAGTAGAAATGGCAATAGTACAGAAGTCACTCTACTAATCGGTTGCTCTTAAAGATGTTGTACTTAATAAGCTAAGCCTATTTATGGTGTTGTTTCTGTTTATTTGACATTATCTAAGCTCTTGGATCATTCAAAATACTTGGCAGCTTGTTCGCCGACTCAGTCAGGTTGCTCTTCCGTCGTGTGGCTTCGAAAATATTTTCAGAATCCGGCGACGAGCTAATTCGCTTGCCGGATATTATAGTCATGACGATAGAGCTAGAAGTGGTGTTTGCGGTCGTGATAAATATTGGAGAGCGAGAGGATGATCTCCTTTTCCTTTGGTTACACTTTGAATTATGGTTACACCGATTGCCTTTCCAAAAAAACAGGATCCTATTTGATTTTGATGCGTCTCACCAGTGTAGTGGACAATAGACCACCAGTGCAGTTGATTTCGATTTCCGACGATCTTCGGCGAAAAAAATAAAAAATCAAGTCTCCTGGCGGGACAACAGAAAGCTCAACTGATGCGATTGCAATTGGGTGGCCCAAGTACGTCTTGTTTCGCAGTGTCAGCGACAAAAAAGAAAAAACATGCAGCGACCCTTGTTCTGCTGAAAGAACCAAGTCAAAAACGGAACACCAAGGCACCAACTCCTTGCGCTTGCGACCTGCCTAGTCATCATACGAAAGTTCTTGGTGCGTGACTTTATTCACTTTGACTACTTGCTTTAGTGTGCAAAATTTACAAGGTTCTGCTATCGTTTTGTAGTCTTCATCTTGTCGTGGCAGATAATTCTACAAAAGGTTTGCGGCCTTGAAAAAAACGGGAAACTCGATATTGCCTGCCCCCAGGTGGGCGTCAAAAACAGCTCTGCGTGGTGTTATTTGAATCCAGAAAAGTTTCTTAATGCTTGCTCGAGTATTCTTCTTGAAGTTCTTCTGCAACTAGATCGAAACAAAAAGTGGCTATAGAAGACATCCTCCTGCAGCTGCTGGCGCAATTAGAATTGCATCGTCCTGCTTCCGCCGCACCTCCGACCCTCTATCTTCATCGTCTCATCTTATTCGCGATGCTCTTGCACCTCCGCGCCGCGGGAGTTTGTGCACTTTTGCTCCCCCCGGACCTCTGTCCGGGCTGCCCAGGCGCGGGTCGGTAATTCGAGTTATGGTCAGGAGTTATTTTGAAGAACTCCGCGACTTGCTGGTCTGCGGTATTGAGTGGCTGCATCTCCACGTCCCCGCGATGCTGCTCGATTTGGTGTTGGTCTGCCCCTGCTGCCCGGGCTCGCCCAAACGTGACGTTTTTCATCGTCCCCTGGTGCGGCTGGTGCTGCCTTGTTGCCCTTTCTCCTGGCTGAAAGGCACTCTGCCGTTGATTTATGTGGTTCGCCTTAGAACCATTCGGCGTTCCACCTCGTGTGGCGCCGAAGTTCGGCGGTGCGTTTTCCGGATATTTGTACACCGACGTTACCTCGCCGCGACCGTTGATGCTGGACTGGTTTCCGATCGACTGCTTGCCGGGGGAATGAAGAAGTCTCTGATTAATATCCTGGTGCGCTGTCGTATCGTCATGGACGGTCTTCCCCGTGGTCCGAAAGTGCACCATGTTCCGCGAATGCTGCTGCAGTTCCTCGGGCGGAGCCGTAAAAAAGTTCGCGTGCGCCGGCTGCATGTTTTGCAGCATGTAGTGCGGAGGTGGTTGCAGTTGTGATGCTGACCGACCCGCGTGATCTGGCGGCTCCTGGTAGTACATCATCGGCGGTCCAGCACCTCCAGCGCGGGATGATCTACCACGCTGATGTCCAGCCATGCCATGTTGCTGGTGATGTTGTTCTCTCAGTGGCACTGAGTGCACTGATCCCTGATCAAAGCCTCCTCCTGCTCTATGTGCTGCCTGATCATCATCCTTCGGACCATTCCTCTTCTCATCTCGCCAGGTGAACGGGTCCCGGGAAGGCTCAGGCTTCGGCTGATCCGCCCTCGTGTCGTAGCGAAACGACTGCTGCATGCGGTGCGGCGGGTGGTAGTGCTCGCGGCGATCATGGGTGTAGAGGTTGATATGGTCGTGATCGTGATGCTTTCTTGAGGAACTGGAAGTCGCTTTTTCATGATGTCCAGCAGCTCCTCTCGAGCTTTGATGATGATGCTGCGCAACTCGTGCATGATGTCCTCCTGCTGCTGCGTTAGTACTTCTACGCTCGTGCTGCACGACCGGGCTCCTTCCTCCTCGCAACTTCGGCGGACTGGCACTCGAGGCCGCTTGCTGGTCTCCGTCTATTTCTTGCGGGGGTTGGAACAGTTTCTGATCTCCTTCAAATGGAACAATCGGCACGCCATCCGGCCCGGGGATCATATAATCCGCTAGTGCGCGACCACCACCTGCTCCAGGCGCTCTGTCTCGCTGGCTGCTGCTGGCCGCAGCGCGGCCCAGCATGTTGTCGACGACGTCACCATAGCCGTTGGAAAACGACGTCCAGGGGTATCTGCATTGATTTTGTAGCGACTTAAACTGATACAAGTACAACTGAATGGAAAAAGTAAAGCATGGTCGTCGTAGCACAAAGTCATCTGCTCAGAGTAGAAATTGAATTTTGTAATTGCGTCATGGAACAAAGCTACAGCATGGCAGCAGGTTCTTCCTCTTACTGTATCTTCTGGAACGCGTAGACTTCGTCCTTCGGCTCACAGAGCCTCCACTGGATGATCATTTTGTCGACGTAGCCGCAGGAAATCAGCACCGGCAGAGACTGCTCCTCGAAGAACCGGACCTGCGCCACGCCGCACCCGTGCCCGAAGTACTCGTTGTAGGGCTGGTTTAGGTAGCACGCTGGGAACTTGTACAGCCGAATCCGGCCGTTGTCGTCCCCCATGGCCAAGTGTTCGTTTTGAAACGAGCAGCACGTGTCCAGGATGGACAAATCGTACTCACTCGTCCACATGCCGAGTGTCTCGAACGCGAGCAGGTTGGTGAAGGGCTGCTGCAGTTGGAGGTCGCGAAACGCCATCAAGGACTTCTGCAGCTGCCCGCTGATGGTGTGGAAGACCCGGATCTGGCCGTCTCTCGTGTTCGTGATCAGATACTGCCCGTCGTTGGAGAACATCTGGCAGTACGGGGTGGTACTATGGCCGATGAGCTGCTTGTGCATGGAGACTTGGGAGCCGTACTGTTTCTGCCCGGATTTGATGTCTTCCCCCGTGACGACTTCCTTGATCTTCAGCAAATAAATCTTGTTGTCGGAGCACGCGCAGGCGAGAAACATGGACTTCGCCTGCTCCCGATTTCGGTCGTACTTGGCGGAAGGCGGGATGGTGTCGGCTTTCGACGGGTTCAGAAGCGGGGAAAACCGAAGACCAACCATGCGACCTGCGAATTTGATGTGTTAAACCGATCTACTTGACGAGAGTAGAGCATCACGATCATGCTGCAATACACATAGACATACAAGACACAACTACGCTTACGTCTGATCGCGTATTCATATTATCATGAGTCACGCATCTGCTGCCTGGCGCTCCGGGTGGAGCAAAAAAATCCGTAAGATTTCCGTCATACCAAATTCCTTCCCCCTATTCTCGCACTTCACGTCAGACAGGATTCTCTGGAACAAGGCGTCTGGGAAATCATACACCGCCACCATGCCGTCCGCCATCCCGACTGCCAAAAGCTTCCCTGAAACATCGAAAGCGACACTGTGGACCGCTTTCTCCATATTTAACATCTTCCCCACCAGAGGTTTTCGTTCGATACTGGACCAAAACTGCACGACCTTGTCCGTCCCCGCCGTGATGTACACCCCCGGGAGCGTCGGGTGCATCGCGAGTGCCTTCGTTTCCCCCCCGTGGGCCAAGGAAAGAATCGCTAGGTGTCGTCCCGGAATCTGATTTATTTGGCTCGCTGATTTCGAACTCCGGGCCCCTGCCTGACTCGCGGAACTTCTCGGCCGGGACGGTGTTGTTTTATTCCCACCTCCAGGCTGGCCTTGCCCGCTCTTCGCACTCCGACTCGCCGGCCGGCTGTTCTTGTTTTCTCCTGTCGTGGAATTCCTCGCTTTCACGTTCCCCGCCGCGGCCGCCCCAGCCGCCTGCAGCTCGTCGGTGAGGACCGGCTGGGTCTGATCCCCGGTGGCCGTCTCAGGAGCGTCTTTGTGGAAGTAGCGGAAGAACGTGTTGCCGTTGGTGCAGCCGTAGACCACCGCGTCGCAAATACCGTTCAATCTCTGTCCGATACTGCCCTGCATAATCTTCACCTTCGACAGCTGCTCGACCGCGGACTCCGACCCGGGGAGGACAGAAAGAACGATTTTGTCCAAGGTTTTCGGGTTGCTCGTAGTACATTTCAAGATGTAAAAAGTGCCGCTGTTCCCCCCGACCAGGAACATGCTATTCTTGTAGTACTGGATCGATCCTAGAAACGGTGCGGGGCTATCCGGCGTTTCGGATCCAATCTTGGTCGCGGACAGCACGTTCGCACCCTTCACCGTGTAGAAGAACCCGTTGTCCCCGATAAGACACAGCGACCCGCCCGATCCGTCGGCTAGGTCGTAGGCCGCACCGTTGATGTTTTTGGGCTTCGGGTATTTCCCCCACACCCCGACTTTCGTGACAAACTCCGTGTGGCGCCACTCGTAGTTTTTGAAATACGACGTTTTGTCGTTCGCGCCCCACAACAGAAACCGGAACGGCGGCATCTCCTTCGCTGTAGCGGAATTCCCGTTTGTTCCGGATGATGCACTGCTTCGGCTCTGTCTGGTTGCAGAGGACATTCGCGATGACCTTGCTGCCGCGGCCTTGTTGATAGCGGCGGAGGCGGAGGATTTATTTTGTTTTGCGGAGTACACGGATTTGGTCGCCGCATCGTCGTTGTCGGCTCCCTCGAGGGAAAGAGTCATGTTGAACATCAGCATGGACTGCATCGCGTCCCGGCCCGTTTGCACTACCACCGTATGGAACTGTCAGGATCGAAATTGACAAAGTCGAAAAATTTGTGATGCATAAAATGCATGACGCGAAGCGCGTGCGTTGCAGAACAGGCAAGTGAGGCCGATTGTAAGCCTGTTTGGGGTTATAGCTCGAGCTGTTAGAGCAGCATGAGAGAATCGGTCTTCTTTGCCTAAACAGCATTACAAACTGGATTTATGCACCACCAGAATTTGTCATGCGCCACTTAGAAACTGGGGCTGGGCACGAACTGGAATCCGTTTTATGCATGACAAATCATTTCGATTTTGTCCATTTCGATTCTGACACTCCCATACACCGTTGGTTTCCGGTACACCAACGTTTGCAAGGGGGGGTTCTTCGCGTTGAAGTTCTGGATTTTTGCCATGTCCCAGACTAGCAGGCTGTTCATGTCGTCCGCGCCCATGGCGACAACCCGGCGGCCGTCCGGGGTGAAGGCGCAGGCTTGAATTTTCCGGAGGGGGGCCTCGACTTGCGAGGAACCGTCAACGACCATGGGGTACTGTAATCATGTTGATGTTATGCTCGTTTGGATAGCAACATGCACATACTTTCATTCAAGACAGATTTACCTCGTGGTCTACAGGCACACTCACAGTCACACACAGTCTAGGTGGCGTCACAAATAAAAATATTAATCTTGTTGCCAAGTAGGAAACCTACAGGTTTTAGACTGTTCGTTGCGCACGATGCCGCGTCAATGCCCTGGCCGGGAACAAATAACTCTGCTTCACCGTAGTACGAGGACAAGAAAAACATCATCAATTTAAAGAAGTAGTCTGTACTACCTGCACTCTTTCCAGGCCGCTTTCTTTCACGGGTGCGCGCAGCACCCTTTCCGGGAAACAGACGTAGCCCTGGGTCATTTTTATGTTGTCGGTGATTTCGATGTCCTTCGGATCCGTTTTGTCGACGAAGTACCTGCACTCGGCGAAGGATCCGCTCGCCGGAAACTCCGGGGACCAAACGCAGAGAAACGGTCCGGCGTTGCCCTTCGGATCGTTTTGCCCGGAGACGCAGATATTGCGCTCCTTGTTGTAGGCGATGCAGGTAATGTCGGACGTGTGGCCTTCGAAGTACCTGATATTATCATGATTTCGAGCAGTACGTTTCTAACCAGTCCAACCGCTTTTCATACGACTCAACGCTCGCACGAAGAACTACACCAGCGACGCATCCACCATGCCTGACACATAATATTTTCAGTCCGTGTATGCATGGGCAAAGCCATTGCCATCAAGATCAAATTTTCTCGAAAATAAAGTACTTCTGAGTCGACTCAGCCTCGTCGAAAACGATCACCAGCTGCCCACACGCGTAGATGCAGCCGAAATCCGTGACGCAGATGTCCACGTCCTTGTTGATGCCATGCACCCAATCCCGCGCCAGAAACGTCTTCAACGGCTGCATCTCTTTTGGCTCGGCCTTCCACCCCGATGGCGGGAAGACTAACGTCCGGGTCGCGACCGGACTCCGTCCCCAATTCGCAACAACGGACCCATTTGGCCCCGGGTCCGGGGCGGACGGGCGAGGGTAAGGTTTGGCGAACGACATAATTTGATTTTTTTGCTACAATAATTTGGTTATGGTTCTCACGCTTAGTGATAGTGGTCACTTTCTTTGGAAACGGTAAGAAGAAAAAAATTCTTTTTCGGTACTTAGACTCCTTTGCTTATTTTTGCAGATGCAGCTTCTCTCGTCCTTTCAGAGTCCCAGCGCAACGCGCAAAAACCCTCTTGGCACTTTGGAATCTACTTTGCGATGCTCTCTATTTTGTTCTGTTTTCTCTCTTCACACGACTCAACTACACCTGGAGACTAAAGTTACGATGGGTATGGGGCCGAAGCCTGCTGCAAAGAAAGAAAAACGCCAGGAACAACTTCAAAGAAATAAGACGATAGTCCCAGTCATAGTCAATGGCACTAGTTCTAATCGCCTATTTTTCAGGCCCAGGCTGCTTCACCTACAACTTCCTGGATGTGAATCCGCAGCGGCAGCTCGGCGTGGTTCCATTTCTTTTCGTTTTTCTGTTTCAGATAAAGAACCAATCGAGCACGACAGGTAAAACAAGCTGTGAGTTCCAGTTCGCCCTTTGCTCTGTCTTGCAACTGCTATTCAATTCAACTAAACGAAGGAACTGCTACGGGATGAGTAGTACTCATTTATACCAACCAGGATCCTCATCCTTTCTCGATCAATTCCGACCGGGATTCTTTCTTTCTTTCCTCATCCTTCATCGATGAGTAGTACTCATATATGACACGGCTAAAATTGGTATAATGACTTGTTCACAATGGATACCCGGCTGGTTGCAACTGTCCCGGGTACCCGATCCACCACCCGAATCCATCGCCATTATCTCCAACCATCTGAATCCCGTTTCCATCTTTCACGTTTGAGATCCTGAACTGAAAGTCCACTACTTGCTTAACATCTCGCTTTCCGTTCCAAACGGTAATCTTATTGTTCTTCTCGCCGTCGAAATTCCCGATGTCCCAGTCCCGCCAGGCCGTGACTCGGTCTAGCCCCAAGTCCCCGGAGCTGTAGCCTCCCTTCCGGTAGATGACGTTTTCAATCACAAACTCCCGGTAGTGCTGCATGGGCGTGTAGATATGAACTAGCGCCGGGCAAATGTCGTCGCAATAGAGGCCGGACAGCTTCCATCTTCTGATCTCGTTGTTCGTTTCGAACCTCCAGTCGTTCATGTAAGGGTACGACGCTCCGATGATCGCCGAAGGGAGTGCTGTTTGCCCACCAGACTTAAATCTCGTATGCAGAATCGTGATGTCTTTCGCGTACACATTCTTCAGGTTTTTCGGCGCCCAGCCCATCTGAAACACCGGGTCGTTCGGGCCTTTCCACACAGAGATCCGCTCGTACTGAATGTCCGAGTGGTAGGTTTTCAGCCCGTCGTCATTCGCGTGAACCAGGGAATCCTTGAATACACTGCCTGGGTACAGAGTGAGTCCGTCGGATTGGTAGAACCAGCCGCCGATTTGCTTGTAGTCTGTGGCGAAAATCTTCGGCTGGTTGTACATGTCGTGGGAATTAAACGGCGGGTCGGTCATGGTCACCCCGTGGAGGATAAACGTCTGCCCGGGGGATCCGTGCCAGCTCTTCCACATGCGAAGGGACGTGCCGTCCGACTTCTCACCGTCGTAGGATCTGTCGCCGGCGTGATTCGCCTGGTACACGTAGTCAGAGCCGACCAACACCCCGTACCCCGTCGCCGCGTAGGTCCCGTTCTCCTCGTCATACTGCCAGTGGACTGCAGACTTCACGTAAGCCCCGTGCGCGAAGTGCACCCAGGCTTGGGATTCCGTCAGCGTCATGTGGTTTTCGCCGCGTTTTCCAGGTTCCCCCTTCTGGTTTGTGTCCATCCAGTAGACACCCGGGGGAAAATAGAGAACTTTCTTTGCGGACTTGTAGTTGTCCAAACTGATCGGGCCGGGTTGCATCACGAGAATTTCGTTCTCTTCGTAGATGGAAAAAGGATCTTTCTCCCGCTCCAGCGGCGGGGAGACGAAGAGAAACAGGACGTGTTTCGGCTCCCGGCCGACGATAGCGCCATCGTCGGCTTGGAAAACGAGTTGTGACTCGCTATCGTCGAATTCGATGGAGAGCTGCCGGATCTTGGGATTGGCCTTGTCGAAAGGGATCAAAAGCTCGATAAAATTTTCGTCAAGCACTTTATCCGTGTTGACAACAATGTCCTCGTTATTGAAAACCGGTTTGACATTGCAACTGTTGAACCACTTCTTCAAATCCACGCCAGAATTTTCATCCCTGGGCGTGAGTTTCACCTTGATCGTGTTCTTGTAAACGATCTGCGTGTATGCCATGGTCTGCTGTTTCACGAAATCATCAATCCCATCGTCATATTTCCCCGTGTCGAACTGGTTAAACAGGTGCCAGTCCCAGGGCTGTTGAATTTTCCCCTTCCCGCCGCGCGGGACGGTCTCGAATACGAAGGATGGCTGTTCATCGACAAACACTTTCCAGTGTAAAGACTCCCGAACGAAGTCCGCCCGTTTCCATCCGTCGTCCCTGTAGTCCGTCCAGCCGTTCGGCGGTTTAGGTTGTACGCAGAAGTCCACGTCTGGGGACAGGCAAAGTGACGTGTCCTCGGGAGCGGTCGGCGGGCGGACTAGAAGTTGTTGTTTCACTTGCCCTCCAGGTTGTTGCGGTTTTTGTTTTTCATCGGGGTTCTTGACGGAACCACTTGTAGTCGACGCTCCAGCTAATTCTTCCGAAGTCGTACCCGGAATATCCTCGTCGCTACTCGATACCCAAGTGGGAACGGGTAGCCCTCCTGCTGCGCTACTAGCTCCTTTGCTCGCAGTTTCTCCTTGGCCGGCGGTGGGAGATGCTCCCCCATTTCCGCTGCCGAAAGACTTGACAAGTTTCTCCGCGGTATCAGAATTCTTTCGCGATGTTGCAGGAGTGAGTTCGTCGCAACGGCGCGCCTGGTGCTTTTCAATAGCGGAAGAAGCCACCTCCTGCTGTGCCTCGTCGCTTCTTTGTTCAAAAAGTTGAACAGCGGGGCGGTCCCGGAAAATACTAGGGGCACTTTTTTTCCGACCGGGTAGTTGTAGCGCTTCAGCAGATGTCGCAAGGTTGAGCTGCTGAATTCCTTCTTCCAAAAATGGCGTTCTCCGCGTTAAAGTACTGCTAGTGTTGTCATCTTGTTCAGCACTTGATGATGCAGATTGTATGCCACATACAGGACGTGGATCAATGAAAAGAAAAATGGTACAAGAAAAGATAGAGTGTGTTGTAATCGGCAACGTTTTCATCTTCTGGAGGAGGAGGAAAGGGCAGGAACTACACTGATGCACTCTACGGCGGTACTAGCGATATCAAAAAGTAGAAGTTAAACTTTGTCAGCAGGAAAGTAGTGAAGTAGCACAAACTTAACTGTTGTCACTGAAGAGAGAGGGGGAAAAGTTCTGTGGAGGTGCTTCTCCTTACGGTTTACAGTGTTCGCGTATTTCACGCGAGACTCCTACTCAAAATGAGGAGACTTGTTGAGGAACTTCAGCGTGAAGAACCTCCGAAACTTCGGGTCCGATACAAGTGAGGACTCGCATGCATCGCGACGGCGCACGATGAAGTGTACGACTGAAGAAGAAATCAATGGACAATGCATTCTGTGGTACGATTTCGGACGACATCTGCAAGTTCGTACGACAACTGAGCGCGGACCGTTGAGAATCTTGTCTAGTACGATAATCTATTACACGACATGGGCAAGCGCGAGAAGACAAAGCAGCAAAGCAAGTAAGCTCGATAGACCACACAAGGAGGACTAGGACATGTTGATCAGTCATCTTTGACGCATGAGAAGCCTAGTAAGCGCTGGCTTGACATGTTCATGATGTCCAGCGATGCTACGCCTAGCCCTAGGTGCCCGGGCTGTGATGGTGCTGTTACGTCGCTTACGCTTCTTGCGCTCGAGTAGTTTTTTCTTTTTTCTCCATCGTGTGAAAAGAAATCAAAATGCGCCGATTTCAAACTAACACGATTGGAGGTCGTAGTCTTTTTCGACACCAAACAGTGGGAGAAGCTTAAAGCGCGTAGGAGTCTTCAGAAGATGAAGCTCTACTTACTCATGATCATTTTAGTCTTTTCTTCGAAAATCAAAATTTCACCATGGCAGACATCAGCTCGGTATCTCATTAGAGCCGCGAGGATCAAAATCTGCTTCACGACATCGCTCCGCCCCGAAAACAACAAAAACCAAGGCTTCACTTCTTTCCCCCGGCAGCCCCAGGAAGCATATGGTGGTCTTTTCCTCCCATACCACCCACGACCGGGCTGCCGCCTCCCGCGGGTGTGGATGCCTGACTCGTCATGCTGGACTGGCTACCTGCAGACCCGGTCCTTCCCCGGCTCCTCCTCTGCCGCTGCCGTTCGTCGGTCAGCTCGTGCAACAAATCCGACCCGTCGGTGTGACACCGGATCGCATCCAATAAGTGCAAAATGATCGTTTCTAACTGTCTTCTGTCCCGCAACTGGCTGGATTTAGTGAGGTCCATCTTGATTTTCAGCAATGCGTCTTGACAGATGTTCAAGTTCCCGACAACGGTTTTGAACTTCGCGGATTTCACGACAATCAGGTCCACTTCCTCCGTCGCCTTCTCCTTCAGCGCGTTCAGATCTTCCATCATCTTCCGGTTGAAATCCGATATCGAGGAAAAAACACCCATCCCCATCCATTTTTTGCATGACAAATAGTGGACTTTATGCATGTTTTGCATGACAAATCGGATGGGGATGGGTGTTTTTTCCTGGATATCCGACCACAAAATCGTCAACTCCCGGAGTTCGGACAGAGGAATCAACTTGTTCGGGTCCTGTTCCTTCCGGTTTCTTAAACATTTCTTGTTCATTTCCCGCACCTGCAAAGTCGGCTGCTGAAACTTGGGTAAGGAAAGCGCCAAACCAAGCGCGAAAATCAGCTGTTTCCTCTCATCCCCAGAGATCACCTCCTGCATGCTCGCAGCAGTGGCGTTCTGCGGCTGGGGGGAAGAAGCGGAGGTAACTGCCGCGCTTGCGGTGGAAACAGCGGATTTCACAAACCCGCCCACACGCCCGAACAGACCGCCGCCAGCTGCGTCTTTGGATGAAGCTCCGTCGGCGGTGGTACTACTTCCGGAAGTGGAAGAAGCACTAGGCTGTTTCGACGACGAACTACTAGTTTTGTTGTTCACCCTGGTTAGCATTTCGTGGATTTCCGACAAACACTGCTTTACCGCTTCGTCCTCCACCGCGAACAGAGCGGAGAACAGAACCTGTTGCACTTGCCCTTTTGTCACCGGTTTTCCCGTTTTCAACGACTTTAGCATCGAGCGCATCACGGTCATCTGCGCCAGGGCGGACGCTAAATCCGAAAGCGACTCCTGCTCGGACCGCCGCTCTTGCGCTTGCTGCTGACCTGAAAAATTCGGCCCTGAATTGTTGGCACCACTTCCTGCGCTGAACCCGACCGTTCTGCCCTCCGGTTTGAACTGGTAGTAGGCGTTGGGGTCGATCTTTCTCGAGGGCGACAACGCGCCTTGTTTCGGCGACCCGAGTTTCTTCTGCTTCTTCCGTAACTCCTCCTGCTCCTTCTTCTTCGCCTCGGCGAGCGCGCGCCGCTCGCTGGATAGCGGGAGCCGGTTTTTGTCGGCCGCACCCTCTTTACTCGGGTCGTTGACGGGTATCACTTCGGGGAGAATCTTCCCGTCCTTGTCCCTTGGCGCTAGACTTGCGAGCCAGGGTTTCACTGCGTCGTAGGTGAGTAGTGTGTCCAAAGACCCGGTCAGCAGCCCGACATTTTGGTCGATCTGGTCCTCGATCTTGTCGTTGACGTAGTTGCGAATCAAGTTGGAAAACGCGGAAATCAGAACATTGTACAGAGCGGAAAACCAAGACTCCTCGATTTCCATGGTCAAGAAGTCGATGTCGACTTATCCAGGAAAAAACACCGAGTCCCATCCAAGTTGTCATGCAAAACATGCATGAGTTGCAGTGTTTGTCATGCAGAAAAGGGATGGGGATGGGTGTTTTTTCCTGGATACGACCATCCTTCGGCTCATGTATAATTGCGGCGCCCCATTCTTCCAGCGGACGGAAAAGCCGAGGCGAAGGGAAATGTCCGAGGCAAAGCACTTCGCGATCCCCTCGCCATTGAGGTAGGGAAAATTCTGCTGCTCGAAGCTGAAGTGCACCTTTTCCAGGATGCAGGACATGTTCCACGCGTGCAGGGAAACCAGCTCGAACCTGGATACGTAATAAATAAAGTCGGTCTAGTACTGTGTAAGAGTCTCGTACTACTTGCACAATAACGATGAGGTTGCTTTGCATCTTCACAGGAGACATATTAGCTCGCACCACGACCTTGCAGACGAAAAATCTTCGTAAAACACAAATAGAGTGCTGCAGCCAGGTGAAATGTATACAAACTTACCCTTCCTGCAAATTTTCCGTCGTGGCGGTCTCAAAGTTTATCTTCACGTTGACGCACTCCTTGCGCAGTTTGAAACCGCCCAGGTCGATATTTCCGACCAGATAGCTGAAGTCGTGACTTTGCCCTTCCATGTTGTCGATGTGAATTTTTGGCAAAAGCGACATCAACCCGTCCACCGCAGAATCGACCAAATTGTCAACCATCTGTGCGCGCTTGACTGGGTCTTGCAGATCCGCTAACGTCTTCTCTGTCATTTCCAGCGCCTCGTCGACGTCGATCGTCTCCAGTTTCTGCATCAACGTTTCCCCCATGTCTGTGCCATACGTGGCGATCTGCTGCTCCGTTTGGTTGCTAGTTCCGATCACATTTTGGAGCAAGGATTGCACCGTCTTGTTCTGCGCCAGGTCGGATACTTTATCTAGCACCCCCTCCACGTGCCCGACCATTTCCTGCGCCTTTCCGACAAGATTTTGGTCGTCGAGCACCTTCTGGAGGACTTTTTCCCCCTTGGCGTTGGTAAGCGTGGACACGTCGAACTTGAAATCGTCGTCGTTTTGAGAAGTTGTGCTCGCTGGGGTGTTGTCTTCCTGGAAGTAGGTGGCCACATACGAAGGAACGTGGATGCCGGCCTTGTCGAGGATACCTTTTTTTTTGTTCACACGCTGGATTGTTAAAACAAAGCTTTTCGCAAGCGGAAGTAGCGCAGGCCTCATTCATTGATTAATCAATAGCAAACATCAAAAGGCACAACGATCGTCCTGGTGCTGTAGGAGCACCATAATGGCATAAAAGCCACAACATTCATCTTTCTACCCTGCAGATCTATCGCTTCTAGCATATCCATTCCCCGCATTCGGTCCAATTTCGCTAACAGCTCCGCTGCGGATTCGTCTGGCTTCGCGATCGCCACCAGCTGCTCCGCCGCGGAATTCACTGCTTTCTTGGTGAATTTCGCCCGTTCCTTCTGCTCTCCGAAAGCGGATTCTGTTACCTCGGTGTTCAATTCGTTCGCCTGTTTTTGGAAGGAGTTCGTGTAGGTGGTAAAATCCCATTGTTTCAGCCCGAGCTGGTCCTCTTTTAAAACGAGTTGTAACTTTTTCCTCGTCTTTGCGATCCACCCGTCCGGGCCGGCCAAGTACCGTCGTTGTACCGAACCGAACAAAGCCGTGCCCTTGGCCTGCCACACCGCGTTCTTCTGCGCAATCCGGTCCATGAAGTCCTGCTATCCTGCGTAAAAACGTCCCCACACCATATTCAAGATGGGAAACTTTTTTTTTTTTGCCTGCGGGAGGGGATTCGCTTGTTCTTGTTCTTGTTCTGGGCTTGTGTTACGGTGAGAACGGCACCCACCCGTTGTGCTTACTAATGCGCTCCCACGCGCGAACAACTTTTGTTCTTTTGCATCACACACATACACGGCTACCCGCATGCAAAAAAAATTTGGAGAAAAGGAAAAGGGGCCTCGGCCCTAGCACGCAAAGAGGTTGGCGCCCTGCCTCGAGTATGTCTTCCTACCTCCTTGCAGAGGCCCAGACTGGTACTATTATTGCCGCTAGAATGTTACCAGAAATTATCGCACCTGGAAGCGTTCATACAAATTTCTTTTTCATACAAATCTTAGCCCTACACGGTGCATAGGCTCTTCATACAAGTCAATACAAAGTCATGCATGACAACTTCACTTCCAGTTTCAATAATTATCCGGGCCTCCCATAGATCGGTGGCGCAAGCTTGCCTTACCTCTGCATGCCAAACTGTAGTTTCAAATACTTAGAGGTAATTCAAGCTCACTAGTGCTCTTCCCTACCGGGAGTCACACTCAATTCATGCATATTTTGACATACTTCCCTCCTCTTTTGGCAATCTATATCCCACACCCAGCAGAATATATCGCCGTCGGTCTGGTCGACACCTACCACCCTGGGGCGGCCGCTGACGGATTGGTGGCGGTGTCCTTGGCTCATTCTGCTGGACTCGATGAGAAATAGATGCACAAAAGTGCGCTTCACCTAGTTGCGTGCCTTTCCCTTTTCTCATCTTTGTCTTTGATATTTTCTCCCGGGGTTGCGATGCGACTGCGATTTGCCTCCAGATAGCAACATCGGCGAAATTTGTAATCGTGGCGCCCGTTTGATCTCTGTTGCTATGTGTGACGTTTCAGGCGCAGAGCGCTCAAACGTCAATACCTTTCCCGTCCAGCCCTTCAGTCTTGGTCTGCTGCTCCGATAAACAGGCTAGCTCCGTGAGTCTGACACTTACCTCGCTATGGTGCGGCAACACGATAGCAAGGAGGTCGCAGACCCATTCGTACCTGGCGCCTCTTTTCTTTTCATTGCCTTTTCCGCGCTTGCTTCTCTTTTTTGCCCCAATATCCAAGCGAAGTCTCGTCCTCTAGTTGTTAAGACACTTCTTGAATTTCACACGTGGAGCTTTTGCATACATATTTGCTCTTCCAAGCCAATGCCCATACATATTTTCACTTCTAAAAATGCAGCTGAAGTCTTTTCCATAAATGTAAATCCTTCTCCAGATGTTGTTACCCGCATGAAGGCTTAGTGCCACGCATTCAGAGTCTTTTGTTAATCGAAACCTGCAGACGCGGTCTATCACCTGTCATACAAGTAGAACACCTATGCTCCCTCTGCATTTTTATCCATGACTTTTGCCTTGACCTGGAACAGCTTATGCATATGTGTCTTAACTCGGACCTCATGCAAGGACTTCCCCCTAATCAGAAAAAAAAGAGAGTCTAAGATTTTGGAAATGAGAGAAAGGCACATTATGCAAACACCTCCCCTTCATCGGGGAGGTGCTGGTATCTTTGTTGTGGCTTTTATTTTGTTGCTATTTGTTTTCATACCTAGTCAAAACCTTGCGCTAACGACGTGGCAACCTTCTACGGCCTAACACGAATAACCGACTCTCACTTACCTATCCACCGAATCTTACCTCTATTTGACTTTCTTTTACGAAAACCCCTACGGATCTTTTACGAAAACCCCCTACGGATCAAAATCTGACAAGTCCCCTAGTCAAGATGGGAAATCTGCTAGACAAATCAACCAGCTTTGATTGTTTCGCACGACAAATTTGTCCTCGTAGTGTGGTAATCCTGTTTAGCTAGTTCCGAAGCATCACAGATCTAAGATGGGAAACCTGCAACACAAATTTCCAAGTTTTGGGACTTCTGCATGACAAGTTTCTATCTGCAGTGTAGTGCTGGTTAGCAAGGAAAGCCGCATGAGAAAGCCACTTGCTCATCCTGTTTACAGCATTACGAATTCCAAAATACGACTGGAAATGCCTCTCAAGGAGATGCGCATTACAAGCGTTTCTGTCATTGCGCATTTGCATGACAACTCTGGGGTGGGGACGTTTTTACACAGGATACCTGCAGTCCCTTGTTCAGCTGCTGGCCCTGCTGGTTCGCTTCCGGCGTGGTGGAGATTTCTTCCAACTTCTGTCCGGAAATCGCAGACAGCTTGTCGATATGCAATACAAAAGTATCGTACTAGTATGAATTGCATGACAAATTTTTCATAGAAGAAAAGTGAAATTTGTCATGCAGATTCAGGTAAGAAAGCAGATCTGTAATGCTAGACTCGCATTTATACGAGTACGATACTTTTGCAATGCATAGTCGAGCTTTTCTTGGAGGCGTTTCGAGGTTTCGTTGACCAGGTTGGCCATTTTGGAGGACTCGTACACCTTCGCGCCCTTCTCCAGTTCGGAGGCGAGGACCTGATTTGGATGTTGTTTTCGCGGTTCTTCATGAGCACTATATTCCTACGTGGTATTTGTGTCCGCTTCTCGTAGCGGGTGGCATGATTTTTGGACTTTTGCATGATCTTGCGAACCATGCAAAAGCAAATTCGTTTGATTTCTCTGTTGAAACACGGTTCCTATCACCTGCACCTGCAGTTCGTGGTTGTCGATCGATGACATCGCACTCGCAGCAAGCATAACAAATCCGTAATTACATGCTAAAAAATACTTGCGCCGCTTCATCTTTCGCCTGTTCCACTAATTTCACCACTTCCTTCACGTCTTCGTCCTTCCCAATTTCCAAAGCTGCCTTTTCCCCAAATTCCGCCATGGTCTCCAACATTTTCTCCTTCTGGTGTTCCAACTTGTCGATCTGGCTGTACACCTCCTGGACAATGTCCGCGTGCTCCTCCAGCTTCGTTTCCGCCAATTTTTTCAGCCGGTCTGCCTCTTCCTCGACGTACTTTTGCGCTTTGACAAATTCCTCGTCCCCCTGCTGCGCGTCGGCAAATTATGGACTGCAAGAGTATCGCAGTCGTATAAATGCCAGACTTGCATTACAAATCAGGGTACTTAGGCAATTTAGCACGACAAATTCTATTTGTCGTGTTGAGCAAATTTGTAATGCGCTTCATGATACTTGAAATAGGACGATACTTTTGCAATGCATACAAATTGGCCGTCGACAATGGTACCGTCGTCGTTCTCTTCCGGCGAGGACTCCTCGGCGGACTGCAGCTCGTTGTCGTCTATGGGCGGCGTTTTGAAGGCGTTTTCCTCTCCGGACTCTGGGGGGGAGGGCGATTTGGATGTGGACGCGACAAGCGGATCCTGGTTGTCGACATTGCCGTCCGGTGCTGCTGCGCTTTTGTCTACAACTTCGCTGTCTTTGCCTGGGGAAGTAGTAGGAGATCCACCTGTCAAAGTCTCCCCTATCGTCGGGAGCACGACCTCTTTCTCGACGACGTCAACGGTGGTGTCCCAGGCTTTTTTGGCCGTGTCGTAGACGGACGAGAACTCGGCGGAGGATTCCTCATACGCCGTGGTGATTTTTTCGATGACGCCCGACTCCTGTGCGACTTTTTGCAGTTTCGCGAGTAGCGTGTAGGTCTTCCACTGTTTGCGCTTCCATTTCCGCTTTCCAGCCTCGACCAGTGGGACAAAGCGTGCGTCACAGTTGATCTTGTCCGCCTTCAGGTACGCCGTCCCGCCGTGCTCGTGGTGATTCAGCTTTATGGTCCATCTGTAGGTTCGTTTAGGCATTATTTCATTTGTGGAACAACTTGACGAAGACGATCTCCATCTCGAAGTTCAACTTCCTGGGGAAGAAATTTTGCAAAGGAGAGGGAACGATTTAATAAATTCGCAGCTACAGCTCGTCCTAGAGCAAAAGCCGACTTCTTCTATACGTGTCATAACTCTCCGATTTCCGCACGCAGATGCCTACCCCGTAGGGCGTTGTCACCGGAAGTTCCGGACACGCGGGACTTATCCCAACCAACTGGTCCCGTTGCAGGTAAGCTGTGGTGCTGCTGTGCGGTAATCGCAGTATGTGGCAGTCGTTTTCCGGCCGGAAACCGACTAGCACACCTATTCCGACTTTCGTGTAGAGGCAAACCCCGAGCGGTGCGTAGGAAGAATTGAGTATCTTTTTCTTGCTGACCAGAACGACTTCCTCTTTCTCACCAGCCGTGGGCTCGTTGAAAATTGTGTCGGTTTGGTCCTGATTTGATGTGTTTTTTCCTCGGACTACTTAGAAACATTTTCGCACTATCAGTCTTTGAGTTTGTGTAGGTGTTCAACATTGTTTATGTATGAGTCGGTGCGGCAACGTTGTAGCAATCCAAACGACACGCCAGGGCACGAGGAAAATTAAAAAAAGTGTTCCGGCACAAACTTCACCGGGTTCTTGCACCTAGTACCTCCGACGGTCTCCGACTGCTTTTACTCACTGCAGTCGGCGTCCCATTCCCCCCGCCGGCCGACCCCGCCCTGGATCTACTCGACCGCCTTGAGTTTTCCTTGCTCGGCCTCCTACTCGGCGACGCCGGCGGAGTTCGGGCGGAGCAGAGCGACACGTAACCAATTTGCACGTGCAGCGTGTCGTTATCCTCATCTTCTAAAACCACCAGTCCCCACTTGTTACCGTCGTGCTGTGTCTGGACCATGCGTCCACGCCACGGGTTGGGCAAAAGTGCCGCGCCGGCGCGGGAGGTTGAGGAACTACTTGGGGTCCGGCCACCAGCATTGCTGCGGGGCGGTTGTGCCGGTGTGGACGTGGGGGAGGAAAAGGCTGACGTTTCGCCCTGTTGTCCTTCTTGGAGCGGCGCCATCGTGGTCGTGCTGGTCGATGCGTTCTGCTTGCTTGCCGTTTTCAGAATTGCTTCGCTCAGGGTTCTTGAAGATGCAGTGTGCGAAGCGGACTCCTCAGGCATCGTGACTGCGCAAGAATGGGAAAACCTGGCAACGGGCCATGAACCAGAAAAGTGTCTTTTTGTCCACTTGTGTTTTTCTGCTCCTAATTCGTGTGTAGTATTCGTCCTTGACAACTGCCCCTCCCGGAAAATACTTCGCTTCCACCAGACAAAATCATGATGTGAATATCGACAAACTAGAAGTACATAGATATAGACGGCTTGAAGTACAACAAGCTCACTATATGCTCTGAACCGGCAAGCACCAAGGCTCCTAGGTATGTATCTCAACAAGGGGCCGGTGCAGTCGAGCAGATGAATCTAAATAGAAGTACAAGTAAATACTTCTGGAAAAGATGATCACAAACTAAGAATCATCAAGACTTGATCCTCGTAATGGGAGGGGTACAGACAGAATTCGCTTGATTTTTCACAACCTTGCTTTACGCAAGCGACTGGAATAGGGCAGGGGCAAACGACGAGTCGCGAAGTAAGAGACCGCATGCATCGAAAACTTTGAAAGCCAAATGGGGGCTTGTTCTTGAACACATAGATCTTGCACAACTTTGCGACGAGTTCCAGATCTTCCGTCGCATGCATCTTTGGCCTTCGTTTTTGCTTGTGTTGGTCACCTCCCGTCGCTGCCCACAAGCAACCATAGGGATTGATAGCTAAGAGAAAGATGATACAAGGTGTTGTATTGGTTTTTCGTACATGGGTAATATTCGTAACTTTCGAAACTTGTTTCTTGAAAATGAGTTCACATGTAAAGTACATTCAAACAGTTTGCGCACCGGGAGGTGAACAGAACCGCATTCCCTTGTAGTTCGCTGTACAAGAGGGAGGAAATAAACGTCGATATCATCTTACAAGATCATGAAACAAAAAGTAAGTTTCAAGAAACAAACGTCGCAAAGACCGTAGAGTGCAACCGGAAAAGGCCAATTTCAGTCGGACTCGTGGTGCTTTCCTCCCTTCTTTTTCCCCTTTCCCTTCCCTTTTTTCTTGGCCATCTTCCCGGCTTTTTTCTCCATTTTTGCCGCTTTCTTCCCGGTCGGGTCATTATCGTGTTGATCCAGTAATTCCAGCGCCCGGTCGCCCGCATGCAGGGCTTCCTCTTCCGCGGCTTGTCTTTGTTCTTCTTCCACCCGTTTGTCTTTCCCGACGAGCGCCCCCCAGCCGCCGCCCTTCGGTGGAGGAGAGCCCGGGGGCCGCGGGGGTGGGATGTGAAAAGGCTGCTCTTCTTCTCCGCCCGCCCCAGCTGGGCTATGAGGAGAATTGGAACTCACTGGCCCCGGGCTCGAGGGTGGAAAGGAGGAGAGTTTGCTATTCGGACTTGCAGAAAAGGTCGCGTTGGAAGGCGATGATTTGCTTCCTTTGCCCTTGTTCCCTTTCTTCTTTCCTGGAAGATGTGCTCCTGCTGATGGAGGGCTTTTCCGCAGTCCTGCGGCCGGGGGGCTGTGAAGATGTGATGCCGGCGGCGAATGAGCGAGGTGTTCATCATGCAGTTCTTGCGGGTGTGGTTCTCCACCTCCAGGCGACATGTGACTATGATCAACGTCATGATGATACGTATCGGGCGAGAAGGTAACTGCAGTATGCTTCGGTGGAGACGGCGTCGACAACACACCGCCTTTATTTCGCGCTGCAAACATCTTCGGCGAAGCGACCGCTACCGCACCCGGAGCAAGGCCAAAGGCCGCGAATCCCGGTTCTTGTCTCGTTCCCTTCAGACCAGTTTTCGCCTGTTTCCCCTTCTTCCCCTTCACTGATTTAGCCGCCGCTCCGAGCACCCCGGCCATTTCTGCGTTGTAGTGCTGTTTTTCCTCCAAATCATTTTCCAGTTCCGACAAGTCCAGGACCGGCATACCGGTTGTAGGATCCCGCACACTTTCCCGTCGGTCGTCGTGGGGCCGGCTCAACGCCTGCTCCCAATCCACCGGAAGCGGTTTCTCGACAAAGGCCTCGTGCTGGAAAATTTGTTCCTCAAATCCACCCCTTCTCCGCAGCAAAAGCTGCAGCGGGTGTCCGGTTCGGGGTTGGTTCAAGAACTGCTCGAGCAAATTTTGGTTGTTCACCACCAACTCCTCGTTGACCATCAAAAACTCGTCCCCCGCTCGCAGCCCGTGCTGCCCGGCCCAGCCGCCCAGGTGGACGTAGGCGATGGCGCTGTTGGCGTTCACGGAAAGCCCCAAGTCCTGCTCGGTTAGTTCCAGCTGCAAGTACTCGCTCTGGAACCGTCGCTGCAAAAAGAGGAAGGAAACAAAATTTTGCGCGACCGGCTTCGCCTTGCCGATCGGCTTCGGCTGTTGCTGCTGCTGGGCCGCCGTCTCCAGGTGGCTCTGCATGATGAAACTCGCGACTGCGTCATCCGGGTGGGAGAAAGAAGAGACTTGTGAACTACCACCTGTCGCACTGTCTGCTAGTACTGGAAACAACATCTTCCCGCCGACTCTCTGGCCGTTTACGGCGAGGAGCATGTCCCCCACGTTCACGCCGACGGAATTCGCCCGGGAATTCGGCGCCACGGCGGAAACGAACAGCTTAGGGTAGGAGTTCCAGTGCAGTTGAAAGCCGAACAAGTGCCCGATTTTGTCGGTGCCGGAAAGGCTTGGGTCATGTAACACCTGGTCATCCACCTGCTTCTGCTCCCAGCCCGTAAACCCCAGACCCGGCCAGTCCGCGGCCCCAGTGTGACGGATCAGTTTGGGGAGAAGGAAGGGGTGCACAAGCTGGACTTGATGTTCCTCTCCCGCATAATTACTGTCGTATCCGGACTGGAGTACTACACCCGTACCGTAGTTCGCCGGCGACTGTGCGTCCCCCTCCCCGCGACTTGTGAACAAACCGTCAATCATTCCGCCCAATTGACCGAAAAACCCTCCACCTCCGCCGGCGTCCACCGCCTCGCCCTCGGCGTGCATCTTGCGCATCTGGTGCGCGTTCGCTACTCCCGCGTTGAGCTGCGCATAATCGGGCTGCTGGCCTCCGATAGGGCCCTTTTTCTGCACCTGAAGCTGCTGCTGCGCGAGTTGCTGCCGGTTCTTCGTGTGTCCTATGGAAAATCGCCCTCAAGCTGAATTTGTGATTGTGGTGCAGCCATGCATAAACATATAGAGGAAGAGCAGGTGTGGGCTACACACTCGTGTTTCTTTTGCGTTTACAAAAGATTGAGATTGAGTTTGAGAGCGAGAGTGATCTTCTTACCCAGCATATCACGGCGCCCTTCATTAGTTGATCTCCGCCGGACGGCATCACGGGACCAAGCTTCTGGGTGCCTTTGGCGGCGGCCTGGTATTTGGACATCAATTTATTTGTCAGCACTTTCATAACGAGCGCAGCGATGCAGTGCTGGCATCTCTCTGAGTCTTCACGCTCAACACAGTGAACATTACAGCTAAAAAAACGATAGTCCTAACAAATATAGCATCCTAGTCCTACTTTTCTTTGCATACACGGCGAAATACCTTCCCTCCCTTCCCCTTCACCGTTGCGGGTCCCTGTAGATTGGGCGGCGGGCCGGTGATGTCGATGTGCGCCAAGCCGTCTACTTCGGCCACATTTGGCGGTGGCGGCGCGTCAAAGTAGTTCTGGAACACGGGCGGCGGCGGCATCGGGGCCTCCCCGGGGGGCACGGGACTTGCCCCGGGCAGGTCCCGGCGCCAGAAGGTCGCGTCGTCGTAGAACTCGTGTTCCTTCTGCAGGTTCGGTTCCAGTTTTTTCTTCCACTCCTGGTCGATTTTTTCGTTCTCAATGTACAGGGCCAGATCCCGGTAGATTTCCTTCACCGTGTTCTCATCGGCGCCCTGGCTGGTCATGAGATCGTGCCAACCCGTCCAGTCCTCCGCGGTCGAGGGGCAACCGTTCGCCTCGATGGCTTGCTGGCTCACCTTCTGAAAGTCCGTCTTCTTCTCTGCCGTTTCCTGCTGCGTGTCCTTGCTGTCGTGTATGAACGGCCGCAACTTACACAATGATGTGTCCCGCTAAGGAGCAGATCCCTGATTTCTATTTCAAGGTCCGCAAGAGGAGTACTATACTGAGGACAACATGAAAAGATACGAGGGGGGAACGCGTTTCTTGCTGCATGCACAACGACAATAAACTCGGTTCCGAAAGAAAGAAACAAAATGTGTCTGAGCCGCGCCCGGAGGGCAGAAGTGCCTTGATAAGTGTGGATAGCAGAAGTGCCTTGATAAGTAAGTAGAAGTCTTTTCAAGGAGTCGTGGAAGATGAATGCACGTCTGCAAAAGAGCTGCCTGGAACCCGCAAAAACAGCGGGACACATCATCGCAATCAATTTCTTGCATATCGTTCACATGGAGGAGTTCCTGTTGCAAGTGGTCGAGCGCTTCCACGATGATGTCTCGGTCCTTGTCCTTGGTTCGCAAAGTGACGTCGTCGGTATCCGGGCCGTCGTCGTCATCCTTCTGGTGTTTCGACACCTGCCACTTCACCGTGAACTCGTCCACCCGCTTCGTGCTGGGTTTCACATGCTTCACACTGCTGATGGCCGTGAAAACGACCGGTTCGCGGGCCATGGACTCCGCAATCTTTTTGGACTCGTAGACGCAGAAGTAGAAACTCTTCTTTGGGGCATTCAAGCCCTTCTTGGCGGCCTTCTGCGCCTCCATCTGTCGCACGGAGAAGTCCACGCGACCCAGGGCGCAGTACTGGACTTTCATGTACATGGTTTCCGGAGTATGCAGGGTAATTTTGCGCCCGCACTAGTTCTAGAACACGTACACACGACAGCCCTGCGCGGGGTTCAATCTTCTATCTACGGTTTATTAATTAAGTCTCCACTTTAAAAAATTTCGCAGTACAGATGCGTCATGCTTTCGAGGATAATATGAACGACCCGTTGTCGTTGTGGTCGTTGTCGTGTGTGCGTGAACTTCTACGTGCAAGAAAATAAAATTTCATTCCCTACTGTTCTACGCCCTTATCTACTTCTTTCACCTGCCCGTGCAACACTTCCCCGAGGATACGGCACTTTAGCTCTCCCTCGATGTTGCGCAACGTGTCGGGGAGATTCAGTTTCAGCGCAATCTTCATGCACTCAGCGCCTAGCCCAGACTCGTTGTCGATTCCCTTGACCAAGGGTGTGAAGTAGTTTGCCTCCTGTTCGGGGGACAGCCTTCGGAACTTCACGATCAGGGTGCCCGCCATCTTTCCATTCTCCTCGAGGGACTTCAGCCGGTAGGTCTGCTTGCTGCCCCAGAAGGACTTCTCGCGGTCCAAAATATCCCGCTTCGTCTTCACGGTTAGGGCACCGATTTGGGTGTTCGGGAGTATGCACAGGAAATCCACCAAGTCATCTTCTTCTTCTATCACTAGCATTACAATTATATGACTGGTGCACTTTTGAACAGGAACGACTACTCCTGAACTATCAGATAGTTCAAAGAGGTCATAGATAATCTATGACCTCTTTGACTTCGCTTTTGAGGCGGTACCAACATCAAAATTTGTCATGCAGTACAACGCTCCTCGTTGATATGTTGAATTTCCATGTGCATAAACACAGTCCCGATCGAAGTTGCAGAGAAGGTTGTCGTCGACGCGCCCTGGGGGATGGTCATCATCCTCGTTTGCCCGAAGTCGCATTTCACTGACGGATCCGTTTCGAATTTTTCGTACCAAAACGCGACGGTAGCGGTAAATTGGTTATCGCTGAGCAGCATGGATTTCTCGCCTTTACCTGTGCGGATTTTTTATTTTGAGTGGTAAACTTCTGAAAGACGAAATACAACTTCAATAATAGGCAGGTGCACCACTAAAGTTTCACCTGTGTCCGAAACATTCTTCGCAATAGCGTGGTGAATAACGTTATGCACGAGGGTATGGTGTGTAGAGAAAAAATGAACAGCCGTAGCATGCGGTATAACATTATGCACGATGTGATTCTACATGTCGCCATTGTCTGTGATGAATAAAGGCTGCTATATTGATACAGATCCTGTTGCATTGATGTTCTCGATTTTTTGCTAAGTACGCCACACTAACAATTTAGTGGTGAAGCGATAAAATCAAACAGCAGTTTTTTGAGACCGCTAGAACAAAAGATCCATCTTTACCTTTCAAATCTTTCGCCTGCACGATTTCCACGAGAATCTTGGTATCTTCAAACTCGTCTATCCCCAACTTCAAAAACAACTTCCCGACCCCCGGTAGATTTCGCAGATTGAAGTTTTCCGCCGTGCAGCACCCCTTCAAAAAGCTTAAGCACACAGCAAAAATCGCGACTGCGGCACACATTTTCAGCAACGACTTCACCATCCGGGCCATCATGAACCCGGGGCCAAACATGAAGGCCGCTTTTTCCTTCTGTCTTTCTGTTTGGTGTTCCTCCAACTGCAGAAAGTTCGTCGCCACGGAGTTCTGGTCGCCTGGATCCTGGTTTTTGTTGCCCGTTGCAGCAGCTGCAGCAGCAGCCTCTGACGTGGATAATAGCGAAGAGGAGCTACCACGACCCCCAGAGGGCCCGCCGAGCATCTGCTCCGAGAAGAGAAGCAACAGAGACGAAGCCGGGGGGTCCGGCTCGAAATCGGGAGAATCCGAAGTGAAGGAGTCATCTCTGTCATTGTTCGGCTCCTCGTCAGTTGCTCTATTAATCGTAACATCGCTTCTAGAATATTGTTTATGTGTATGTCTTGCTTGCTCCTGGTCGCCGAGGGTTATTTTCGCATTATTTCCTCCCTGGATTTCGACTTGCTGGAGGATTGAAGATGGGGGATTGGTGCTTCTCGTCGCCGTCTCTGGGTAGGAATTCGCACTGCTGCTGGTTTTACTAGTGGTATCCGCCGCGCGGCCAGCGCTCGGATCATCATCGATGCCACGTTGTGAAACATTTGGTGGGTTCTGCGCGGTATCTGTATCCGGCGTAATCTGCTGCGGTCGCGGTTCTCGGCGCAGCATACGCGGTCTGCCGTTCGCCGGTGGTAGCAGCGAAAAAAGACAGAACTGGAGGAAGAAGCAATAGAGTAGTTGCTGCAGAAAACAAGGCATGCTCTTCTTGTTCCTGACACGATCCCCCCGAGCGGGTGATCGTGCGCCCCAAGAACATGACTGCGCAGCCTGCTGCCTCGCCATGATGTCTCGCTTTGGTAGACGAGAGTCTCCTGCGCAGCTGCTTGAATTATCAGAACTATAGGGTAAGTCAAAAGGTAAATGAGTTGTCTTAGACGTAACAACCAATATCAATACGCACGTGGACTCGTCGGCTCTACCAGTACCAGATATAAAGATGTGCTCTGGTTTCTGTTTGCCGTCTAGTGATGATCCATCCGCCGGTCCTTTTTCACGTCTTTGCTTCCATCTAAAGAATATGAATAAGAAGACGATCAAATAAACGACGAGTTTTGCAGCTGTAGTTTACGCTTTTCACTCACACACTGTGTCGAGCTGACTTTTTTGCCTTCTTTTTTGAACCTCTCCCCCCACCACTCATAGTCTTGATCTTATTTATTCGATGTCTTTAACGAGGGCACGACAAAAGCATCACGAAGGATGATGAATACGAATAGACGATGAAGACGACGACGATTTTCGCTAAAAGAATTCGAATTTTTATTTTTTCGACTTGCACGACACGATACTTACAAGTGTTAATGGAACCGCAATCGTTTTCCGAGTGCGAACCGCATCGCTTTCGCAAAACGCTTGGTCGAGTGGCGAGTCCGGCTTTCAGGACTCGGAGTGTTTTAGTTTTTCTTTTTCGGCTATATTAGATATAGTTTCATCTAGAGAAAAATTTCATTTCCTTTCATTTTGTTTTGTCGTTCTCTTGTCGCTGGTTTTCTTTTTCGGTTTCTTGCCCCTGATGCTGATGGATCATTTCAATATTGTTTCCCCTCCCTGTTGAGTTCTGAACCTCAGTTCTTCCGTCTACAATAGCAATAGCTCCGCCTACTTGTTTATTGTCTTCTAAAGCGGGCGAATTCCTACTTCCCTCAGCGTCTTCTCCTTCAGCAGAGGACTTTAGTTCCTGCTGTTCTACTTTCTCCCCATCGGAAAACGCGGTCGGCCGCGTTTTGTCCACCCGGTACGCCCAGCGTTGGTACAGGTAGGCGAAGAAAATGACGTCGTCGCGGAGGCACGAGAGGCGGTGCATCCAGGGCATGTCCATGAGAAACGCGGAGACGTCGTCCACAAACGTGTTCAAAGCCTTGTAGGTCATCGCCCGCCAGGGCATGTGCTCGACCGATTTCAGGCGGTAGTTGATATACAGCTGGGGCGTCATCATGATGAACCCAAACACGTAGATGTAGCCGGCGAGGGTTTTCAGGATGAAGCTGTACCAGGACTTGTGGACGTTGTACACCAGCGTGTACACCGTGTAGCAGCCGAGCAGGGGGTAGAGAAGGTAGGACCTGTATCCGCTGCAAAAGTAGTATCGCACTCGCGGCATTGGTAGATAGTTGTTGGAGTTGCAACATCGCATGACATCAAATCTGATCTAGATTTCTTTATTTTACGTAACGCAGCATTACAGGTTCCACTTTTTAGCGAAAATTTGTAAGAATGCAATCTACAGCACCAGTACGAGCGCGATTGCGATACTTTATTTGCAATGCATAACATGTAGCGCACCGCAATCTGGTCGTATTCGGACGTTTGGTCGTCGTCGTAGCCGGTTTTCGAGGAGATCTTTAGGACGTAAGTTTCGATAAAGGAGGGTTTCGCTTTTGCACTTGACGGCTTTGATATTTTGGGTTTGGTCTTATCGTCGATTATTTTATCGAGAGTGTCCGCGGTCTCTCCGCCGTTGGCGGCCTTCTCTCGGTTTATTTTGACGTCGTGGCTGGCCCCCGTCGCAGTAGTTTCTTCTGCAGAAGTAGCAGCTACCGCAGCAGGCCGGTGCCGGAGAGTTGTGGCTGATGATGTTTCTCCCACTGTTTCGTGCTCCTCTTGCTCTTGACAGCTAGCACTAGAATTTTCAACACTTTCATCGAATTCGCTTTTCTGGTCCACTTGCCGATCGTCTTCTGCTTGGTTCTTCAAAACTTCATCCTTTTCGTGCGCAGTACTATTCATCGTTTTCACCCAAAGAAGATTTAGCACCTTCCCGTACAAAATCTTCGCAAATACCACTTCCACCTTGATCGCCTTGGTGAGTTTCCAGGTGCTCAGCACCAAATCTAAGCCAATTTCGAAGAGAATCAAGTAGCTGGTTTCCCGGGACTCCAGCAGATAGAGCGCGATCACCACCCGACTCACCCAGCCGATCACCATCGACCGGGCGCTGAGGCCCTTCATGGACTTGTTCTTCCGCCAAAACTGGAGGTCGTTTTTGAAGGCCAACCACGAGAACAGGGATATGGCGTTCTCAAACGTTACATTCTCAACTGTTACGTGGATTTGTAATGCAAGAACGGCGAAAGTGAAAGGAGGAAGGATGCGCCTTTTGCATTACAGATTTGGCACAGATTTAGATCCTGTTTAGCCCTTCGGATGTTTGTCATGCGAAGCAGCTTAATCGTGGCGATCTTGGTGGTAAATTTGCATGACAAATCATGTAACAGTTGAGAATGTACCAGTTGAGAGCGCCATAAGGGAGTGTGACAGCATGAAGAGCATGGACAGAATCAGCACGATGGGTGAGTTTATAACCTGCTCAGGTGTTACAATCTCAAACGTTACAATAGAATATCGAAATCTGTGATGCAAGAGCCGCAATTTGTAGCCAACTCTCATGGCATTGCGCATGACAAGTTCCGGAGTCCCAAACGGCACTACAGTCTGGCGAAATTTGTATTGCAGAAAGTGGAATGCTGTCCGAGTCTGTCATGCTCGTCACGCAACACAAAATCCAAATTCTATTGTAACGTTTGAGATTGTAACGTTTGAGCAGGTCATAGAGTTGCTGAGGAAAATCTTCTTCAGCATGAAGCTCTCGCGCATGGGGTCGATCAGCAGGCCGAAATTTTCCTTGATCGTCAGCGTGTCGGTCAGTGACTTTTGGATGGACCAGGCGGCGTAGGTGGTCTGGTAGTGGGACAGACGGAGGGGGAGCGAGGGCTCGGCCGCGAGGTGATGGTTTGTTGAACTTGGTGCAGCCTCGTCAAAGACAACATCCACCACGTTCTTCACTACGTTCGGGTCGTGTGGCGCAGCTTCGTCATCTTTTGTGTTTGAGATCTTCCCATGCACGGCTTCCAGGCTGACTCCCTTCTCCAGCACAGTGGAGTTGAGGTGCAGAAAGTCGTGCTCTAGCGCCCAGAAGTCGGTCGCGGAGACCAGGGGCTGATACACCTGGCTGTCCGGAAAGCGCTTGATGGCGGCCAGGGGGTTGTTATTTGTGGAAATCTCGTTGTTCAGTGTGGCGTCGTTGTGAACGGAGTCGTCCCAAACAATGCGAAAATCGACTTTGGACACCCAGTGGGCGACTTTCGTCGAAGATGATGGGGAGGCGGTTGGTGATGTGGTGGTTGAATTTCTGGTATTTTCGTGTTCCAGGGCGAGCGCTACTTCAGCGTTCGTGGACGTACTAGAAGCGTTTTTGGAAGAAACACGAGACTCAGACGAAGATGCTGAAGCACCGGGTTGGGTCCCGTCTTTGTCTGGTGCAGCTATGGCAGCTAAGGTCGTCGTCGCGTTTTTCTTCTCACTCTCCTGATCATCCGCACCGCCGCCCCCGAGCAGGCTTTTTTCTTCGTGGTGCACCTTCGGGCGCATCATCCGAGTGAGGTTCACGCGTTCGTGAATGGTTTCGTAACTGTACAGGTGCTTGCTCTTGCGCAGTTTCGTGGACCGCATGGTGTAGGCGAGAAGATAGCTTGATGTTATAGCATCCGGCTTGATATTTGATGCCGATGAAGGTACCATTAAGCCTTTTACCGCTTGTGCAACCAAATTTGTGCCTGCGGCGTCTTTCTCCTGTTCCCCTTGCTGCTGCGCCAAGTCTTCTTCTCGTCCCGAAGTGCTGTCAGAAGCTGAGGGCAAAACCAATTCCGGGAGCAATCGCAAGGGCACGGTGACGTTTTTTCGCCAGACGTTGAAATCACTATCCGGTGTTTGCTTATCCGCGAGAATCTGCTTGTCCTTCAAGTTGTACGGGATGTTCTTTTCGTGCCACAGGAGCTTCTCGCTTTCTTCCCATTCTGCAAAAAGTTTTTTGTTTTCCGCGTGCGTGTTCTTCTTCATCTTCTTCCACTCATCCTCGGTGAGCAAGTGGACCCAAAAATCATACGTCTCCTCTGCCGGATCAAACATGTTTTTGTAGAACCGCATCGGCCGGTTCGGCTTTTTCTTACCGGAGGAAGATCCTTTCTTGGTAGAAGCCGCTGCTGTTATTGATGTTTCCTCCTGCAGCTCCGCCGTGCTAGTGGTCTGACCACCGGGTCGCTTGGTCATTCCGGTCATCCACATGAAGGCGTAGTGCACGGCCATGACCTGTATCGCCATCCTGGCAATCCGCGGCAGGTCCAAACCCTGGCGCTCTTGTTGGGGGTCTGCAGCTCCAGCGGGGCCGAGACCTGCGCCCGGGGCAACAAGGTCACTCTGCTCGACGCCGGCTGCCATTTTTTTTTCGACGAAAGTATGCGAGCAACAGAAGTAGACGAATCAGGCGAGGAAATTTCTCAACTGGTGCGCTTTATTCAATAACAACGCTGCTCATGCTGGTCACCTCTACTACACGTCGCTGTGACACAATGACGTCAACGAGGTAGAAAGAGAGCAGAGCAGGGTGGAAATTTGCCGTCGCATTGCGTCGCAGAAACAGAACAAGAGGTCTTCGAAGCCGGTTCATCCTTGAGTGAAATTTTGATCAAAAAGCTGACGCGGAGGATCCAGATCGTCGGCTGGGGCAAGTGCAGGCGTAGGGTCTCAAGGTCAAGATCGTGATCGTCGGTCAAAAAATGCAGGCTGATACTTGATTTGGTGCTGGGCACAGCAATGGTTTTCACGTCGTGGTTGATCGATTTTTCATGGTCCGGGACAGACTCTTACCGAAGAAGACGGAACCAGGTCCGGGGATGCATATGCGAAGAACAGAGTGTAAGAACACGAATACACAGTGAATGTGCCTTGTCTCGGCTACCCTTCTTAGCCGGATGCGATTTTCGATTTATTGTGGTAGGTTGCAATGTGATTTAGTACTCTATTCCCGTCGTAACGCTTATGCGTACTCAAAAAGCAGACTTGCAAGTATATGAGCATGCTGCTCGTCTTGCGTTGCGTAGTGTACAGATCATGCCGCGCTCGTGGACGTGAGGATTGGTGAAAAATGGGCATCTCTTTTCAACTTTTTCAAAACCATAAGACAAATGACATGATGCGATGCTAGCACAGTGTGCGATGCTTTTGCTTGTGCTTCGATTGGAAATTATTGTTACCATGCGCAAAACCAAAACTTACGAAACTTATCTGTACGCTTCTAGTGGGTAAACTAGTGTGGAAATTTCATGTTTGTGGTGATCGTGTTTTTTGGAGCGGGGAATTATATGTTACTCGATGCAAAAGAAAACTCTGAGAAATCAGATGATGATCAAGATCATATCAACTGACGACTAAACGTCCCTCGCCACGGAGTTGAGAACCATTTCAAACTGGTCACTTCCAAAACTTGTCGCCTGCTGCAGGTGCGTCTGCTTACTCCCTGAAGGACCAGCTACACTACCCGTTTGAATAAAATCCGTTTCGCTCAGCGGACAGACGTACACTTTGCTGAATATGGACAGATATGGATTGCAAAAGTATCGTACTCGTATAAATGCATTACAAATTTCCTTAGCATGAGAAATAAAATTTGTAATGCTGATTTGCCTTGGGAACAAGCTTTGTGATGCATGATTTGCATTTATACGAGTACGATACTTTTGCACTGGATAGCAGAAAGTCCGTGTACTCCATCCAGAAACTGCTCACTTCGCCGGCCCCCTTGAAAAAGAGGTGGAAGTGCTGTAGTTTCTTCCAGTTTTCCATGTCGTTTCTGCTGAAGGCACCGGTGTAGCACGAGGTTTTTCCGAAGGGGTTGCGAAACTTCAGCATTCTCTTGCTCATGCCCGCTTGGAGTGCGCCACTGCAGGGAATGATCCGAGCCTGATAAGATGGTTTTTTGGTAAAGTAGTTGAAATTGGTCTTGTTTTGCACCCGCCGGTGAGGCGGTTTGTTTTGTCGGTTCTGGGGCATCAGAATAGGACGCAGCCGCGTAATAAAAGCATGACAGGCTGTTTGGATTTTAGAAGATTTAGACTGTGTTAGTGGACTTGAGAACACTCGCACACACTTGCACACGCTTGCTCCACTGAGCTCGTTATCAACAGCAATTCGATGAATTCTCTCAATTGCAAGTAAGCAAGCAAGTGACGCAAGTCTCTTGCTGCGTTGCATCCTGTAGGTTCAAATCATCCAACTTCATCACATTCATATGGGCCAAACCTGGTCAGAGTCAAGTGGCCAAACAACATGGGAGTCCACCCCTCAACCTGCTCAGATTGGTGCTCGACCCTGGCGGGAGTCAAGTCCCCCAGGGCGACCATTCTGAACGTCTGGACCGAGCTGAGTCCATTCATTTCACTACGATCCTGACGGCTTTGCCTTCGTAGTATTTGGGGGATTCGCGGAACATGGTGAAGAGTTTCCTTTAGGATCTAGATAGATTCTGACCATTTCCCTAAGGATCTGGCTAGTTCAGGTCATTCAGAGCTGTCATTTCATTGAGGAACAGGCGTCATTTGGGGCGATCGTGTTACGTGTGTGCGGGATCGATTTCCATGACCAACGCCCCTCCTCAATCGCTGCGGCGGTGATGCTAATCTGGATAACGTCCTACCACACTCCCCTCCTGAGCGCGCTGTGGTAAACTAGCTACCCCAATACCTTCTAGAAACCAAAATAGATCGAATAAGTATAGCCTACTTTAGCCCTGCCCTTATGATTCCCCTCTATAAAAGTGTCTAAATCATCCTCATCGTCAGAGGAGTCACAAATAAAAGACTTAGGGTCGGGGTTATCAATATGGTGCAAGAGTAAGCGTCTCTGCGGCACACTACACTCGAGCTTCGTAAGACCGTCTGCCTTCATCAGATAGGTCGGGCAGAACATGATCTGGCTCGCTGCGTCTCTCACGCGGAGATATCGCAGTGCGTAGTGCCTCGATTTCGGTTTGTTGTCTGTGCTCTTAGCTGTAGTTATCGCGGACTGGTTGTCGATCCACAATATGGCATCACCCAGGGAGGGAGATAAGCCATTCTGCTTCTCCACCATGACAGTGGGTAGAGGTTTGAAGAATTCTGTAAAGTCATTCTGCTCGCTCAGCGCAATAGTGTCGGAAGCAGCTATATACTCCGCCTCCGCCGTGGAGTACGCTCTCACGGTCTGCCGGTTGCTACGCCAACAGATCGGGAAGCCGCGGAAGTACATAATGCTACCGCTAGTGCTTCGCATGGTCTTGCAACAATTCGCAAAACTAGCATCCGAAAACAGATTCACATCAGGCAAGTCTCTCCCATCGGGCAGTAGCTTGCTGTAGATTCTGTTGAATTCATCCTCAATTTCCGGACTATACGACAGACCCTGCTCCTTCGTTGTCAATAGATACTTCAGAATCTTCTTACAGGCGTTTACGACAGGCCGAGTCGCCGGCTTGCCCACGTATCTGGCGACAGTGGCAACCGGGACAACAATGTCTACCCTGCAAGTGGTTGCAGCCCACTGCAGAGAGCCAACGACCTCTCGAAGGGGAAAACCTTCAATAACTTTAGCTCCTTCAACTTCTTTAGCGAGTTCAGACTCATCGAAGTTTGGCGAGTGGACCGGCTTGCCCGCTTCTGAGACGTTGAATTTCTTACAAATCTTGGATATGTACTCTGACATCACGACCCTAACGGTTCGCAGATTCCAGGCGTAGTACACTACTGACCCTAGGAAGTCAAACTTCTTGGACACAGAGTTAAACTCCGGAACACGCTCGACGTCGATCATGCGCCCCTTGACGTGGTGCAAGATCTCCGCAAGTTCTCCAGCCAACTCGGACCCAGTCGGAGGACCTGTGATAAGATTATCGTCGCCATACCCTGCCAACTTCAGAAACTTCCCAGGGTGTTCCAAGCTCGGTTTCTTCCACAGACCTGGCGCAGAGGGACAGGGTTCCCAACCTAGCTTGGTCAGTACTTCCTCATACTTCTTATGCCAGAGCCTGGGGGCGTCTTTCAAGCCGTAAAGCGCTTTCTTGAGCTTGACAATCTCCACGCCGTGCTTTTTCGCCCAGATGGGTGGCAAGCGGCAGAAGACATCGCGATCAAGTAAGGCACTGAGAAACGCACTATCAAGGTCGAACGGGATCACATCATCACCATCTGCGGCTGCAGCGGCTAGAAGTAACCTGTTAGCGGCATGGGACACAACAGGAGCGAAAGTGTCCAGCTCGCCCGAACGATCTAGATTCCCGAGTGCTACTGCTCGCGCTTTCTTCGTACCGTCACGCTTCTCGGTAAGAAGGATAGCAATAGGCAAAACCTGTTTTGCGGTCGCTAGCTCCTCGTCAGTAGCTGGCTCCCACACTTTATAGGCTTCAAGTCTACAATCTTCCTTGTTGGTTGCTGCGTTCCATTCGACTGAGTCTTTGCAACGAGCGGGATCCAACTTGGCCGATGTAGTCAAGTAACGCTGGACGTCAAGGAATTCCTCACCTTCCTCTCGATCATCCTGCGCTGCTATTGCTGCGGCAAACGCACTCGCGTCTTTCTTTAGTGCGTCGAGCTCTTTTCGTGTACGTCTCACGCGCTTTCTCGTGTCCTTTCTCCCTTTGGGGCGGCCACGCCCTCGCGGCTTGGAGTTGCGGTTGCCAGCCACAATCCGCGCCGGAGACGGGCTCACCTTTCTTGGACTCGATAAGCTGCTGTGAGTGGGGTGATCGTCCAGATTCCCCTCCTCAGGTTTAACACCTTCAGGCTCGGGATGTATCTGGCCCGGATCATCTTCCCAATCCACACTCTCAATCACTAACGTCTCAGGACCGTCAGGCTGCCTACCAGTGTGCTCCGAGACATCCACCCCCAGCCGACGCACAGCCCCGATTTCAGGACCGACGCACGGGAGAGATGGCGCACACGGCGCTCCACTAGGTAGGGCCTCGATTGCGTCGCACTCGACGTAGATACCTTTGGAGTTAGGAGCTAGGTCTTCAATATTCTTCACGAGGCACTCCTCACGGAACTTGACGTCGATGGTAGAATACTCCATCCAACGACGTCCCGCGGCGGGCCGGCCGTCCGTGACGTACGTCCCAACCCGCCAGCCCGAAGACTTAGGACAAAGGCCGAGAAATACACCACGACGAAATGGCGCGGACAGCTTTGGAGCAACCACCTCTACTCCCCCCTCAGGAGCTTCATGAGCTTCGCCTTTCTTGACTTGTTCACGAAAATAAACGAGACAACCAAAACGCCCTAGCATCCTTGTGCCAACTTTTGAACTGTTTCTGCCAGTTCTCTCATCTAGAATCTCTGCCGGAGTCTTTCCGTCGTACTCAGGCACTTTGCTATACTTATGCGGAAGGCGGTCCCAGCATGCTGCAGCGTACTCGACCGAGTAGCACCACAGACGCTTGTCCACGTTCACCAACATCGCACGCACAGCGCCGAATATGGTCCGCGTAAAGCGTTCGCAGGTTCCGTTCTGCTCTGGGTTGTAGGGAACCGTAGGAGCATCACCGACCCGCAGCGATTGCATGACCTTGGTCATGGAGTCACTGCCCAGAACTGGCTCATTGTCCCGACGGACGAACCACACCACTTTGTCCTCGAGGGTCAAAGCGTATTTCTGGCGAATGCCTTTTATTACTTCTTCCAAAACCTCAACGCAGTCACTTTTCAGCTTAAGAGGGAACCAGAAACACTTCTTGATGGCATCACAGATGACCACCAGCACGCAGGTGCGTGACCGAATCGATACAGGTTTAATACCTACCGCGAAATCCATCGCTAGTAGTTTCAATGGTTCAGGTTTGTAATTACTAGTGTCTCGCTCCTTGGCGTGAGAGCTTCTTGCGCCTTTAGCTTTGTCGCATTCAGGGCACTGGACACTAAGACCATCTACGTGAAAGTGCCCGAATCTTCTATGTTGTTCTAGGCGAGTAAGATGACAACTAGCAATACTTTCTTCGATTGTAATGCATGCAATATCTTCCGCGGTGTCTCTAGTCGCCTGACCCCGGAGGCCCATCCCGAAAAGATCACACCCAAGGACTGGGAGGGTCAACCTCTCGTGGTTCTTGATTGGTAGCATCTGACCGGATTCCCTGTTGACTAAGGAACCACCAGAGCTGTTGTAGTTCAGATCCCACCCACGATCACTGGGATTGTCCTCACCGAGCCACGGAAGAACGCGATCAATATCTCTTGGCAAGTGTTTGAAGTAGACGCCATAGGGCAAACCTAGAGCGTTTTCCTTCAGTTTTCCTACAAAACCATCACGAGCCCCGGCCGTGCCGTTGATGCGGCAGACGTTGCTCGAGATGTCAATGAAATCCGATTCGTGTCTAGATAAATACTTGTTTGCACATGAATCGACCAAGCTCACTGCGTCCTTGGTCTGTGCAGTAAAACAGCTAGAAGAATCTACACCGAAATCTTCTAAATTCTCGAAATTCAGCACACAGCTACCATACTCCGAGATAAATACTCCTCCTTCATCTGGTCAGGCTGGTCCTTGCCAGACCCAACCACCCTGCTTTCCACCGGCTCCCTGCCCTTGATTCTGGTTGTTCGTCTGGCTCTGGCTCACCGGCGGACACCACTGCGGCTGCTGGTTTCCCCAGGCACCACCCCACTGACCTTTCCCTTGATTGTTAGGATTCCAGCGGCAACGGTCCGCCTTATGGTTTTCCTTGCCACAGATCCAGCATTTGGGTTTGGTCACAGTGTTGCAGGGAGTGCTCTGGTTCCGACCAGTCTTACCACCACCTTTCTGGCCACTTCCACCCTTAGCGTTAGCCTTCGGGGGCAGGCCATGGGCAGCCAGGGCACTCGCTTCGGTCTGCTTACGCACTTTGGCCATCTTGCGCTTCAAGGCTTTCGCCGAGAACACTTTGCCAGAAGCATTTTGACCATCATCAGCGGAGTCCGGCTCCTCATCATCATCGTCATTTTTCTGACGCTTATTTCCCTTCTTCGTCTTCTTCGACTTCTCCTCAACGACCGGGAAGGCCTTGCCGAAGGACGGGCTCTCGATCTTGTGCGAGCCTTCCTTGACCAGCTGCGCGAGCTTCTTCTCGAGACGGTTCCCGATCTCCTGCAAGGTGATGTGATCGGACTCGTCCACGCAGCGGTCGATGGTCTGGCGGAAGGCCGACGCGTACATCTTGGGCAACTTGTCCAGAATGTTCTTCACATGATGATCTTCGACCGGACACCCGGGCTCCGGGACGTAGACACTCGGCGCCATCACCATAAAGTCGAGGATCTGGGCCAGGAACGTCGGAGCATCCTTCGGCGCGTCACGGTTGTCGAAATGCATGGCGTCGATCGAGGAGGTCTTGATGTGCTGCTGGTCACGGGAGGCAACATTGAAGCGACCAACATCACGAATACGCATGAACAGTTGCGCAGCGTCGTCGTTGATGTAGTGCTGACTGTTGACCCACGTGGACACGGACCCGGTGCGTGACTTGTAGATGGCATCCTTCAGGTCGCGCCACTTCTCCCGGATCGCGTTATTGGCAGTATTGGCCGCCTGCGGAATCCCCGGTGGGTTACCAGCAAGACGATTATCCCAATACTCCTGGAGTCCGAGACGAGAAACCTCGTTCGTGACCCCGCGACGCCAGACACGCCAGTCCTGCGCGCTGGACAACTTCTCCACCAGCTTTGCCTCTTGGCCCATTATTTCAAATAAACTTATCTGACTAGAAGAGCCAGTTTGAGTCTCAAGGCGTAGCGTGGTGTTAATGGACTTGAGAACACTCGCACACACTTACACGCGCTTGCTCCACTGAGCTCGTTATCAACAGCAATTCGATGAATTCTCTCAATTGCAAGTAAGCAAGCAAGTGACGCAAGTCTCTTGCTGCGTTACATCCTGTAGGTTCAAATCATCCAACTTCATCACATTCAAAAGGACCAAACCTGGACAGAGTCAAGTGGCCAAACAGCATGGGAGTCCACCCCTCAACCTGCTCAGATTGGTGCTCGACCCTGGCGGGAGTCAAGTCCCCCAGGGCGACCACTCTGAACGCCTGGACCGAGCTGAGTCCATTCATTTCACTACGATCCTGACGGCTTTGCCTTCGTAGTATTTGGGGGATTCGCGGAACATGGAGAAGAGTTTCCTTTAGGATCTAGATAGATTCTGACCATTTCCCTAAGGATCTGGCTAGTTCAGGTCATTCAGAACTGTCATTTCATTGAGGAACAGGCGTCATCTGGGGCGATCGTGTTACGTGTGTGCGGGATCGATTTCCATGACCAACAGATTGATACGAGCTAGTAGAAATTCCAATTAAGAAGTACCTCCAGCAAGGCGTACGGAAAGCCTTCCACCAGCCCGTCCGGTCTCCTCTTTTGTTGATTCCTCGCCCCCGCCCGCGGCGCAATCACGCAGGACACGATTTGCTTGCTCTTATTCGTGCGCAGCACAGTGGAGAAGAAGTCGTCGAAGTTCAGTTCTGCGTTGCTGACCTTCTTCGTGTACAGGGCATGCGGAAAACAGTTCGGGGGAGTTTGTTGTGCACCACCGGGAAGAATGATCTTGTTTTTCACCACGTTCTATCCTGTGCAAAAGTATCGTACTCGTACTCTACTCGTATTGCAATCATGCATTGCAAATTTTTTTCTTAGGGTGAATCCGCATTACAAATTCTATTTCTCATGCTGAGGAAATTTGTAATGTATTTATACGACTACGATACTTTTGCACTGCATACGTTCAGATTCTGGTTCGGCTGCACCAAGTCCCACACTTCTTGGGTGGTCGGTTGCGTTCCGGTGAGGGCCGACAGGTAGTACACTAACGGCGCGCCGGACAAATTCGCGTAGCTTCCGGCCAACTTGGCCAACGCTTTTTCCAGCAACAGCGCAAAAAGCTCGTTGCCGCAGGGCTGGGAGAAAACGGGGACCGGCCGGCGGTCGTACCAGTTTTTCTCACCGCTGCAGGGGATCAAGTCGTCAAGCGTGATCGTGAAAAACTGGCTCTTCGTGAAGTCAAACAGGCGCACGCTGTACCTGTCATCTTTGCTCAGCCCCGACTGCGAATGGTTGTCCGAGACAAACACGTCCGGCTGTTGCGGCTTTGGGCCGAGGGTTTCTTTCACGTACCCAGGGTACTCCGCGACCAAAGCGATGGCGGCCAAGGAAGTTGTCTATGCACGGAAAAAAAAATACTGAGCTCTATCGTGGTGGTCCTCTGGAAATAAGTAACTGGTTGGGACGCTACGAACAATCTTCAGGGCTGCATGTTGACAAGTTTACTTTCGGCCAACTTTATGTCGACTTGTTGTGTATCTATGAAAAAAAGAGTGCATACAAGAAAATCAAAGTGCATTTAAGTGCTGCTAGTGCATGCAGTGTAGCAGTGAAGAACGAGAATACTCAGCTTGCACCAGTACAGTAAGTTCCGCAACCTCCTTATGGATGTGTCAGGATCGAAATCGATAAAATCGAAAAATCTGTGATGCATAAAATGTAGGGCACTGAAGGCCTGTATTGGGGAGCAGGCAAATGAGACCAATTGCAAGCCTGTTTAGAGGTATGCAAGGTGCTGCCAGAGTAGCACGACAGGAGCAGTCTTCTTTGCCCAAACAGCATGACAGACTGGATTTGGGCGCTCCCGAAATTTGGTATGCGCCACTTGGAAACTGAGGCTCCAACTGGTATCGATTTTATGCATCACAAATTTTTCGACTTTGTCAATTTCGATTCTGACACTTCCATACTTCTTGTTCCAGAAGACGACCAAAGCCCAAATTTAAGTTTTTTCGCAGTGGATAGAGTCTCGTTGTTCGCGATTTGTGACAGGAGGTCCGTCGGGGGCAGATTTGCGTCGAACAGAGCCGGTCTCGTGCTGTAGCAGAGGTCCTTTCCGTGATAGTACTCCACGTTTTCCGGGATATCAGCTGTGTCCTGGGACAGCAACACTTGCTGCTATGCAATGGAAATATGTTCCAGCCCTCTTCAGTTATTCAAGTTTGTCAGAGGAGAAGATTAAAAGGCAGTGCGTTATTTTTCGCTCAAATTTCTTGTCTTCCGAAATTGCATTGAGCTTGAGCAGCTACTTTTCAGCGTGCTACTATCTAACTTGCGGTTGCGCTTGCGCACAATTCCATCACGCAACACAAGCTTGAACCAATTGGAGGCCGGGTCATATTTCCTCATTCGTAGCTGCCTGTCGTCTGCTAAAAAATTCGCGAAGGTACTGTTCGCGTTTTCTTGTTTCGAGGAGAGGGTCTTCACGTTCTTGTTCGAGTCATCCGTTTCTTCCAACAGCGTGGGTGCGACGGCAGGGCCGTCGACCGGAATTTCGTCCGCCGGCTTGGCTGGCTGTTCACTCTGCTCGTTGCCCTGCTCATCTTGTTCCACAAGGAGCGGAATAGCTTCCTGTGCTGCGGCGTCTGCGCCACCAGTGTTTTCATCTTCTCCGACTGGCGTTGCTTCTTCCGCTGCAGGAGCTGTCGCGTCTTCTCCTTCGGCAACAGGTGCGCCTTGTTCTGCTTCATTTTTCTCCTCCCCATTGCCTGCTGGTGCTTCCTCTTGAGCTCCCTCCTCGGCCACTGCGGGTTTGCCTTCTCCCTCCTCGTTGCCCGCCGCAGCTCCTGCGGCGTCGTCTTTACTGTCCTGCTGGTTTTCTTCTGGTGCAACATCTTCCGCCGGCTTGGCGTCGTCATTCTCCTTGGTCTCTTCTTGTTCTTCCCCGGGTTTCTTGGTAGTAGTCTCTTCATCTTCAGCGGACTTTTTCTCTCCGCCGTCGGCCTGCTCTCCCTCCCCGGCTGCTGGCTTTGCGTCCTCTTTTGCTTCAGCCTCACCTGCTGCATTTTTAGCGTTTTCTGATGCCGGCTTCTCCTTCTCCGCCTCTACTCCCGCGCTATCTTTATTTTCTTCATCCGCCATACCCGCCTCGTCATTTCCTCCTTCGCCAGCCGCCCGAGCCTCTTCGCCTTGTGCTTCTGCTGCCTCGGCAGGTGCTTCGGGAACCAATCCTGCCTTTTCCATCCCTTCGGGTTGCTCGCTTTCATGATCCACGACCTGCAATGACGGTACCCTCCGGGCGGCAGCTGGAGATTGCGCCTCCTGCAGCTGGTCCCCTACTTGTTGCGCGGCTCCTGCGGACGGTTCTGCCATTGGCTGTTGCTCGAGATGATGATCCTGTTGCGCAAGAAGTTGCAGCTCCTGTGCCTGTTGCATCACCGATGCCATAGGAACGGAGGCGGCCGACCACGGGTCCAATGCGGGTGGGAGAACCTGGGGTTTATTTTGACACGATATTTTTGCGTCCCGTGCAGGTTATTGCGCATATTCTTTTGCAATCGAGATAGATTTCGATAGTTGAATTTATTAATGCACAAAACAATCACCGAATTCATCAACATCACGAATTCCCTAGTTGTAAGTACCTCCTCCACGACATTTCCGTCGAGCCAGTTGCATTCCGTGGGAAAAACCCGGTCGGTTTTTTCCGATTCGGCTTTGAACAGAAACCCGTCCTTCACCGTGTCATTCGGCGTGCACACCCACTTCTCGCCGACGAAAATCAAGAACAGCTGCATATCGCAAGAAAAAACTGTTTCACTGTGAACTTGTGATGCAGAAAATGGCACACAGAACTCTTTGTCTTGCTACACCTGCAAGGCATTGGATTTCCAAGCGTGTTTTCCCTTGGGAAGCGCGCATGACAAATTTTCAGTGTCATGTGTAGCAAACTTGTGATGCAGATCTTGCAAAGTCATCACAGTGAAGCAGTTTTTTCGTGGGATACTGCAGCCCCTCCGAGTAGTACACCGGTCGCTGGCAGCAGGTTTTCGGGATGATTTCGTACCCCCCGTTCAGGTCCGCGAAGGGCGTATCAAATGTAAAAGTGTCTGGGTCTGGAAGAATGCGCGATTTGTCATGCATATTTTGCATGAGCATGACCCGCGATGCCTGTAATGCATGACCTAGCAGCACAGATTTTTAAAGAGCCCTCTCATGCGTAATCCGCATGAGAAACGCCCACTCCGCGTAGCACAAATTGAACTCCTCTTGCTGGTCATGCAATACAGATTTTTTTTACCTTCCAAAGACAGCACCACAAGTTGCAACCTTCCAGACCCAGACATTTTTACGTTTGATAGGGCGACTGGAAGTGCAAAACTTGGGGCGCGAACACGTCGTGCTTGGCCTGGCGGTTGCCGTGGAACGCGTCGCCGTCCACCCAAATGTCGAAGGACTCGGACTTCTTCACAAACTCGTTCTGCTTTTCATCGTAGACGTAAATCTCGCCGAGCAGCACGTCCGGGGAGTCGATCCGGGCGATGTAGGAGTTTTGCCCGCTCAGCTTCCGGCCGAACACGTAGTTGTCATTGCCGGTGGACGCGTTGGCGATGCTGTACAGGTAGAAGCCGTTCGCGAATATCAAATGCAAAAGTGTCTGGGTCTGGAAGATTCTGAGACTTGTCATGCACGTGTTGCATGAGCCAGGTGGATGTCTGTGATGCATGCCCTAGCATCACAGATTTTTTGCTGGGTTCTTGATGCCTATTCCGCATGACAAATGCCCTCTCTGCGTAGCGAAAATTGCCTTCCCTCTGCTGCTCATGCAATACAGATTTTTTTGGACTCCAAATGCAGCATCACAAGTTTCATTCTTCCACACCCAGACACTTTTGCAATCCATAGCGGAACAGAAAAAACAATCTTTGTGGTTGACCTTCTGCTTCAGATGCTTGTACCGGCCGTCCAGGATGCCCTCCGGGAGCGAGGCCGCCTGCACGGGAACCTCGACTATCAGGTCGGGGAGGGTGTCGACCATGATGCTGGAGTTCGTTGTTCCTCGTGGGACTCTTAGAGGAAGTATTGTCCTAGTACAGGAGAGCCATTAGGCATTTTTACAGGGCGGTAATTTGTCTTTGTTGCGGGGTACTATTGCATGTTGTAGTGGGATGAAAAAGAAACTCAGAAAAACTGAACCTGTTCTTACGCAGAGCAAATTCAAAGAGTAAAATTCAAGACTGGCACAAGGAAGAACAAAAGCGAGGAGATCAGAAGCACCAGCACTGCACGATGTGAGAGAGATTCACAAATAAACAAAACCGAATGCGCTGCGTCAATCACAATCTTGTTCCTGACGCCGGAAAAAAATAAATTTTCTTGCGAAAAAACCGGAGACGTCGCTCACTTCAGCACCGACAGATAAAGCAGATAGAATTTCTTCACAGCAAAACTAACCGACAATGAACTACCAACGCTGGCCGAACCGAGCAAAACAGAATCGACAACGTCATGGAGGGGAAAAAACCGAGAGAAATCAACTGGGTGCCTCGCTCTCCGTCACCGAACTACGTACTAGTACAATGGTGTGCTTGTCCTTGTTCTTTTATCCTAAAAATTAGGAAATAATCGACACGCGGACTGAATCATCTACAGTAGCTCTGCTCAACTTTGTTCAGGAGCTTGACATGAACATGAAGAGTACATCATCGGAGCCAAAACTAAACGACGTCAAAGGTGAAACAACACCGACGCTGCTTCATGATGAACAACGAGATCCAGCTTTTCCTTTTTCATCTTCAATGACACACCATCTTCGATGACGTCGACGAGATAGTTAATATCAATCTGCGTTGAGCACAAGCCGAAAAATGCAAGTCCAATTCAGGGACGAAACGACAGTTCATCACATCATCATTTTCACTCGTCATACTCTCCGTCTATCATTCCACCCCCGGCTTCATTGTTCTTTCTCTCTTCCACCGCGGCGACCTGGGCTTCGACCCCGAGCAACTGCATTCCATCTTGGACCCTGTCCGGGACGATTCGCATCGACTGCGCTCCGTCGCGCCAACTGATCCGCTTCTTCGGGCTCGGGGGGTCCCCAGGTCGCTTCAAAATGCGTTTTTTCGGCCGGGCCTTCAAGTTGATGCCCTGCAGACCCACACCGGTCGCGAGCGCCTTCGGAGGAGCTGGACCTGCTTTTGCTGTTGAAAAGCGTCCACCTTTCGGACCTCCCACGGTGCCGGGAACGACGCTGCCAGGGATGATGCTGCCAGGGATCAAATCTCCACCACCTCCGAAAGCCGCACCGGGCGGTTTTTTGCCAACAAAGTTGACTGTATCGGTCGGAAATTTCAAGTAGCCTAGCGCTGCCATCTTTGCTGTCAATGACAATTTGCAGTGCTGCTGTTCATCTCCATGCACCACATGCATCTTCTGAGGTAAAGCTAAAGTAGTCAGCTCGTTCTTTTGATGCTTTAACGTCGACGTATTGGACGCGGTGGCATCAAGAGTGGACAATCATGCAATAGAGCCGCTGCTCATGCAGCATCAGCTGCTGCATAACCATGAGCTTGTTGAGCATCTCCATTTTCTTTTTCAAAATACTATTGTATTGGTATTGACAGATATAGAGGCGGCAGCACTAAGAACTGTTTGCGGCACGATAGCTCGGCGCTGATGGCGAAACAGGACCAGGAGGCTTCGTTCTCCCTTGAAGACCGCCGAACATGCCGCTCTTGCCCCCCATAAAGGCGCTCCCGGTGCCGAAGTTCTTGGACGCAGCTGAAGGGGATGCAACGAATGCCGCTCCTGTCTTCGATGCTGCAGCGCCAAAACCGCCGATCCCCCCGGGTGTCGTCCGCGGAGCCACCACCGGCATGTTCGTACTGCCCCCGCCAAGAAATTCGTCCTCTTCGTCGTCAACGCCCCCGATAAGATCATCATCTTCGTCACCGTATTCATAATCATATCCATCATCCTCCCCGATCAGAAACTCTCCGTCGTTCCCCTGCGCAGCGACCTTTTTTTCGTCGCTGCTTCCGCTTTTTCTTGTCGCCGTTGCTTTGCCGCCGGCCGCGTTTGATGTCGTATTTTTGTTGGGCGGTGAGAGTACCCCGCCTGTAGCTGCTGCACCAGGAAACCCTCCCGGTGACTTCGATTTAGCCGAACTTGGACTCTTTCCCCCGAAGAACATGCCTCCGCCTGTGATGGTCCCCGTCATAATTTTCCCTGCTCCTGCCGCACCACCAAGAGGACCTCCCATCATGGTTCCCATGCCCACCGTCCCGCCGCCAAGCATCGCCGCGCCGGCGCCACGCCGGCCTCCTACGTCTGCTTTACTTTTCGCTGGGTCCGGAATAGCCGTAGTGGCGCTATTGATTGCTGCATTGGGACTACGAGGCGATGATGGTCCGCCCGTCGTTGAAACTACCGGATTTGGCGCTTGCCGCTCACCCTCTACACCGGCACTGCCGCCCCCGCGCGGCGGCCTGATGCGTGTCGTGTGGGGACTGGAGCTGGTGGCACTGGTTGTGCTATTACGTCGACTGGGAGCAGCTCCTGCGGAGCCAGGACCACGAGGACTGTCTGCAGAAGGCCCCGCTGGAGGTCCTCCTCTTTGCTCTCCCACCGGACTACTTCTCACAGATCGTCTTTCCTGCGGGCCGCGAGGTGACCGCTGGTCCTCTGACCCAGAAGACGATTCGTTCGCCCCGGCGGGTTGTACTAGCGACGCGTTTATCAAATGCAAAAATGTCTGGGTCTGGAAGATTCCGGGACTTGTGATGCATATTTTGAATGATCCGTGACGCATGTAATGCATGATCTAGCACCACAGGATTTCAGAGGGCTTCCTGATGCCTGTTCCGCATGAGAAATGCCGTCTCCGCGTAACACAAACTGGACTCCTGTTGTTGGTCACGCAATACAGATTTTTTTGGAATCCAAGGACAGCATGACAAGTTGCAATCTTCCAGACCCAGACATTTTCGCAACCCATAGCGTTGGCGTTACTTGAAAAGATCCCGCCCTCCACGAAGCTCAAATTCCGCATGCTCTTGTTGATCACGGGCGACTCCGGAGTCTTCTCTGGGTCCTTCTCTACTGCTTTCGCAGCCGTTCCGCGGTTGGAACAAATCCCGATCAAGATCCCGAACACAACGCCGCCAACGCCGATCAGAAGGGTCGTGTTGTTGGCAGAAGCAGAAGCTGCTGATTTTTCCCCCGCCGCCTTGGCTTGCGCGGAGTCCAAGGTGCCGTTGGCGATTGCGCCGCCCGGTGACTGAACAGAGGTAGTATCGTTTTCGGAACCGGGAATTATGGTAGCGTCTGTTTCGTTGCTGGATGTTGTAGGAGAGTTTAATATTTGGAGGGTCGTCATAGTATTTGTGCCATTTTGGGCTGGTGCTGACGATCCACTCGAAGAGCTTGGGGATGATGTTACTCCTCCATCGGGTTTCATCCTGAAAGCCGTTTTCGTCCTCGCGCGGAGAAGTTCATGTGGTCGTTGCTGGACAAAACCCGCAGGTTGATTCTGTTTCTTGTGAAGATCATGGGTCGACGTCGAAAGAACACCGTCTTCCTTTTTCTCTCTACGCACCAAGAATGCGGAGAAAGAAGGGTCGTGAGATGAGGTGGAACCAGCATTTTTATCAACAGGAGCACGAGGAGAAGCTACAACTTCGGCAGTTGCGTCTAGCTGTATCGTGGCGTTAGCCATCTGTATCTTCTCTTGCAGGGATCTACTACTTCGCTGTGAAGACTTCAGCCCGCGCGTTGCTGTAGTGCTAGCATCTGGCGGTACAACTTCTTCCTTTATCTTTTTTGCTTCTTGCCGCGTACTTGCTTGTGATCGCGATGGCCGAAGGTCAGCTAGATTTTCTTGCACGGATCTTCCATCGTGGTCGTCGCCCGCCACTACACTCTTGTCCGGGTCAGCCGCGGATGCAGTCTTTGCGGGGTCTAGTCCCTGTACGAAGCAGGTCCTCTGACGTGGATGCTTGTGGTGCTGTAGTGGTGGAAAGATTAAGAAGAACAGAATTCCGGCGGCGAGAAGATAAAGCCGGATAGTTTTTCTTTTGCGGCACCAGAAGAACTCCAAAAAAAGCCTGATCCTCTTACGGCGCTTTGCGAAATGCCCCATTTTGCAGCACTTGTCAGATGTCGTCATGAAGACGTCTCGTTTACTTGTACGACGATGCTTTAGCTTTGGAGTGGAAGTATCTCAGCAATGTGGAAGATGTCGTGCGCATGAGGATGACTTGCGATTTCTTCAACACTGTAACGGTAAGTGCTTCCATTCTGGCTGAAGCGACGACTTTTTTATTTTTTAGCTTTGAGTTCAAATTGAGCTTATTAAGGAACAAAAAATACTTAAGTACAACACCAACGGGGGACACCAGGAAAAATTGCGAAGAGAAAGACGACAACGAGGAAGACAATGAAAATGCGAAAACGAAAAAAAAAATAATGAAAATTTGTTTCTCCAAATGAATTCGTTCGTTCAAAGCGACTACACGAATACGAAGCGATACGAAAGCAGAACTAATGCAGCTCTCGACACACGATTTTACCTGCGACTCCGACTGCAGACCACAACAAAACCCCGAAAAATGCTAGTAATGTCGAGTGAGAATATCGTCGGTTGTTTAAACGGAAAACACAGAGATAGGATACAGATACGGAAAACACAGTGACACAATTAACTACGTCACAACCTCTATTCATCGCAGAAGCAGCTGCTGGCTCTATCTTTTATTCGTTATGTTCGATCAACAGCGCATCTACTCTGCGGACACTCACATGCACGAGCAAGGTCGCACGGAAACGAGACGCGTCCCTGCTATAATTTCCAATCATGCGAAACATCAAAGATTTCATTTCGAAATTTGGTCTTCTTCCTCATCTCTCTGGAAGATTGCGTCAAATTTTCTTGACATGACTTTCGTATTCCATGTTCACAAACCTCTGTTCCCTGTCCAATCCCTCCGGCACGGGAAATTGCAGTAACTGCCCCCCTCTGACCCTCACCTGCACCAAATCCCCCGACTTGGCATTTACCGGGACTTCCACCACCACAGACTCCTTCTGCTTCTGCATGTACTTGTCCTGAAGTGCCTCGTAGGCCAATCGTTGCTCCTCGAGAAACTCGTCGCTCGCGGCTTGCTTTTTGGTCGTCTTATGTTGGAGAGAGGTGCTAGTACTTGTACTTCGCTCACCGGCAGAAGATTTCTGGGACCTTGACCTGGAGCGGGCGGAAGATGAACTCTGTGATTTGTTGTCGTCGCGGGCGGAGGGTGTTGTACTTTTGGAGGAACTAGAAGACGTCACATTGCTGTTCAGTGGCTCGTAAGCCATAACCAATTTTTGCTTGGGCTTGGCGCCCGCTGGAACGGTGACCTGTTCGTGCGAAAAAAGATTCAAGCATGTTTTGTAGTGGTACCAACTGCGGTCGGACTTGTTTTATTGCGGTTCCTGTTCAAATATAAGTCGAAGCACAGCAAGCTGTACTAGCTGTTGCTGATAAACTTTGATTTATGATTTTGCAATTTCACCACAAAGTTTGGCCTTTTCCAAGTCCTCCTGAAGCACAGAAGCGAAAAGCTACGTACCTGCATCCACTGTTTGTCGGGTGTCTTGACATTGAAGGTAGAGCCGGGTTTGCAATTCTTGGGCACTACGACCTGCATGTAGGCCTGGGATGTCTCTTTGCTTGCGGTCATTTTTATTCACGTGACGATTTTTTTTTTTTGTGGTACAAGTCAAGTGCTCAACAGCAACAAGAAGAAGGTCTTTTAGAATTACAAGGCTTCAACGACAACGAGAAGCTCTACGAGGAGGCACAGATAAGGTGATGTAGGTAAGTATACACAGCACACGATCAACACCGACACGTCTGCGCTTTCTGCCGAGATGATGAAGAACTCGCAAATTTTTTTTCGCTAATTCGCATTTAGTCAGCTGCTCGGTCGTCTCGCGGGTTACGCAGTGGTCTTCTGTTGCAACATAGCTATTTTGCGTGTGCTGCACAAGAGCTATGCAAGAACGGTCTTTCTAACCCTAACGCTCGTAGCATGACGAAGATAGATGAAAATGAGATGAGTATGGCCTTACCCCTTAGCCTTTTTACCGCTGCGCGCTATCCTGGTCGTGACTGTGAAGCTTCAGTAACGGACTCCGAACAAAATGCGACACAAATCACGACAAAGAGCCTAGCCCGGGTCTCGTCGTAGTTCCATGAAGGACGAAGAAGGTTTAGGATGTTGCCCATCCAACTACGAACGCGAACGGTGACAAGAAACAAATACTTCGAAGATCGTACGTTATGAAATTCGAAACTGTCGCCTGGTATAGTGCGTTAAAAAAGCCGCGCCTGCTATTTCACTCGCGTCGTATTTTCGACTCTAGTGACTTTGGACCTTAGTGCGTGTTTGATAGTAATATACGTGTAACGTATACGTAAAAGTTGTTCCATTCGCAAAATGCACCTTGGTACTTCTTCTCGCATGTATTTTACATACATACAACGTAAAAGTTTGCTTTATTTTTCACTTTAACTAACTTCAACTTGCGAAAATTACGGTACTAGGCCTAGCATGAGAAGGCGTTATTTGATTTGCTCAAAGGACCTCTGTCTTTGCTTCAAAGTTGTATTCATTGTCATTTGCTGACTTATGCTTCTGTACCCCGACTGGTTTATGTTAGAAAAAAGTTACCGCGAAAATGCAAAGAAGAAGCACTTTCGCATCGATGCTAAATGTTGAAAAAAAAACGTATACGCATACATGCGTGATGACTATTTCGACACAAAATTCTAATTTTATTCCAGTGCTGGGAATAAGTACATAAAAATTTCCGGCGTATTATCGTACTTAGCTTCGTCAGAGCGATGATCTCGCCGGTATGGTCGGAGGATTTGGTTTAGAGCCACCTAAATGTTCTCAACCAGCAGGCATGTGTGGTTGTTGTGCACCAGAGTTTTCATAATTTTCGTCCTCGAGTTCGTCCTCGTCCTCCTCTTCCTCATCGCCCTCTTCTATCCCTCCTGACTGCATACCGCCCGACGCGGTCATCTTTGTAGTCGTCCCAGGTAGCGACGATTGGGTAACAACCAGTTCCATCGTGCTCGTTGTGGTGGTCGTGTGTTGCTGTAATTGCTTCGACGGATGAAGATCTTCGGTAACGTGACAATGCTCTTGAAACAGGTCCCGCATCTCGAAAAGAAAATCGTCGAAGAACGTGGACAGCAGCTCCTCGGTGCATTGGCGCTGGTCCACCACCAATTTGCACAGCTCGTCGCGCAGCACCTGCCGGATGCTGTCCGCGATCTGCCGCGATTCACCCTGCAGATTACTCAAGGAAGAAAACGGGGCGGCGTAGTGCACCGTGCTGTTTCCCATCCGCTGCAGGCCGGGTGTGGTGGACGGTCGGCGCACCAGAGCGATGGCAGAGGCGATGGAACTTCGTTTGCCAATGTCAGCTGGTGAAGATATTTATATTTTTGCGCTATTAATAGTGGGACATACACAGAACAAGGATCGGCAGGCAAGGAATGCAGACTGTCTGATATTGCGAAGAAAACTCGCCATACCTTGCTTGCTAGATTTCTACGATGAAAGCTGCACTGAAGCTTAAAAAAAAAAGCAGCTTGAGAGATACGATTAGACGGTCCACCGCTCCCAGAAGCCACCTCCATGCCGTGGTGCGTGGCCCTCTGTTGTGTGAAGGCCATGGTGAGATTGCTCTTGCCCTTTTTCCAGCCCTCGGACTTCACTGCCTGAACGGCTGCCTGTGTCAGCGTCGCCCGCACCCGCGCGCCAATGTCATCCAGAGCCGGCGCGACCTATTTCATGAGTCAAGCACGGGAAGAATTATGCCGTGTTCTTTGCATTTCTTATTTGTCGTGCTGCGAGTGTTGCATGAGAGACGATGAATAGCATAAGTCTTCCTATTAGGGAGGAGCCGCGTGTCAAAAAATAGCACGTGACGTTCCGATGATCGTGATCCTCAAGGCATACAACATATTTTTGTAGCTCATACCTCATCCGCCATTCCAAAGGAGCCTCGCCGCGGCCCCGCGCCCCCAGATGAGCCAGATGTTGCACTCAGCTCCTTGCCTACCTCCCCGGAGAGTGAGGCCCGCGAACTGCGTCCCGGCCGCGGGGCGGCTAGAAATTGATCCCCCGTGGTGCCGGTGGTGCAGAGGGATTTCCTCGAAACTAAACACTGCGGGGGGTAGACTACACTAGCCCCGCCGCGCCAGGACTTCTTCTTGTTCACCATCCATCCATTCGCGGCACCCCCAGTAGGACTCGTCCCGCCAGCTGCACCCCCGCCCGTGGGAGATGTAGTCGCTGTAGTCTGGTGGAGCGGCATCACATTACCGCCACTAGGACTGCTCACCGGCTGCGCGTAATTGTTCCCAGAGCCCGACTTCGACGGACCACCTCCGAAGGACTGCGCGCCCCGGGGAATCAACGTCGGTCGCTTATTTATTCCGTGTGAACTGGAAGAAGTAGGAGAGACAGGGAGGTTGTTGTAGTGCTGAGCGACAGGTGGACCACCACCTCCAGAGGTCTTACTGCTCGGGCTCGCTGGCATAGGTCCTTCGTGAGGAGGGCCTCCGGCTACTGTAGTTCCACCTCCCGCCGAGTTGTGGCTGTGGCTTTTTACGCTCCTGTTTTCTTCTCGCAATTCATGTTGTTCATCGCGGAACGTCGGAGAGTCAACACTATTTGCGCTCTTGTTAAAATCTTGATCTTCCTCTTCCGGCCCGCCCTCCTCGATGGCGTTGATGCTTGTTTCCGCCTCCTGTTCGATGTAGTCTCGACTGTCAAAAGAGATGTGCGGGTTAAACGCAATCGTAGCGCCGCCCGCCACCTGAACCGTGCCTCGTGGATCCAGCTGGCGCGAGGCCGGTTTTGTCTTTTTTTGCTTCTGCTCTTTCGTGGTAGATGTGCCGGACGACGCGGTGGAACTGGGGTTGTTAGTATGTCCCGGAGCTGCCACGCCCGCGGGCGCGCCGAACTGAAGGAGGCGTGGCTGCTGGGGTGAAGGGGGCCCCTGAGGCGGCGAAAGTGGGCGCCGCTCCATGTTGTCCATTTGATCACTACCACTAGCATTCGGGCTTGCTGTTTTCTGATTGTTGTGGGCATGATCTCCTCTGCTGCTGGTCTCTATCGGAGCGGGGGCTACCTTTGCAGGAGAAGCTCCTTTGCTCAACATCTTCCCTCCAGGGCTGCTGCGTCGGTGAAGATGCAGATCTACTTCACAGCCGTCGTATGAGGATGAAGTGCTAGGACCAGCAGAGGTGTTCTTGTCAACAGGAACCCTGCTTAACGTTTCTTGGCCTTCCGTGCTGGTTTTTGTGAAGAGGATGAGTTCGTGACCACCTCCGTTTGACTCGGCCGCTCTCTGCACGGCCTGGGCGGCTTCCGAAGCGGTCTTTGGAAACATCGCCCCCAGGCCGGTGTTCTGGCTCGGGGGATGTTGGTGGTGCACAGCCAGGCCTACTCCTGATTTCGCCCGAATTTGCGCGATCGCGTCTTTGGTCGCGCGAACCTCTGGCGACGCGCCAGCAGCGGGTTCTTGTCTGGAACCACGATTGTTCATCCCACCTTTATTGCTGTTGGCCGTGTTGCTTTTCAACATCGTAGTCCCAGCACTCCCAGATGAAGCACCAGCCTTTGACGCAGCACCACTGCTCCCATCTTTGCTCTCGTTTGGATTCGAGGAAGATGGTATTGCAAGAAACGGATTCCAGATGCTCTTTTTAAAGCGAGAAAAGAGGCCCTGCTGTTGGTGGTGAGTCGCGTTGGAATTTTCAAACTCGTCGAAGTCGTCATCCGCACTATGGTAGTCTACCAGATCCTCGTGTTTTTTGTCGCGATGACATGAGTCGACAAACTGCTGCCGTGGATCGATCCGATTTCCTTGAGCATCGACGGTCTCCAATGTGCTAGCGAAAATCTTCACCCTCGACGCAATTACTTTCAGGAAGAACTTCTATGTAGTTGCATTTATTGTTTTGAAAAGAGGTCCTGAATTTCTTTGGCATGCCTGCTGTGAATGCTTCTATCGCGATTCGCATGAGCGGAGCATTTTTTGCAAAAAAATGAGAGTGAAGTAGGAGGTGACTCCACATGGGATATCCACTAAGCCGGTCAGCAAATCCCGTCTGGAGCGCACATTTTGACTGTTGCGCTGCTTGCCTCCACCTCCTAGCCCTCTGGCGGAAAAGAATTGCGGCGCGCCAGCACCAGTGGGTCGCTTGCTATTTCTTCCCTCGGCACCAGGGGGATCCAGCTCCAGGTCGTAGATCGGAGGACCTGATGTCGAACTCTTAGTCACTCGGCTCGCAGCGCCCAGGGGCATGGACATGCTAGGAGCGGCAACGTATCCCGGAGTAGAAAAATGTGCTGCGCAGCTCTTTCTTCCAGTATTGCAGCGCACAGGCACAGAGTTGCAGCTTTGAGCAGGATGCAAAAAAATTCCGGATGCAAAAAAGTGCAGAACAACAAGCGAAGGCATGTTATGTAGACATCACCAAGTATGAGCATGATCGCTTCAAGAGGAATTACGCATCCCTGCGCGGGGGCGGAAGAACAAATACAAAGTTACGAGCTGAGACGTAAGTTGTAAGGAGCACACGCTTTTCTTCATCTTCCGTGCATACAGTGACGCGACTGTTTGCTGCTTGCGCGGCGGATGGTCGGAAAGAAGCCTGTTCAGCCAGCGGCGCCGGTAGTGTACAACTTTGGTGATCGTTCATTTGAAGACCATCGTCCTTCTCCCCCGCCTCGTCGTCCTCCCGCACATCATGTTCATGCTCTTCTTTGTTATTGTTGCCGACGATGATGTACCTTCGTAGATTTTCGATTATCGCCTCCCGTTGCTCCGGAAATTGTTCCAAAATCGGCAGAAACTTTTCCCTTGTGATCTCCGCGAGCAGACAATACGTGGACGCGCGAACCGAGCACAGCCGGGGGGTTTGGGCCAGAAGCGCAATCTCGCCGAAATACTCGTTCTCGCGGAGGTTGCGGACCTGTATTTGTTGGGCCGAAGTACAACTAGCGGGGGTAGTTGGGCTGAAGTATAACTAGCGGGGTTTCGTAATTGACATAGCTGATGTCCACCTCTCTACCGCGATAGACGAAGCAGGAAATTGAAATTCTATGCTCGAGCACGTTGATCATTCACCAAAACCATTTCCTCTAAATTATAGTACCGTATCCCATTCCGCATTCAACACATCGCACGTCCCGCGAATGATAAAGTACATCTCCTCGCCGATGTCGCCCTGTCGCACAATCAAATCTCCGGGCGAAAATGTCACTTCCACTAGCACCAGGATCAGCGTGTGCACAAACTCCAGCGGGGCGTGGCGGAAGAAGGGCGCGTTTTCGAACAGTTTTCGGAACAGAAACGCCTTGAGTTCCACAAATAAGGAGACGGACAGCCCCTGCATCAACGTGTTGTAGGCGTGCAAGTTGTGGTGGATGGCCAAGAAAGTGTGGTACTTCGTGATCCGTTGCTCCAGGTCTTTCGGGACCGACAGGGACTTCATGGCCGCGCGGATCAGCGACATTTGTTCCGTGTGTTTGTTCGCCAGCGAGCCGATGCGCTCCAGGAAAATGGTCATGTGCGCGTACACCACGGCGAAAAACGGCCCGCCACACATTCCCACGATGCCCATAAACACCAGCTCGTTGTTGTTTTCGTACAGATTCTGGTCCCGGGATTCGCCGTTCATGAGGTAAATCGCATCGCGAAAGCAGTACACGTACATCCGGAAGAGGTCGCGGTGGAGCAGCGACGTCGCGCCAGCAGAAGAAGTGGTCCCAGCAGCAGTCGACTCCGCCGTTTCGTCCAAAATCAAGACGCCGACTTTGTCGCGGAAAAAGAGGATGTAGAACCAGTAGCAGCCCAGGATGTGGAAGAGGAGAACCATCCACATCAGCATGCGGACCAACTGGACACCCTGGTTGTAGCGGAGTTCAAAATGCGACTGCGGTAATATGATCAACCGGTGGAAGCGGAGGAGCTTCAGCACCAAGAGGTAGTAGACCACGCTCTGCGAGGGGTCCTCGGGCGGCGTGGTGAAGTTGACTACCACCGGAAAGAGGGACAGCAAGTCCAGGTAAAACAGCGGGTTTAAAAACTGGTACTCGAGGATGTGTGTTTTGCGGTCGATCTCCTTACCACTAGTCAAATCACCAACGGAAATGAAAAACCGCAGCGGCATGTACAGGAGGTACACCAAGTCGCACACAAAGACCTCGAAAAAAGTGCTGTAGTCGCCGAGCTCCTCCCCTGCCACCACCCCGCTGTTCCGCGCCCCGTTGCCAAACAGGTGGACCAGGGAGGGCAGCGCCGGGCCGAAGCCGAGCGCGAGGGGCACGCGGATCGCGAGCAGGAGAACCGTGAAGATCAAGACCCGATCGATCATTTTGTTCTCGTTGCTGTAAAAGGTGATCACCGGAAATTCGTCCAGGTAGTCTTTTACGTCCTGCAACCGCTGGCTCAGCGTTTTCCGCTTGGGCCGGCGGCCCAAAGATTTTGCTCGGGCCAGTAGTTTTCCCAGCGTGGTACGCCGACCCACAATGGACACATTTCGACCGCGCCTAGATATCTCACTCAGCACCTTCCCGAAAGAGCTGCTGTATTTCTTGATGGCTAAAGATTTATCGCTCGATCCGTTAATATCGCTGTTTGCACTTGCACCACTTCCCCCCGCTGAATCGATGCGGGACAGTCCTGGAAGTTCATTTTTGGTCGATTTCTTGCTTTTGCGGAAGAAACCACCAAAGCCGCTGGCTTCCTTGCGCCCTGGACTGCTGAGCAGCTGCACGGCCCGCACGCTCGGACTGGTGGTGGAGGTGCCATGACGATCGGCGCCTCGAGTACTATTTTCAAACTGCCCTCCAGCTGCAGAACTGGGAATCAAAGCGGAGAACCTTCTGGTCGAGGGCGGGACGAATTGGGCGGCGATGCTCGCCGGTGATGGTGCTGGTGGGGCTGACATGACTTGATGGGGAATTGGTATAGGCCTCGAAAGGAGAGCAGGCTGGCGCTGCCCTCGAGCGCTAGCTGCACTATCCTGGAGGCATGCAGTGCGATCTCGTCGTGGTAACGCGAAGACAACCCTGCATCAGGAACTTCGCTTTCGTCTAGACCCTATTGCCTTTGAGTTCAGATAAGTAAGCACAAGGAAAAACTTCTTTGCTTCGCAGATGAATTGACGTCGTAATGCAGCTGCGCGCCCCTGCGCGAGGCCATGCAGGACAAAGGCAAAACTCAAGCTCATCCAAGCGTACTCGTAGTCCTGCAGCTATTGAATCTCAATGCCAGATCTTTGGCAGGTCTCTCTTCTCACTAGTTGCCTCGCCTCCAGATCAACTGCCGCGCCCCTCGCTAGGGATGAATTCTCATTCTTCGAAATCATTCGCAAGCACGAGACCAAACACCAAAAGGTAGCGAGTTTCTTCCTGCCTGCGCGTACGTCTCCGGCCCTCAGAAAGCACGGGCATGCGCTTACAATAAAGTGGGCAAATATAATACAACACAACGAAACAAAGGACCACGCGACACGGGGGCGCCCCGCTCGCGCGCCCACCTTCAATGCCCCTCGCCGGCCCCCACCATACACAGGCCGAGCGGGCGCCACGCACCCTATTGGGCTGCGGGCGTAACAAAAGCCAAAGCGCCAGGGGCGCGCGCCGGTGCGGCGCGAGCCGGGGGGCAGGGAGCAGGGTGCGCTGCGACAAGGGCCCGAGGGCCCGGCCGGGCCCGGAATGACGCGCCAAGGTGGCCGACGTCGCCCGCCCCCCGGCGGCGGCGGCGGCGGCGGGCGGTCGTTGGTATGTTTGCCGAAAAGCTCGGGGGACGTCCCTGCGCAGACGGGCCGGCCGCGGCGCTATGAAGTCCGACGCTGCCTCTATGTATTTGAAGACGAAGATCGAGATCTACTTCCCCGCTGGCGATCGCCGCAACACAGTTGCTTGCATTGCGGTGCTGCTCTTTATCGTCCAGCGCCCGGGTGGGTGCGTCGGTCGCGGCCGGATAACAGGTCGCACCTCCATCACACTGGCCGCGAGGAGCGTTGCCAGGCTTTTCGAAGGCGTGGCACGGTCTGAAGAAATCACTCAGAAAGGCCAGGAAGTCCATCGCCTAGAGTTGCGCCAAGGCTCGAGCATTTCCTGCGGTGGGCAAATAAGTACTTCACCACTATGTGCTGCCTTGCTTAGGCTAGACGAAAAAGACGATCAAGGCACTTGATGAAGATCAGTTTTGTGACCGACATCATGGAGTCGATTCAGCACATTCATCTTGGAAGATGCCATGACTTCGACTTACACTTCCCTCGGTGCTCTCAGTCCGTTTTTGGTCTTATACTCAACATTGACATTCAGACAGTGGCAGGTAATAACGTGCGTCGCTATTTCTTGCGTGGCGCCTCCTCTGTGTGTTTTTTGATTCGCTAACCTCGGAAATTCATGTCACGTTCGCCGGGACTCACGAGGACCCGTACCAGGAGCGTCCTCTTCTCGTCAAGAAGCAACGAGGGCTGGTGCGATCGAACACTAAGTAGAGATATTTATAGCCCTGGACACGACAGCACTCGTGTTCGTCAAAGAAAATATCGCATACGTCACATCCATTCAAAACACTTTTGTAGTTGGACTTTGATCCCTGCAAGGAACCATCTCCCAAACTTTTCCCACTTGGATTTCAGAGTGACATGCTATGAATGTGAACTATGCACGGAAACAACAGACTACCACTACGCTACACAGCTATTTGAGTCAAGACGCTCGCCTGATACGATAGATTCATTGTCATGAAAGTACAAGTACACCGCTAAAGAAGCAATTCTCTACAACTGCGTGTAATCACAACAGAAAAACCCCCAACCTTCGCTGAAAAGTTTCAGTCCTTGACCGGGTGCGCAAAGGTGTCGATGGTACTGAGCACCCGCTTCAAGAATGGATCCTGCACGGAAACGTAGGTAACCGCCGGGGCGGTCTCTTCCGCGTAGGAATGCTTGTTCTCGTCGTTTTGGTCGTCTTGAGTATCCTGCTCTTGCGCCGCCTTGTCTTTTTCCTTCTGGTCTACTGCCCCTGCTCCAGTCTGCACGCTCTTGTCCTTTCGCGTGAAGACGTCCTCTTTGGCGCGTTTCTGTTTTTTTTAATGAGCGTGAAGATGCATAATTTTGGTTTGAGAGTGTTATTCTGTAGAGAAATCATTTCAATTTCATGTCTTTGTCTTTGTCACCACTGATTGCAATAATTGCGTAACAAAGTAGAAAAGCAGCAACATGAAAAACGTTATGCCACGAAAAAGTACGTTCATTTTTTCCCACTTCGCCCAATTCATGGCCTGTTTCTGCAAAATTTTGTCTCCCTTTCTGACCGCGCGTTTCAAATAGTTGAACGGGTAGGGATTGATTTGCGGGGAGAACGGAAACTGCACGATATTTTCCTCCTTCCGGGCCTCCATCGCCTCTTGCCTCGCCTGGTCCCGCATCGTGAGCCATTCTCTCTGCGACGTCGCGAACTCATCGCTTAACTCCTTGGTCATTCGCGTTGGCAAATAGTCCGATTTGTTCTTGTGCGTTTCCATCTGCAGATGGCCTTGTTGCGCCTCGAACTCCTTTTCCTGTTCCCGCACCGCTTGTTTCACCGCCTGGTGCCACTCCTCCTTCCGCGGAAGTTGGATTTTCATGTGCCGCTCGTAGATGGTCATGGTGTTCCACTCGTCAGGGATAAAGGTTTTCCGAAACAACCTTTCCCGCTCCCGCTTCAGCTTCAGTTTGTGCTGCCGGAGCTCCTCCTGCGCCTTCTGCAGCACCTCCTTCTTCGCCTGCAAGTTTTTCAACTTGTTCTCCTTCCGCCGTTCCAGGAAGTTCCGCCACGTCGCCTCCACGTCGAGGACCTTTTTCGTCCCATCCGGATTGATGTTCGGGTTCCGCACCCCCTGGAAGTGCTTCCGCATGGTCGCCTGAATCCCGTGCAGGTCATGGAAGTTCCGGACTTGCTCCTGCTGTTTCCTCCGCTCCTGCTTCTTCCGCTGCTCGATCAGGGATTTCCCCACCATGGCGTGGACCTGCAGAATCGCCTTGTGGTCGTCCTCGTCGGCTAGTTCGACGGTGGTCGGGTGGAGACCGTCAAACTTGGTCTCCCAACGAGTGAACGCGGAAGCGGTAAGCTGCATTTTGGTGAGTTGACGGATGTTGATAAAGGTCTTTCTTAACCAAGGGGATTGTTGGCGAGGTGTTATGTTTGGGTAGGTTCTTGCTGATGGTGATGCCGACGAAAAGAAGATCGCAGCTGGAGCACGAACAAAACTGGACTCTTTCGCTTCAACTAGTGTTGAGGGTAGGCGAAAGTAATCAGGTAGAAGTACGTGGTCAAACGCGTACAAATCGAGTAGGTGGCACTAGATTTTTCGGGGGGAATTGGGTACCGTGGTTGTGGTTCCTGTAGGTCTCTGTACGATGGAGAAATCGCGTAACTGACACTTGAGAAGAAGAAAATGCCCGAGAAACGGAAAATCAGGAGCAACACCATAACGAGATAAACCTCCACGACTGAACGATAAGATAAGGACGAGAGAACGGAAGCCAAAAAGGACGAAAACACGATAGCGTCGGTTTTTTAGATTCGAGCGTTTTTGTTCAGACTTGATAGACATAAAAGAAAAAAGTCGACGCCATTTGTTGAGCGACAATTTTCCAGCAATACCGAACCGACCTGGTTCCAATTTGCACGAACCGACATTGCTCAGGAGACAGTATACGTACCAAGACATAGCTCGTGGTTGCTGACATTAAATAGTTGTTCGTATCATGTTTTGGAACTCGTGCTATGAACATCTGTTTAGTGACGTCTCTACAGGTAACACGGCGTTTTCGATTCATCGATTTCCGACCGGGCAAAAGCAAAATTGGAAGTGGAGTCCTTATATGCATTTTTGTATGACGTGGCGGTAGCACAAGCAGCTCGGAAAACTTATTTGTTCACTATTTACTTCATGAAAGAAAGTTCGTGGCCCGTGGGCGACACTGCATGCGGGAAAGAACAACCGATCAACGGCTAGCCACGATGAAAGAGTTATCGTGATGGTGGAAAATATACATTTACTGCATCAAACCGCCTGTCTCGGTGGCCAGAGATTTCTCATGTCGATCATGCTGCTGACCACGCCCAGCAGCCCGATCGGAAAATCGTGCACAGTGTGCAAGCCGGAATTGTGCAGTCCCTGCGCGATCAGCAACAGAGACTTTAAGAAGAGAAGAAAAGAGTCGCGCCTTTTCACGCGGTGGAACAGCATCTGCTTTCGTAGCTCCTCTTGTCTGTCCATCGTCAACAGATCGTTTCGCGCGTCCTCCGTGGGCGCCGACCGGATTTCCTCGACAAAAAGCTCGTCTTGGTTGTCGTCTTGGGCCGACGACGGTGCGTTGTCCAGGTCGTCATCCTGGCCGACTACGGCGGCGGAGGACGCGAACGGACCGAGATCCGCCGGCTTCAACTTTGGCACGGATGCGCTGTCGTTCGACAACAGCCCGAGGGACCGGCGGTGCAGCTGGAGTCTTGCGAGCGACTCCCGTTCTTCCCGCTTTTGTTTAGATTTGCTGCTCTGGTTGTTGCCCGCCCGGGAGCTGGAGATGATGGAGCTAGCGCGGCCGCGACTTCCGATCGAAGGGGACCGCTTGAGGAGGGGAATCGGCTGGCGCTGGTCGCGCGGCGTGTTGGGCGCGGACCCGACCTCGCTGTCAGTCCGGTAGCCACCACCCCCCGTGCCCGTGTGGGAGGAGCCCCTGTTGCGATAGATTGATGCTGTGATAGATGTCGTGGTGGAACTTTTCATTCTTGAAGAAAAAATCCAATCGAGGGCGGAAGCAGAAAGCAGAAGACAAGAGGTAGGGGTAAATCCTGACTCTGCTCCTCCTCCCGGGCAGGCAATTGCATCATGAAGAACAGAGGTCACTATGTATCAGATGCAGCAGGTAAGAAAAGCACACATCAAACCTTCTCCTCTCGAGCGCTGGCGGCAGGTCCAAGCTCCCTTTCCTCGGTGGTTTGTTTTTCGAAGAACTCGCAGAGGACGCAACTACTTTCCCCCCAAGAACCGGCTGTCCTCCGCTGATCCTCCCGGTGAAAGCCGCCAACTTTGCTTGCTCCGCGGAGTAGTCCGCCAGCCGCATCACGTCTAGTTCCGTGATCTTTTTCGTGTTCGGAGTCGACAGCTTGGTGTTATTTAGTCCGGCATCCGGGGTGGCGCTTTGCGCCGTGGAGTCCTTGGACTTAGCACGCCGCTCGCTGGAGATGATATCCGGTTTATTTGTCCCGCCAAGCATTTCGTCCAGAACTCGTTTTTCCGTGAACATCGCATCCCTTTCCAAAAATGCCATCTCCTTCTCCAGCTTCCGCAACTGTTTGTGGTGTCTCAGGGTGAGGCAGCACTGGTAAAAGGCGGAAAATACATTCCCGCCGATCATGTACCGCAAGTTGTACTGGATCAGCGGTTTGGGGTCGTGGGAAAGCAGCTTCACCTTACACAGCCAAACGTGATGATCCTTCACCAGGTACACCGCGAGCAGCATCTTCGAAATCAGATTCACGAATTCGATCCAGTCCTTCTGCGCGTTCAGATGAATCTGCTTCACCTTCGACAACACAATGAACTCCTTGGCCCACCGGTGCGTCCGCCTCGCGTCGGACATCGCGGTTTGCACCGATTTCGCCTTCGTATTGATCTGCTCGAAGGAGGCTTTGAGCGCAGATGAGAGTGCGACATTTTCAGCGGTTAGTGATGTAATCGAGGCAGTACTAGAATTGTCGTTCGCGGTAGAAGATGAAAAAACCTCGGACCACGACGGGGACGAGAAAAGGAACAAAAACCACCGCTGGAGGAGAAGCGAAGAGACTAACTCGGTAAGCTTCTCCGGCCGTTCTTTCAGGAAATAAGTGCAGAATCCGGTGAGCGCCTTGCAAAAGTACTGCACTAAACGCGCGGTTTTGTCCCGAGCTTCGGACTTCGTGAAGTACAGCTGTAACTGGTTCCCCCGCTCCTCCGCTTCGCGTTTCAAGGAAAGGAAGGAAGACGTTTGTGGGAGGTCGTAGAGTGAGGTGAGAAGGGAAAAGAGGATACTCGTGGTGGCATTTTTGTCCTTCTCGACGTTTGGCTGTGATTTGGCGGTGCTAACATCTTCGGTTGGTCCCGAGACTGGTGCCGGATTTGCCGCTCCGCTTGTTCGTGGGGGAAGCATGTCTGGCTCGTTGCTGACGACAGGAGTGCGAAACTAAAACACGGCCGATTTCTTCGACAATACGCCATAGCAGTCGTGGCCAATTGGATTGCCGCATACACTTACAAACACACCCATGGCACACACTACAGCACACAACTTCGACGTGATAATGATATTTACCTACGCTTCCACTTAGATCAAGATCAACGACGGACTGCGTAGCCAGGCAGTGCTTGGGCGCGCACATGGAAAACAACAGGCATGCAGATACACGAATAGATTGTTAATCTGAACCAACAGGCATTGAGAGCACGGACTGAATCCGAATCCCGACCCAATGCTCATGGACCTGCAGAAAAGAACGACACAAACCACATCACAACAAGAACCGCTTGCACCTGTCTCGCTTCAAGCTCAAACAACACCAAGCCAAGCTCTATGCGATGTGTTGTATCAGCCCACACACACACACGGTGGCGCGTCGCATCTGTTTCATCAAGAAGTAAGATGCAGCCCGGCCTTCGCCGGTGCGGTTCGTTGTTGCAGCAGGGGGCCGGCCGGGCTTCTGGGAACAACAGTGCTCCCTGTGGTGGAGCAAACCAGCAAAGCAAGGCTACGCTGCGTCTTGGGCGAAGGCCAATGATAGACAACCACGCTTGTATGCATAGCGGCGAAAAATAGCAAAGCCCGCTGGCGCGCGCCAAGCAAGGAAGCGTCGGCGCCGGCGCTTGGTGCCAGGCGGCTGGCCGCGCGCGCGCCGGCCGCGGACACACACAACCAACACACAGACAAAATCAGCGAGCGGCCCGGGCAACTCCCGCCCCCCTCCCCCGGGGGGCAGGTAGATAGCAGGCGGCGCCGCCGGCTTGCGCTCTCCATCCTGCGTCTTCTCTTCTGCTCCTCCGCGGGCGCGGCCCCGGAGCCGGCGGCCCTGCTGATACGCCACTCAGGAGATACGCATCCTGGGGGGGGGCGAGCGGCGACAGGCCGGCCCGCCCCCGAGCAAGGCCCCCGGCGCCCGGTTCCGAACGGGGGGCGAAAGAACAAAGCAACACAAGCCAAAGACCGCCTGGCCGGGCGCCCCCGCCGCCGCGCGCCGGCCGACAAGCTAGCGCCACCGCGCGAAGGCCCCCGGGTCCGGGCCATACTCGGGATTTGCCCGCGTCATCGCGCTGGAGCGCGTAGCGTTGCGCGTGTAAAACCCCGGCCGGCCCCTCCCGTCGAAGTCGGCGCGCACGCCCCGACCCTGCAACCAAACTAAGCAGCCCGGCCGCGGAAGTGCCCGACACCTAACAACCCCAGGGCACTTCTGTAAGCAACGCGGGGGCGCCGCGAGCAGGCGAATTACAAAACTGCGCAAAAAATCGACGCACCTTGTGCGCCCCCTGGGTCGAATAGATAGCGAAGCTGCGCACGAACTCCCCGCGGCCCTGGGTGCACGCTTTCGCAATTCCCCCCTTCTCGGGCCAGGAGTTGGGATGCTGACCGCCCTCGTCGGCTATTCCAAAGCCCCTCCTTGTTGACGCGGCGGCGGGGGTCCGCGTGCGGCTCGACGAGCTTCGGCGGAGTGAAGATCTTTCGCGAAGTTCCCTATTCCTCAGGCGTTGGCTCGTCCATCTCCGGCTCGCTTCCTGGGGCAGCAGAAAGCGAAACCCTGGAACTCCGTGCAGGAGCTGCCCGCCGGCGGAAGATTTGCAGCCGGGGGAAACCCGGCGCCCCCGTTCCCTGCGCCATCGCAAAAATGCGGGCGCCATGGCTCGGCCAGACACGTGGACGACGCGGGCCGCCCCCGCCTCGTGCTTGACTGCTGCAGGCGCGCTACAACCTCGCCCCTCGGCCGGCTCGGCCGCAGGAATCGCACGGCGCTAATCTTTCGCGCTAGTACTGGACTGAACTAGCTGCCCGCGCCGGGCCGGGGCCCGGGCAAAGCGCCGGCAAGGGCCGGCATACGGCGCCGACGGCTGACCCCCGGGCATGGCGCCCGATTTCCTGCGCCATCGCGCTCCCTTGGCCAGCATGGTGCTTGCGGCCGCTGCCCCCCCCTTTCCTTCGGATTCCCGCGCGCCTGCCCCCCCGGCGCAGCAAGCTGCAAAAGCCCGCGGCCAATGGGCCTGGGCACTCAGCCTCGGGGAAGGCGGAGAGGCTGCGGCCTGGCTCCCCCGCCATCTCCGAAACATTGCTGGGGCTTTGGCGGCGATGGCGAACTTCACAAAACAGCCGGGGCACACGTTGCGCCACTCCTCTCCGCCACCCCCGAAATCTCCCGGCGCAATGCTGAAGGCGGGAAGTTGTCGGCCCCGCGGCATAATGCGCGCGGCCTTATCGCCCCCCACCCCCACCACAACAATCCGAAGCATGGCGATACTCTTGACGATCGAAAAGCTCCCCACATGATTGAGCACTTCCACTTTCACGCAAGAGCAAGACCAGGCGTCCCGGAAAATAAGAAAACAAAACTTGACGCATCGAGATGAACACAAGAGCGTCGACTTCAACTATCAATTACAAGACATCAGGAGCGCGGAATGCTGGGGCCGTCCCTTTATATGTTCGAATCAAAGAAGTCTGTCTTCACATCTTCCTGTTGCGTTCTTCGTTCGTACGTCCACAAAATCACGCGCAGCGCCAGTTTCTTTCAGATTTCATCTCGCAAACAAAACCCGCGCAATTGCTGGGTCGGAAAAAAGCAGCTCTGCTGCGCTATCATCTACCAAAAGGCTAGTGAAGCAGCTTGCTGCGGAACTTGGAGATCCGGCTTCCGGCAACAATGCGAATGCCTGGGCCTCACCATCGGCGTCATTTTTCTCGCTGCTATTGGTTGCAGCTGGCGCAAGTACCCGTCCTCCATACTCGTCATCACCAGGAAGCACAGGCAAATTATCGACAGACCAACTGTAACCGTGTTTGTCCTTCATCACCGCAAACTTCGAAATCGTCTTCGGAACCACGCACACCTCGGAAAACGGAAACTCCTTCAGCCGCAAAAATTCCTCTATCTCCTGCTTGTGGCTGTTCCGGGTCAGGATGACGACGCGTCTTCGTGTTCCACTGCCAATACTGGTCTTCTTGCTTGTGGAATCACCGCCATGCTCGGCTATAGGTCCTGGCTCTACTAGCGCCGGACTTTCCTGCGCGCCACCTGCTACCTGAAGAAAGCTTGCTGCGACCTCGCGCAAGACAGAGTCGACAATGTATTCTTGCTTGTTCTCCTCGTCGGTTCTTCTCTGGGGTGGCAGAGGGTTCTGTCCACACTTCGTACTTGCCACGGTCCGGTCGAAGTCGAAAAATAGAGTGCTGAAGTCGCAATCTCTGGTTTTTCTTTTCTCGACGAGGTAACAAGCACCATCCGTTTCTGTTGCTGAAGAGCACACCGTGGCGGCTTTGCAATCGGATAATTTTTCCACCAAATTTCGCACGTCATCACCATCCCCTCGCCCGAGTCCGCACTGTGCGCAGAAGGTAAAATCTAAGTCGCATTTGCAACACTTCTGCTGATGAACGCAGTACAGGAACTGCTGACGATGTTTCGCCTCTTTGGTGTGCTGGATTGAAGCAGAATCCGCCCCCACTTGTTCCCTTGCTGGGCTTGGCAGTTCAGATGAAGTTTTGCTGCTCCTTCTTTTTCTGTTTGATGTTGCCGCTATTTCCTCCTTCCGAGCGCGTATCTTCTGCTGCACGAAGCAGAAGGGGCAATCCTCGTACTCCCTCCGTATCTGGTCTTCGCACCACACACATATCAGCTGCTTCGTCAGAAGGAAGTCCGGCAATGGTGTTTCGCACTGGTGACACTGGTTGCGGCTCACCTTTGTGTGATTGTGCTCCACGCAGACAGTCTTTGTCGCCTGTACTCCGTGCGCGTTGCAACGCGATTGCTTCCCCACGGCGAGCATCTCAGGCTTGCGCTTCGCGACCAAACGGGCTTTACTGAGGAGGAAGGAAGATATGTCAAGAGCCTCGTCCCCGTTTGGATGACATGACGCTGCTGCTCTTGCACGACGAGACGCAATGGCGTTCGAAGGCGAGAAATGACTCGTCTGGCCAGTATTGCTGTAAAACAAACTGTTGCTGCCATCTCCCTCGTCGCCACCGCTGTAAATCCGTTTCTTTGCTACTGCAACCTCCAACACTTTCTTCGTCAAAGACTCGAACGCGACACAAAACCCAGTGAGCCAACATCGATAGCGATTGAGCAGGTGGTGCCGCCGATAGTCGATTTTTTCGTTAGAATTATGTCCGTCGGACTTGGATAACAGCAGCCGCTCCTCCTGCATACGAATGGCCTGAAGCTCCTTCTCCAAAACGCGCAGCAACTCTCTGCTTTTGTCCCGCAATAGCAGTAACGTCAGGCACGCTTCTAGAAGATACGTTCGTATTCGCCACGCCTTGTAAGCGCCGCGCGCGACCAAGCTCTTTTGCAGCATGGTTAGTTCGAAAAGGACTTCAGACGAGGCGGTTTGTGGGAGAAGGTTGAGTGCTTGTAACGGATGTTGCTGGCCGTGATGGGTGAAGAGCTCATGCCGATTCCGAAAATCTGTCCCACGTAGCTGCCCTTCAGGATCTCCACAGAAGCCGGTCTCGTTTAAGTCCAAATCCCAGCAGAAAAAGTTTTCATCGAAAGGGATAGAATACGTCTGTTGTTCATGCTCCGCTCTCTGCAAGTCAACATTTCTCCCACCATCGGAAACCGTTACCAGAGCTCTTCTAGTGTGCGCGAGTTCCTTCAGAATCGGTTGGGCTTCTAGTGAAGATACACCACTTGCCATCGCTTCTTCTACTTTCATCGGCCGCTCTGATATAATTGCGCCGCGTTCCTCCTGTCGTAGATAAAGTGGCGCTGATGTACCTACCTCGCTGGCGTCACGCTTTATTTCGTTGTCTCGGTTTTCCTTTTCTTGTGGCTCTGTTGTATAGTTCTCAACTCCTATCTGCGACCGTATCGAGTCCAAGCTGTGCCGCAGGCTGTCGAAAATCGCAGTGCAAGGGTTTTCGTCTTTGAGTGCGCGGCCAGCACAAAAATAGACTGCTAAATGTTCATCCTCCTCGTCTTTCTCTTTTGCCACTTCCTCCCCCGCGGCTTCCAGCGTCGGACTCCTGTGAATGCAACAAATCGCCTTGGTCAGCTCCCGGAACGCCGCGAGTGCCCGCGTGGCGCCCCTCGCGGACTGAAACCCCTCCGCGATCTCTCTGTACCGATGCGAATGCTCCCAGATCAGTGCCTGTTCTTCATCTTCTTCTTCTTCGGGCGAGCAGTTTTTCTTGTCCTCGTGCTCAACATCTTGAGCACCTGCTTCAGAAGTTGTTTCACTTGCAGTACTAGAAACCTTATGTTGACCACCTTCTTCTCGGTCGTGTAGTTTCGGCGCGGCCGCGGCTACCAGAACTACACCAGCAGGTTGTTCTAGCTGCGAAGATATAAGCCTCCTGCTCGTCACCAGTTCCACGTCGGAGAAGAAAAACGTTGTATGCATTGCAAAAGTATCGTACTAGTACAAATCGCATGACAAATTTTATTAGGAAAAAAATAAAAAATGGAATTTGTAATGCAGATTTGGGTAGGAAACCAGAGTTGTCATGCATACCTGCAATTCATACGAGTACGATACTTTTGCACAGGATACGTTGCCAGACACTGCAATTCCCGTTCCACGTGCCGGCTTCTGTGAAACAACCGGAGAAAGACTTTCTTCAGGTTCACGCAGTTCCGCCGGAGAAGAAAGCAATCGGTTTTGAGGAACTCGCGGAATTTTTCGTCCAGTTCTTGAAAGCCACAAATTCTCGCGTCTCGGTCGATCAGCTCGATAGACCCGCAATTCAGGTTGTACAGGTTTTTCGAGGTGAAGGTGAAGCAGCGGATCTCGGTGTACTGTCTGGACGAGGAAAAGCTTGGTCCTCGTGAAGAATTTTCATGTAACGCGGTCCTCGCGCTCCTGCGGTCCTCGGATGTGTCATCAAATAACGTTAACGACGTCCGCGGTCTCGACTTCCGTGGTACATCTATTCCTGTTGTGCTTTCGGTTTCTGAAAAACCTAATGCCTCAGGCTCCTCTACTGGACTACAGTCATGATCTCCGCTTAGTAGTTTTACATTCGCTTCTTCGTTTTTCAGCTGACCCTCACCCTGACTTCCAGCGTCGACTACAATTGCAGGTGGAGTGGGCGAGAGATTAGACAAATCTGATGCTGTCGTTGATTTTTCGAAGTCGGTTGTGCTGGTGGGCTCCAGACGGCCTCGGTCCTTTTGCGCCTGTTCCCGAGGCATGCCACGAGATGGCCAACCATCCGCATTGCCAGCTGCTGCACCCATGTTGAGATGGTTTGTTCGAAGAAACCAAATCAGGAAGGAACTGTAAATTTATGTGAAGTTGTCGCGAGGATATGAATGAACATGATTGAAGAACTCAGCATATAGTATATGCATAGAACAAAACGCGTAGTACAAATAGGATACGTTAAGTACTAGCGGATGCCTGTTAGAGAAAGTCGAGCCGTGCGCAGGTGCGCAGCTCTTTCGCTATTTCTTTATGTGGCACTACAGTTTTAGATCTAGTTGTAGTTCCTGCATTTCGCTAAAAGCAAAATAAAACTAAACATCGCTCCGGAAACTGGATCCAGTCGCATCTTCCATCACCTTCGTGGCTGACGACACAACAAGTGAAGATCACCACACGAAAGGGTGTAGACTGAGTCTCGTGTTGCTGATCTGTGAGGATGTTTTTATGACCGATCTTGTTGTACGAGGCAGAGTCATATCATGTAGATTATCCGCATTTTGTTCACGTGCCTTCTAGTACAACTTGCAAGGCGCCCGCGCGCCGCTACAATAGTACTTATTTTCTTCTGCGTTCCGTACTTTGATTATCCTTTTTTGAGACAGCTGCAAATTGTCGCTTCCTCTTGTACTTGTTCGACCAACATAAATCAAAAATTGTACAGCATCCTTGAAAAATTTCAATCCAACAACAAGTTTGTACAGTGGTGCTAAAATCACATACAGACTCGAAACAAGTAAACTCGTCGTATATTTTTTGCGAAAGAACTTCACCGGCAAGGGTAAAGAAAAAACATCAACGAAGATAGGTAAGTAAATGTTTAAGTTTATGCTTACAGACAGCTGCAACTCTACATCTATTGCATAGGAGAATATGCTACATATACATTTTTTTCGACAGAAAATTGGAGAAGTCACTTCTATATATTGCTTGAGTAAGCAAAACAAATATCGTGTCTGCACATCAAGTCTCTAGTTACTTTTCAAGTCGTACTCATTTCTGAGCCGCCAGATCTGATTCTGCATCTTGATCTTTTCTTGCAGCGACATGGTTTGGCCATCGCCGAGATCCATGTTCGCTTGAAACTCCGTAGCTAACTGCTTCTTCACCCTGGTTGCAATCTTCATCGCCTCCGGCGCACTCAGCGGTGCATCGGCGCCGTCGGTGCGCAGTAGGTTCATGAACTTCCGATTTCCGCCGTTGGGCGAGCCGAGGTCTTTCAGCGTAGCAACCTTTTCCATCACCTTCTCATACGAGGATAATTTCGGTTTCTTCGTTCCCTGCTGCTCTTTTCCCTGCACCTTCATCGTTTTCGCCCGTGTGAGCTTTTGCGATTTATCCGCAGCTCCAGCAGACCTCGCTGTAGGTGAGGTAGCGGGAGACCCCGCAGCGGAGAACGGAGAAGCTGGATCTTGCACCGGATTGCCATCTTCATCAACTTGCGTCCGCTCCGCAGCGAGTTCTGTGTGTGCTTTGCGCGTATGATAATTGGGACCACGCGGGGTGTGAGTTTGAAAATTGTTCAGGTTCACGCCAAAACCGGTTTAGGAACTCCAAGCAAGGTGGCAAATCAAAATCCCGGAGAAGTTGCTGCAAATAAAAAAAAAGTACAAAACCATAGTACCCATCTCCGCCGCGGAGAGCTCGGCCCGCGCTTTCGCCAAGAGCTCATGGTAGTCGCGGTCGTAAGCAGCATCGATGTCTTCGTCGCTGCTGTCCAGAAAGTCTCCGTTTCCCACTGTGTATCGGTCTTCGTAACTCGCGAGAGCCGGCCGGTTGTGGTGATGGTGGCGAAAATGATGACCAGCAGTTCCTGGTGCAGCTTCTTCCTCACTCGAAGTCGAGGAGGACTGTAACTCGGCGTCTTCGTCGTAGTCTTGTGGCTTCTGCATGATGATGGCAAGTTTCTCTCTGGCGTGCCGCTTCGCGTCTTCAATGTGCTGGGCCTGGGCTCCGGAAGTGTTATCTGCGACATTCTCTACTTCGACGTTTGTGTTTGCCACGGTGGGCTCACCATGGAGATGCTTTCCGTGCTCGGCCAGCACGGTCGTGTCAGAGCTTTCAACGCCGCCTTGTGGCGGGGAGTTGTCTGACTCAGGCATGATGGTTAATCAAGTGCAGAGAATACAAAACTACATCTTGATCTCGATCCTGATTCTAAATGAGAATGACGCTTCGCGAAAATGAAAATTTCTGATAAAGGAGACAGAGGCCTCTTAAGCAATGCAACGACGACACGAAGAGGCGATTAAAAAACATAAACGACACCGAACGGGCACGATGTGAGTGTGTATCAGCACGAAATGAATCACGATGCGAGATTACTGGAGATACTATGAATGTAGCTGGTAGTAGTTCCCCCGCGGGCGACCCCAATACCGTTTATCGATACGAGGACACCGAGGACGTTGATCGTACTATTCCCTTTCACGCACTGCAAATGCGGAAACGATAAAGAAGAGCAGCTGCTCAAGACTCATTCGTTCAGCTGGTGCTGTGGCATATCTGATGAGGTTAGCTTCGACTTGGTTAAGAACGCCGAGTGTCCTAACAAAGCCCTCTTGCACCACCGTCGTCGGACAAGTTTTCTCCATCTCTACGGTGGGTCGTTGCAGCCTTCGCAGAAGATCCCATTTAATTCATTGACACTAGTCAAATCACAAAAATTTTACATCGCTTCTTCAACGCGAAGCCAAAAATTGTACACGATTGCGCACTCCTTTTCCACCCTACTCTGCAAAAACAAACGAGCGAGCGTTGTTGTAACAAGTAAAACCAAGAAATTCATCTCGATCTCGCAGCTAGTACTAGCCACATAATACAACGCACTATGTCAAACTCAAAAGATTCGGCGCACCCGACGAAGCCGCTGCTCAGCTCCCCGCCAGATCGTAATCATTCCGCAACCTGAAAATCCGATTCTGCAGTGCCATCTTCTCTGCCAACGACAACCCCTCCGCGGAATCCATCGTGCTTTCACATTCGGCCGCAAGTCGCTTTTTCATTCGTGCCGCCACGGCCATGGCTTCCACTTTGCTCATGGGCTGTTGCGCTCCCTCCGCCCCGAGGATGTTCGCTATTTGCGGGCTCGCGCCCGCGAGCTGCTTCAGCGAGTCAACCCTTTCCATCGCCTGTTCGTACTCAGGCCTCTTCGATTTTGTTCTCTTCGCCGCACTTTGTGAGCCCGCCTGCTTCGCAGCCCCACTGGCTGATGCTTTTGGAGCTGCAGCTGACGGAGAGGGAGAGCTTGGCGAGGTTGGGAGCTCAGGTTCGTCGTCTTGCGAAGGGGAGGCTGCAGATTCGGCTGATAGTACAGTAAGTACATAAATTTGATAAATTATTTTTGTTTTTTTCGTCGAATAAAGCATATGCTGTTTCGTCACGCGCATCTGGCATGCAGGTTTGCAAAAAAAGCTCAAGCTCAACATTCAACATAAAGATTATACCGCTCAACACCACCTCTGCGGCTAGTTGTGATTGCGCTAACTGCAGCAGCGTGTGGTAATCCCGGTCGTGAGCTGCGTCGTTGTCTTCATCATCGCTGTCATCCTCGTCCCCGTTGTCGATTCCGTGCCGGTCCTCAAAACTCCCGAGCAGCGGCTTCTTCGCCGTTCTGTTCGCCTCGACATCCGAGCCAGAGCGCGCGCTGTCCGTTGGGTGGTCGTCTTCGTGTTGCTCGTCTTCCTCTTTTCCGCCCTGCATCACGATCGCGAGCTTTTGCTTCATGTGCCGGGTGGCATCGTCAATGTGCTGGTGGGTTTCGTCCAGGACCTTGGGGGCGTCGGGGTCGGTTGGGTCGACTGGTTGACCCTCACCTCCTGCTGCGCCGCCCGACGGGGGAGCAGCCATGATGAATGTTGAAGGTGGTGAGTTTTTCAACAAAAAAGATGGATATACCGAGTTTTTCAACAAGCGAGTTGACAAAAATGCTTTGTGCGACGGAGAAAAAAACACTCTCCAAAAAACCAGCTCCGCCTACACCGTCGCTATACGCACAGTGAGAACTGCGCGAACGCGGCCTGCCGCAGCGCTAAAATCTGTTGCAGAACAAGAAGACAAGGGTCGGCAGATGTTGACCAAGGTTGAAATGTCGATCTAGATCTTACGAAAACAATACTAGAACGATATATAAGATGCTAATAGTGCTACTGATGAACAAAGGCACGGGGAGGGGAAAAATTATATGCCGAGAAAAACGACATCGGAATCAGCAACGACAAGAACGACCCACCCACGACAACGATGCCAATATGAAAACCGAAACTGGAAAAAAGCGTTGCTAGCTAGGAAGACAAGGTGACGCGTCTTGTAGTTGTTCAACATTCTATCTTCTTAGAAGATGGAATGCACGACACTCACAAAAGCAACAGTTTGTGATTCCCGCCGGCGACGTGACGCATGCCCATGCGCACCTCCTGAAAAGCTGCAGCGTTGCTTGCAGGAAGAGTAATCCGGGAGGGAACATGTCTACCGGCTTGCTGGATAGAAGTGACCACAATCCGCCATAAGCAGCAGTCATTTGAGTATCATGACCGCTCCCGGGTGCGTTGTGACTGCGTCATGACCGCTCCCGGGGTAAGCGTAATCCGTCACAAAGAACTTTCGCCACGAAATAATAACGATGTCAGTACCCAGCTGCGGGGTCAAAAATATGGTACATTTGCGAGAAGCTCGAAACCTAGGAAATCAAATCAAGAAAGCAAAAAATTGAATTGGCAAAAAACAATGTACACTATGAAAAGAGTTTTCCGTCGTGGTCGAATATGAAATACAAATGAAAGACACTAGATCTTCTCGTCGAAGAATTGCAAACTGAAAACAAAGCTAAATAAACCAGTGCGAATTACTGCACTATTGCTGTCAATGAATAGCGAAATTACACGCATAAATGAATAACAAAGTGCTGTTCTAAAATTTGAAAAAAGATAAATTTGAAACGGAAGATCAGACATATCACCCACAGACGTGCGTATGAGGTCTGGGAATCAACAAAACAATAGACCTGAGGACGACTTCTACTTCTGGATTTCTCGTGACTGCAATTATCATGCTCTTCTTGTGACTGAAAGCAAGGAAGTGTATAATTTAGAATCTACGATTGTTTGTCTTTGTTGTGTTGTTCCAAGCATTTGCAATATCTCGTCCACGAGGACCAGCAAGCTGAGAAAAAGTACAAAGTCTATCGTGGTTCGTGTTCCCCCGCCTCGGCGAAATCCATCGAATTTGAAGTGAGTATCACGATATAAAAAGAAAAGCCACGACTTAACTCCAGCTCCCATTGGCCCCTCAGTCCTGCAGCATGGAGTTTTTCCGCAACTCCAGTTGCCGCTCCGTGAAGGGGCTTTTCGTCTGCGAAATCGCGGTCGGACTGTTCATATGCTGCGCAAAAATATCGCACTCGTACTAATTGCAAATACGCATGAAAAATCTTCCTCATAAGGTAAAACAGCATTACAAATTCCATTTTTTTCTTGCCAAAATTTGTAATGCAATTTATACTAGTACGTTACTTTTGCAATGCATAGCTCACCTCCTTGGAGTAGGTCGCGAGCACGTTTTTGTGCTTGGACTCTTGCAGGTTCAAATACGTCATGTGGATGTTTCTTCTCCGCTGCTTGATGTGTCGCTGCTGCGTGTACTTGTAGCAGTGCTGCGTCACGTTGCCCCGCGCGACGTCCTGCTCCTCCTGTTCCCGGGGGAAATTCCACTTCTCCAAAAACTGCAGCTCCTCGACCGTGAGCAAATCCGACGCGTGCACGTCTAAGGCTTCAAACAGGCGCTTCCCCTCCAATTTCGTGAACCCCAGCTCCCGACACTGGTGTTGAAACTCCTTGGAGGAAATGGAGACAAAATTGTTCGGGTCCAGCACCGTCCAGACATCCTCCAGCGAATATTCCCGGATTAGTTCTGACAACCGGGTGAGTAGAAAATCCGCTTCCTCGTCCAGGTGGTAGAGCATGAGCGACAAAGCCTTGTTGTGCTTGTCCAGGTACCTTTTCCTCTTGCGGAAGTCGTTGGACTTGATGTCCACTCCGAGCCAGAACTGGCTGCTGCTCCCGTGCTTGGAGCTGAATTCGATGGAGTCCAGCGGGGAGTGTTTCGACTTGAGCTGGTACATCAAGTCGGACAGCTTCGGGGGGGACCCCGGGGGGGAGGGGGAGAAACTCCTCGGGGACGAATTTGGCGACTTCATCTTGTCGTCGTTCGCGGAAGTAGTGCCGGTGCCGTTCAAGTGCGGTAATTGCCGCAACCGGCTCGGCGACATGCTGCTGCCGCAGTTCCGCATCCGCGGGCTCAGGTCCGGCTGCACGTTCCGCACGGGGAGCGGGCTGGCCAGCATCGTCTTCAATTTCTCGGTCGGCGACATCTGCTCCTTGTGCTTGTGCTTGTTCGCGTATGAGAGTGCACAACTCCCCCTCCCCCTCATTTGTATTGCATGAACAGCAACACAAGCAACAGCAGAAAAGGGGCTTTCGCGTGACAAATCTGCATGCAGATTGTAGTACTATTTGAGGGTCCAAACCTTGTCATGCTGACAGTGCTCACGAGCAACGTGCGAGTTTGGTATTTTGCATTACAAATGAGGGGGAGGGGTAGTTGTGCAGTCTCATATCGCGTTCGGGGGCAGCCCCTTCGCGATATCCTCCATGTGCTGGATCCCCAGCACGTCGCACCAGATCAGGTACAGATTCTCCGAGATCCAGGAAAAAACACCCATCCCCATCCATTTTTTGCATGACAAACACTGGAAACTATGCATGCCTTTGCATGACAAATTGGATGGGGATGGGTGTTTTTTTCTGGATATCCGAGATCCCGAGTCGCCGACACCCGGCGAGAAATTCGCCGTAGGAGATGAAACCCTGTGATTCGGGGTCCAAATACACGCGCCAGCCGATGGTGACGGAGCCGCACCGGGTTTCCAGCAGCTGCTGAAACTGCTTCTTCAGCGAAGCCGCCAAAAAGTCGTCGACTTTGTGCACGAAAAAATTCATTTTCTTGAACTGTGACTCCAGGTACCTGTGCAGGAGTGCGTTTTCGACAGCTAGATTTGTTACTGATCTACTTGTGCATCATGCAGTAGTCATGTGCAGACGTTAGAAAAACAAAAAAGTACTTGATCATATTATGGGGCTGCACATGCAATTCTTGAAAATATGAATCTTCTGATACCGATTGCAACAAGAATATGCATGTAAATATGAATCTTCTTGTGAGCCTGAGTACTAAACTATTTTTACCAGTCCTTTTCCTTCTTTCTCCGCATCTGCAGTGACTCGGTCCGGCGAAATGCGTGGAGGTTGTGCGGCTCCTTGTGCTTGTGCCGTTTTAACTGCAAAAACTTCAAGAGGTACATGAACTCGTCTGTCGCGATGACACAGTCATACTCGAAGTTCAAGGCCCCGAAAATTACCTTCGAATCCAACTTCGGGTGCTATGGCGTTCTCAAACGTCACATTGTCAACAGTTACATGAAAAGACTAGCACAGGTGAGAGGAAGAACCTTGCGCGTCTGGCACCATTACAGGTTTGGTGCGGATTTTTACACGTGCTGTTCAGCCGTCCGAGAATTTGCCACGCGCAGCAGTCTAATCGTCTGGCGGGTCATGGTCATTTTGCATGGCAAATCATGCAACAGTTGAGAATGTAACGTTTGAGAACCCCATAGGTCCGTCAACGGGACTAAGTTTGGATCCTCGAGAAAGGCGGCGCTCATCTGCTGGTTAATATTTTCCTCGTGTTCATCGTCCGAGTGGTGCTGTAAGCTGTCTTGCCCTCCGCCTGCGGGTCGGAGTTGTGTAGTAAGTTGTAATCTATATAGGAGGAGGAGGAGTTCGAGTTACAGTTAGGATGATTATGAGCCACTAGTACTACGTGGTGTTGAAACATGATTTTCAATGCTGTGGCTTCTCAAGGAGAACATCACCCGATGAAACAAACCGTGGACGACGTTTTCCTACTTTGTTTTTGTCAACGTGTACTTGCCATACACTTGGTACCAGCACAAAATTAGCATGTATCAAACTTCCTCAAATCAAGCTTACGCTTACCTTCCTCCTCCACCCTGGCTCCTCCGCTCCCCCGTTGAAATTTCGCCGCCGTTCTATTCCTGTTAAACGTCTCTGCGCAGTTGCAAAAAAATTCGTAGAACATTTCGTAACGCATGGCTCCGCCCGCGTTCGCGTACTTGTTCCATAACCTCGCAAAGTCTAGACCCCCCTCCTCTTTGCCGGTTTCCTCCACCATGCACGCAAAGGAGTGCAGTTTCCGGACCCCGGTTGGGTCCACGTCGAAATAGCTGATGGTCTGCCGCTTGTTCTGCAACGCCAGCTGGGAGCTTGTTGCGTTTTTGTTGCTCACCTGCCGCTGCGCGGCCACGGCAACTGTCCCGGTGTTGTTTACACCCATAGACGGGTCGGGCTGGGAGACGAGCAGATTCCAGAGCGATTTGATGTTCCCAGTGTAGCCGATTCTTCTGCACCCAATGAGAAATTGCTGGAAGCCGATGTGCTCGAGCACGTCGTCCTGGAAGGCAACGCGCCAACCGCGGACCGCGTTAATGTATTTCCCTTTCAAAGTTTCCACAAAACCCTGCGTGGACGTCGTGGAAAAGCCCCGGTCGAATCTGTATAATATTAGTAGAATTTTTCTTCAATTTCCTATTCCCGGTGTTCCGTATTTAAAAAAAAAAAACTTCTTGCCGAAAAATAATTTCAAATCAGTCCCTTTCTACTTGTCCAGCACGACCCTCCAGCCGAAAAATCATCTCTGTCAAGTTTTATTCATCGTCGTTATTTGTCGTACCTTCTATGTTCAACCTCCTTTTTCCTCCTCGCAGCGTTTGCCTTTAACGACTCTGCCTGTCGGAGAAGGGCCAAGCCACCGGTGAGGGACTGACGGACTAGAAAAGGCAGTTTTGACTGCGGCACGTTCTCAATTTTTCGGTTGAACTGCTTCTCCAGCTTCGAAATCAACTGTTTCTTGAACCATTTATCCGCGTCCTTACTGTCGTGCCCGTCCACCACCATCTGCTGCCTTATGGCGTTCTCAAGTGTTACAGTCTCAGCTGATGTTACATGATCTATCACGCAAAATTACGATCAGAATCGCAATCGACACAACCTAGCTGCTTCGCGTGACAAATTCGCCAAACAGGCTGAGAATCTTTGTCAAATAACCTGTCATGCAAGAGGACGCGCAAGATCACCTCTTTCATTTTCGCCATTCTTGCATTACAAATTCACGCAACAGTTGAGAATGTAACGTTTGAGAACCTCATATGCCTCCGCACATGCTCCTCGCCCAACCGGAGAAGGTCCGGTGGCTGGAGTTCCGTCATGACTTGTCTATGGTCTGGTTCGATTTGCAGTTACACCTTGAACTTGTCTCCTGCCGGTTTAACAAAAGACTTGCTCTGAAGGACGCATTGATTGCGGCGGTTTTAAGTTGTTCTTCCTTGAGGATATTAACATTGCAGAACAGCAGCGAAACAAATTATTGTCCTCTAGCTTTTCCCCTTACTTGTCCCCATTGTGATTGTGAAGACAAGGCCCCAAGGCACAAAAAATCTTTTCTGTTGTCGTGTTTTTCTTGCTGTAGCTGCAAGAACTACGCAGCTATTTCTTTCCAGAACCTTCGTTCGGCCCCCACAAGATGGTGACGTGTGGAGCGCCTTCCCCAGGAATATTCGAACCAAAAAACCTTGCAGGTCGTGGATTACTATTGCTTCTCGCGAAAAGAAACGAGATCCTCCATATGATCAATGGATAGTAAGTCACACCTCCTTGTTGAACAACTACTTAGTACAACGTCACGAGGTGGTTAGACGACGTCGACGACCCGAAACGAGAAAATCATACAAGTGACAGGGCTGGATTGAAAAAAAAAGATGAGAAGTCACCATCGCTTCACAAAATGCGCTAGAGTTGTCTACTATATTCGTTTTGCCGCGCACACAAGCCCGCGGAGCAGGTCATGATTGACGTGGAAGAACATCAAGACGGAAGAGGACGTCCTCGATCGTATGAGCAGTGTCGTGTCGGAAAGAAATAGAACGAAAAGCCGCCTTTTTCGTGGGGCCCAGAGCAACTAGATGATACCGTGTATATCTATCTATATTTTTGTTCTTCTTCTTCTATTTGGTTGGTTCCTCTTTCTTTGCATTAAGTGTGCCTGACGGTAACGATGGTGAAAACGACCCACCCATGTAAGATATAACGACCTTCGACGCCACCTCGATCTCCATTAATACGATGCTCCTGAAGTGGACTTCTAAAAACGATGGACCAGATGGCAGATGCCGCACTTTTCCATAATTATTGGACGAGATGAAGATAAACCGACGCGAATATGCACAACACATACACTACAAGGAAACACACATGATCGATCAGGCTGCTGTGGACACGATCACGAACGATAGCAAAATCTTCGTCATCAATGTGATTATTTCGCTGAGATTTTTTTACATCGCATGTTTATTCTATTGCACTCGATCTGTGAGCTGCAGCTAGGCCGTGATGTATGTTAATGTTTATCTCCTCTACTGCAACCACGCTGAAGTACGAGGGTGAGTGTTTGGATGCTCTATCTGTGTTGGACCACTCGAGTCGCTATTTATCTGGTCGAGCTCTTCTCCTATAGGTCGCGAGGAGCAGAGACGAGACAACCGCGCCTTAAGTGAGCACATCATAATGTTTATTTCTTGCAAGAAGAAGAACATGAGGAAGTCTCATCTACTTTTGCTAGCGTGATGTTCGGACGACGCGACACAAAGCCGTCCGTGTGCCGTTCTTCCCCTTTACTTTTACAGCACCACGAAACATGATATGCCTGGATCGATCAAACTGAAGAAACAGGAGCTCCGTAGGTCGTGGCAAAATCCTTACAGTGAATCCGCGGCGAAGTGAATTCTTCACTTTGCGTAAGCCTAACGTAACTACTACGAGGTCAGCCTTAATTCATCTCCTTCTCGATAAATCAAATTCCAATCATAATTCCACCCGGCTCAAATGAAGATGATCGATGAGGAGCCGCCTGATACAACATAGTGATACTCATGGATTTCCTCTAGCAGCGCTACTAACAACTATCAAGGACTTCTTTGACATTTACTGATTTGACAAAAGCGAAGCTCTTACTTTTTCTTTCGTTTTTCCTTCGAGTTACCTTCTTTCACTACTGCATTCGTTCGCTAGCTTTATTTTGGCTTTCCCTTGCTTTTCTTTTGCTAGTACTCTAACTCTTCTGATTTTGTCATCTTAGTCATAAAGAATGTAAAGCTTGTTTGGTTCAGGTTTCTAGCGAGTGGATGAATTTTATTTTCTGTTCATCACCTTAAAATTTTCAAATTCGCCTACATTCAGTCTTGCTGTCCCACTTGTGGGTCTCCTCCCTCCTGCTGCTGCTGTGCCAGTTATGCATTGCAAATATGTCCTCTGATGCGTGATGTGGAAGTGGGCAACAGGATCTGTACTGCATTATGAAGAGGATTTATTTTACCCAGTTTTTTATTTTGTCGTGCTGAAAGGTGGCAGTTTGTCATACTAAATACGAATGTTGAACTCGCGATAACAAGATGGCCCGAGAAACTTGTTGTAAAAATCAATGCGCTCATGCGGCCATACGTGCGGCGGATCATTTGGATTTTCCATGCAAGGCTCAGCATGTTGGCTCCTATGCCTATCCAGACCCAGATGACGTATTTGCAATGGATACCAGTTGACTCTGTCGCAACTCTTCTTGCTGCAAAAGCCGGTTTCCGAGGTCATGGTTAAAGTACACCCTCTCCACCGAGTAATCTTCGAGCGGGATTCATTATTCATTACAAAAGTATCGCACGACTTCGGCTATCGCGAGAAAAGAGTGTTGCAGTTACACATTGTGCTGCAGGCCAAGCAAGACAGACAAGCTCTGTCATGCCGGATATGCATAGCAGCCTCGTTTCCTAGGTGTTTTCCCGTAGGATTTCTGCATTGCAAGTTTTCTTTCTCATGCAGATAAATTTGCGTTGCTGAATTGACAACAAATGTGTAACTGTAACACTTTTTTCTGTGCATATCTGCTCGTAGTAATCTACTATCTCTATCATAGAACAGGGGCACGCATTACATTCATTTTAAATTCATTCTTATAGGTACAAAAAGTTTTATCATCCTGAAATTGAAAAAAAAATATCATGCTGCAATTTTTACTGCTAGTACGATAATTTTGCTGCAATGCATATGGACTGGGTTTTCGTTGCCTCCTCCTGGATTATCTCCTCCAGCGTCGGCAGCGGTGGTTGGAGAGGCTGGAGCGGATCACCTTCAAATGCGATGTGGAGGTGTCGTGAAGCAGTGGATGGGGAAAGAAACCAGAAAAAAGAACAAAATTTTCATGCAGAGTCCAGACCGGCTCGTGAGATCAAAAATTTCAAGTTTAACACTTTTCCGTAGAAGTAAAACATTTTTGCCACAGTGTACTCAGAAGTATCCCCCAAGTGCTGGTGCACGAGAAAGACGAGGACGACCAAGACAATGTTGATCTCAAAACTGTATTGAATCCATGCTCTTCTGAAAAAATGAGTACCCAATCGGTTTCGCCCCGCCAGGTCTTCGGACCGCTGTCGCTCAGCTATGGGACTCTCAAGCGTTAGCGTTACACCATTCCCAGCTGTAGTTACATCAATTCGTCATGCAAGAATAAAGTAAGAATGAAGAAAAAAGGGTGGACCACGACGGATCACCAGCGCCTACTTGCATTACAGAGTTGGCACAGAAGATCTCCGTGCTGTTGCTGTTTGGCCCTTTGATAATTTGTCATGCGAACTGGAAGCCTCGTCATCATGTAGTTGAGGAAACCCTCACGACCCAGCGTCAAAGGCCAAGGATCAACGACCCAGCGTCAAAGGACCACACACTCAACTTCTTGGGTTTTCGGCGAGGATGATATAAAGCGGTTTTTTTCGGCGAGGACCTTAACATACAAAGTCGAGCGCTACCTCGATCACTCGCCTCGAAAAAGGCTGACCAGTCGGGAACTACCCACTACACCCGGCCAATAAAGCACAGCCAACTAGACAAGCGCGACAAAGCCCAAAGCAGCAGAGTGATCCAGTGTCGACATTATATGAGACAGAGTAGCCTGATCGTGTCGATGCTGATCGTAATTCTGCATGGGTGGCGATGAATTATGGCTGTAGAATACGGAAGAGGATCTAGGTTGTGGAAATGCGTGCATAGTCGGTTAACAGTGACCCGGTACCTGCGGGGGCCGTTGACCATGACCACCGAGCGACCTACTTATTGCCAGCTAGGTGGGACGAGCACCTAGTATGTGGTGGAAGGATTCAGCGTCTCTAGGTCGGGGGGGCGCTCCTGTCTTAGCCGTCCGCTGTGTAGGACCCCGCGGGCAGAAGTATCCACTCACGCGCCGCACCCATTCTAGCTGGCGCTCGCTTCCGTTTGTAATGGTGTTTTCTTCGCTTCAACCAAAAAGACCAGGGGCTAAGCATCACCAACCCTCGCAGTTCGCCTGCGGTACGGTTTGTTAGAGTTAATATCTGATGAAACTTAAACTTTTACATTGCAATGAATAATGTAAAAACTACAGTGGAGAGCAGGAGCAGGAGCAGCGTAAGGTTTGAGAGTCCCATATCAAGGTCTCCCTGAGTGGCAAGTGCCGCGTCCACGTCGGAAACGGACCCCAGAGCCTGGTACTTGGTTCTGAATCCCCCCACGGGAACTTGGCTGGTCAGTGGGCCGCTGAACGGGTCGCGCGTGTGGTCCTCGATTTGGCTACTTTGACCGCTGCGGTAAGTGTGGTCACTGCCCTATCAAATGCAAAAGTGTCTGGGTCTGGAAGGATGCGAACTTGTGATGCGCATTTCACAGCACAGACAAATCTCTCATGCATAGGCAGCAAAAGGTGCCCATTTCCTGTAACCAAAGTGGGGGATTTGTCATGCGGATTAAGCAAAGCGGAAGCTTCTCGAAATCTGTGATGCTAGAGCTTCCATGGCAGATATTTATTTTATTATAGAGACGAAATAGGTGATCTTCAGCATTGTTCTTATCCCTAAAGAAATTCGCAGCATACCGTCGGGATTTGCCTTTTTTTTTGCGCCAAAGCAGGCGCTGCAGTTTTTATGGTCGCGCCTGCGTAGAAGTGCTGTTGCCTCCCCTGGTGGGTTTTTGCACGCGGCCCAGGCGTCGTTCTAGAGGAACCAGCAGGCATTTCAGCACCCCGGCGAACCTAGACCTAGACTAATGAGGCCCCCCCATTGCGCAGATCGACGCGCCCAACGGGCACTCACAACACAGCCATCCGGCGCAGGCGAGCATCTTTTCCGCGGCCCCGGGCCCTACGTACTCGCAACCCAAAAAAGGCCGCAAGCCGGCTCGTGCGGACTTGGTGCGCAGGCCCCTCGTGAACCCTTGGAACTCTTCAAGCGCAACCCAATCTCCCACCCACCGCCCCACTCACTCACCGTTGGCACCGCTTTCGCGGCGATGGTGGACGCACTGGCAGAAGACCTTGAAAGCTTCCCGCCTGGTACTCGTTTGAACGCTTCGGAGAGATAGATAAGAACACCTACTGCAACGCCCTGGCATTGATGTTTTGGCATGAAGCAGAGTTGGAGCTTCTGCGCCAAATGTTCCCGTTCTCGAACACTGCTGCTCTTATCCTCCACGCCGTGCATAGATAAGAGCACGTTTGTAACGACCTGAAGTTGGTGGCTGGCACGAAGCAGAATGACATCTTCTGCGCCAGAGGTTCCCGTTCTCGCAAAAGTGCTGTTCTTATCCTCCAAATGGTGCATAGATAAGAACATGTTTGTAACGACCTAAAAATGGTGTTCTTATCTATGCACGAACAGGAGGGATAAGAACAACAATTTTGAAAGAACGGGAACATCTGGAGGAGAAGCTTCAATTCTGATCGTCCAATCATCTCCGTGCATAGATGAGAACTTCTTTATCTATGCACGGAGTTGGAGGATAAGAACAACAGAAAACGAGAACGGGAACATTTGGAGCCGAAGCTACAACTCGGCTTCATCCCAAAACACCACAGCAGGTCGCTGCAGTAGTGTTCTTATCTATGCACGAGCGGGAACGTGCGCAGCTGAAGCACCGTCTTTGCTTCGTGGACGTGGTCCCATAGCCATATACGTATCATTTTATGGAGCCAGCGCCCCACCGGTCCTAATTTAGGACCGACGGCACGGCGCAGGCACCAAAGACAACACCGGAGGGGCCATCATCTGCTGCCTGACACAAAGAGAGACGAGTGGGCGCGCACACTCACTGCCGCGGCCCGGTGCGACCGCCGGCGTAGCCCCGGCTTGGGGGGGCTCTTTGGGTGGGGCATCAGCTCGCGCCCGGGCGCGCGAACTTGGACTCAGTGGCCGGCGGTTATTCTGTCAGTGTGCAGAGCGTTCCCTGGCGCATGAGCTGGGGCTGCGCTAAGCACGAAAGCGCGACCCTCTGGATGATGCGCGGCGAAGGCTTTGGATAGCCCTGGGCGGTGGCGCTTTTGTTAGCCTCAGACAGGCCAGGCCTTGCCTAGAATAAAAAAAGCCCACGAATCGCGACGGTATGGCGCGATTTTTCTTAGGGATAAGAACACGCGGGAAGATCACCTTTTTCATCTCTATATTTATGTCATGCAAAAGCAGCATGACAAACATCTGCATTCTTCCAGACCCAGACATTTTTGCAATCCATATGCCCTCTTCCCATACCATCTCGCGCGGCTGCTTCCGATGGGACGCGATCTGTCGAGGTGGTTCGCGGTGTATGCTGCTCCGTTCCGACTCCGAGGGTGCAAACATTCCCTGCGAATTCTCGCTGTTGGTCTCCCAGGAGTATTCCCTCGCTGGGCGGGATCCCACTGCGTGGGCGATCTTCCGGGTCATTATGTCCAGTCTCTCGTTGGCAGACATGCCCACATACGGGTCATGCGCGTACTATTCCCTGAAAATCAACCACCTCCATCCATTTTCTGCATGACTACTACACACATTGAATTTACTACATGCAGTTTTGCGATGACAAACTGGATGGGGATGGTTAATGTTCAGGGAATACGTACATCGGTCTCGTGGAACCGTACCCGCCGACGGAGACGGTTATGACAGTGCACAACTCCCCCTCCCCCTCATTTGTATAGCATGAACGGCAATACAAGCATCAGCAAGAATGCCGGTTTTGCATGACAAAGCTGCACTGGAGTCGTGGAGTGTAGTGCTATTTGGGCTATCAAAACTTGTAGTGCAAACAGTGCCAAGAGGCAATGGGAGGATTGGGTATTTTGCATGAGAAATGAGGGGGAGGGGGAGTTGTGCACTGTCATAACGGTTTTCAGTGGCCCACGATCCGAAGAGCAATTCGAGGCCTATGGCGTTCTCAACCGTTACATTCTCAACTGTTACATGATTTGTCATGCAAGAATAGCACAGGCTAGACTGAGAGGGAGATCCTTTCCTTCTCGTCCTTGCGTGTCTTGCATTACACATTTGGCGCGGATTCTAGTGCTATTTAACGCGTCGAAAATTTGTCATGCGAAGTAGCTTGAAGATCGTGGCGATGTTGATAGTGATTTTGAATCACGACAAAATCGTGTAACTACAGTTGACAATGTAACGTTTGAGAAGTCCATAAGGCCAGACGCCGCCCACCGAGAAGCTGCGGTTTATCGGAAGAAAAAAATGCTTCGCTGGAAACTTATGTGAAGGCCCTAAAATATCCACCTTTTCGCCCATCTTTTCAAATTTTGGCCAGTTGATTGCTCGGCGCCCTCGCCGATTATCGCGTAGCGCCTCTTCGATGGCGGCTGCGCGTCCGCCTTTGCAAACGCGCCAAGCCGGGCTGTTCTATTTCTGCCCCGAGGCCCGGGGCAGAAACGCAAGCCAAACACCCCAAAGAGAAAATCCACCCAAACGGGCCTCCCAATCATATGAGGCCATGGACCCTGAGCGCGCCTCTGCTTGCGCAGGTAAGGAAAGGCGCCCGGCAATAGCGACAAACGCGGAAAATGCCCCTGGCCAATTTACCTTCGACAAGGCGCAGCCAAGCGAAAGGCTGCGCCTCCCCTCTTATCAGCCCCGGCCTGGCTTGGGCCTGATTCGGAAACAACGCCCGCCGCATCTTCTGCGCAGCTTCCCAAACCCCTAGCGGTTCAGGACTTGGCGCGCACCCAATAAAATGAGGACAGGCGGCGTAGGCTGGGAAACTCGGAAAAGTCAACTGGAATGGGAGGTCTCGGTAGAATAGGGAGGCGCGCACAGACCACAGCTGTCCGAGAAGCCAAAGGGGTCGACAGATCCGGGAGACCTGAGGAGCGAGCAACCCCTGACGAGGTGGCTCGTGTTTCATGGCGCAACCTTTTCAAATGTGGATGCGGCTGAAGCGGGGAAATATGCCTCGGGGCGCATCTATTCAAATCTGAAAACCAACAGACGAAAAAGCTGCTGTGCTCTCCTGTGGTTCTTGAGATTTGAAAAGATGCCCTTTCAGCAACTTGTCAAATCTGAAGCGCGTGGCCTTTGGCCTGCAAAATTTGAAAAGATGCTGAAGGAGCATCTTTTCCATAACGAAGCCACAAGAGACCCGAGCAGTTTACTCTTCTGTGGTTTCCAGGATTTGAAAAGATGCTGAAGGAACATCTCTTCGAATTTCAAAAGGCCCTAAAGAGGAGGGTCGCCTGCTCTTCTGTGCTTTTCAAAATTTGAAAAGATGCTGAAGGAGCATCTTTTCAATTTTTGAAGCCGCAGAAGACGGGGTCGGCTTACTCGTCTGTGGTTTTCAAAATTTGAAAAGATGCTAAAGAAGCAACTTTTCAATCTTCGAAGCCGCAGAAGAGCCGATCCGTTTTCTGTCCTGAGGTTGCCAAGATTCGAAAAGATGCTGAAGGAGCATCTTTTCAAATTTGACATGCCGCAGACGAGGAGGGCAGCTGGCTGATCTGTGGTTTTCAGGATTTGAAAAGATGCCGAGGGAGCATCTTTTCAAATTTGAGAAACCACGCAAAGGGAGGTCAGCTCAGTCTTCTGTGGCTTCCAAAATTTGAAAAGATGCTACCAACGCATCTTTTCAAATTTCGACAGCCGCGGAAAGGGTGAGCAGCCTACTCTTCTGCGTGGCTTTCAAAATTCGCAAACTTGCCGAGGGGGCATCTTCGCAATCTTCGGAGCCACAAAAGAGGCAAGCAAACAGGTGTCGCCAGAGGCACGGCCTTGCTTATCATCTGGCGACCCGCCAGCAGGAGCGCAAGTTAAAGCCTTGGACTCTCGTCAGCAATTCTCTGTCTAGGTTCATCAAAGGGGTTGTCAAAGAGGTTTATCAAAATCCACCATACCGTGGGGAATAGCTTAAGTTAATGAGCTCTTTTTTAACCTCATCGAAGGGGTTGTCAAAAAGGTTGTCAAATTTTGAAAAGATGCTGAAGGAGACATCTTTTCAAAATTTGACAACCTCAACAAAGCAAGTGCTTGTGTTGTTGAGGTTGTCAAATTTTGAAAAGATGTCTCCTTCAGCATCTTTTCAAAATTTGGAAAGTGAGCAGCCACCTATCAAAATTTGAAAAGATGCAGAAAGAGCATCTTTTCAAAATTTGATACTTGCGTTGTTCGGGTTGTCAAATTTTGAAAAGATGTTTCCTTCAGCATCTTTTCAAAATTTGGAGAGTGAGGAGCCACCTATCAAAATTTGAAAAGATGCAGAAGCAGCATCTTTTCAAAATTTGATAGCTTGCAAAGTTGAAAAGATGAGCACTTTGCGTGGCTGCATCTTTTCGAGAGAAGCTGCGGTTTATCGGAAGAAAAAAATGCTTCGCTGGAAACTTATGATCATGATGCATATGAAAGTGCAACACTCACAGACGCATTATTTGTCTTGCTCCATATGTAAGACATTGTGCTTTAAAACGTGTTTTCAAGTCTGCTTTGTCATGCGTAGCGAACTTGTAATGCAAATCATGCATCAAAATCCTTACAATGAAACACTTCTTTCTCACGATACTCCTCTTTGAATCGCTCCAATCTCTCCTGTGCGCCCTGCTCCGCGCGCTCCACGCGTCGTTCGGCCTGCAGAAAAGTGCCGCCTTCTTTGCAGTATGATCAACTGCGAGGAAAGTAATATCGTCACCGTTATTAATATTATCGTAGTAAGTTCCGGTAGTTCCCACTAGATGGAATAACTGCATGAAGACGAATACAGCTTCAATCATCCATGCCCTGCCATCATCCAGCAAAGCAAATCAATGACGTATGAGATTTTTCAACTTGAAGATGAAATCTCCGTAGGAGTCATAGTGTTATTTCTACGAAGATAGAGATACTTTTGCAATGAGTATGCGGAATCTTCATGACCAGGCATGCACATATCCAAATGAGGGTCCTCTTGGAAAGAACGTGTAGTACTACAATTATGATCGGCGAGTTACGTAATATTTATGATTTATGCGCTTTTATTTATCAGAAGCAGAACATGAAAAAGCTATGTTTACCTCTTCGACCAGCTGCAGATTTGCAAGCTTCGCTGAGACCGAGAGCTATGGGATTCTCAAAGGTCAGACTTTCAACTGTTGCATGAATTTGTGGCGCAACAAGGATAGAAATATTGGCCGGGAGCATTCAGTTTTGATGTTTTCTTGTTGCGTATACAAAGTTGGAACGGATTTCCATGCTATTAATTTACCCCTTCAAGAATTTGTCATGCGAGCCACCTTCACGTTGTGGATAACGATAATGAACTTAGCCTTGCATGAAAAGTCGTATGGTAGTCGAGGGTGTAGCCTTTGAGACTGCCATAAGAACCGCTGTCGAGTTGTGGAAAATCGTCATGATCGCTCCAGGAACTTTTTGCCGTTTTTTTACAAGACAAAGTTCCTCTTGAGGAACAATTGATTGTGATTCCATGCAAAAGCGGTGGTTATAATTACAGTGACTCCAGAAGCGAAGGTCCGGTTTCTTCTGCAAATAGATGCAGCAAGGGGTTCCGTTTGCGCAATTATGGCGAGATGCGGCGGTCGGATAACAAATCAACTGGCCCCCCATCTCCCTATCAAATGCAAAAGCGTCTGGGTTTGGAAACTCGTGATGCTGGTTGGCGAGTCTTGAGGACGCCTCCTGCCACAATTCACGCTCCAGCATGACAAGGCTCTGAGGTGCTTTGTCAGTGTTGTCATTGTCTAACTATCCTGCATGGGAAGCTGCGTTTTTGCATCATGGCAGAAAAATGGGGCGTTTGGGTGACGTGCATGACAGGCTTGAGATTCATGCTAGCGGAGTATGACATCAAGTCGATTTCTACTTCCGGGTCCAGACATGTTTGCAGTTGATACACCCTGATTGACATCTGCATCGGGAAATTTTCGTGAAATTTTCTCAACTTGAACTCCTTAGCTACGGGAGTATTGCGATGGCCGATGGATCATCATTTCCAATTTTCATTTTCTATACTTGGTTTTTATGGATGTATATTATCTCAGTTATTTCTTTTTCAGTTTCATGCCCGTTTCTGTTGTGAAGAAAAGACATGCGACTCATGCAGCAAAGTAGATCTCAGAAACGAACCACTCGGGAAAAACTTGATTGCGTAAATGAAAATCTTCATGTACTCGTCCCAGTATCCAAAACTAGAACTACTATAAAAACATTACGATCCTCTGGACATCTCGGCTCCTGTGGAGGCGGCGTGTCGGAAAGGAGTAGCGGCTCCCACGAGTCTCAAATGCAAACGTGTCTCTGTCTGGTGCCATGCAGCTCTTCTTGCATGACCCATGAGATCTGGAATGCACGACATAGCATAACAAACAGATACTGTGAGAGGACTGAGAAGATGCCCCTCGCATGTCTATCCTGCCTGTATGTTGCGAAACTCCCTCAACTTGGTCAAAAGTAGATAGCTTTTGGTGATCATGCAACACAGATTTTTGCATGCTCCAGATTTAGGAGCATGAAAAGTTGCATTAGCATTGTTCCAGACCAACACATATTTGCAACGCATAACGAGCTTTGCGATGCCATAGCGCCGATGCAGCAGGGGTTCGTCTTGTTAAAAACTGGATAATAGGTACTCAACTGTTGTATTCATCCAGCATCTTTCTTTATAATATCAATTCCTAAGTTCTTTTACTCGCATCCTCTGGCAAAGGAATCGCCACATGTTGTTTTTGACTCTACGAGTTGTTCTTTTGTTTGTTTGTAGACATGCGGCAAGGTGGAAACGCGATTACTCACCTTTTTTCTTTAGCGGTATTTCAATAAAAATCCCTCTACGCAAAGAAGAACTCTACGAGTTCGAGTTCAAGACATGTTGAGCGAAAGTGACTTATTGCTACTCCGCTTTGTACGTAAAGTAAAAAAATTTCGTTCGTCAGGAAGAGCCACGACCTTCCCGGCGGTGCGTGGCCACTAGCACTGGTAGAACCAAGACTAAACACGAAGGCAATTCAACGAACGAAGAAATGCGGATGATAATGATTGAACTTGCGAACGGAAGTGCTAAAATCGCCCCTCGCTCCTGTCAGCCCTTTTTATGTGGTCACCAGTAAGGTGAAAAAGTCCAAGTCCTCCGTGAAACAAAATCACTCGAAAAAAAAAACAGCATTTCCTTCACTTGAGGTAGTACGCGAGAACATACTACGGTCGTGTAACATTCGCAAGAACTCCTGCCCCACTACGTACTTTTCGCTCGAGATAACCAGAACCACTCAAGTAGCGCGACGTACTACATGGATCTTTGATCATGATGGCGGAAAGACTGCTTCTCGGTCATCGCGTTAACCGAGTGGCTGTACCAAAATCGTTGTGTGCTCACCAGCGGCGTCATGTAACAAAAAAAAACAAATTCCGATGGGAAAATGCACGAGCTGCACAAACGAAAAACGACAATGCGCGAACACGATACTATACACTTGCGTTTTGTTGACATCACACGTTAAATCGACCATGCCGTGCTGGAGCGGCCGCGGGAGCACCGGACCCCCACCTGGTGACATGAGAAAGATAACCACGGCTGCCTCGACGTTTTTCGTTTTTGATGCGGCATGGTAATCTAAGCTCGTCAAATATTTTACAACGGTGATGGTTTCATCTTTGCGAGTTTTAGATACAATCAAAATCTGAAGAAGGAGCACCATCGTTCCTGCTCCTCACAGTATATGTACATTTCTGATATAAGTATATCATTTCTTCTATTACTTAGTCGAGCAAGAACCAGGTCATCTCCAGAGAGCCAGGTCGGCTTTGCTGTTGACAAGATGAAACACTTCCGAAGAGCTCCAGTGTGTTCTATCTGGAGCTGCAGTTCTTGCTCTGGTCGTCGTCGTGCACCTAGACCTAGTTGCTGTACTGGTGATTATATTCGCATTTTCATCGTGACAGCACCATGACCATCTCGAAACACAAGAGAAAGAGAGAAACATAAACATTCGCGGCGGCGAAGAAACATAATCTTAAACATTCAAGCACTGTTAAATTCATCATCCTCACATGACATCGTAGCGAAGGCACGCAGAACAGCCTAAATCGCTAAAATGAGAGTGCAGCCCAAAGAAAGGCTTCATTTGTGCATTCTGTTAATCTAAGTCCTATGAAATGTAAAAACGGTAAAAATGGTTATCCAGTGCAAAAGCATCGCACTGGTATTATATGGATGCATCTTCTTTTTCCGAGATCTTTCAGACCTTGTTTTTTTGAAAAGTCAACAACGCCAACATCATGTGACTTTTACCAGTGCGATGCTTTTGCCTTGCATAGCGGTCCTGCTAAAACAGAGAATGGAAGCTAAATTGAAAAGTGAAACTGGTGCACATCTTGCTCCCCTGGATGCCTGGAAGTTTCCACCAGATATATGCAATACAAATTTAGTCCCGTGGTACCGCACTGCGACACGTACAAGCATCACAAATTTTCTCAGCTTCTAGCGTCAGCTTGTCACGATGTAATTTCATGCTGAATAGGATTGATGGAGTTGGTGGAGACAAGCTTTCAATGTGACAGACCCAGACACCGCAACTGTAGAACAGATCCTGTATCTATCTGTAGGCATTGTACTACGGGAACCGAACGGGACGAATCGGAATAAACTTACTCCGGATATTAATTTCGTGTGGTCGGCCTCTACAGAGGTGGCAGATTGTTGCTCCGCTCTTCCCGGGCAATCGGTTTCCCAGTTATCTTGTACGTGCTGCGGTTAAACGGGTTATCTGTTTTTTTTTTTTTTTGAGTTCTTGTCGCCATCCTCCATCTTTGATTGTGCTCTGCAGGCTCTGCGTCAAAATAACATCGATAAAAAATAAGAACAACTTTTTATCACGAACAAATTATAAGTAAGTACTCCATTGCTCTTCACTGGTCCACTTCAGCGCTGACTTTGTTACGGTCTTGGGCGGAGCAGGTGCCGCACCGTAAAAGTTTCTCTATGCACAAGCAAAAATCAACCTCCATAGGCAAAAGGATCATCTGATAGCCCAAGAAAGTACGAAGATCACAGGTATCCTATGATGAGGGTGGCGACAACGAAAATGATCATAGTTGCACGATTCAAAGACCGATCGTCGTTCACGCCTGCTTCAGTCATGCAAGAATGAAAAAATCAAATTCCACACACGGATATACGTGTAATCTTCTTCTTCGATAAATCAGGTTGCGCAATTGATGTGATGTCTCAGCCTCAGAAGCAGGTTGCAATTGCGTATTTTCATGTCGAAGTGCTGCGGATTGTCGTAGTGTACTGGGTCGATACCGTAGCTGAGTTTTTACGTATTTCAAAATAATGAAGACCTCCTGTTGCAGCATCTCTAGCAGAGTGCTCCACTCGAAGGTCCCAGTCTCTATCAACAATATTTCAAATTTTCCAAAAAGAGTACAGAAAGTGTAGTCGTCATGGTCGCATGTTTTTCACGACTACATCGCAAAACAAAAGCAAAAGCAAAACATATGCATATCTTCGTGTACAGTTTCACTCTTGGTAGGTTCATCTCGAGCATGTTTTTTGGGTAGTATTGCGGCTTCATCTATGAAAGGGCACAACTCCCCCCCCTCCTCGCCCCCCTTATCTATAGTAGGGCATGAACAAGAACAGCAAAATGAATACAAGCCAGCGTCGACAAGCAGTTGCCGCTTCTGCATGACGAATTCGCACGACTGCAGGAGCGTCGTCGTCGTGGTCGTCTTTGCACTAGACAATAACTTGTTCCGAAAAAGTGCCAAGAGGCAAACCATTCAATATTTCTGTTTTCGACGTGGAAAACGAAGGGGGAGTCGTGCCCTCGGATATCATCTTCATCTTGCTCAAGTCTGGTTTGGGAATCAGGTCCGCTGGCGTCTTGTATTGCCATTGCGCTTTGTATCTGTAGTGACAACAGTAAAGAGCATTTACGTGTTTCACACAGCTTTTTCAGCAACCATCGTCGAGAACATCCAGCCAATGCACAGGTGCGCTACTGCTATCTTCTGATGATTGTAATCTGTTCGACTCTAAGCCCTAGATTGTCCCGCGACCTACTCCTGTTCTTTTTCGTCCCTGTAATCTTCTTATTTGCTGAATAGGAATAATTTGCTCTAGCTGCTATCTTCTACTGAGAAAAATAATTTCATTGGAAAACACTAAAAAAGTACGCTGTTTTGTTATTTCCTGGGCGCTATCAAATGCAAATATGTCCAGGTACTCTGGAACTTGTTCGTGATTGGACGACAGGACTCAGAAAGTCATTTTAATCCAAAAAAATTGTCGTGCATGCAAAAAAGCGATTTGCATTTGTCATGCGGTTCCCGCAGAAAACTTTTCGTGCGCAGTGCTGTGTTGGAGGTTGTTTCATTCTCATGCACACAGTCGCCTCACAAGATTTCAGACCCAGACACATTCACAGTGGGTAGGACGATGAAATGTGGGTCTTTGAAGTTGTCTGTCCAGCTATGCAAGGAGAGAACTGTGTGAATAAAAGTCTGACTTTGTGTTGCAGATAATGCTGACTGAAACACGCAAAACACGAATATACCACTTGTCATGCAGGAGCTGGACATGCACATGCAGCAAGCGCTAGTCTCACACGATCTTTCATGTACTACGAATTGCGCATGACAAGTTTTTTGCTGTATATTCACATGCTGTCTGTTTATCCCCAGAGGAGCTACACTAACGCAGTTCTTTTCCTGGATACCAGTCGAATTTGTAAAGCGGCTCTTTCATCGTCTTCGCGAACTCTTCCTGCCGTTTATGCATTGCAAAAGTATAGTCGCGCGAGCTGTAGATCTTGCCACAAAAAATGAAAAATGTACGTAATGCCGAGGAAACAAGCAGAGAGATTATAAGCTGCTCTGTCATGAAGATCATCCCAGACTGCAGCTACTCCTACACCTACTAGTACTACGAGCGCCGAACATTATACTTTTATTGCAGTGGATACTGCTTGGGCGTCAACGTGGGCTCTTCCTTCAGCTTCTCGCTGTGGTGGCTTGTGCCGAGCGCGTTGAACCGCTCGTGGGTTATTTTCTCCCTTCTACCCACTTCCCTCTGGTAGTGGTTCGTTCGGATATGGTCGGGAGCATTGTAGTCCTTGGGCATGATCTCCCTCTCTCGGACGGAATACACGAAACCTGTGATGACATAATTCCGTGCAATCTTATCGATACACGAATCTTAATGTCGATTTGTCGTCCCCACATCCTAGTTGATGTTGAGCTAGAGCGACAGAAAAGTAAAAATGCGAGTAGATGTAGACGACATGTTTGTCTTCATGATAGGAACCTAGATTTCTTAGTAGCTGATTGTAATATGTTGTGTGTACTTAAATGCTGAATTCCATTTTGATTTTCAAGAACCGAAATGATGATAAAATTATCGTCCAAGAAACTGTCGTACCTTCATATGCTTGATTTCTCTGGAAATAGTTTCCGTAAAAACTCCCTCCTACCGGCGCCTTGTCGGCGTAGTGGCATCCTATTGGCTCGATTGGCATTTTGTCGTTGCCGGTGTTGGTTTCGTTTGTTCTTTTCTGTCTCTACGTCTACCCAGCGACCTTTATTTTCCACCAAGTCGTTGTGCTGCGCGTGCGCTTGTAGAACTACGCGGTAGCAATAAACGCACTCCTCTTCGTGACTTTTTCCGGAAACTTTTTTTCTTGTCGTCAACGGTTATTTCTAGCTTCTGCGAAGATCCTTCTCGTCCGTTTTGAAGAAGTAGATGCGTCTTGTTAACTTAATAGGTAAATAACCGCTACCACCGAAGATGTTAGTGTTACGGCACGACCGAAATGGTGAAGATACTGGAGAAAGATGAAACCCACGTCGATGAAGAAGAAGACAGCAAACTCCTCTAGGTGAAAATAATATGGGCCGTTATTAAGATGCGCGCTCCAGTCGTACGTCCCTGTGGTGATCCATGTACTTAATTAAGGGTAGTGGTGATAGAGGCCTGGCGGATGAAGTTGTTGTAACAGGCTGAAGTACTAGTACAACCTTTTTTGTAGGGATTCGTCGTCCGCCAGCCACACCTTCAGACTGTCCTTGTCGCAGCCGACGGCGGATGCTACTTGTCGTAATGCTGGCTGGTTTTTACGATTTTTAACAGGCCGCGCGGCCGCCCACCTCAGACAACGACTACAACTAGTGGGACGCCGACGCCCTGGACGACGAGGGGTGGGCTCTTACTTCTGTAGGTGTAGTTTTCTGCACCTCTTATGGTGCTTCTTTGCCTCGGTGGTGCGGCTAGTGGAGAAAAAAACCGCCCAGCAGAATCGCGCCAAACAGGAAGAGCAAACGCTATCTTTTTTCTACAACGTCGTTTTTCTTGTGTAAATTTTCCCGCTTTATATATCAAAAAACTTACGAGATGACCTCACATCTATCTACAAATGGGCTCCACTTCTACAGAACGTTTTCGAAATTAGGGAACCTTGTTCTGTTGTGGATGTAAAATTAATATCATGCGAACAATCGGGTCAGAATATCGACTGTCCACGCGATCGCTATCTGGTCCTCGAACCGACGAAATCATGTTCGCTTGCTTATCTAGTTTCTCTCGTCGCTCAAGCTCAAAGAGCTCCATGCATTGTAGAGGCACATCCTCTCATCCTGCTCTAGAGGCGACCAAGCGATAAACTGGTGCTGCTGTTCAGACTCCGAGAATAGCTTCTACCTACTATACGAAGTAGTACTACGAGTGACCAGCAATGGCGGGCCACGATAGATCATACGGATAGTTTCGGTTTGGTTCTTGCGATTTGTATCTTCGCCGACATGCCTCGAGCACGGGGTCAGCAAAACTTTAGGCATACTGTATGGACCGAGGTAGTGCGGCGCGCGAAGACGGAAGATAAGAACACACGGCCTGCGGCTGGCCAAGGCAGGAGAGGACGGCTGACCAAGATAGGCAGCACGACAGCTCATGGGCTTTCTGTTTATTCTTTTTGTTCCAAATCAACACTAATTGAAGAAACAACCGGGCATAGCTTTGACGCCGGCTTTTTAAGAACTGAAAATCTGACGTCGTGGGCTCTGATACCATTTGTTCTCTCTTTGGTTTATTTGTGCTGGCGATTGTTGATCGATATCGTAAAAACTGAAGCTCTGTCTGCTCGTCTGTACCACAGCCCGGAGGTTAGAAGTAACTCCGTCATAAGTACATTTTGGTTTCTTGCATTTGTCCACGGAAACTAGCAGAAGAAAAAGCAAAGGCCGCATGGCATCAAATAAAGTCGTACATTCTTTGGCACTTCTGTGTCTGACGCAGCATTAGGCTGTCTGCTGTCGAGTTCTTCCTTTCTTGTTCCGCTTCCGATTTTCGAAACTGCAAATTACATATTGGCTGTTGCTATGGTACGTTTTCCAGGACGAGACGTACAAGTATAGTAGTTTTCTGGTATCTATTATAGTTGTATTTATCTATTCACAGTCCTTTACCCATTTCACTGAGTGCTGTAGAGCATGCAATATAACTACTGAAGTAAACAAAGGAATCAGTTGTGGCGAAGTACTACTTCTACTACAGGTTACCACAAATTGAGCAAATCTATCTCGAGGAAGTACAACCCATATCACAACCCATCGGGAATTCTTGCGGCTCCAATGAGAGCAGTAGAACTCAACCAAGGGAGGTCGCCAGGTGTTTCGATAGATCCAAACCTGCTGTAGATAATAAAGCGCATCTCCGCCATTTAAAAATTCCTCGAAAAATTACTTCGAAACAAAACTTCTAGATGTTCGTTTTTGAAAAAAAACCATATGCCTCCCTCCTTCTAGCGCCGTTCTTATTTTCCGCGACAAGATTTGCCGCTGCTTTTACAGTTGCAACTTCGGCAACTTTGCGAGCCCTGCCATGCCGCCGGCGCCGAACCCGCCGTGGCCACCCGGTCCTTGCATGTTCGCAACCTGTAAGGCGGGAGTTTTGTTCATACACTCTGATTATTTCCTGTTTCTCCATATTGATTTACACATCGAGCAGTAGAAAGATGAAACATGGTGCAAACGCAAACCAAAATTCAGGATGACAGCAATCCAATGAATTTCCCTGCAAGATGAAGAAGCAGAAGATGAATGCATAGACTCCCTGGCACAAAGAACACGACTATGAGAACTATTGTACCCCAGCCGCGGCAGCATTCAGAGTCCCTTGATCGTCATTGTTTCCATCGATGCTGCTTGCGGTGCCACTCTGCGCCCCGCCCTGGACCATGCCACGAGACACGTAGCTGGTTGAAGAACTGTTCTCCAACGCTTTGCTTGTGACGCCAGAAGTACCTGGGTCATGATTTTTTTCGGTCCCTTTTTGCAAAGCAATCTGTCATGGTGCAGCCGCGTATGCATGAGAGGCATATCATTATCAGCACGAAATCTTCTTCACTGCATAAAAAAAAAATCTGGTGGTCTTCAGGTGCTGACAAAAAGCATCGTGATTTCGATCTCCATCACGCGCCTGTACGTCGGGCCGCCCAATCGACGTAACAAGAGGCTTACAAGTGCAATGCCTGAGATTGCAAATGCAATAAATATCTCACACAACATCTATGAATGGAAAACTGCAAAATGTTTCATACCTATATACCCCAAAAATGGGCCGCATATTTTCAAAATGGGCCGCATATTTTCGAAATTGGTCAACATAGGCACTTCTAGCACGCGGCAAACATCGGGGTTGCTTTTTTTGGCGTCCCCACTAGCACGGTCCGACCGTGCTAGTGGGGACGCCAAAAAAAGCAGCCCAGCTGGTTGCCGCGTGCTTTTGGAACCTATGCGGGCCAGTTTCGAAATATGCGGCTCATTTTTTGGATATATATTCACTTTTTCGCCCGCAGAGGTTCTAAAAGCGCGCGGCAACCAGCTGGGTTGCTTTTTTTAGCGTCCCCACTAACACGGTCCGACCGTGCTAGTGGGGACGCCAAAAAATGCAAAGAATGATCGCCATCGTGCTCGTAACCAGTGCCCGACCGTGCTAGCTAGTACTTTATAGGTATGAAACTTTTCTACATTTTCCATCCCTAACAACATCAGTTGGAATCTCCTAATAATACTCTTGCAAGCATACTATACCAAGAATGTTCCCGGTTAGCTTCATGCCCGGCATGTTTATGTTTTCAGCCATGTTGGTGTCGCCGCCGGATTCTCGCGAGGCTTGCATCTCCTCCTTTTGCAGATCCCGGATAGTGGCGAGGAATCTGTCATAAGTGTGAATCAGTGATTCTTTTTTTCATATTGGAATAAATGGAAATGTACTTATCCACTGTGAAAAATTAATATTTTATTATGTTTTCATCTCCGCATCATGACAAAAACAAGCTACATCACCGACTATCAGGTACTAGATGGTTACAGTTTATGGAGTTATGTAAACTGCGCAAGACAAGAACGCTCATCCTCATCATAAAAATCTGAACATTACTTCAGTACAGCATCATCTATACCTTTGCGATTCCGTGGCGAAGTCGTCCCAGAAGAGCTCGTTCAATTCCTTGAGCGGGCGCTTCCCTTGAAACCCTTGTCGTATCTCGCGCAGGATTTCGAGCGCCGCGTTTTTGATCGCGGCAAGCATGTGCGCCATTTTGTTCACTTCTCTTTCCACCAGTTTCTCCTTGTTCGATTGGGTAAATTCTCCCAATTGGGAGCCCATGCGCTCCTTCAAGTTGCGGAGGGTGGTGGGAAGTCGGCGGTCCTGTTCCAGCATGTCTTGCTCCACTTTGGACAATTCGTCGTCCAGCTCCTTCTCGGAAAACTCGGGCGTTTGCTTCTTGTACGCCTCCGTGGACCCCTGCGACATTTGGCTTGCTTTTTTCATGACGAGTTCCGCGGCGGGCACGTGCTCGGAGAGGTCTTTCTCGAACTTCTCCAGGTCCAGGATGAAGGCCTGAATCGCCGGGCCTTGCTGCTGGTTCAGGGAGTTCGCCCGGGTTTGGATGGACAGAAAACGCCGGTGGATTTCTTCGGACGCTTGCCCGGTCGCAATCTTCAGCTCCTGCTTGTCCTCCAGCTTGTTCATCAGTACCTGATTTTGTTTATTTATTTGCTTTGTAAGGTTGTATAAAAAATGCATCTAGAAGTTTTTCCATAGATTCGACATGGAGGTACACGACAGGTCGGTGTTTGTGTGTACTTCTATTCTTGCTGCTGCAGAGACCACAGCAGGCACAGGCTTAGTCATGCATGATGGCACCAGCTGCCGCAGCTTCGAGTGTAGTGAGATGAATTAATATAAATAATTTAATATCATACCTGTGGCGCCGGCACATTTTTGAAGAGCGGCTTGACGTTTGCCTCGAATCTCTGCATGTGTTTGTCCACCTTTTCGAACAAATCGTTGATCTGTTTGGAAATTGGGTCCATCGGGCGGCCACCGCCACCGGCAAAGTTCGCCGGGGTCGGCATTGCGTTGGCGCCTCCCGACACCGTGCGGAGCTGCGGCTGATTTGTTGGCATCGCTTGTCCTCCAATTGGTGTACCGCCGATCGGCCCGCCTGTTGGTCCTCCAGGCCCTCCTCGTGCTGCACCCGGTTGTACTCCCATCGCCGGCATGGCGGTTTTCTCGATTTTCAAATCGTCCTTCATCAATTTCAGGGCGGCGTTCACGTGGGTCCGCAAGTCGTTGCTGAACTGCGTCAACTCCTCGAGGTATTGTTTTTCTTTGTGCTCGGAATGCAATCGGGATTGCAAGGACACGAAGCGCACATGTAGCTTTTGCGACTCCTCCCCCGTCATGATTCCTTTCTCGTCCAAATTGGTCCTCGACTGGAGAATTTGCGGGGTCACCGCGGCGAATCTTGGCGCCAGTTCTCGTTCAAAAATCTGCATGTTGGACTGGATTTCTGCGAATATCACCGTGATCTTCCGCATCTCCGGGGACGACGGGTCCAGTTTCGCGTTCGGGTCCAGTTTTGGTAATTCCTTCGGGATGGTGACGGTCTTGTCATTTTTGAAAACGACAGTGGTGAACAACTCACGTACTCTTCCCGTGTGTTTCCGCATATCCTTCACAAACTGCTCCACTTCTTCCGAAAACTGCTTCTCCTCCGCCGGGCCGAGCTGCGCCATTCTACTCTCGATCTTCTGCGCTTGCTTTTCGATGTTTTGCATGCGGTAGTTCAGTTCCTCCGCTTCGATGCCCTGCAGAATTCTTCGGTCGTTCAGGTCCATGCGGGAGATTTGTGCGGACGTGTGGTCGATCTTTGCGAACAGAGGTTTTAATTGTTCAAAGTCGGACATTCCGTTTTGCAAATCAAGAAACAGGAATTCCAATCTCGACATTTTCTGGCCGTTCGGTCCTCCTGCTCCCATCATCCCCTGCTGCATTTGCCCACTCGAAAGACCACCTCCCGCCGCGCCTTGTGGTCCTGCCGGCACGGCCATGTTGCCCATCAGCTGCTGGGCTTTCCACATCTCGATGTCGGGCTTCGCTGCGATTTTGTCCTCGCCTTTTGGGAACAGAGACGCAGAGCCAGAGTTTGCAGTTGCTTGTGTATCTGCAGCTGTTTGGCTTGCTGCCATAGAAGCGGCGAAACTACCTGGTCGGTAGCTGTTCTGCTGTTGTTGTGGAGGCTGTGGTGTTCCTCCAACAGCTCCGCCAGATGTTGAAAACATGGCAGGTGTATTGATGCCGGAAATCGTGCTTGGTTGTGAAGATGGGGCGGAAGGCATTTGCATCTGCATTTGGACATTTGGCAGCTGCTGCTGCTGTTGTCCTTGTCCACCTTGAAGACCTTGCTGTCCGGGCAATCGAATGGGTACCCCGACACCGATGCCAATGCCGCCATTAGAAGACGGAGGAGCTTGTGGTGGAGGTGCTTGCACTACAGCACCGCCTCCAGCGTTTATTATCGACCCTTGCAACGACCTTCCGGCAGTGCTGGACGCTGAGCCAGATCCACCTGCCACCGCCTGGTCCACGCTTCGCACCGCATTTTCGACGGCCCGCACGTGGTCGGACAATGTGTGGCTGTACTTTTCCAAGTCTTGAATGTACTGGGCCGTTTGCGGCCCGTCGTTGTTCGTGTTCGGCCCGTTGTTGTTGTTTACACCCTTCTCCGCGAGCTCCTGCGCGATTTTTTGCAACCGGAGGAACTCCAGGTGGAACTTCTCACTTTCCTCGCCGTTCAAAAGTCTTATGTGCTCCGGCGTAACCTTGTTCGACTGCACCAGCTGCTGCAGCTGTGCCCCCGCGGACTGGAGCTTCTGCTGTGCCTGGAAAAGCCCAGGCTTCACGCGCTCGAAATCTTGCATGGAGACCTGGAAGAAGTAAAGAGGAATGTGTTTGGATTTATCTTTTACTCGTTTGCATCCTGCTTTGGACGTCAACATGGTTTCTTGTTTCGATTCACAGATCCTTGTTCTTGATCCAGGAACGAAGGTCATCAAAAATGAAGAAATAAAAAGCGAGAACTCCTTACCATGATTTTCTGGAACAGAAAACCCATCTGCTGCTCGATGTTGCTCTGTGCGAGTGCGAAGAGTATCGCGACCCGCCCAATGTGAAGGAGCAAACATAATCGGCGAAACAGAAGCATAAAAAGTCGACGGGAAGTTCGCATGATGGAGGTACTACACTCGATGTTGCAACAAGATTATACTATGTGGTGTTACTGGTGAGACGATCAAGAACTCTTATGCAGCGAAGTAGAATATCAAGAACAGTTGTACCGTAGCGCACTGCGAGAAGAATAATGTACTTCACCACAAGGCTACTGTTTTGGTTGGCGGATTTTTTTTGAGGTCGAACTGGGTTCGAGACGGTTTCGAAGAAGTTGTCGAAAAGAGACGCAAAAGCGAAAAGCAGAACTAGAATTAAGTTTTAAGTTTAACGAGAAGACACAGCGCAAAGGAAAATAGTTCGGATGTTGTTGAGAATTAGACTTTTCTGCGGATCGCGGAGATCGCGGTCTTGATAAGCGTAGGTTTTTCCGTTAAGTTTCAAAAGGAACAAGAAGCTCTGTCGCATGCAGGGGGGCGTAGCCAAGGGCTTTGGATCAAAGATTGCGAGTCCTGTGGTCGTGGTTTTATTTTCAAGTGGTTTATTCGTTGCAACTTCTGGTGTGATACTGTTACTGATGAACATGGTGGTTCATAGATACGCAGCTTTGTTCATGTTGGTACTGCCGATTTTTTGACACTGCTTTAACCTCCGCATAGTTGGGTGGTCTTTTTTTCAGCTCTCTGTCTGCTTTTGTTGCACGAAAAATCCTCCGTTAAGTACGAAAAAACCTGGCCACAGAGTCATTGGCTTTGTACGACCTCAAACCGACTTGTATATATTTTTCGTTGAACGAGAAGCGATATTCGTAAGCACGACTAAAACGCTATATCGTCTTTTCTGATGAGGAACATGGGTGCGAGCATCAGGAAACTCCTTCAAAATCTTGACGCTCGATATCGCTCAAAACCGTTTTGCGCCGCGACAAGTAGTTGTAGTTTTTCGTATACCAATTTCAATGGATCAAATCACGCCAGCAAAGATTAGAGTTACAGTTTGATTATGATTTCTTGGCTGCCGAGACCGTCAATGCCAGAAGTGACAACTATGTACAAGCTTCTAATTTCCTTCCTAATTTCGCAAAAAGATGTTACCAAGGCGGTGCGTGATGAAGGTGAACTTACAGAATTTGTTTGCTGAAAACTTTTCAAAAACACAAACATTAGAATACAGGCCATAGATAGACATTGTTGTCAGACACAACTTAATTTCTTCAGCGAGTGCAACAAGAGATTTTCGGAATTTGATTGCCTGTAGTCAGCTGGCAACCTCGATTGATTGCCTCTGTCTTGCGGCAGCTCTACTGTACAGTCACGTTAATTTCTTAGAAGCAAGCTAAGTCCGGGCTGAAAAATACGAGCCAGCTGTTGTCCTTGAACCATAACTCTTCTTACCACTACTTGGAGAAGAACTCGACCACGACCCTGTCTCCGCTTCACAGCTCCGGACTGACTAGCAAGGCAGGGTCAACCTCCTCATCTGGACGCACCTTGCTCCACGACGCAATCCTCCTTGCAAACGAGACCGTCTTTTTCGGTGCGGCGCGCGCTATCGGCATGCCCCCGGTGCTGCAGGTTTTCAGCGCATGATCAGCTGGATCAACAACATCTTCCGAGTGGATGTTCTGGTGTTGTGCAAGAAGTTCTACCCGAGCAGGAGCTCCTTGGTGTTGACTCAGATTCTTCTTCGCTATCGTGTTCTTATTGATCAGAATCTTGACTTCCTGCGGTTCGTCTTCCTCATACTCGTCATCCGAGTCTGAAAATTCATCCAGATTTCCATTATGGGAGTGTCAGTTTTGAAATCGTCAAAGTTGAAATAGTTTGTCATGCATAAAATGCAACGCAGAAAATGCCTGTCTTGCAGAATAGGCAAGGGAGGCAGATCGTGAGCCTGTTTCGGGGGAGAAATAGAGCTGCTAAAGTAGCATGGAAAAAGGCTTCTCCCTTACCCAAACAGCATTACAAACTGGATTTCGGCTCTACTCAAATTTGTCATGCGCCGCTTAGAAATTGGGCTTGTAACTGGCATCGATTTTATGCATTACAAGTTATTTCAACTTTGTCGATTGCCACTCTGACACATCCATATTCATTTCCCCCGTAGTACAAGATCGGATTAAACCCGTGCTTCGGTTGCGCACCGGAAACGTACACCCCCTTGTACCCGTCGTGTTTCCGCTATGAGACTGCACAACTCCTGCTCCTCCCCCTCATTTGTCATGCTTAACAGACTGCGCAGCTAAAGCCCGAATACAGTCGCTGCCTTATGGCACTATTTGCATGACAAGTTCTGGTGAAGGTGACCAAAATAGCACTACAATCCAGTCGTAAATTTGTCATGCAAAACCCGCATTCTTGCTGATGCTTGTCTTGCCGTTCATGCTATAGAAATGAGGGGGAGGGGGAGTTGTGCACTGTCATATCCGCAGATCGTGGATTTTGTCGCGGTACCCGCAGTTTGCGGCGACCGTGATCTGGATGATGGTCAAGATTTCCAAAATGATTGTGAAAATCTCGAAGGGCCGGGTCGCGTTGAAAACCGATGCCCCGGCGTCCTCCAGTTTGTGTTTCGCAACGATCGCCGCCTTCATTCGCTCCGTGTTGATCGCGTCCTTCAAACTTGTATTTGCCTCAAGCTGTAAAAAATTTTCCGCGCGCCTTTTTTTGTATTTGATATCCATCATATTGCACACGTATAGCCCCCCACTATGTTGCACACCTAATGAACTAGCTAGCCTATTCGCAGCGCTTCTCAGTGCCTAAAGACGGAGCTATCCGGCGCTGCTGCTCCGCGGACTTGCCTCGGAGCGCCCCTGCAGCCTGGAGGTGCTGCAGCAGGTCCTCTTGCAGTCCAGCCGCTAGACAATGGGCCTCACTCTGTGCAAGTCGGTCGGAGTCGAGGGCGCAAACGGAACCGGCCGCGGCTGCGCCTCCCCTTGTTTCTAATGTCGCGCAGCTGTGCACGCGTGTACCGGCAGGCGCGCGCGCATTTTGCCTTTGCGGCTTTTTCGGCAAAATGCGAAAAGCCCGAGAGCCTTTCGGGAAGGGTTCCCAGAGGGGTTCCGGGGCCCCTTTTGGGGAGGGGTAGCACCATCGTGATTCGAAGAAAAAGCAATAGGCTTTTTTTTAGGGTTCCGGGCACCCCTCCGGCCCCCCCTTTTTGGAAGGGCTCCGGAAGGGCCTTCGCGGCCAACGTGTGTGCGTGGTGCCTGCTAGAGACGACGAGGCCGGGGCCTGTGTAGACATCTCGCGGGGCGTTTCCAGCCTCACACGCTGACCCAGGCCATAGCGGCAAATAGCTGCACGGAGAGAGCAATCGAATCCGGAAAACGGAGCAAAATATTGCGCGCGCCCGGCGTTTTCTAGGTGAAAACATCAGCCACAGAAGAACCCCCAGCGCCCCGCCCTCCTTCGCGTCAATACCCACTTACCTACTAGAGCACTGTTGCTGACAAGCTAGGTAAAACAAACCGCGTTCAAGTCAGCCCCTCACTAGCGTGCACAGGTTTACTAGCTTTGCGCCGCGAAAAAATGCGCGCAGAATTTTTTTTACGGTCTGAGGCAAATACAACGTTGACGCCCCCATACTGTTGATCGCGTCTTTCAAGCAAGTGCCGAGCCACTCCGTCTCGTAGGCCACGGCGAGGGCCGCCATCATCGCGGTCAGCAGCTTCAGCAAGAAACAACAACGGATCTGGTGTGCGTTGTGCGCGATCAGGCAGACGATGGGCGCGGTGACCCAAACCGCGACCGCGGTGCCGTAATAGAAGAATCTGTCCATCTTGTTTTTCTGCACGTCCTGGCCGGCTTTGGAAAGAAACAACAGGTGAATCACGGCATACTGCACAGCGCAAGCTGCGAGCTGCAGCAGCAGGCGCGTGACCGTGACGATGATCCACCCCGGGCGGTTTTCGCGGGCATGCTCGTCGTCGTGGTGTGCCGTCTGTTGGTACATCTTTTATTGTGGTATGTGGTATACTTAATTCCTTATATTAAGGAGCAACAACAGCAGCTTCTGCTCAGTCTAGCTTTGGTTTATTTCCATCTTCTACGTACCATTCCCTCCGTGAAAGTGGTTCTTCTTGCCATATGAGAAATTGAACCTCTTCCTTGTTGGAGATGAACGAATACGAAACGAAAGCAGAATGAAAATAATATATAAATATGGGATCTCTAGTACGATTGTGCTCTTTCTTGAAAGAGCAAGTACGACAAGGCTATTCTGACCGACTTGATGGTGTAATCGAAAATTGACCCGGTCTGTGTAGTTTTGGTTTCCCCGGCACGACAAATTCCTCAACGATCAAGACGATTTCGATAGCGACAACGACAAACGCGAACCGATGGCCTAGTACAACAAGGTACCGAAAAATACGCAGCTACGTTCAACGATAAAGCAGGTAATTCACATAAATATATCCATTCATTGATCGTGTACCGTTTGTGGAAAAGGAGACGCAGTTGAAAATCGTCTGCGTCAACGCCATCGAAAATTCAGACCCGCCGGGCCTCTCCGACCACGACGACCCGTCTTGCTTACGTCGATATTTGAACGAAGTTACAGAGAGGGGCGCAACATTTTCTCCATTTATACAGGGCATTCCCCGGTTAGATTTAGATATTGGCTTTCTTCATCCACATTATTTACAAAACAAGCGTTTCCAAACGAATTGTCGTCCTGCTCCTGTCGCGTAGCCGTAGCAATAAACTTGAAAATGTTTCTTGTGCTATTACTTGGGCTTGTGAACCCCCTCCAAGTTACAACGACATATTCCTTGGGAGTGACGAAGTATCGACGGCCGTCGATACGATAGTGCTTTTGCTTTTCCTTTTGATATTAGTAAGGTGCGTAGAAATACTTGGCTAAACTTAGGACGAAACCTCTTTGTGTCGTGAAGACAAGTCGTTTCATATTGAACTGTTTGATCCTCGTTGGACGTCGACTTCGACGAGTACTAAGGCTTCGGCCTTGAAAAATTTGAAAAAAAGTCTACAAGTTGTCGCTTCGAAACGGAAACTCATTTTTTGCCTTACAACTTGGACATCAGCTAAACAGCCACTATTTTGAATCGATAAACAAGAAGGTAGCGCGGCTCCTCAGCTTCCTACCATGCCTTCCTCCTTCACCTAATCCAGCATCTTCCTTCTCACCCTTCGTCTTTGTCCTGTCCGCTGCCGAGAAACATTTTTTTCACGAAGTTCTGCATCATGTTGAGAGAGTAAAAAATTCCCCCAGGACCCACTTCGCCCTCTTTTGCCGTCCGCAAATTTCGCGCGTGCACGCTGAGGGAGCATTGGGAAAAGTCCTTCAACTTCGCCAGCTTGTAGGGCCCGTTGTTGTCGAAATTGTCGCAGTTTTCTTTCATATTCTCCATATATCAACCGATTGCAGAAGTTCTGGTGTCGCTACTAGCGCTACTCTCGTATTTATTTTCATCGCGGAACTGCATTACAAATCTGCTGCACCGCACGTACTGCATCTACTTCAGTACGCATCACTAATTGTGTTTTCCCTCTTGTTCTTGCAAAAAAAGTTTGTCATGCGGTGCACACGACAAAGAGAAAGAGTCGCACTATCAGATCCCAACTTTTGCAATTACCATACCGCGAAACCAAACGTGAAGGGGATGGACGCCAGGGAGGACTCGTGCACCTGCAGGTCATAGTCTGCGTACACACATTTCCCGCCGGCCGCTACCGCCCAGTCCCGCAGCTTGCAATAGCACTGGGGCGTGTACTCGGGACACCATGTGTTCTTGGGCACGGGCTTGTAGAGCAACCCGGAATCGAGCATCGCTTGCTCGTCCTTCGGTACCTACAGTAAACTTCCCACACATCATGTACAATTATACAACGCATCACAAATAATTTCGCGAACTTGGGGCATCTTTCCACTTGAATGATGTCATGCTAACTAGGACCTTCGAAGGCAAGCTTTGTCATGCAGAGACAGCATCTGTACGTCGTGAAGTACGGGAATAAATTGACTGTGGATATTCGGATCCACGTCCGCATTGAAGTAGCACTGCATCCAGGTGGCCTGGCAGTAGTTGCGGCACATCCCCTCCGGTTCGTAGCGGCAAAATTGCTTCAGTGTATCGTCGCTGCCGGCGTAGTAATCGCAGTCGACGGCGTGTTCCTGGATGGACATTTTTGCGGAGTCGGACAGTCTTCCCGGCATCTTCTCGCACTCCGAGACCCACTCCGTCATGGCTTCCGCGCACGAGGTTTCCTCGTGCAGGCACTTCTCGTGTTCGGTTATCGCCGGGGCGTTGATCGTTAAAATTGGGTAGCACTTGCTGAAGAAGTTTTTGCAATACGTCCAGCATTTTTCATCCACGTCGCCCCCAATGACCGCCGCGGCGAGCGTTTTGTCATGGATCTCGGACATGTCGTTACACGCCTGCCACACCGCCCACTTCGGCTCCCACATGCACTTCTGGTTTTCTATGCACTTCTTTTACAAAAGTAGTTGTAGTAGTTTAAGTATCCGCACTCCTCCTGGCCGTGGCGAAGGAAGACAACATAGCAAAGGACCAAATACTTCATCGCAGCATCCTGAATGCTGAATGCAAGAACCTGCTAAAGAGAAAATTAATAAACACGACTGCAGTCAGAAGTCATTACGAGGAGCAATGAGAACTTGAACTATGAAATACTACTGTTGCAGAGCGTAGCTTCGACGTCCCTGCACTTCTTCTTGTCCGTGTTGAACTGACCGCAGGTTTGGCCGTTGAGCCAATCCTTTTTACGTCGCACCCAGCAAAAATTCTGCGCGGCAGCGTCTCCCTTCACGCAAGTGTCGTAGTGGTCGTGGATGAAGTCTGGGTCTTTTACTTCCTCCGCCCCGCCGGTCCCGCAGGTGGTCTTCCAATCTTCCAGCTGCTTTTGGCAGGCTTCGCTGGAAATCTTGCACTCGCGCTCCATGCTGTCCGATTCCATGTCCATCTTTGTCAAATCGAAGCAGGCGGTGTAGAACGAAACGCACTTGTCGTCACAGAGTTGGTTCACCGCGACAACTTGCAACATGGATTTTTTCAAGCTCTCCTGGTTACAGACCTGCCAGATTCTCGGACTCTTGTCAAAGTAGCACTTTACGTCGTTGGTGCAAGCGCTTTCGTCCTGCTTGTTTTGACAGGTGCTGTGGTACGCTTCGTTCGTCGTATGAGAGAGCGCAGCTCCTTTCCTCAGCCCAACTTTTTGAGGCAAAACACCAGATACTGATACACGAACAGAGGACTCATTTTGGCATTGCTTACATGAAAAATTCCGGAAGTAGCACCCCAAATCCAAACAATACCTCACTGGACGTCGCATATGAACTTTTCATGCACAGGCACCATGTGGTGCTGGCGTTTGTCTTGCTGTTCATGCCCTCCAAACGAGGGGGAGCAGGGGGACGAGTTCTGCAAAAATCTCATACGCCTCCAGTTTCACCCAACACTTGTCCGGTGGGGGTTGTTGCGGCTGAAGGCCAACCTGGTTCTGATTCTGATTGTTGTTTCCGTTATTCGGCTTTTTGTCCTTGTCGCCCTCGCACTGCTTCAGCATGTCCTGGTGACTCTTCGCGGTTACCGTCTCCGCCACGTGGTCGGAGAACTGCAGCTTGGGTAAGGCGGCCGGAGTGCGGACAAAGGGGAGATACTTCTTGATCAAATCAAACTCCCGATTCCCCTCCACCCCATTGGTCGCGCAGTAGTAGAAAAAGTCCCCCACCGCCCCGCCCAACCCGTGCCCAGTGACTTCAATGCTCGCGCAGCTGGAGAGCAGTGCGCCGAGTCGGGGGATCCCGCAGGTTGTCAGCCGCACCATCTCCTCCGCATGCTCCTGATGCACGTGCAGCCCCGTGCCGCAGAGATCCACGCCGGAACCGTAGCTGTTTTGTGACTTTTGTCCTGCTGCGCCATCAGGTGTTTGCTTCATCTCTGTCTCGTAGTTGTTCTGGCCCGAAAAGGCGAGAACGCAGTCTAAGGTACTCGGGTCTTGCGCGAGTAGAATGTGGTCCGGATCCCCGGGCCAGGAAACAGTGCCGCCGAAGGTCGTGAACAGTGTATACCAGCCAACGAGGTTGTAGGTTCCAAATTTTGTTTCCCTCAATGCCGTGCTGTTCGCCGGCTTGTGCGCCTGCATCGCCAGTTCTTGGAAAGTCGCGATTTTTTGCTGCGTCGCGCTGTCAAGATGATTGTCATTTGCAGCGACCGCTTGCAGCTTGGTCAGAACTGTTTGTTTATCAGGTCGCAGAACGTGGAGGGCTTTTGCTTGGGAATCGGAAGACCCCGAGGTCTGCTGATTGATCGTCCCGTGACTCATTGGGAGGTATGGCACGTCTTTCGCGGACTGTTCGGTCTCGTTGCATTTTACGAAATTTATGTCCTTGATTGTGGTGTGGGTTGCGTCGTATTTGAACTCGAGCACGTCCATGAGCGGGTGTTTGTAGCTGGAGCCAGCCTGGTTGAAAATCGTGACCATGTAATCGGTCCGCTTCACAAGGTCGTTCGCGTCTAACTCGATAGGGTACACCCGGACCCCGGGAAGACACCCTAAATTAAACCCGTCCTGCATCTGCATCTTCGCTTTCCCATTGGTCATCGGGTGCGGTGCGTTGAAGGAAAAAACTTTCGGCGTAGCCTTTGGTTGCCCGCCGCTTCCTGCCTTGCCATGCCCAAGCGGGGAATACTGCGGGTCTGTCGACGTTGGCACGGCGGTTGCGGCGACCACACCAGTGACGCCCGGGATGCTCGCGGCGGTTACCTGGCTCGTCACGCCTTGCACGACGGTGTTGTAGATCGCTGAGGTTTGGGGGGACACGGCCGCAACGCCGGCGCTGGGGGACGGGGGCGTGGAGGGCCACACGTTGTTCAGGGTTGAGCCCTGACCGGTTGACGTCGAGTTAATTTGAAACTGCACGCTGATCTTCGTAGTGGAGGTTGATTTTTTCTTGGAAGTTTCTGTTGCTCCTGTTGTGGCTGCGAGAGAAGACGCAGATGCAGTGGCAGCGGTGGAAGTGGTCGCTGAAGTTACTGTTAGTACGACCTCCGTGAACTGCTCCGCCGACAGGTCTGTGACACCGCCGTCCTCGAACACCTTCAGCTATCCACGGCAGAAGTATCGTACTCGTACTAATGCTAATAATCGCAAAGAAACATCATCTTCATGCTTGACCAATATACCCCATTCCTTTCCTTTGTATAGGCAAAATTAGCATGACAGATTCCACAAGACTTTGTCATGTGATTCCTACCAGTATCGGATACTCATACTTTTGCAATGCGTATCAGCAACCCGGCTACGATGGAATCCTTGAACGCCGTGTCGTCCAGAAGCGCGTCAATGTCCGTTTGTCCGTCGTCAAACTGCATTCCCATCTCGAAGGCGCGCATCTGCTCTGGCTCTGGTTCCGGTGCTGGAGGTTGGGAGTTGTTACCGCCCTGCTGTGCTCCACCGCCCTCCTCCAGTGGCCCACCCTGCTGCGCTCCTCCACCACCGCCTCCAGCTGCACACTTATCGTAATGCTGATCGACGAAGTGCGGATCTGAGTTGGGCGCTGGTGTGCCTCCGGTGCCGCAGGTGTTTTTGTAGTTGCTCACTTGTGTTTCGCACGCAGTTTGCGAAAACTGGCATGGGTTGGCCGGGTCCATGGCCTGTACTTCCAAAGCCGTGGCGCTCAGGCCGTAACAGACTACGTGAAAATCTTTGCACAAATCTCTACAGTCCTCACTACTGTTTTCGTCGTGACACGCGGACCAGACTTTCGGGGACACGTCCCAGTAGCAGGCTGCGTTGGCAACGCAAGTAGTTTCGTCCTGCAAGCTTCTGCACGTAGCTTTCTCGCTTTTGTTGGCCTCGTCGGTGACGAAACAATGCTTCGGTGGCGGTCCTTCGGAATTGTAGTTACCACCACCTCCCCCGCCTCCATGGACGCAACTCTGGTGAAATTGGTCGACGAAGATCGGATTTGCGATCGCGTCAGTGCCCCCAGTTCCGCACGTGCTTTTCCAAGAGTTGATTTTTTGTTTGCAACCAGCGTCGGTAGAATATTGGCAGGGCTGCGTCGCTTCTTGCATGGTTGCGGTTTTGGGTAAATTCAAACAGGAGGAAAAAAAATCCGTGCACATGTCGTCGCAATTTTGGTTGGTCTCGGCCGGTGCGCTCGCTTTTTTGTTCCCGGATTCACACAGGTACCAAATTTTCGGCATGCTGCCCCAGTAGCACTTCGCATCTTGCACACAACTTTGCTGGTCCTGTTTCGTGCCGCAAGCCTGTTCGTGGTCCGCATTCACCTCATCGGTGACATAGCAACTCATGGTTGGTTGCGAGTTCTCCTGGGGCGGACCACCACCTCCACCACTGTACTGCTGCCCCCCGTTGCTGCCCTGCTGCGCGTCACTCGTCGCGCAATGGCTGATTTGATCTTGTACGAATTGCGGGTCTTCGATGTGGTGCGCCGTGGCGGTCGGACCACATGCGTTGCTCCAGCTCATGAAGGCTTGCTGGCACGTCGCATCGGTATGCGAGCACACTGCGCCCTGGTTCGGAAACGTCTTCGCGAAAAGGTCCGTGCGCTGCAGATTCCAACACTTTTCGTAAAAGTCTAAACACTTTGTGTCGCAGTCCGCGACCACTTGTTGCGCCTGGTCATCGTAGCTGTGCTGGTTACAGAAAAACCAAATTTGAGGCGTGGACTCGTACAAGCAGTCGGCATCGGCGGTACAGGCCGCCTCGTCAGCGTGCGAGCTGCAAGACGTGTGCTGCGTCAGGTCCTCCGCGTATGTGCTGTGTTCATTTTTCACGCAGCACTGCTTGGCCGGCGGACCCGTATTTTGTAGTTCACCGTTGCCACTATTAGTACCAGCGCCCCCTCCTCCAGATGTGCACAAGGCGAAAAATCCGTCGACGAAGTTCGCTGCGTTCTGTACGGCGTTCGTACCGGCCGTGGTCCCGCAGGTCTGCTTGTAGTTGTCGAGCTTCGTTTTGCATGCGTCGTTCGTCGCATACTGGCACTGCAGGCCGTGAAACTGGTACGCCGGTTGGTCAGCTTCGAGGTTGTAACAAAGCTTGTAGAAGTCCGTGCACAAAGCGTCACAGGTCGCACTGACCGTCGTCATGGCCTGGTCCTCATAGCTACCTTCGTTGCAGGCCTGCCACACCGCCTTCCCGCTGTCCCAAAAGCACTTCGCGTCTGCGTTGCAGCCCTGCTCGTCCGTGTGCATGCCGTAGCAGCCGTAGGCCTGGTCTGCCTCTAACCTCTCGAAGCAGTGGTAGCTCGGCGGGTTGCTACCGGTTTCGAAGAAAAATAGCTGCTGGTGTGGGCTCGTTCCTGTTCCCCGTGGAGATGAAGGAGAAGTTATAGTACTGGTGTCGTTTTTTATCTTACGGACTTTTTCTACTAGAGAAGAAAATGAAGCTTGCGTCGTCTGGAGGGCAACATCGTCGTCTTTCTCTTTACTTGTCTGTCTGCTTCTTGGCAATACCACGCTCTTGGAGACGAGTTGCGCCGTAGCAGTGGGACGAGGTGGAGCTTCTACCTTTGCGGTGAGGACAGATACAGGCACAAGACCACTTTCTTCATCCGCTGGTGTTCTCTCTTGTCTGTATTTATCGTAGTTTCGCAGCACAGTTTTTGTCCCTCCCTGCTTCCAAGTACTTCGTCCGTCACCAGAGTTGCTGTTGCTTCTAGGTTGATCTCCCTCTCCTGTGGAAAGCCGCCCGCGAAATCGATCTGTTAAGCGAGGTCTGGAAGGAGCTTGCGTCTCTGTTCGACCAGAAGTGCTATGTATGTGCATCGCATGATTCTCCGACTCCGGCTCCGCGAGAAAGAAGGAGTCGAGTTTATTCGGACGACCAGGAAGCTTTTGTTCGTTCCGGAGCAAGCTACTGGGCGCGGCAGCGGCGGGAGGATTTTTGTCACTCTTGTCCAGAAACTCAGCGTCAGAAAGAATCTCAGCGGCGTCGTGGACGTGATCGCTCTTGTGGTTCTTATCCGCTTCTACTAGAAGCCCTGTGTCAACATACTGTGCCCCCCTGCTTCTCACCTGTTCCTGCTGCTCGACCGGCAGTATCGCCTGTGCTCCACCAGGTAGGCTCGTCAGCACGCCCGTGGTCACTACAAGTGCACCGGAGACGAGTATAGAGAAGACACTCGTCCTGAAAGAACCACGTGCGGCGCACCGAGAGCTCGTGCCCTGCACAGAAGTCGCACATGCGGTGGGACGTAGAGATGCTGGGAACGACTTGGCTCTCCGGGAACAAAGAACCGTCATCTTCGAAGCCTTTCGTCTGCGTTTTCTCATCATCTACGGGCGAGAGGAGCAACGCCGGCGCCGCCGCTTGCGGAACCGGCAGGCAACTTCTAAGTAGGACGTGCTGCAAAGAGGACTAGGCACTTGATCATAATTTACTCATATACTTCGTCTAGTAGAACGAGTACGTGCACTTCTTCCACAATCTGCCTCAGCATCCAAGACTCGCTGTGAAGAAAGCTATCGCTCTTCCCACCTAGTAGTAGCCTCTTTTTTTTTATCATCGAACCCCTCGTCTACTGCTTTCTGAGACGTAAGTAGACCCTCTCAATGTACTATATGTTTAGGCTTGCCTCAACTTCACCTCAATCACCCTTCGCCCCCAAGGCAAAATTTTTTTCCTTTGTCGATGCTCTCTCGGTGAGCTTAGCTTTCCCCCAAATCACTTTGTTTTTGCCACCTTTAAAACGGAGACAGAGAGGAGAGAACGACGCCGAATGGATGCATGCAAATGTGCAGTCTGGGCCACAAACCAGTAGTTCCAGAGGACAAGGACGATGCCCTGCTTTCCACCGCTTTTCACTTTCAAACTTCAACTTACCACATGAAAAATCTTTTACGAAATCCTGATCATTTTTGGGCGCAGGCTCCTGCGACATATCAATTTGTGTACATAAAAAACATAACATTAGAAGGATCTGAAGCAATACCAACTAATTTTGAGTCAATTTTGCATGGAGAGTCGCGATGATTCAATTTTAAACGAAACTCAAAACGGTAGTAAGATACAGTAAAGAGCTTTGGTTCTCAACATCATCCAAATAATTTAAGTACTTCCTACGATTTTGTCAAACGTCAACTGACAAGAAAGAAAACTGGAGATAGCCGCACTTACAATGACAGAGACAGACGTGCGTCAAATCTTCGTGTATAATAAAGGAAACTTGATGTCAACATCACACAACTAAGAGGCGCAAACGGTAAAGGCAAATGTGCTGAGTAGACGCTTTGAAATTTTATTTTGAAGCTACTGGTGCAACTTTCTTCGAAAAATTCAAGTGTTGGTTACCGTGTCTTTGTCTTCATCAGATACAGCTGAGCTATGAGAATTTCCCCTGCTCCTTATGTAACTCTAGTTCAACTACGAACCACTTTTCGCTGGTGAAAACGGCAATCAACAGCAAGCGATTCGAGGTTCTACTTCTAAAATGCGCCTAGTAGTAGTAGCCCTCATCATAGCCGTACGGGTCCTTCTTCTTCGTGTACGGGTCGTTCCCCCATGTTGTCCTAGCAAAATCATGAGCTGCCAACGACATCCAGCTGTTGTCAATTGTCATGCATACAACTAAAAGATAGCTAGCAGGGGAAAGAGTCCCTCATGAAAGAGGCTCAGGCTATCAAGATTAACGTCTGGCATGACAACAACAGTATAGATACTGTGCTGCAGTTTCTCCAACACAGTAGACCTTCAACACTAAACGCGGTTCCCATTTTCTCTAATCCAGTTTATGAGGTGGACCACAAGGTAGTTGACACCCAAAAATTTTGCTCGGATACACGTGGCCATGCCCTGGTTCAGGGTGCCGTAGTACCCCGCCGTGTTCGCATTTTGCATCTTCTTACCCCCGCCGCGGAAGGAGTACGTCGCCAAGTCCTCGTGGTGCCGGTCCATAGTGTCCGCCAGGTTCGCGTGGATGTCGTGAAACCCGACAAAAATCGCGGACAACAGCTGCAGCCATCCGGCCCCGACCGTGAACGGGATCAGCGGTGTTTTATGCAGCGTGCAAAATTGTACTTCGCTTCGTGCTTTCTCATCACTTTTATTTGCGTATATGTTGCATTTATTGCATGCCTGGGTGGTGGCCGGCTAGTTCTGGAGGTACCTGCTGCAGCTGAACAAAATTTTACCAATTGAAAGGACGCCGCCGCGAGCAGCTTGTCTATCGTTTATTTGCAGCTCTCAGTCTCAGTCATTATCAGTTGCATCTCAGAAAACAAAAATATCAACTGGAGAGCAGATGGCATCGTTACCAGCTATGAAGTTGCACTCTCGATATCTTCCGGCATCGAATTTCGCGTTTTCCGGAAAGACGCACTCTTGGAAAACCTGCATGAGATTTGCAGGATAAATTTTCATTTGCAATAAAACTGCTTTCCTACCACACCTTACGTCGTTGATGTCCTAAAGTCCCATGCGCGACAGGATGGAAACCGATACTGGTACTTACTGCAACACTTTCAGCAAAATAATTTTCTTTAAATTGATATGTGTTCAACGCGAAGAGACCGAGCGCACAAAGAAAAGAGTAAGTACCTAACGTTTTCAAACACAAACAACCTTTAACATTTACCATGGCCCAGAAAAGCAGTGCCGCGATGCTGACCATCCAGGTGCTGCTCTTTGCCATCATCTTGTTGTTCGCCGTGTCCGCACAGACGCCGGCAACGACCGGAAACAAGAAGGTGACCCCGTACAAAATGCGCTCGTCTTGCGGAAACCCCATAAACCGCTCGCTTTTCTTGGCCTTGTCGTAGAACAGCTTGAACCCCAAGCAGAAGCACACGAATGCTTGGGTCACATACATGATGCGAAACGCCAGGAGCGGCGAAATCGTGCCCATTTTATTGAGTTGCAGTTGGTCTTAGCTGTCAACTTTCTTGTCCCCAGTTGATGTTCAACTAACTTTTTTCTTGATCGATCTTATTTTGATTTCATTCGATAGACCAGCCGAGAAAAAACGAAAAACTCTGGTACCATACGATTGCGCACTTCAATCTAAGCGAGAGTCAGAGTTTAACCAGTCCCGTCAACGATGAAGATCTCATCTGGTTTGTGGAGGTCGAGGTGTGCACATGAGTATTTGATGCGAAGAAGTTTCACGCGACCATACGTTGTCTCCGTGGCGTAGGTACGACACATTTACGACTCAAACGACCCGAACGAAACACTCTGGCAGATCGTTGTCCATCCGCTTGGCCCTTTTTCTAATCCAACTATAGTTTACGACGACGATTTATTTCGGCTAGTACGGCAATAATTCAAGGCGATGAATTTCACCGCTAACTCATTCGCTGACTACCACTAGTGCTTGTGCTACTTTTGTTTGATTTAGTAGTAAGAACGACACGACTGCGATAACGACTGCGACCACACTAAAGAAAGATCATACGTTCCGACATTCTTTTGCTTTTCGTGAACACGAGCGCGCTTCGTCAACGAAACCGCGGGCACAGCTTCTTTTCGCAAGAAACTGGCCACGTGCCTACTTTAGATGTTTTGGTACCTGAAAGCGATGCTTTCTTGGTATTGATTTTTAACCTCAAGTGCCATTAACCTTAGTTGCCAGGAGCGCGCGGCGTCCTTAGGAGTGGTCGCTTTTTGTTTTGAAGGTTGGGGCTGCTGCGCATTCGCTTACGCATTCGTTGGGTGAAATCGAGAACTCTGCCCACTCTAGTTCTCTGTTAATCTTGAAGAAACCTTGATATCATCTCTAAAGAATCTAAATCAGGCAAAAAGTGAAATCGGCCTTCTATTTTGCAACTGAAGCAGTTTTGCCCTGTTTACAAAGCCAATCAACAACTCTTGCCGTCACATTTTTAGAATGATTTGAGACTGGATATGTTTCTTCGAAAGTAAGTACGACAATGGCAAGAAGACCCTGCACCGCCATCCCCGTACTAGTGGAGTAGTTTACATTTTCAAAAAATTAGGTAGAAAACAAACCACATCAGCAGTCGCTCGCATGTCCTGCTTGGACATGTCCAAGGAGGCAGCGAGCAACATGTATTGAGTTACAACTACTAGAATTCCATAATGCTAATCGCGGACGAAGATCTTTATTCGAGGTCACGACCTGTGATCATGCTATTGCCGTTGCACAGCATGGGTAGCTGAGGATCAAAGGCACAACTAGCAAACAAATCACCCGTACGGTAAGAGTACTTGTACCTCCCGAGGACCTCGAATAAAACATGATCTTCGGTCCTGGCTTAGCCTCAGCTTTTGCACGGCTTCCAGGCCGTGATGTCCGAGTTTTCGGCCGCGGTGCCGAACACTTCCAGCTTCTTCAACTGCGTGATGTCCGCGCCGTTGTTCTCCTGCACGAAGAGAATCAACGCGTTGACGGACTGAAATTTCACAAATTTCACCGGACACATCACATCCTTCTTCTCCATCAGGTTACCTGTTGATAATAATGGGGGAACAGCTAGTTTTTGCCGAAGTGCGGAATTAATGTCTCAGCATGATAACAAATTAGGCCGCCATGAGCACGAGAAGAAATTGAAATCGAAATGAAAATAGTCATATAAAGTTTCACTAATTTTGAAAATGAAAGTAGTACATTGTGCTGGGTCCAAGGAGAGATCCTGTGTTGTTGGTGTGTCCTCGGCTTCGCTAAAGCCCAAGCTTGGTTTGTTGACGAAAAGTTTTACGTCCGTTGGGCAAGATTCCTCCTCGACGCCAAAGAAGCGGAGACCTGATGTCGTGTAGTTAGATCGTTTCGTTTTTCTTTTTGTCTTCATGCGTAATAAATAAGACCGGCATCGCAATAATGCACCTGCACCTGCTCTAGTTCTAGTATGTGTAAGTATGCATGACAAACAAAGACGGCATATTTTCGGTCGTGTACCTGAAATCTTCACCGGTTGTCGAAACTGGATCTTTATCAGCAACTGGTGATCCGCGTCCGATTTCAGTGGGGCCTCGGAGTTGTGGAAGATGTTTCTTACTGGAAAATCCGCGGACTCATTCAGACACTCCACGTCTGATATGTGGTCGTTGATACAAACATCGCTTGCCGCCATGGCTTTTTTTTTGTCGCGGTTCTAGTACGAAATAAAGTTAAGTATTTAAATACGACCAACGAGCTTCATATTACTGCAACACGAGGTCCTGTTGTTTGTCCTCGTGGCTTCTAGTTTGTAGTTCTACACTTCTCTCGAACAATATATACTTTTGTCTTCAACTTTATTCTCGAACTTGCTAAGTTGTAGCTAAGAATTTTTTGAGATTAGGAATGGGGGGGTAGAAGTCGCCAAAACTTTCTGGGATGGGGCTCCACGATGGTCGTAGTAACTTCTGAATTTTTTTCCGAAAACAAGCTAGGTATTCCTCTATGTGCCTGTGATTGTTGTGTTGAAAAGAGACTCGAGATCTTGGTCTGAGCTACCATGCGGTGTTCTTGGTGAGAGTGTCAATTTTGGGACGACAGGAATAATTCTGGTGTGTACATTGTGCTGTGACTACCTGAGCTAGTGACAGTTGCTTTTCAGAACGGCGCATCTGGCGTCGACTGAACACATTAATTTCTTCCTTTTCATCCAGGTTGCTGCATAAGGTGAAGCTTTTTTTGTAGAGCTTTCTCAGCAAGCCATCTTTATCTCAGAGCACTCTTGATGGGCTTGCTGTACTTGACGGTTCATTTCTGTAAAGACACTCATCAGAGCCGCGGGCACCGTCGATGAACCGCAAGTAACTTACTACTTTCGCGAGCACCAGCCATCACTGGTTCTGCATCAAACAGGATTTTTGCAAATGAGGGTTGCATTTGAAAGGAAAAAGATTTTCATTTTTGCCTTCGCGGTAATCTGAATACAGCTCAGTGTACCTATTACTCAGGTTTTTCGTATCACGCGGCGGGTGTAAAGCTTTACCCTTGCGGACTGTAGGACTTGCATTCTGAGGACGTAGGGCATGAAAAGGTTTAAGTAGCTTTTTGTACAGTTGTGTTCAGTTCTTTTTACAGGCTCATTGAGTTACATTTTGGGATATCACTTCTGGTTCCTGATAGCTCTTCGTCATCTCATCGATCAGATCGACCGCCGACCTTAAGCTTTGTTAATTTCATTTGATAAAGTTGCAATTACGTAAAGATAGAGTTTTGCATTACTGTTGATAAAGTTGATATAGAAAGAAAAAGGAGTATGAAATTTGTGAAGCTGGATGATGCACAGCGGCGCCATTCCTGTCACGTTGACGTTGTCAAGCTTGCGCCCACTAGCACCAGCACTTTCTTTCACATTCACTCCTTGACAAACGACGCCGTTTTCTTCTTGTTTCCCAGCGCAGCCAGGAGGGAATTGTTCTTCGCCTGCGTGCCCTTCGCAATATTCATGATCTTGGCTAACTTTAAGCCTCGCTTTGCCCGTTTCTGGATGCCACTCTGCAAACGCTCGAGGGTCGGATACCACAGCTCGAGGTAGACCTGATAATTGAATTTTATTTCGAGCGAATGAGAAAATACTTGGTTGTGATGCTCTACGCTATCCGCTACACACCCGGGCGGTGACGGTTATTCTTATTTCGAATGCGAATCCTGAATACTTAAACTAAGCGTGATGAAACATCTAGAAGTTCTAGAAGAGTACCTGTATCAAGATGAGCATTTTGTGCAGTAAGTCTGCGTGTCGGTTGGACTGATCGTTGAAGCTGCCATCGTCCCCGAAGTCGACCCGTGACCTCTGCTCGCAGCTCCACTGCACCACCGCAGAGAGCAGTCTCCCTCGGTACAGGGGCCAGCTGTGCAGCGCCACGGTGGTGCCGTGCTTGTCAGAATCGTCCTTCAGCTCGCCGACGTTGAGGTCGATCAGATCTGGTCGATAGCGCGGGTCCTCCTTAATGTTCCCGCAGTGGAGGCTGGTGCGCTGCTGCACACACAGGCCGGCCATACCTGAACCGATCAGAGGTAGTGGATTGTGGAGGTATCTACACTGCTTCTAAGTACTTGTCAAGAGCAGGACAGGAGGATGAAGCCTTATTCGCAGAAATTGAAATAAATGCGCCGAAATATAAATGATCAGCGAGATTTTTGCGTCCTGGCGTCAGCCGCTTTGCCACCCGGCGGTTTTCGACCACCAGTCTTTCCGAAGCGAGGGTGCGAATGGACAAGCGCAAGCGGTGCAAGAACCCAGAATACTACAAATAGCCCGGCCGCCTGCGGTGGCCCCCACTTTGCCAGTCCTTGGCGAAGGCGGCGGCCGACTCGGCGCAGGTGTGTACGACCCCCGGGTGGCCAGACATTGCCAATTTCTGCTCTTCCTCGAAGTTGTACTCTACTTTGACACCTTACGACTTTGAGCCATCAGTAGGCCAGGACCAAAATCGCGAATTTGGCGATCAGCAGCGCTTTCCCCCGATGCTGTCATCCACTTTGCCACCTTACGATTTTTGGACCTCCCGCGGCCGGGACAAAAAACGCAAATTTGGCGATTAGCAACGCCTTTTCCCGATGGGTATACCCCATTTACCCCCCTCACGATTTTGGGCTATGTGTGCCCGGGTGTCGTCACCCGGCCACAGAAGTTGCAAACTTCATGATTAAGAACCGCTTCCCCCCATGGCATGCTGCACTTTGATACCTTACGATTTTGAGCCATCACTAGGCCAGGACCAAAGTCGCGAATTTGGCGATTAGCAACGCCTTCCCCCGATGCTGTCATCCACTTTGCCACCTTACGACTTTTGGACCACCCGCGGCCGGGACAAAAAACGCAAATTTGGCGATTAGCAACGCCTTTCCCCGATGGAGATACCCCATTTACCCCCCTCACGATTTTGGGCTATGTGTGCCCGGGACCGGGTTTCACCCGGACACAACAGTTGCAAACCCCATGATTAACACACGCTTCCCCCCATGTCATACTGGACTTTGATACCTTACGATTTTGAGCTAGCGGAAGGCCGGGACCAAAGTCGCGACTTTGGCGAATTAGCAGCGCCTTGTTCCCCCGATGCTGTCATCCACTTTGCCACCTTACGATTTTTGGACCTCCCGCGGCCGGGACAAAAAACGCAAATTTGGCGATTAGCAACGCCTTTTCCCAATGGGTATACCCCATTTACCCCCCTCACGATTTTGGGCTATGTGTGCCCGGGTGTCGTCACCCGGCCACAGAAGTTGCAAACTTCATGATTAAGAACCGCTTCCCCCCATGGCATGCTGCACTTTGATACCTTACGATTTTGAGCCATCACTAGGCCAGGACCAAAGTCGCGAATTTGGCGATTAGCAACGCCTTCCCCCGATGCTGTCATCCACTTTGCCACCTCACGACTTTTGGACCACCCGCGGCCAGGACAAAAAACGCAAATTTGGCGATTAGCAACGCCTTTCCCCGATGGGAATACCCCATTTACCCCCTCACGATTTTGGGCTATGTGTGCCCGGGTTTCACCCGGACACAACAGTTGCAAACTCCATGATTAAGGCACGCTTCCCCCCATGTCATACTGCACTTTGATACCTTACGATTTTGAGCTAGCGGAAGGCCGGGACCAAAGTCGCGACTTTGGCGAATTAGCAGCGCCTTCCCCCGATGCCGTCATCCACTTTACCACATGCCTGACGACTTTTGGACCCCCGGCGGTCGGAAAGCGCTGGATCAACCTTAGAAATCTGAGCGATCCGCGAAATTTCGAAATTTTATTTTTATCGAAGGGCAAAACATGCAAAGTCTTCAAATTTAACTTAGTGTGGAGCTTGTACAGGTAAAGAAGACATCGCTGCGAGCTGCTAGAAGCACCGAAAGCGACGGAGGAGACGCTCTGCAATACCTCTTTCACGCTCACAACCCATGAAAACTTGGAAAAACCGCGAAAATCGAAAATTTTATTTTTATTGAGTGTTAAAATTTGTTTGATCTGAAGCGATGTGGCGGCCGACGCGTCTTTTCAGGCATGTCGTCACTTTTTTTTTGCCTATATTTCGTGTCTAATCAGGCCTCCCAGCTTGTAATTTCTGAAAATTTCACAAACAAATTTTAAAATTTCATTTTTATTCCCTGTCGACCCTCAATTCTTCATGGTATTTCATACTGGAAGATGCTTAAACACCAATACATCTTCTCCCCCAAGACCGACTCGTCACATTTCACAGAAAATTTTCAAAATTCGCGAAATCCGCGGAATTTTAAAATTTTATTTTTAACGCATTTCGAAATCCGCGAATTTCCAAAATTTTATTTTTATCCGGCTGATTTTTCTTCTTCTTTCAGGTGAGATTCGTTCATCGGATTCTCCTTTACAGCTACAAGTACACCATACTTCCTCCTGTCTGCAACCCTCACCCATCTTGACAGATCGAATGGGCCAAGCGTTTGCTGCTCAGCTCTGGGGAGGTAGCCCGGCGTTTTAAGTGCGCCCAAGCACCGTCACTCTAGGACACTCCGTAAGTCATACCGGAGGTAGCGCTACGCGCGAGCAATTACGGCGAGCATCACAGTGGTATTACGACTAAATTCTACCAGATTCTAGCTCAAATTGAAACGTAGGACAAGCATATTCACCTGCTGTTTTGTCCAGGCACACTTTCTCCACCATGTCGCCACAGTATCCAACGGAAAGGAAGCGCTAGTGCTGCCCATTTTCGGATGTTGTCGTGCTCACCAGTTTTGCGATTTTATTTAGGAAATAGATTCAACACAAGGGAACAAAATTCCATCTACATACTTCGTGGAAAAAACGCTGACTAAGAATGTATTTTATGCATCTTGCATAGCATTTCATGACAAAAAGCTGCATCCGAGATGGGCGCGCTTCTAGCGCGATGGAAAACACAAACAAGAAGCTTCCGTTTCATACTGATTCGTCTCTCTCCAACCTTGCCATGTGGTCGTAATAGAGCAGTATGATGGTCGCGTGCTTCGCCCGAAACAGGTTCGCGAGGTATTTGTTCAGCATGAGTAACAGGTCCGACTTTTGGTGGCAGTGCAGAAACAAGTCCCCGGTCGCGGCTATCAGCAGGTCCTTCCTTCGGTTGATCTGTATCAACAGGAAAAATCCCCGCCCCTCTCCATATCAAAACGAAACTTCTGATGCTAGATTTGCGCACACAAATCCGATTTGTCTTGCAGTAAGGCAGCGTAGCCAGATCCTCGGCCTAAGTAGGGGCGCTCGGCTCGGGTCTAGCTGCTTAGCACTGCAAACGGCTGTCCCCTAGGCGCAACAGCATGCCAAATCGCTTCCATATTGGCCACGAAGCCTCGGCGCTTGTCTTCTTGCAAGACAGACACGATTCGTGGCCTCAAATCAGCAACACAAATTTTCGGACACATACCTTTTCGATACGGAGAGGGGGGATCTTTCCTTACAATAATCTGCGTGTCGAGCTCTATTTCCTCGCAGGACAACACCACGTCCGTCATTCCGTAGCCCAGCACGTGTAGCATAAACACGTCCCGTTCGTCGAAGATCGGGTTGCCGTTCAAATTCTCCGTCATCGTAGAGAGCTTGTTGATGGCCTGAATTACCGCGACAGTTTTCCCCTTCACGATGATCGGCACGCACAGCACGGACCGGGTGCGGTACCTGATAAAATGCATCAACCGACTCACTGCAGCTCATCTACATCTTGTTGGGGGGGAGCGAGATGGCTGATGATTTTTTGGTAGTCATAATTCTTAGTGTGACGCAGGTCTACTTCCGTCGAGGAAGGATTACTTAGGATAAGGAGAAAAAATCTTTACAAAAAAAGCAGCATTACCCAGTCCTCATGTCGATTGCCTTATTGAACTTGGGATGCATGTACGCATCGGCCACGTTGACGGCTCGTTGCTGTGCTATTGCCTCCCCGATGAGACCCACGTCCAAGGGAATGCAGATCTCGTCCATTCCCGCACCGCCGGCGGATTTTGTCCACGCAAAGCCCCGGTTTGTATCCACGATCCAGTAGCTCGCCCGGTCACAGCGGAGGACGCACGATATGGAGGCGACGAGATACCGGACTGCGGCGTTTATGTCCGTGAGGAAGCGCGTTTCCTGGAATATGATACAGATTGAGGTCTAATAGCCTTGAGAACAATAGTTAGAAGATAAACGACAGTTTATTTTTTGAGATTAACGAGTGATGTTGACGAAGATCTCAAACCGTGGCACTCCTGATTTTCTTTTTGAAGTAGTCATGGAGGGGGCTGCATAGAAGTTAGCGTTGGTTTTATTGTTGAAAACCAAATGCTTATGTCATCAACCAGCGAAAGACAAAGAGCCAGCAGTTGAGAGCCACTAATTTTCTATGTATTGCACCTGTAAGTTCTGGTACGCGCACTCCAGCCCTTTCGTCCTGAGAACGTTCTCTACGTACTCGCAGCCGAGGAAGTTGATGCAGCTCTTCAAATCCTCCTTCGTGACGGCGAACAGGTACTCAAACGGAAAGTGCCCGTTGCAAGCGAGCAGGAAGTGCAAAAACTGCACAGGCTTCCCCCTCGCGTTCGGTCTCGTTATCGGCACGTACTGCTCTAATTTGTCCAGGTTCGGCCCGCGCCAACTGCTCGATCCCGGCCAAATGCACTCGTCCAGGTTGAAGGAGAATTTTTTGCTACTCGTTGACCCAGTAGGCCCGTCGGAGGTGCTGGAAGAAGAACTGCTGCTCGATGTCGAGCCACCCCCGGCACTTGTTGACAAGTTGTCTTCTTGCTGCGCTAGAACCGAGGATTGCTGGAGCTGTTGCTCTCGATCGGGGTCGATGGAGGAACTCGAGCCTCGGACAACGTCCTCGTATAGAGCTGAAAAGTAGGTTATTTTCGCTCTTTTTTGGTAGAAGTGCAGGAGCAGCAGGGGCTCACGTATCATAGAATGATGGAAGATTCAGCTGACAACAGTTCGTACCACGCCCAGAGAAGCAGGTACTATTATCAGAATCAGTACTAGACACATCGAAAAAAAATCCAAATAAAAACCTATCTTCAGTGTAGTTACATTTTATTTTCGTGACGTGTTTTTTCTTCTGTCGGTCCGCAAAGGCTAATTTCAGCTCCAGCTCTCGGTTTTGTCGCATTAATTCCGATATTGTGGTTTTCATCCCCCGAATGATTTGCGGAACGTAGGCCTCCGACGATCCCTCGCGGATGAAGTTGTAACTCGGATTGGAAATGTACTCGTAGCAGTGTTCTAATATGGATAAATGTTTGTTCATTTCCTCCTTGGTGTTTTTCCACTGCAACCCCTCCTTCTGCTGCTTTGAAATCTTCCGATTGATCGACCTTCTCACCCTCGTTAGTTCGGAATTCGTTTCTGCGTGATCCTTCAAATCCGTTGAGAGTTGCCCGAGGACATCTGAAGTTGTTTGGTAATTTGCGATACCATAAGCATAACTACAGCTACAATGCGTTAATAAGCTTGCATGACGATGACAAATAAGCCACACAGTACATAAAATAAAATTATCGTCTAGTACTGCAACAGAGTTGTACCATCGAGCGACTCGATTTGTTTTTTCTTCTCCATCTTTGTCTTGGTCCAGTCGAATCTTGTCAAGTCCAGAGCGTCGTACTGAAACTTCCGGTAGATCCCGACCCCCTCCGGCGCTGTGCTTATCACCTTCTTCACCACATCAACCGTTTGATTTGTCGTCGACTTCTTTTCCTTTTCCGCTCCCGCAGCGCCGCCACCAGCGGATGTTGAGGTTGGCTCCATGATCACGCAATTCTTTCGCACGTAGGTGGACGCCTCGTTGAACCTCTTTTGCATGTCGAGCAGCATGAACTCCGCCTGTATGGGCAGGGGTAACTCGTAGAAGCCGTTGTTTTTCACGTCTTTACTTATGTTCGACTTGTCCACCTTCACGTCTGGACCGTTCACCGCTTTCGCCGTGCCGGCCGCCGGGACGATTCCCCGGCTGATGTCGAAGTGGACCAGGTCGCGCAGCAACCGTTTCAACTCGCGGTTCTCTTCCCGCAACGTCGGTACGTCGTCGGAATACGTTGCTTGCTGCGCCTGGGGCTTGTCCCGGGTGGACGTCCCCAAAATCTTCGCGGACCAGAGCCGCTCCTCGTCCATCGCGATGTCGATCATCCTGATCGATTTTTTTCAGATAGATTCACGAGATGTCAGTGTTCTGGTCCTCGCAGAAGTCTCCGTAACAGCTCGTGGTTGCTTTATAAGTATATCTGGTTTTTTTGCCGCGAAGCAACCGGACCTCGCGCGTATGAGGTAAAAAACCAGGTGAGACAGGCGGCACGGTTGTTTTCTTTTTTGTTGAGAAGATGAAGATCCGCCTGCTGCTCCTCTTTGATGCTGAAAACTTTTCTCCACCACTGCGCGGGACGCCTGGTTCTTGGCCTCAGGCCCGGTGCAAGAACACAGGAGCTGCCCTCGCGTTCTCACGCGTCTATTTCAGGCGTCCGGTGGTCCCTTCTTCACTGCGCTGGCCAACGCTGAGGGTGCACATCAAATTGGTGGGCGTCCGGCGACGAATGACCGGTAAGGAGACCTTGTTGCCATCTCATCCGTTATAAATATCTCGTTGATGCATCCAGCGAGTTTGATGTTGACCGTAGGACTACAAGCACGACAAGAATCAATGGTCGTCCCCTACACGACATGAAGTTTTACATCGTGATGTGATGTCTGCAGGCTGCAGCTTCTATAAGCAAGTTTTGCTCGGCAGAGAAGCTGCTGCGACTTTCTTCTACTGTCGAGGATGTAAGTCACTCTTGTAGCAGTACGCCTCCCGCTCCGACGATAGCTCGAAAACGGCAACATTCACTGTCCCTCTCTCTTTCGGTCGTGCCAACATGCGAAAACTCTCATCTCGATCTCCCCCCTTCGACGATATATTTCGTGCCTGCATGCATCAACATTGAAGAAAGACGGGCCTGCTCTTGATCGCCCGGCGACGATATCTCCGCATCACGGAACGATCACTAGCACGAGAGGAAACAGAATCGAAGACAGAAGAACCAAGAACAGTTTTTCTATACGACTTTCTGGTGTAGAAGAAGTGCCGTCAACAGTAGAACAAGTTCAGTACAGCTCAACGGTAACGTTCTGTCCACATGCACAAAAGCGTGGTCTTCAAAAGTTGCAAAGGTAGTACACAGCATGAGCATCAACATTCTTGTATCGTCAAACAAGAAGAAGCCCGAGGATCTCAAGCTCTTTTATCTCTTTTTGTTTTCATTTTGGAATTATCAAAGCGTGGCTGTAGAAAGTATGACAACAACTACAACTGCAAAAGGGGACAGCAGTTTTCATGGTGAGTGTCATGAATCACGAGTTATTAAGTGAACCAGTGTAAGAGTTTTGCATCAATCAACAGCATGAGCATGTGCATGGACACGCATACTTACATACGTAGCAGATTCAAGAAAATATACAACAGCTCGATCTGTACAATACAGCCTATTCTTACTCACGTCATCATCTTCTGCTCATCCACCAAGAACCTTTCTTACATCTTCTCAGGTCCACCTACGCTAAGTAACCTCCTTCTTCTTTCTCTGAGTCCTTCAACTTCTCCTCCTCTTCGTCTTCCATGTATGCACTTCCTGTCTTACTTCGGATTCGGGTACAAGTTGAAGGCGGACTTGCTCGTGAAGAAGCCCTTTGGCAGCCGTGCGTGGCCGTACGACGGCTCGTAGTTTGCTTTCGTGAGAATCACGTTGTCCGTGCCGAAATACTGTGGCTGCGGCTGCTTCTTCGCTCGCGCCTCGTCGACGTCACGCCACGTGCAGAACTTCGGAAACGAGTGGCACTTCGGGAAAAATTGCTTCTGATAGTAATAATGTTTGATGCTGATGATGTTCGTTGGGTACTTACTATGCGGTTGATTGTGAGTAGACAGTGGATTTTTAACGTTGATGGTTTATTATAATTAAAATTATTTGTGCATGCATGACAAGGCAGCAACTTCATCCTTACTTACAGATGATCCGCATGCTCGTCATTGTAGCCAAGAAGTTACAACGCCTGTAGTACCTTCGCAAAGTGGGTTCGTCGCGTGGCCGCAACCTTTGCCTGCATGTGACCGATCACAGGCTCCCCGTAGAACCGCGGCTCGGTACCCATCGCGCGGTCGTAAGAGGTCCGGAAATACATGGTGTCGTACACCTTTTTCCAATTAACGTAGGCAGGCTCAACCATGTTGGGCGAGGTTCTTTGGCTTTTCAAAAAAACGCACTTCGTTTCTGTATACAAGAGATGATTCGGTCATAATTTATTTCGACGTTCTTCCGAGGAGCACAAAAGCCGTAACTTCAATGACTTGACTCCGGTGACGAATCATGCGGTGACTGTAGACCAAGAATAGAGATCATCGATACACAATACTGACGTGTGTAGTACGTGGATAAGTACTTTTTGATTTCTAGGTAATATGCAATTGCGACGACACTTAGGTACTCCCACCCACCCGAAGCTGGACGAAATTTTGTCGATTAGGATGACGACAGAGTCGGTTTTGGACACAGAAAAGAAACACATGGATTTCTTCAACAGATGAATGACGCAGCCCCCATGTAGTACGAAAACGAATACGGTGCTGATACACCTTCGATGAAGAACGATCGATGGTGTATAGCACGAGAACGAAGCATGAAAGGAATTTGGCACTCAGACCACCCAGCACTGAGGTTGAACAAAATATTCGGATCGGTATTTTGAAGTAAGTTGTACTAACGAAAGACTTCACCTTTACTCCTCGACCGTCGGACGACATCTGTACAGAAATCCTACGTCTACCTCACAAGCCTAAACATCGGTAGCTGTATGATTTGAAGTCGTTGTTCACAGCGGTGGTCAATGGCCTAAGAAATAGGACGCATCGTGGTTGTTCCCGCACAACAAGTCGAGTTTACGAAATTTCATCCTCGGAATCAAAGTCTTCTTCAATCAGTTCGTGTTCACGAAACACGCGCGCCAAGTGTCCGGTCTTGATTTCGTTCTTTTCCCCGCCATCTATCCTCTGAAACCCGAGCTGCTTGAAGACCAGTTTTCCGTCCACGAACAGACACACCGAGGGGATGGTCTGTATTGCGAGTTTGCTGACAAAAAACGGCGCCTTTTCCGCTTCGAGGTAGGCGAATTTTGTGCCGAGAAACTTCTTCGAGAGCCGGGTTAAGTGCATGTCCATCACTTTGCAGCTCTCGAAATTCTTGTGGTAAAAGTGCACGATGGCACGGTGGGACTTTGTCACCTGGCGTTGTGGTAGATAGATTTGATGCGAAATAATTTGTGAGTATTGCATTTGTTCGAAGCTGGTGCGAATGCAGAAGCAGAAGCTGCGCCAGGTAGAAAAATCATGGTTGCAACAGTTATACACGTCAATGGCACCTTTTTCACGGGTCAGATTGTTCGACATACAGCATGAACAACGCACAGCACAACAAATGTACCGTCGTGAGAAACTCGTCCTCCTTGATTTCCGTGTATTCACCGTGTCCCTGCGCTTTGTATTCCTGCTTTTTTCTGTGCTGCTCCCTCATCTTCTCTAACCTCCTCTGGCGGATGGCGTCGAGGTCTGATATGATGTTGAAAGTTTAAGAATTCCGTCGATCTTTTTCATTGATTTGGCACTAAGCACAACAGGACCCGCACCAAGCTCAAGCATCGTTGGATGGCAACATCAACATGCATGAGCGATCATGTTTTCTTGTCGCTGTTCTAACAACAGTTCTTCGATGAAATTCTACGTACTATACCATCATCGTCTATTGCCTTTCCGTCGTGCTGGTCTTCATGCTCCTCCTTTTCCTTTCCGACACTGTTTTTGATTTTAAGTTGCAGTGTGGTGCTATTTGCAATAGCAGCCTGGTTCTTCTACTTCCTCACAATCTTGCACAAATACAGGTACCCTGCCAGTCGCGAGTTGGCACAAGAAAAACTTTTTTTATCAGGAGAAATTGATAGCTATAGATTATCTGCACGACCGCAGTGTTGACTTTTTACCCCGCATCCTCCTCGCCGTCGTCTTCGGCGCCCTTCATCATCTTTTCCCCCTCTTTGAACTTGTCGTTTATCGCCAGCTGCATGACGTCGTCCACCAACAAATCGTTCATTTGGTTCTGAAACCCCGTGCCCCAATTCTCGCCGCCGGCGTTCGCACAGGAAGTTCGCTCGTGCTCGGTGTCCGTGCGGTAACTCCGCTCCTTGCCGGTGATCGCCTTAAAGGCGTCCATCCCGGTGTCCATCCGGAACTTGGACGTTTTGTTGTTCGACGCCATTTTGTGGTGGTTTTGATTCCTAGCAGAAGCAAAACTAGTCAAGCGTTTCTAGGTGGTCTTCAAATGTGAAAGGAATTGAGTCACGTCGAATTCAGTCGATCTACTCCTACTTCAACTTCTACCACCTAATCAATTATGCGCTTCCTTGACACGAATGCTAGTAGGCACCACTTGATGCGGTTGCTCGTGCTACAAGATGAACCTCCGGGCAACACTTCTTGCACAACATACATGTTTTACACATGGAAGCATGCTGATGCTGCAGTCGCTCAAGCAGAAAAGGGATCTCCTATGCCGCTCGAGAATCCAACGCATTCATCTCACGCTTCACTTATGCCACCAGCTGCAGCCTCAGTCTACAACTATCATTCTTCTCGGCGCATTTATCAGCTTCATCATTGCTTTCCCTTTCACGTTCACCCAGAAAAGCGGTCGATATCCTCAATTCGGTGCTATGCATCAATTCTTAGCTTCCCTCCATGAGAAGGGAAGATAGACAACGAACATCAAACAGAAACTAGCTGATGAAAAAATGAAAGCGAGCCGTTTCATCCGACAGCGCTTTCCTCTGATTGAAGGAAGACAAATAGTACCTCCAAGCGAGTCTGATTATTTGAGTTCCTCGCGACAACGAGACGGATGACAGCAAAAGTAAGGGTGTGCATCCCCAGGACCAGGAGGTGGTTTCTTTCACGCTCAACATATGCAAAATCAGTCAAGAAGTAAAAAGTCTCCAAGTACGCATTACACGCTCCAGCCCGAAAAATAACTCCGAAGTGAGTGCGCTTCCTCGCACCTGCTAGGCGACAGCAACTACATCTCGACGTCCCTTCTATCTAAATTGGTGGAGTGAAGAAATCCAAGTCGTTTCTTGTCTTTTGAAGTCAAGCCTTTGTTTTCTATTTCTTCCGTCTACTTCTTGTTGTAGTCGGTATCCGAATGAACGCGCTGACACTCTTCAACTTTCCACGGTTCGTTCCAATCGAAGCCTGGTCGTTCATCTTACCTACGATTTACTCTTCCAACCCGTCCAGATACTCCTTCATGGTTTCCGCATCCGACACCTCGAGCTTGCCCGGCTCCTCGATAAACATCTTCCGCACCTCGTCATTCACCACATACATGCTGTAGCGGTCGCTCCGTTCGCCGCCGAGGTCCTTCTTCATCGCGTTCATTCCCATCTTCACCGTAAACTCGCAGGCCATGTCCGGAACGAACAAAATGCTGTCGAAGTCTGGGGAGGGTATGGAAGTGTCAGGATCGAAATGCACACAGAGACAGAGAGAGACACAGTTGAACAAATCTGTAATGCGGAAAATACAACGCACAGACTAATATGACTACCTGCGTATTGGAGGGCACGTAAGTGAGGGCGATTGTAAGGAGCCTGTTTGAGATTGCACCAGATTGATAGACATAGAGGTGCTAAAATAGCATGACAAAACAAGATGTCATCTTTGCCCAAACAGCAGAACCGACTGCATTCAGGTGCTGCCAAAATTTCTTTGTCAACTTTGTGAATTTCGATCCTGACGGTTCCATAAAGGGCGTGGTATTCATATTCTTGTTGTTCTCCTCCCCTTGTAAAAATTCCTTCTCGCTCTTCATCTGCATCCATTCTTTCCAGCACCGCATCACGTGGCCGTCGTTGACGCACAAACACACGACCTGGTCGACCTTGTGTGGCGTATGCATTGCAAAAGCATCATACTAGTACGAAGAAATTGCAATACAAATAATTTTCATTTTACAGGAGGTAAAATGTAAATCACATATATCTGCCATCGTGCGCCATGATCGCTGCGATTACTACGAGCGCGAAGATACTTTTGCAGAGGATACGGCATCAATTTCGGCAAATTCAGCTTCGCGTACCCCGGTACGTGCTTCTCGGTTCAGGTCGGCGTGAAGGCGCCGGGTAGGCTCACGAGGACGGTTTTTTTGTTCGCGAACAGCTGAGTAGACGTGAAATCCGCCAGTTTGTTCGTTTCCTGGGAAAACACCCGCCACGCCACGTCCAACGGGACTTTGGCGGGGGGCTTGGACAACAGCTTACTCATCATCTCGACCGGTGGTTCCGTATTCTTAGTCGCCTCCTGTGCCTTCTTGCTGTCTTTCACGCAACTCAACAACATAATTTTTTCGTCAAATAATTTGAACTGGTCTTGAAAAAGGATTTAGAGCGCGCACATTAAACCGCTCACGCCAACTGATACGAAAGAAGTATAGCCGGGCCACTTGTACGGCCCCAAAAACTTCCTTCCCTAGTTTTTTTCATTTCTGCAATATGATTTCGATGAACAATGATCGATGGTGCACAGAAAGAGTGCTGCCCTTTTGTGTTCTGAGAAGGTAGGTTCTTCTTCAAAGTTGGTCCGAAGAAGAACTTGTCGTAGCCATAAAGGTGAACTGATAGCCAGCGACGCCAATAATTACGAAAAAAAAAAACAGCGACACACTCGAAAGAACTTTTCGAGTTGTGCAACAAAAGCTGTACTAAAGCAGACGACTTCCGGCGAACAGAACTCCTGCCGGCACTACGCCGGTCGAGTGCAGAAAAGTTGTGCTTGTTTGGTCTATCGGAACCTGTCCCTTGCTCTAGCTTTCAACTTTCGTTTTTACCGGAGATGAAGGTCAACATTTGGGTCGAGCTTACAAAGTAAAGCATTTTCAAGCTATTTATTTGTCAACTGGGGCCTCGGCCTCCTCCACACACCATTTTCCTCACACGCCAACATGTCCCCATTGTTTGAATAGTGAAAAATTGTTTTCGAGGTGTTGAGAAATCTCAACTTCTTGTTCTACTTTCGGTGAAATCGTCATAAACTCAAATAAAGGTAAAGAATTGTTTGAATTGCACTTCTTTCGTTGTCTAAACTCGCTGCTATATTTTCTGTTCAATCAATTGTCAAATTGTGGTCTTTTCTTTTTACAGTTGTAGTAGCATACATAGAGATAGCGAAACTCAAATTCTTCGAATGAATTCGACTACGGGAAGTAGCTATTTTTTATACATAAACTACAAGGTTCTGGACCGACTTAATTTCATTGTACAGGCGTCTAACTAAAACTAGAAGAAGTAAGCATTATCAATTTCGGTACAGTCGTGTGGTACATACATCAGACGAGCGCTACATCAAAATCAAGCTCAAATAATTTACTTTATTTCTGCTTCTTTCCTTGCGCTCGTTCCCTCCTTAAAGATGCGCAGGAGTAGTTCTCACCTCTCTACTACACATACACACCCTTCTCCGGTGAAAGCGGTCGTATCGCGTGCATCTCCTTGTCATCCGCAAACGAGATATGACTGTCCCCCGTCTTGTGCGAATCAACCTGATGATTTCGAATGGAGTTTCGGTTGTGATTGTGATGCAGTAGGTACGTTCTACTTGCGCGGAGCTTGTGTGTCGTCCAAAGCGAAACCGAGAACCGCATGACAAAATGAGAATGCACTGTCTGACAGTAAGTACCTTCTTCTGCGCTTCTGCCACTGCCGCCCTGCACTTGTCGAGGGCTTTCGCTGAGGTCGCTTGCAACTCCTTCATTAGATGTGGTGGTACCAACGGGTACTCCTCGTGGCTGATGTTTTGTCGACGTTTGAGTCTATTGGTATGATGTGATGCAGGACTAGTATTCATGCCCACGCCAAAGTGAAAGATCAAGATGAAGAGATAGATTGCAGCGGATGTGATAATTGATATCAGAAAACAAATAAAACCCACTGCCAATTTTTATACGCGATCTGCGAGAACACGTTCCTTTCCCTCCTGACAAACGCGCAGTCGCAGCCATGCAGCGTCCGCAACAGAAACCACCATGGCGCGTCGCCCCATGCGAATTCAGCTTCATCCGTAAAAGTCGACAGTTCCCAGGGTCTATCAGCGTGGACGAGTCTGACAAGATTAAGATTTTTTGTTCCACCACAAATGTCGAAGATCTTCATGCTCATCGTTAATTTTTACAGTCGTTGACGCGAAGGAAAACAAGAACATTCCAGCACGGCACGATGCCAAAATCTTCTTCTGTTTGTATACCGCAAATTGTGTATCGGCCCTGGTTCGTGGTCGGAGAGTCCTCTCGCCCAGAGGCTCCACTTGTCCATCCACACGCGGTCGATGACGTATATGGCGTTCTCAACTGTTACATTCTCAACTGTTACATGAATTTGCAATGCAAGACTAGCACAGGTGAGAGGGAGAACCTTGCGCGTCTTGCATTACGGGTTTCGTGCGGATTATAGTGCTGTTTAGACCTCCGAGAATTTGTCATGCGCAGCAGCTTGATCGTCTGGCGGGTTATGGTCAATTTTGCATGACAAATCATGTAACAGTTGAGAATGTAACGTTTGAGAACGCCATAACGTAGTGAAACGCGCCCCAGCTGTCTTGCAAGAAATTCGCCTCGAATCCGAAGTGCTCGAGTTTGCCCTGCAGAAATTGGTTCGCAAACGCTCGTCGCCGCTCGTGGACCTCGTCTAGTTCGCGTTTTCTCCTTTCCAGCACGGCACAGTCGTGATCGTATTTGGTCAGGTAGGACCACTTTGGGCGACCGTACCTGAAAGGTCAATGAAAATGATCTAAGTTGCGGACTGTCTCTGAATTTTTCAAAAAACTTTTCTGTCATGGTGCACACGCAACAAAAAAGTTCCAGCAAGTGGGGCCGCTTGAACAAATGTATTTCTTGGTACACTGTACCTTCTTGTGTATCCGAGCAACAGCACCAGTGCGCAGACCAGCACAGGCGCTGCCAGCGGCAGATAGTAGTGCGCCACCTTATCGACGACCACTTCTGACGAATCGGAAATCGTCATGTGGCCCGCTGCAGAAAACGCAGTCTCCATCGGTTTTTCCGTGGCGGCTTTCATTCTCGCGGTGAGCCTCTACTCGCGACGGAGGAAGCTAGTGGATCAGTGCAAGACTTGTTCGCGGCAGCTATGTATTTCGGCTCTTGCATCCAAGTACCACCTAGAGATCCGACCGGAAGAAGAAGATGATCTCCGAGGGATGAGGTGGGAGAGATGATGCGTTCCTTGTTCTCCTAGACAGTCGTGGACAGTTTGTCACGACCGGTGCAATATTGTGAAGAAGTGGAATTTATTCCTACTTCACGCTTCTGTTCTTGCAGGAGTCGGTCCGAAGGAAAATGATCCGCATCTTCTTCACATCGATCTGCTCACAAGTTTATTCTACTTTTGCTCTTTTCCTTCTTACACGGTGCGGCCCAGCACGAGGTACCTTCACAAAGGACAAATCAAAAATGGCCCTCCGAGTAAGAGTATGCGCGGCTCGCTACGAACTTTCTTTCCCCCCGATGCTGGATTCCCGACGTCTTCAGAGCGGTCTACCTGCAAAGTACTTCCCTCGCGAGGCGTGGTTGGTCAAGGAGGGGACGTTTTTTGTTCTCAATGTCAATCTCAACTGATGGATGCGAAGCGCATAATTTGAAGAAGAACGCGCCGCCCAATAATACGTGACACCGCTTTCTTTTTTTTGCGAGAATGATGCGGAACGCGACTACACGCTCGAATTCTACTAGCTATTCCGCTCTTCTTCTTCTCTACTTTTTGCTTTTGGTCTGCTAGAAAATAAAAAGTACTGACAAGTCATCAATTCTTTGGTATCTGGGTGTTTGCTTCTGTGGCGCCCCCATCAGTTTGTCCGTCCGACTCGAGGCGATCCATCGAACAACGATAACGAACGGAGATACGTCCATAACGTCGCTCGGCGACTTTCTTGCAAATGCGAACAACTCACTCTCAAACAACGAAATAGCAGAAACGGCCTCTCTCTCGATGTACTGGCGTACAGCGTTTTATTCTTGTCGACGAACGATCATCGTGAGACGAAGAACTGAAAAGCGAAGCGCTGTAAACCAGGCTTGCGAAGAGGCGTCAGTACGCATTGGCATTTCCAGCTACTTGTCAAGCGGATCATAACTGCACTGGTTCCATTTTGCAGCAATGCAGTGGCACTTTGTCGCGCCCAAGCATCTCTTGGGATGATGCCGATACATCCGCAGGAATGCAACAGGTTCGATGGTGGAAAAGGGTGCGATAGTCTCTTCGGACATAAGTATAAGAGCAAACACAAATAGCCCTTTCGAACGAAAATAAATCCAAGTCAGTTGTGGTCACCTCGGAAAGTTGCTCGAGATCCTTTTACTCGAAAGTTCCTCCACAAACTGCCGAGCCGTTTTTCGTGAGTCCACCATCACACTCGGCTCCGCGAGCAGTTGGAACGGTGCGGAAAACCGGGGACGAGACCCTCGGACCGACACCTCGTGGATTCCGGCCTGCAGAACCGCATGTGGCCTGACAGGATGAACGCCCTCATCCCCGAGCGTTGCCTTCGACGAAGAAGAATGCCCGGAAGATAGCTTTTCCTCTGCTTTCTTTTTCCAGAGGTACTCAAGTGTCTCGCCTGCGAAAACGATGACGAAGCGGCTACCAGTTGTCCCATCAATCGGTCGGGCCGAGTCAAAGTCAATCCACTCCCCAAAGTGGAAATCCCAAACGTGCATCCCCGGGACATGATCGAGACTGTAAGGAAAACGTGTGAACACCTTGACCCTCCAAAAGTAGAACCGTACAAGACGGACGAAGTAGGACGCTAGTGGGATTGTTGTTAGATACTATTTGACTCAAGACGCCTGGTAGTATGCGTACAGATAGTATTCACGATGGTATCACGACATTAGCACGATGCTACGACTACTAGTTACGATACTACGACGGTGCGACAGATGTTACTTCTTGTGGCATACCGATTCTAGGCCTATTACTGTGGTGAACGATGTGAACGATACCGATGACAAGCGGAGTACGATTACAGCTACTACCGATGGAGGGACGTATTGGCGTCACTTTGTATCATTTCTTACAGAGACTCTGCGGTATGACCGTAACCAGGCCCACGTCTGTGTGATACGGGCAGTTCGGCGGATTTTGATGGTCCTGCGATGAGGAAGATGTGGCATTAGCACCTCCTTTTGTTCTGCCTTCGTCCATCACGGCTGCACCGACCCCGTCCGCAGACGACGGTCGCGAAGCTACATCAGGCGCAGCGTAGTAGTGGAACAGCGTCAAGTTAGAAGACGACAGGTTCTGTCGGAAGGAGTTGTTTGCCGCGGTTGCACCTGCTCCACCGGCTCTTGATTTTGACACAAACATCCGCTCCTCCGCGTAATTCGCTTTTGCTGCCGTACTTCCTTGGGCAGCATTATTTTTCCTAGCGTCCTCCGTACTCTCTTGACCTCCGAGCGCAACTTCGGCCGCCGCTTTCGCGATTTTGTGCAACAGCGCGTAACACTTCTCCGCTGCAAGACCAAAACCCGAATGAATCTTGGCAGTTGTGTCGCTACCACCCGGTACAATATCCTGTGGCATTGCCGCGCGGACCTGAAAAAGCTCCTTTCGATGCTCAGTATTTTCGTTGTACCCCAGATACCGCCCCCCGCTGTGCATTCCTTTCATTTCCTCGGTAGTGAGCGATCGGGAGAACGGGCTGGTGAAAAAATTTTTCGCCGCGTTTAAGGCACTTTCGACGATTTTTCCCTCGGAATCATAATCCGGAATGTTCGCATGGACCGGTGCTGAATTATCGCTGCTAGTAGTCGTCTTGGAATCGTAAGTGCCGGAACTTGGATTTGATATTTCATACACGAAGTACCCGTGCCGCAGCCACGCCTCCAGAATTTGCTGCTCCTGATTATTCGTCCCAAAGTAGTTCCCCGCCGTGTTATCTACGCGTGTGTCGTCGGACTCGCCGCCGCGAGAAGAAGATGTTTTCCGAAACGAAAACACTGGATGTCTGGACGGGTCGAGCGGTTGAATCAGGTCTGGGGAGATCGTGTACGGGCAGTTTGTCCGCGGACGGTCGTTGTCCAGTGCGCAAAGCGAGGCGGTCGCTTTCTTTTCACTCTGACAGACCGCTGCGTGTCCACTCCTTGCCGCGGAGCCCGAAATCAAATTCATCTCCGCACACGACAATGATGCTGAGTCGGCATTCGCGTTTCGCGCCAGGATCGCCCCGTGCTCCAAAGATGAAGTGGTATGTTCGTAGTTCTCTCGCGGTTCCTTCATTCTTTTCTTCAGGAGTGGCGAGCTCGAGCACTCATTTTTCTCACGAAACGATTCCGCAGCACCGCCCGTGTTCGCAGCTGCCCCGCCAGCTAAACTGCATTCCTCTGCTTCGCACTCTTCCAAAGCTTTCCAAATCGCCTCCTTTTCCTCATCCGAGAGTCCAGCAGGTAGTAAAAAAGAGCCACACTCTGGCGCCGCATAGTGGAGACGGCGGTAGTCTTCTGTGCTCAGCACACCAGTGCTCCTATTCTTCATCGCCGAAGCGGTTCTACTGGCGATCCCGTCTGCCCCGTTTCGCACGACGCAGCGCTGCGTCTCGGCCCGTAGCGCATACGCCAGTTGGTTTTCCGAGAGCGGAAAGCGAATCGCAGCCAAGATCTGGTCGGCGTTCCAAAGGTAGAGGACACAAAGCTGCGAGAGCAAACTGCTGCTTTCTGAGGAAGGCGCGCTTGAAGTCATACTTGCCCTCGTCTGTTGCTTGAAGGTAGATGGAGAGTTTGAGTTAGCCTGTGCCAGGGCAGAAGTATCTTCCTGCTCCATAAAGCTTTTCGTGTCGACAGGAAGTAGAAAATCGCGCTGCGCGGGAGAGGCGCCAACCACAACGTCGCTCGAAAAAAAATGGTCGCCAGAAGCAGTCTGAAACCTTTTCGCCGCGGGCTTCGTCGGAATTGTGTACACCTTCTGTCCGATAGCTGACAAAACGCGGCCGGCAACGTCATAATCAATGTCTTTTCGCACAGTCGAGTATTGCAGCGGAATCTCCAATCCCTCGTCCAGGGTGCGTGCCTCCGCCAAGACTGCTGAGTCTCTTCGGGTATCAGAAAAGCCCTCAAGCACGTCAACGCGGATAATCGGTGTGCGATAGCTGTCGATTTGGATCTTCGGTGCGCCCCTTTCCGCCCGACTGGACTTCTCCGCAAATTTTGTGTGAGATGAGAAACTACAGGTGGCAGATGCGGCTATCATCTTCGTCACAGCGTTGAAGTTGTCCTCAAACGGTTCCAACCTGGGCAAACCCCGATTTCCTGTTTCGACGTGATGTAGCTGTTCGTCGACCTGCGCGTAGACCTGCTCGTACCCGTGGACAATCGGCGACATGTATGTCCGCGAAGCAACCAGTTGAAGCGGCCGGCACGCGGGCGTGTTGGGCAGCAGCTGTTTTACCCGCTGCTTGAGGTGGGAAAAGCGCCAGGGTGGAGGCGGACCAAGAAGCGCTGGCTTTTCACCATGGTCACCTGATGCTGATGGATGGTTTTTTTCTGCTTCCTCGCCAGCTGCGTGGTTGTCGTCTTCAATACCAGAGGCAGAGGCCAAGATCATCTCCCCCAGGTGCCATAAACAGAGATCTTGCACCAAGTCTTTTGGTAGTTGCTCGGCGTCGCGCAGCTTGCTTCTCAACGTAACACCAACAAGATCGGTTTCCTGCACCCAAAATGTTGGCGCCAAGCCCGCCGGCGTCCGAACCACCACGCGCATTTTTTTTCTTTCGTTAAGATTAACAGCAGATGACTTCTCTATCGAGGACAATAGCACAGCAACAGGCAAAGGTATTACGAGGCTGTAGCTAACCAAGTGAAACATCAGCGGTCGTAAGCTTCTGAAAAATATTTAGTAACAGGCAGTGGCTAGTACGAGTCGGGGTCCAATACGAAAGATAAAAGAGCGCGACCACGAAGATGAGTATGCAAAAATTCGCAGGACGAAGCAAAAAAAAATTCGAAACTTTAATCATTAAAAAAGAGCGAAGCAATCACTTGAAGCCCTGTTTTAGTTGTTCACGCAACCATGTCTCTCACGATTGGCCTAAGCTCAAGCAGAAATTTGCGAAGCTCCGAGACGCCGTGTCTATGGGGCGAACCGTCGCGCAACAAAGGGATCAAACACAGCCACAGGTAAGAGAGCCTTCCAAACAATAAAATCTTCGAGGACGATATGGCTTCGCAGGAAGTAAGGCGATGATAAGCAGAGCAGTTTGATTCTGGATGTGGTTGTGGTTCTGACTGTGACCACATGAGCATGACATGTGTTGAGAGTGAATACTCAATCTCAAAAAAAAAAAGTATATCGTATGCGCTTTGATTATCGCTTGCCGGCGTGTTAATGCTATGTCTTTATCCATTTGAAAATGACTGAAATTCCAAGGCTTTTGTGTAGCAGAAGCAGGCACTTGAGAAGTACTAAAAAGAAAAACAAAATAGAAGGGGCATTCAACTTTATAATGACACATAAATGCAGGACCCATATCGAAAAATAAAAATTGAATCATCGCTGAGTTTGAAACTCGCTCCGTGGTCTGTGCTCTTTGTCCTTGAGATGCCAGCGATTCTTCTCGTCGGCTCGTCGTTCCGTGATCAGGCCTCTCCATCCTCCAGCTCGACAAAAACCGTATCACCGTCACGCAGAGAAGCAACATCGCCGTCGTCTTCTAATTCGCAGCGTTCAGACGTGGCGGGTGACGCAGCAGTGCACGAAAGAATCTGGGCAAGGATTATTGTACTGTACGTAGTGGCATGCTTAAATAAAGCATTGTTAAAGAGACTGCTGGCAATCTTTAGAAGCGAGAAAAAAGCGCCACCCATAGCACTGATATAAATATGAGTACTCACCAACTATACCAGGGGGCCGGAAGCGCTCGGAATTTCGAAGCGCGCCTTAATCGTTGCAAGGAGCGCCGTATAGCTTCCAGCCGCGCGCGGATTCTCTACCTCGAGCATCTTTCTCCGGGACCCATAGCGGGCATACACGCGGATACCTGATTTCAGAAAAGAATTTGAATTGCGCAAGGTTGAATAGGGATGGTAGACCATCAACTATATGCACCGTGGATCTACATATCTGGATCTACTACGTAGCCTCTGCGCGTCACTATTTTGATGCTGGCACTTTTTATTTTAGCGCGAAAAAAAGGAAGCTGCCTCTCGTACGCCCCTGTAGCTAGAGCTACAGTTCAACGAGTTACACTGCAGACCCAAAAACAAAATCCAACGTAGCTGAGTACTTGTTTGCTGCTGTTGCTGCTGCTGCTGCTGCGCCACTGCAGCCGGTTGCGCGGGTCCTACTTGCGCGACAGCCGGCACTTGTTCCTGCGGACCCGACGAACTGGAATCGGCTTCGCTACAACCTGGGACCGTGCAGAAGGTAAATTCGTAGTCGCCGCCCATCAAACAACCAATCTGACTGTTCTTCATCCACTTAGGGTCGAGCTTGATGGTGTATTCCGTGTTGGGCTCGAGCTTCGTGCTTAGTGTGATGGTCAGGCGCTTCGTGCTGTCAGAGAATGAAACTTATGGGGCAGCAACGAAAAAAGTAAGCCAGGCGCGCGACAAGTGTGCAAGTGAACCTAGAGGATGATTTGTAGCTGCTGCGTTTCTAAGTACTTACTTCGACTTTGCCGGCTTTGATGCAGCGCGCTCATCCTGCTTCTGCTGAAGCACGCACTATGCATGTTCGGCGTTGATCCTGTCCCCGCCCCAAGTATGCGGACCTGGTGACGATTGTCAGTATGCACACAGGATCTTATCAAGAGTCGCGACATACATCAAAGCCGCAACATTCTGCCTAAGCATGTCTTCACTAAGCACGCAGCTAGTTGTCTGCGCTTGGTTTCGATACGTTGCAAAATTTGCATAAGACGTCCGCGACGAGGGTGGCCGTAACGTCCATGCACTCACCAAGTAGCGGATAACCTTCGTCGTCAAGTGGCTGGGCAAGAATTTTGCCGACTACAGAGCGCGGGGGGCCGCTCATTTTCGTGGTCGCATCGAAGTCGATGTGGATGCTTTTCAGGTCCAGCGCGACGTCCTCTGCCGCGTCCGCCGGATTCGTGCGGCGCACGTGATTGTCGACCATGTCGCCCTGTCCACGGAGGCGCAAAACCAGGTGGAAGGTTGCATTCTTCTGCACATTGTAATGACTTAGGGTCTTTCCGTCCTCGAGCTGCTTACCTGCAGTGCATATAGGTTTTTTATCGCAAACGAGAGAGCAGAGAAAGAGACACAGAGGTCGTGTGGACAATCCTCAGTAGGTTCGCTTGTCGGCTTAGCACGAGTTCTTCCCATGCTATTGCAAGTTTTGCTAGCGGCCTTGCTACATGCGTGTCCAGATCTTACTTACACGGAGGTTGATTTCTTTTTGACGCGAATGAAAAACTGTAACTGATACCAGAAAAAATCAATCGCTGCTGATCGGGTGGAATCCCCTCCTTATCCTGAATTTTCGCCTTTACCGCGTCTATGGTGTGGCTGTCGCTGACGTCATCGATTGAGATCGTTTTCCCAGTGAGCGTCTTGATGAAGATGCGGTAGCAGCCGGATGGTGGTGGCGCGCAAGTGACGGTCTTCGTCGTTCGCAGGTGTAGAACTGCGCCCTTGCCGATGCCACACTGTCGCAGCGTCCAGTTTGGCGCCAGATAGACACCTGGACAAGGATTTGGATATATTTCTTCACTTTGTTCGCATGATCTCTTTTTGAGACCTCGATTAGGATTACTCATTGTCGTGATATCATAACTCTATCATTCTTTTCCGCTCTTTTCGTTCACTCTGTGCGTTTTTTTGGGGTCTGTTTTAAGGCGGTCTGAAAATATCAACGACTTCTCGCGTAGTTCGTATCGACCGGCCAGGGAATAGAAATACGGCAAAAAGAAAAAACGCAGGACCGACTCCGGGTCATGAGCACGACCGCATGATACGCAAGCTGTGAAAATAAAAACTACACCAGTTAGGTCTTACAGACCGAAGTCATTTTGCTAGTTTTACCATTCCAATTGTAGGCCGTCCCGTCTCGAGAAGAATGCTGCTCGCCGGTATTGCGCAGGCCATATACCCCCCTTCCCGAGCTGTCGCTGCCTACAATTTGTGCCCGCTGCGTGATACCGAGGCCCCTCGCGCTGGGATTGTTGACGATCTCCGTCAGAACGTCGTCCACAGTGCCGGTATTCCCGTTTACTTCCACACTGATCGTGCCTGCATACGACAGGACCTCGTACTTCCGCGACCATGGGTGTCCGTTCTTGAGTGCTGAAAAAGGAGACAGCTCCTCGCTCGCGATTACTTTCACCTCGACTTTCATGTTGTATTGATGACAAGTAGTATCTTTGTACTCAAGCGAAAAAAAGAACTATGCGCTCAGACCATGCCATGCGAAAAAAGGACAAAAAGGATGAAAGATCTATTTTTGTTTTTGTTCTTAAGGTGGACCGACGTAAGGATGGAAATCAACTTCAACTACAGTCATGCATGCACGACAAGCTGCTGCCGCTGATAAAAAAAGGACCGATGATAATCAGTAATCAAATAGCTCAAATAGACACTATAACACACTAAGGCGACCCCAATCGTGAAGCATGATAAAAAATTATCGACCTGTTTGATTCTGGGGCCGTTTTTCGCTCTTCGCATACGCATACTCTATGCCCTTGCAGGAGACCCATGGAGCACTGCTGGGCAACAACAAGCCTTTCGCGTATGCAACTAAACCATTTCAAGGGACCCAACACCACCACCAGCGTGTGAAGACCTCACCCGAAAAAAATCAACAATCAAGCGCACTTACATGCCTTTTCACATTCTGACAGGAGAAAAAAAGCTCATGACGATGACAAACTTAGTTCTGTTTCAGCATCAAAAGGACGCGCTCCGAGCCCAATATTTCAAGGCGTTTTTTGCAACCCTCCGATCAATCATAAGAGTTCGGGTTGCGCCAAATCGTGACGAGTATCGATAGCAAAATTTCCAAAGTAACCCTCAACACCTAATTGATTCAGATATATTTAAGGAGCAGTAACTAAGAGCAGGCAAGGATGCACAACAAACGCAAACCTCGTGATAGTATAGTTGCGATGAGGACGAATCTGTCTATCAGTCTCAAAGCGTGGAAGTCGTTCCATCTAGGAATCCAAAATTTGAAGCTCAGTCAGTAGTCGTTAGATTTCGTGTTTCTAGGAAATGAGTGACGAGGTCCGATCATCAAGTTGTAGTTCTAGTTTGAACGTCGTTTAACAAGGTCGAAGAAGTTGAAACTTTTTACAGGTTTTCCAATGAGCAAATAGAAACAGGATCCCACCCACCAACTAAATTTCCTTTTCGTGCCGCTTCCTCGTCTGGCGACACTGGTGCTGGTGCTCCCAAAAGACTAGCACTTTTCCGCGAAGAAAACAAATTCACCACGCCACTCGCTCCCGGCCGGGCAAATATCGCGATGGCCTGATCCTCGCTCAAAAGATCGATCAACGTCGAAACCAGTTCCTCCGCAACAGCTTCCTGCAGATTGTGCCGGCTGAGGAAATCGTCGATAATGAAAAACTTCTTCTTGATGTGCGCAGACGTAGAACAATGTCCTTTGCTCAAAACCGCGACGAAAACCAGTGCAAACACCAGGCGTCCGCGCACCTCCGCGGACACCGCATTCGGAAGTTGCTGGCCGTTGCCTTGCTTCTCGTGCAGTTTCGGGACCCAGTCCGGGAGCCCTGCGAGGAGAAGAGCTTTTTGGGTGGTTTCGTAGAGGCCGGGTTCTTCGGAGGATTTATTTGGATGTTGTTCTATTGTCGGCGTGTCTGCACCTTGTGCACTTTGGCGAGTGGGTCTTGCAGCATTGTCATTGTGTTCTACTACGCTGGCGTTGGTAGCAACTTCCTCAGTAGCCGTTTCGTCGCCTGCGAACTGCGCCAGCTGCATTCGACCGTCGACCACGGTGTCAACGATATTGGACTCATTTTCTGCTGCTCCGTCAGTCACAGATTTCGCGTTGGTCTTCCCGGCCGTTAGAAACAGAGTCAACGCCTCGAACAAAGTCAAGTGGTCGCTCCCCATTATCTGCAGAACGCATGTGAGTTCGGATACGAAGAAGATGGCAGTGCGGTCTATGGTGTTCGCTCTACTTCTGCCGCAAAGAGAGGAGGAAGAGGACGACGAGAGGCTGTTGGTGCAACTGGCTTCGTTTTTCATCTTGATCCAACAACTCGGCCAAATGCCTGCCAAGCACCGGACCAAAACACTCTTTCCCGCACCACTTTCCGCGAGAATCAAGCGCTTTTGGCCGGGCTGTAGTGTGAAGTGGAGGTTTTGTAGTGCTGGTGTTGCAGCGGTCGAGGGGGGTGTACTTCCTGCAGCACCTGCAGCCTCTTCATCAGCGATGGAATCGTCCGCATCTTCATCCTCAACCACTGGCGGTGCTCCGAAATTGATTTCCTCGAAGTGAAGGTCAATTCCACCATTCGAGTGTGTTGCGTGTCCTTCAACTGCAGCTACTAGATCTTCAGGTGCAGTTCCGCTCTCCACTTGTCCATCTTCCCTTTCCCTGTTCCTGTCCATCAACGCCAGGGGTCTACCGCTCGACGCCCCGCGGCCTCCAGTGTTGAACCCTATCCCCCGCACCCCCGCCATCTTTTCCTCACACTCGCAGAACTTCTGCATTGCCAGCAACCGGTCGGTCGTCACCCGCCAACTCGCGAAATCCGCGTAGGTGGACATGAAGAAGTCCAGCGACCCTTGCACCTGCCCAATGATCGCCTCCAGCTGGAACATGGCGCCCATCGTGATGTGCCCTTGGAAAAAGGACGGAGCGAGGAGGAGGAAGGGCAACACGCCGGCGAGCAACCCGTAAGAAGTCGTGAACAACTGCAATCGAAACCCGACCTGCATGCTGTTCCAGAGCGCAATGCGGACCTCTTGGAAGCGCCGTTGGATCAGCCCAGCGTCGTTGAGGTTTTGCAACGCCAGCGGCTCGGCGCGGTTCTGCACGGAAATCAACCCGTCGCGAAATTGTGCCTCGGCGTTCTGGATGGCCATGTTGGCGGGAAGCAGCTCTTTACCGAGTTGGTGGGTCATGATGGAGGAAACTGTTGTGTTTGTGAGGGAAAATTTCGACTTTGCAATCTTCAGGGGCATGCAACAAAAAAATTATTGTGTGAGAGTGAGCCAGAGTCATTGTCATGTTCAACTACTGAAGATCAAGATGCAATCTGCAGAAGAAAATAATTATAAACAACTCTATACCAACAGACATGAGCAAGCACAATTCCCAGAGACCCGGCGGCGAGTGGTAGACGAGTTGTGGAAAGAAGAACGCCAACCGCAACACCGCGTCTGCGAATCCAAACGTCAACCTCCGACTGCCGCCGACAAACGCCTGCACGTCTTCGTGCAATCGCTGATCGCAATTCCGCAGTTCGTCGGGTTGCGAAAAGAAGTTTCTAGTTTGAGTTGAAGCTAGTAAAGAGTCACGATTTGTTCTGGTGGTGTTCATCCTCGTTCTGGCGGCGATTGCCGTTGTTCCGGTCTCGCGGTCCGACTCAACCGTCACACCGCCTTCGAGTACAACCAGGTTTTCTTCTACTTCACCGTCTTCTAGATCTCCATTCTGCGAAGGTCTTCTTTTTCCCGCCTTATTTTCCAGCTCCTCGCCGTACAAGCTCCCGTATCCCCCGCCCACCAGCGCCATTTTGTAAAACGCGGCGTCCTTTAACCAGAAGCGAGTCGCAAACCGGTCGACGAAGTAGGCCCGGGCGTGCAGGTCCCAGAGCCCCGTCATGTAGTCGCTGTAGGAGCTCGCGACCATGTTGGAAATCGCAATGACGCCGAAGGATTTCAGCAACTCCTGGAATTTCAGCACATTCTTCGTCTGAAAAGTGTCGAAGAACGCGCCGCGCCACTGCGTCATCACGTAGTCGACGCACAGGTCAAAGGCCATGCCGCAAACCTGCAGTGTCGCGAACTCCTTCGCGCCGGCCTGCTTCTGCAGGTAGTCGGAGATGTGTTTGGTCGCCTCCTGGATGGTAGTCACCCAGGTCCACGGTTGATGTGTGGAGGAATCATTTGACACCGGAGTTGTAGAGGCAGTTGTTGCTCTTGAACTTGAAGCCTCCTTCGTTCCTGATCCTGCAGCGCTAACTAACAATTTGGAAGCAGCAGCCGACTGCAATGCCCCTCTTGCTCCTCCTGCAACAAGGGCGCCATCCTCACTGATATCAAGCATGTCGTGATTCGTATGATCTTCGCCAAAATCACTTGTGTTTTTCGAAGAAGAGGACGAGAATCCGCCTTCACCCCCGGTCAACGTCGAAGTGGTAGAAACGTCATGTAGCGGCGTCTTGCTGGTACTATCTCCGTGGTCAGCATCCACCAGATTTTTGAACTTCAGGTCCGGGCTGGAGCTATTGCTGGAGTCGGTTCTTGGTTGCTGGTGGTCTAGTATTTCTTTGTGATCTTCAGATGTTGATGAAGAGGATTTTGAAGTCCTCCTCGCAGAGGATTTTTCCAGGTGAAAACCGAATCTGCTTGCCATATCCGCAACACCGGAGGAGTGCGAGTCTCCATTTCGTTTCGAGTTCGACGATGCGTCGCTACCGTCTTCCCCCTCCACTTCCCCGAACGCGGAGAACAGAATTTCCCGGTGCCACTTTTCAAACAACGCCGCTGATCCGAGCAAACCGGGAAGAAACAGCTGGAACGGCAAAATCAAGTTCGCGCCGACCGGCAGAAGCGTGCTGCTGGTACTGAACGCCAACGCGTTCAGGCTGGCCGGCAGACTGCTGAGCAGCATGTACATCAGGACGGAATATTCGCCGTCGGTGAACCGCTCGCGGAGGATCTGCCGAAAGCGTTCCTCTTCGTTGAACAGTTTCACCTTTTTTCGACTTGCATCCAATCCAGCAACTGAAATAGCTGTAGCTGCTCCCAACAAAGCCGAATTGGAGTTCTGTTGCTCCCGCAATAATTGCACCAACGCGTTCCCGCCCAGCACCGCTAACAGCGTCGACAAGAGCGCAGCCGAGGTGATTCCGTAGTGCGCTGCGAGCAGGACGTACTCTTTCTGCAAGAAGACCGCGTGAATGTTCCAAACGAAGCTCGCCGCACAGGCCGTTGCCGCAGTGGAGTGAATAATGAGGGAGGAAGTGGGTCTACCTTTGGGCGGTTTGGTCGTAACTCCTGGTACGGCACCAGTGCCTCCTGCCTCCGACAAAGACGTAAAACTATTTTTGTCCTGGCGCTCGTCGGGGTTCTGGTCTTCTCCGTTGACGATAGTGCAGACATTGCCTGTGCTCGGCGTAGCCGAAGCCGCCGAGGAGGAGGATGAAGATCCAAGCGAGGGAAACAGAAAACTGCAGGCCCGCAACATCTTGTTGAACTTTGTCTTGAGGAAGGAGTTGGAGTCTTTGCAGGTTTATTTTTGAGTTTAATCAGGTAGTTTCATAGAATACAAAATAAAGCTCCCACTTTCATTTTTTTCCCGTTCTGGTTTTGTGTGTCGTACTTGGCCACTTTTCTCTATTTCATCTCATGAAGACGACTTTATGGGTAATTGCGATTTTTGTGTCAGTCATGTCCTCACGATGCATGACTGAGACGATTTGCTTTCGATTCATTTTTGGCGAGTGGTGCAAACGAACTTAGTTCTTCATTGGAACGAAAGTTCCTCTTAGGTTCGAGAAGAAGGCTCTACTTTCCCGTTCTCTGGAACCGCTTCGTTCTTCAACGAAGACAAATTTGGCTGCCCTTTACCGCTCAAAATTCTCTCAAAATGTTAATGTTATGTCTTTGCAGGTTTTTTTCCCCTATGGCAACAACAACAAGAATGGCCAACCCGATCGCAAAACAGGCTGCGCAGGAATATTTAGCACGGGACCACCTCGTACTTTTAGAGTTTTCAAAAAGACCGGAGCACGAGTTCAAAAGCGAGTTCATTACGAGTCTAATCCGAGTTCAATAATTTGCCCAAATCCGTTGACTTCAAAAAGGGCACAGGTCACTTGACTTTTGACAACTTCCAGGCAAGGTCAAATGACTTTGTGCGGAATTTGCATCAAAAAAAGTCCATTGACTTTATGCTAATTTCCAGAAAAGTCAACTGACTTCTGCAAAAAAATTGGGCACATTCTTCAAACTTTTGCTGCCTGTCTGTGAAATGAGCCGAATTCAGAAAAAGGCATTTGACTTGTCTTGAAATTAGCACAAAGTCAATTGACTTTTTTTGGTGCAAATTCCGCAAAAAGTCATTTGAGTTATTGCAAACTCCACGCAAAGTCAGCTGACTTTCGACAGAAACGCTGGCTCTCTTCGATTTTGCAACAGGTCAAATGACTTTATGATAAGTATAGGATTTTGTCGGCGTTCGTATTGAACTCGCACTGAACTCATCTTTGAAGTCTTTTTGAAGTTTTTTCGAAGTACGAGGTGGCCGGATGCTAAGAATATGCTTCGGCGGTAAAGAGAATTTGAAAGTCTGGTGTTCGTTTCGTTTCCAAATTCTTAGAAAAACATGAGGTCGCTGTGATGCTGGTGATCTTGTTCATGCCAGCACTTCTTCATCTCTCGCTGTAATACACTACATAGGCCATTTCGATGAGAGCAGCCCCGGAGCTGTTGACATTGAAATCCCAACATCCGTGAATCAACAAAGGTCAGAGGTGAAAAATGATTTCTCTGAGGCGAAAAATAGTGAATCAAATAATAGGGAAGACGGAGTATTAGGTTTTGTCCATGCGCGAGGGCTGGTAGGCGAATATGGTATGTAGCATGTACGTGCCGGGGTAAATCTACGAAGTTGTAGCTGAAATCATGGGAAATTTTGCCTAGGCAGACTACCAGTTCATCAAGGGGTTGGGCAGTACATATCAGAAAGTGGCTTTACAACTTCGGGGTGCAGCCAAGAAAAGCACTACACTTTAACTTACATAAACTCTCACTCCTTTCATTGCCAGGGGGTACGGCAATACGATTGACATTGTAATGACGAAAAATTTATAGAAAAGTTCACTGTTTTCATGCCTCCTTCGAAAAATTAGACCCGTGCGACAGGAAATGGAAAAATCCTCGCCAAATTTGGATCATTTACCCTACCACAGAGATTGAGAAGTGAGCAAGGTGCTATCTACCCGAAAAACAAATGATAAAAAGATACTTTGTGCTGAGGTATTGAATAAAACTGGTGTAATATTATTTACTGATAGACAGATGTGAATTTTTCGTAGTCTAGGTGTTCACGAATCAGTAGATGAAAAGCGGAAAATAAGTCGGTACATACGTCGTCACATCTTCATGAGCTCAAGGGCTCAAATCACTCAATATTTTGGAATCAAAATTTGCTGTATTCTTGTGAAAAATTATGGACAGTCATTATTTACGGGTCCTCGTGTCGGTCGCCTTTTTGTGCTGTCGAGTGCATCTTCAATGTAGCCTGATCGGTCGTGTCGTTTGACCAACTTGCAGCTCGAATTTGATAGATCTTCTTCTATCCGGGACATCAGGATCAGCACTAGCCAATTTATTATGTTCGGAACTGCTCCTCTTCAACATCGTGATGAAGATTCGTTTCATTTACCCCTGCTGCTGTTGATTTTCTTCCTCGTCGTCGTCCTCATCGTCCGTTACCTCGACCTCGACATACTCGTGACTGTCGCTGTCCTATCCTGAGTAAAAACGTACCCACACCAGAGTCAAGATGGAAAATCTGCTAGACAAATCGGCCAACTTTGCTTGTTTCGCATGACAAATTTGGACGCGTAGTGTAGTGCTGTTTGAGCTAGTTCAGCAGCATTACAGATCTAGTCTCTCATGCTGATTGGAGCATGACAAATTTCAAAACACCCTTAGAAAATGCTTCTCATGGGGCTCCGCATGACAAACATTTTAAGCATGCAGATTTGCATGACAACTATGGTGTGGGTACGTTTTTACTCAGGATATGTCCTCGTCCTCCTCTGCAGCTGCAACAGCTCCTACATTGCTGTTTTCTTGTGCAGCATCTGCTCCTGCTGCCGTCCTCGTCGGCAGCACATTCTGAAGATGTTCTTGCTGGTTGTCCTCTGTCGCGGCCGCATTTTGCTGCGATGCTCCCTGTAGTTGCTCCCCCCGCTCTTCAGCATGGTGGGTTTGCTGCTGCTGCTGGTCCTGATTATACTGATCAGCACTAATATTGTGATCCTGTTGGTCCTGGTTGTTCGTGTTCCCTTCTTCCCCATTGTTCCCTCCCTCCTGTTCCTGTCCCTGCTCCTCGTCCTCCTTATTGACGTCGCCCCCGGGCCACCAGTTCTGGTTGGGGTCGCCGTTGCGCCAGGCACCGGGGCCCACGTTGGTGCTTTGCTCCTCCCACTGCTGCTCTCGGGTTTTTTTAGCGTCCGTTAGCACAGCCATCTGCTCTTTCACCTGAGAGGACAAACACAAAGATGCAATTCCAATCCCGACATAAGGATCTTGATCATTCTACCTTGTTTGTGAAGATGGTGAAAGTGAAAGTACAACCAAATCATTCCGAATAGAAGTAGTGGTTGCAGCATTCTACGCTAGTATCAAAAAATGAGAAAAACTCCACTATTCTACCTTGATGACTTTTGCGTTCAGCTGTTCCTTCTTGGCGGAATCCTCGTCGCCGCACTTGGCCATCAGCGCCATGAGCTTCTGCAGCATCCCCGTATACTTTTCCAGCAGGCGCTTCGTTTCGGAATCCAACTGGTCCCCGTCCACCGCCGACGCAAACTGCTTCTTCGGGTCCATCACTTTCACGTTCAAAGTTATGTGCAGCCCGTTATGGCGGCACGCGGCGCCCACGGACTTCCACTCGTCAAAACAAATCTGCGAGAATGGAGTTTTCGATAAAATTTTATCTTCACGGTTCTTGATGACAAAGCATCACATGCGAATAGGAGTTCAGATTTCTCTAAATCCTCAGTGAAGAAGATCATGCTGCGTAACAAACAGAGTCAGAGATCAAGATCCAGCACCATGGCCAAGGCAAGCGCAAGAATCATTGAGCGCATGACTGTGGTCGCACGAGGACTATTAGTATAATACCAGCGCCGTCTTCTCTTCCGGGTTGAGTTCGACAGATTTGACCGTGCCAAACTTTTGGAAGTGATCCGTTACGACCTGCTGGTCAAATTTGTCGTCCGGAAGGTTCGAAACTAAGAGGATATGTCGCGGGTCGGACGCGTACTGTAGTGTTAAGTTTGATGGCTCTTGATGTAGATATTGTTCCTGTACAAAGAAGATGACGCACGAGAATTATCAAAAGTAATGCTACCGCATGGAACTATACCAGACCCACACATGTTTCTCGCAATCATGCAACAGCGTCTTCTTCAAATCCAAATGCACCAAAAACTCAAATTTTCTATGTGCTTGATATTTCCAGCATTATCAGCTGCCAACTCATCGATTTTTATTCTGTCCTCATTTTTACTTTCTCTTCCACGGCGTCCTGATTGGCGTTGCTTCCGGACGCGCCCGATGCGCCACTGTTCAGCATTCCGTGATTTACGTTGCTGTTGAACGTGTTTGATTTTGGTGTCACCGTGGACAGCGTCATGTTACTGGTGTGGTGATACGCGTGGGCATTAGTCGCCGCGGGAGGATTCGTCACGGTAGTCGCGGTCGTCCTCGTTGCTGATGTTGCGTACAACGCCGCTGAGGAATTCATCTCATGCTGTTGGAGTAACTGTACGAGCTTGGGCTGCGGTTGTTGCGCCACGATCGTGGGGTGATGTAGTGGATGCGCGGCCGCGGCCACCGAGGAGGCTCCTGCGGGGGCTCTCTGCTGGTTCTGCTGTCCGCCACCAGCTGCGGAGACAGAAGCGGCCTGGGCGCCGGTGTTTTGCTTCGAAGCCTTCTTGGAGCCCTGTTTTTTTCGCTTTTTGCTGACCGGACTGGAGTCGGATTCCGAGGCAGAGTCGTCGGACCGCGAACGGGACGGGGATTCCTGATAGGTGAACACCAACGAAGTTGTCCAGAAGCTCATCAGAAATAAAGGTAGTCAAAGTCATCACATGTCATAGAGGAGAATGTGAATGTAGATGCAGCACATACATGATCTCGAAAAGTGAACTACTTCAAAATAATAAGTGTCTGTCACAAGCAAGAGCAGCATGGTTATGGTTTTTCGCAAAGAAATTAAAGTACGTATAAGTACCTCCTTTTCTGAACCACTGGACTCTTTGTTTTTTCCACCCCGCGTCCGTTTATTGTGATTATTTTTTACGGTAACCCCACCGTTTTCCTCGTCGTCTTCATCGCTCGATTCATTCGCGTTTTCCTCGTCATCCGAATTGTAGCTGGATTTTTTGCTCGCCGAATTCTGTTCGTTGTCGCTGTTGTACGAGGAAGACTTCGAGCGGGATAGAGACCTGGAGGACCTGGATAAGTTATCCACCTCGGAGTTTATGTTGTAGTTGCCGAGCGTGGCATTGTTGTTCGAGGATGTTGCGGCAGCTCCACCGTGATCAACATTTGCTCCTCGACCCCCACCGTTCCGACTCCCATTGTTCCCGTTATTTTTCCTGGAGCTCTTGTTCCTCCGACTCCGGTTCCGTCGGTTCCTGCTCCGGTCGTTGCGATTGCTCTGATTGCCGTGCCGGGAAAGCTGCCCGTCCCCGCGATGCGAGTTATTCTCCCCGCGGTTACTGTCGCTGTAATGCGCAGGATGGTGAATGTTGCCGCCAGATACACTGTTGGTGCCGTAATTGTCATGATGACTTCCTGCGGAGTTGTTGTGCGGACCACCGCCGCCGTTGTGAGAACTGCTACCTCCTGGACCGTTGCCGGTGTTGTCGTAACCGTTGTAGTAGTGGTGGTCGCCGCTTCCGCCCCGGCCATGGTATCCGTCGTCAGGGTTGTTATTATAGTTGTGGTAGCTATCGCCGCTTGTGCTGTTGTAATGGTCGTGTCGGTGACTGTGACCGCCGCCGTAGTAGTCCTCCTGCCGTCTCTCTTCGATCACCTCACGCCGGGATCGGAGTTCAAGCCGGCTGTTTGGGGGGCCGCCGTTGGGAAGGGCGGGCGGATGGCTGTTTTGAAGATAAAGAAAAAACTCCACGACCAGGATTTTTTTAAAGAAGTCGTCATGCAAAATCAAATCGGAAAAGCAAAGCAGCTTCACTGTGGTCTTGCAGTTCTCACATCGACAAAATCAAAGAACGTACCTTGATGAAGAAGGCTGGATGTCGTCGCGGCGTTTCAGAATCACTCCGTCAGGTTTATTTTGCTCCTTCCGCTCTTGCAGAACAGCACCTGTTTTAATGAGGAAGCATGAAAAACTTCTTCCCAAATCCAAAAAAATACTCTCAGTCAGTAATATCACTAAATGGCTATTGTTCATCACAGTCATCTTCATCAACAACAAAACTATACTTCTGGGCTTTAGAGTGATTCCGCTCCCGGGCGCACCTCCCCCGCTAGTCGCGCCGCCATTCGCAGAGCTGTTCGGTATCAGGACTGCTGCGGGCGGCACAATTCGTACTTGCGAGGACCCGCTTGCAGCGTTTCCACCCTTTTCGTTATCCGCGTTAGAAGAGCCCCCATGATCGGCCTTGCCTGGCGTTTTCGTCGCTCTGCCTCCGTCTTTATGGTCACCTCCTCCAGCCGCGCTGTTGCTGTTGCCATTTGCACTCTCGACGAGGTGGTCTCTTTTGTTTCCGACGGCTTTTGAAGACGGGTGATGCGAGTAATTCTCACTGCTCGAGCCGGTCGCGACGTTACCATTGGCTAACTTATTCTTGTTATCCCGGTTTTCGGACCTGTTTTTGCTACGTCGTGATCTATTATCGTTGTTCTTCGACCCGGATTTGTTGCTACTGCTTGTCGGGTCGCTTCGGTTGTCCCGGCTCGATTTGCTAGTCTGCTCCTGGATATGAGATATGGCAGCAGTTTGTTCTTTGTAATTATCCTTCTCTTTAATATCTCGATCGCCGCCCCCGCGTCGGTTACTACGATGGTTCTCGTTGCTTTCGTTGTAGTAGCTGCTGTTGTTTCCGTTTCGGCCACCAGCACCTCTTCGGCTGTTCGTTCTGTCATTCGCTTCCAGCACCGCACCAGTACTGGTGTGGTTGATGTTCCTGCCTCTATCAAATGTAAAAGTGTCTGGGTCTGGAAGAGTCATGCTGTTTTTGCATGACACAGAAGGTCTGGCATGGAAGCTCTAGTGTCACAGGTTTCGAGAAGCTTCCGCCATGCCGAATCGGCATGACAAATCCACTATTTTGGTGACAGAAAGTGGGCAGCTTTTGCTACCTATGCATGAGACATTTTTCTGTGTTCTGAAATGCGCATCACAAGTTTGTATTCTTCCAGACCCAGACATTTTTGCAATGCATAGCCTCCTCCAGAGCGCGATCTACTCCGTCGGGACGTCGACCTGCGTCGGTTCGAGGAATTATTGTGGTTATTTTTATACCCGCTGTCATTTGTCCTGTTGTTCCCGCGGTTATTGTGGCCGTTTCCAGTCGTGCCGCCTCTGTCCGTCCGCCGTCTTTTGCTTGTCCTGCTTCTGCTGTCACTCTTATTACCTCGTCTGTTATAAGACGAATTGTTGTGATGTTCCTCGTCCTGAGCAGGTGCAGCTTGTTCTAGAGTAACCCGAGTTGTGCTACTCGTGATTATATTCCTTTCCCTGCTTGACGCGCCGCCGCGCCTCTGGTCTCGGTCGTTGCTCGCTCGCCGCGTGGTGTAGTTGTCACGCGGTGGCGCTTGCACGTCGCCTCCCCCGCGACTAGAATCGACGGAATTCCGCCGGTGGGCAACGAGATTGGTCGCGTCATTGTAGTTGTCCACAATGATTTTGATCTGTTGGGGCGGGTTCTTCGGTACCCGCTTATCTATATCGCGGTTCTTCGGCATGGTTTTCAGCGTTTGTGTGTCTCTGCTTGTTGATTGTGTTGACGTCGCTGTGATATTGCAGTCAGTGGTAAACAGTACCCTGCTGTTGTATCTGAAGAGACTCGCCAGAACTGAACAACCACTGTGCGTGTCGTGTAGTCGCTGCCTTGTGAGGTAAAAACCCCTGGGATCGAGATACTTCCCCCTGGCTCAGATACCGGCTATGAAGATGGCCGGACTATCTAAAGCAACAAAATAGCGGTGACTTGTTCCAACCCTCGCAGCTGGAGTTGGGTTTTCTCCACCGGTTGCTTCTCCCGCTGTTGTAGTTCTGACTTCGACATCTGGCTCATTGCAGAAGTTTTTATTTTCTTAGCGGCGCGCGCCTGGACTTCTGGTAACACTCTTGGGTTTAGCCCGCTTCCGCGTCGCAGGTATAATAGAAGGAACTATCGATATTATTCGATGGCATCTAAACTCCTACCGCTTTAGTTTGTTTTCCGCCGAGAGGACTATCCGTAACAACCATCGATTCCCTCCTCCAGCTAGTGCCGATTCGAAAAAATCGACTTTTCACGACACCCAAAATACCAGGGCATGGCGAAATAACTTTTGAAAAATTACCACTGGTGAAAATGACAATGAGGGCCAGAAAAGTCAAACTACAATAACTACAAATTCAAATTTGCTTTTGCTCTGCTTTGTTCCGAAGCAGATCTACCTAACAAAAACTTTTCAATCATAGACACAACAAAAAAAATTCTGTCGCTGCAGAGTAAAAGTAAATTCCATCGAAGGTGTTCCATAGGAAACATGATTTCAGGGCACGACAAGCATAGAAGATCGCTTCAAGAATACTCTGTGGACTGAGGCTCACATAAACCTTCTCAGCTTGATCTAAATAAAAATAACGATCTTCATCAGCTTCAACTTCATCCCCATCAAAATGTGAAAGCTACGCATCGCAGAGATCTTTTGTGCACTTCAAGTTCTGCTTCTGCTTGTAGCTCTCATATCGACCACAGGGAATACGGAGCCGCTTGATCATGATCTGTTTTATCCTCGCACCGGAATTATTCGTTTTTGCATCTACTCACAATTGTGGATAATGCGTGATGATTGTGATTTTGTGAGGGAAAAATTTTCTTTACCCAAGACTTCTTGCCTCGTAAAACTACAAGTATGAGACGTCTTGTCCAGAGCTGCGACACCATTGCCACATTGAACACATGAAAAACGGCGCAGTTGTAATTGCAATCCTTCTTGTAAAGTTCTTTCAATAGCAAGAACTTCCCTTGCCGAAACAAGCAACGTGATGATCATGGACCACAGGTGGTGAATGTTTGTTGTATGGTAACCGAGGCGCGGAGCTTAGGACTAAAAGCACCGGTGCGCAGCGACCAAGAGGTAACGGTAAGTTGTGAACAAATGTAGTTAATGTCATATAACATTTTTCAAACAATCAGAGAGCTGCCCTTTCTCTGTCTCACAGTGAGTTCTTGAAGATCACGCGTCGGAGTAGGTACTTACTTGGGTTCTGCTGGAGGCAAAATCTTACACGTGTAGTTTTCATTCTCTTATTCCGGGGTGTTGAAATTGAAAAAAGCATCTCTCATTTCAATGGGTTGACACGGGTATCTTAACAGATACAAAAAAAAAATGTGTTCAAAACTTCAGAAAAATTTTGTTCGAAAATATGTATCCGAGGTCCACCGAACTTATATACATCAACATTCGCCAGCAATTTATTCAGACAAGAAAACTACTAGCCACTGCGACGTCATCCTGTTCCTCAGCATTTTGGCGGCTCATCAATCTTACTTGAATCAGGTTAGCGTTTCCTTGGCCACCTGTGACACCACTGCCTTCCCGCTGAACTGTTCCTTCAAGTGCAGCACGTTTTGTGCGATTTGGACCGAATCCTTCGCGATTTGATGCGCGTCCTCTCCGTACCGGTGTCCCACCAAATCCGCCGTGACGTTCGCTGTGGAGGACAGAATTTCGGACGTGGCATCGTACATCGCAGAGACAATCTCCACTCCTGCGAGAACGGAGGATAGACCGACGGTCTTCGCTGCCTGCTTCAGATCGTCCTCGTGCATATACGTTTGGACAACCGTCGATGCGGTAGATGAACTCGGCAACTGTGAAGGTGGTGCGACGACATCATGACTTGCAGGAGTAGTTCTTGATAAATTTGTTCCACCAGGAGCATCAAAGGTGTCAACGCAAGAACTTGAAAATGAACTTGCTGCTCCTTGTCCGTCCCTTCCCGCGGCGCTGCTTGCGTGCTGGTGCCCAGAAGTTGATGTTAGTACACTGGTTGCGACGGAAGTTGTAGACGTGAGTACCTGGGTGCAAGAATCGCTGTGCACGAACAGATTCGATGAAGTTGAGTCGTAAGTGGATGAGCTGGGCGGGTCATTTGTGGAAGTAGAGAGGGTAGTACTACTGCTACCGCGCTGCAGAGATGAAACAGAAGCACGCGAATCTGTGCCTCCTCGTCTGCTTGGAGCTGCAGTAGTGGCCTCTGCTACAACTTCGGCAGGTGATGTCGCGTCGCCAGAAAGAGCGTAAATTCGCGACGGTAGCGAAGTAGATGATGTTGAGGTCGTAGAAACGTGGTCTGCACCAGTACAAGCAGTTCCGTCGAGGATTTTCGGCGTTTGATGCCCTTGAATGAACTGCTGCACTTCCAGAAACGAGCAATCTCCGTGGTCGACCTCGTTGGCAACTAACATTCCATCAACAGAACGCCTCGCCGCGGAGACCGTCGTTTCGAGAGAAGTGCCTGTGTCTTTAATCACCTGATCGAGCCCCCGCACGACATCATATCGTCCGGACATAGCACTACTTGCTGATCCTGCTGAAGATGCAGAGACTCCAGAACTACCAGCTGCAAACGAGGGTTGTAGCTCGGTACTCTCTACTCCAACATTCTGCGCCTGCTCGCTGTAGTTGGCGATTACTGTGCGAGCCTTCTGAGCCAAGGCATTCAGGGCCGTCTTGCTTTTGTCCGTCAGCCAATGGGAAGTGTCGCGCGTGTACCGCAACTTTTCTTTGAAGTCTGCGAGATCAATGCTGCTGTTTTGGCGAGACAAGCTGGCTCCATCTTCATCTTGGCGCACCAGGTCCACGTGCAACATCTCCCCCGTCGTGGCCGCGTATGCACCTGGCACTGCGGCTGGCGCTGCATCCTCTCCACGACTGGCGATGGAGCCAGCAGGTAGTTGCACAACTTCATGTCGTCCATTATTTCCTGGAGCAGCCACCGAGAGGACATCTACAGTCTGTGACCTGCAAGGACCGCTGGCATTCCGTGCAAGAGTTTCGCTTTGTGGCTTGTTGGTACTAGTAGCTGCCGTCGAAGTGAAAGAGAGCAGCTGGTGGTTCTTTTCGAAGATAGCTCCGGGTGGGAGTCGCGTCGCTGCAACATTACCTGAGTTCGGTTGAACAAGATGCGAAGAACTTTGTGAAAGATTTCTTTGATTCCTGATCCTCTCCATCTTTTCCTTTTCCACCTGCTCGTATGATTTCACCCAATCCTTCTCCCGTGCCTTCTCGCCCACGAACTGAATGCCCTTCGCAACCACCTGCGCGCCGGTGCGAATCGCGGACCCGAGGTGAAATGCGGAAAACCTGGTCCAGTAGGAGAAAAGCTCTGCGCTGCTGTTGTCGTACCGCGGCTCCAGCACGCAGCAATTACAGTTGTTGCGGAGAACCTTGGTCAGTTCGTCCATAGACAGTAACCCGGGCTGGTGAAGGAAAAGCCCGTAGAGAATGCGGGGAAGATTCAGAAACAGAGGCTCCTGCTGTGGTGCAGCTTGTACTTCGGACTCCTGCTCTCGCTGCGGTCGACGTTCTTGAGCGCCATCTTCTCCATCTGACGCTGAGTCAGTTTCGTCAGAACCGGCTCCTGGCGCTGGTGCTACAACGGGAGGCACGAAAGTGGAGCTAGAGAAGGTGATGATCAATAGCGAAGAGGAAACGATCAACACCTCCGCGTCTTTCATGGCGAGAGTGAGACGCGCCCCGCGGGGAACGACCGGATGGCGAGGAGCTGATACTGTTACCCTTGGATTGTTGTTGTTCGCATCAGAACCACCGTCATTTTCCTTGCCTTCCTCTTGTTCTCTAGTCATAGTCTCACCATGAGCTCCTGCTCCTTCGTTCGTTTCTTCAGCTGTTGAGATCATTGCTGTCTGCAAAATCAGGTTGCAGATTGCGTCGTCGCAGATGCGGAGAGTGCCTTTGCTAACTACCAAATCATACTCGAGTTCTTTACTTGCGAGTTTATTCGGTTTCGACGTTGAGACTGTTAGGTGAGGAGTGCCTGTGTCAGTGCCGTCTTCATCGTGCTGGTGTACACCTGATGTGATCCTGCACTTGTTTCTCTTGCCTTTTTTTCTCTTGCTCGGACTGTGCAAAAAAGTCTCTACCGTTACAGGCCCGGCCTCTGATTCCGAGCTAGAAGATGAGCTACTTCTACACGGAGCGGGCGGTGCTTGCTCCGCAGTCGTGTCGTGGGTTATCGTGCTGCTCACGGTGGGGAAAAAGCTAACTACCTCTGCTTGCTTACTATCATCCTCGTCGTGGCCCTCGGCGTTTATTGCCCCCGCCAGTTTATTTGTTACCACCTCCACCCCCGACGCCGTCCTCTGTTGTATTCTTTCATCATCATCAGCTTCTTCTTCTATTGCGCCTGCAGTACTAGTTGTCCCGTTTTCAATGAACTGAGCTACGGTGGTGCGAACAACATGATCCGGCGCAGGAGCACCATTTCGTCGCGCTCCCACAGCTGCCGCTGATGTTCCCTCCGGAGAAAACACATTTTGCCCAGATGTCGAACACGTCGTGGTCTTAGCTGCGGTTGCCAAGACGACTTCTTCTTCCGCGTGAAAAACACCTACCTCGACGCCCTCGGATGTAGGTGACTCGTCGTGAACGAGCAGCTGCTGCCTAATCTGCGCATTTCTCACCAACAGGTCAAACTCTTCCAACTTTTCCGGACACCTGGCCAGCAGCGCCCGCGCCGTCGCGTCTCGGGTCAATTCCTGGGTGGTGGTGATTTGGGCCGCATTATCGCCGTTCAGGAGCGTCGGGTTCGCGGGGTTGTGTACTTCATTGTTAAAGTAGAAATCCCGCAAAAACTGGTACACTGGGACTGCGTCATCCATGAAAACCACACCGGAAACCAGCTCCTTGGCCTCGTAGAGTGGCGGTTTGGGAGCTGGTGGTTGCGGTTTCAACATGTTGACCTTGCTTGTTGCAGCCCGTGCTGCCCCCTGCGAAGCAAGATCAACATCTTCAGGCAATGCAGAAGAGGAAGCTGCAGGAGATCGCTGCTGCGCAAGCTCATTTTTTGACATCTCTTTGCTTTTCCGTACGATGAAATTGTTTGTTTGCTTTCGCCTAAAAAGTCGCTGAAGGGAAGAGCAAATTGGTAAACAAGAACAGGAAAAATTATCTTCGTGTGGTCTCAACATGAGGACCGTACGAGATTATAATCGTGTATAAGTGCTGTGTCTCAGCTGCATCTTCAGCTCGTTACAAGAATAATAGGTGTCGGCACGTTGCGATCTTGTACTATGTTGTCTGTGTATCTTCTTTACCAGCTTAAAATAAGATGTGATGACATCGATTCAATACGGACCAAGAGAAATGCCCAGAAATTTTTTCAAGATGGCGATTGTATACTTCAAGATCTTTGTCTTACTTCGTGCCAGAAATTCACATTCTTAACTCGTACTTTTTCGACTTCGCTGTCACAGTTTAGAGGACGGTAGCTGATCGATCGCCTTCGTTGGCGTTATTTGTGCGCACTTCATTTTTAGACTCGAGATTACGATCACACTTAGATTTGAGCTCTAAAAAAAGGTCTTGAACAATACAGTAGCAGGCAAGTGTCGGCATCATCCATCGCCACTCTGCAAGCGGACCGTGCGGACACTACTTGTTTTAGAGGCGTAAGGCAAGAAGTCCAGACAAAAATTTGTTGAAGTGCAAGTGCAGTTTGCATCATTCAAATCCTCTCTGCTCGACGTATAACAGAGGCAAATACTTTGTGCATTTACGATTTCTACTTTGTAGTTTCTACAACGCTCTGTCTACCGTCATTCTAAGCGTTGCCACAGAAGAAGCAGAAGCTCTCCTGACGCAAGTAGAACTGATTCAAGTACACAACAAACCAAGAATAGAAAGAGTTCCAGCAGCCTGCTTTCACTCGAAGAACTGCTGCACCATAAACGAGAAAAACAAGAACTTCTACGACGATGCAACTGTGGTGCGAAAATTGTTTGAAACGAGAAAATGAACAAGAACAAACACAACAAGGAAAGACAAAACAGATACAGAAACCTCGGCTATGTTGGGGACATTAATACATCGGAAACAAATATTGACCGGCTAAAGCTGTGTAAACAAAAAGAAGGAAGAACCATAACGATAAAAAACACCTCAGTGTTGTTACAGTTTCAGTTTTAGGCTGTCAGGGGCTTTCAAAAGGAAAGGCTTGCTGCAGAAGATAGAAAATTATCTGCAAGTAATCGAGATTTTCCTGCGAGGCATATTAGAAAAGGAAGCGTCCCTCAGACTCAGAGTCAGAGGTTACAGTACTCGACCCGCACTCTGGTTAGTCAGAGTCGGGCGCTTTCAATTCAATCCAGGTCTGCTCGCACAAGTACGTGATGGTTGCTCCTAATAGCACCATTTAGAATCTCCGCGTTTCACTGAACAAGCCCGAAACAATACGATTCAGTGCGGAGACGTACTAGAAATCAATGAAAAGCATGTCGAAACAACTTCAAAAAAATCCTTCACGCTCCTTACAAGCAGCACGACGGTGCTGAAAGATGATTAGCTTTCAAACTTTCGATAAAAACAAGCAGCACCCACTGCGTCCCATCTGCTCACTATGAAAGATAAATCTCGGGAAAGAGTTGTACGAGTTCTATTCATCACTTTCTTGGAAATCAAAAAACCAGACGGAAGCGAATCTGTTTTCTCAATCTGTTCGGGAGTGGTTTTAAATTGCTGTAACAAGAAGGAAGAAAGCATCGTTGCTGTAAGCGATTGTATAAAATCGATCTCATCACACACTACTAGTTCGCGTGCTTACTTCGTTACTGAGATTTATAATATATATCAAACCTCGCCACTCTACTCTTCAGTTCTACATCTTACGAGTAGCAGTCCAACTACTATGCGAACCACTTCGAGGCCATTTTGGAAACGTCCTCGTAACAGCTCCGCGCGTTCGATTCGCAGCTCTTTTTCCCTTCGTTGCAGCACGCCCGGACCTTCTTCTTGAACTCCGTTTTTTTGGCGTAGGTTTTCCCCTCATCGAACGTCTTGGAACTGTACTCGTAGGTGGTTTTCGCGAACAGACCGATGTTCTCCTTGGTGAAGTTGTTCTGGACGTGTTCGACAAACCCGTCAACGATCGGCTTGCCGAAGTCCTGCGCTTGCTGCAACTTGTATTTCGCCCACTGCGCCCAGTGCTTCGTGGAAGCCCCTGCGATTCATTTTTTTCCAGGAGAATGAGAAAGTAGCTCATGATCTCTACTGAAATTCATAAAAAAGCATGACTCATCCTCGTAATGCTGTGACCTGGAATTTTGTCACTGCAACTGACCGCAAGCAGGAGATCATGGAATAACTTCATCAAAAGCCACTGAACCAGCGAAGTAAGCTATTTATACCAAAAAGACTTCCACCGCTTTCGCCTCCAAACTCTTGCTCGGTGCTCGAGCTGTCCCGCTGCAGTTTTTCCTTGTCCTTTTCGCTCTTGCTCCTTCGCCGGTCCGCCCCCGACTCGAAGACGTGGATGGAGTGGTCCTCGGGTAAGTTTTCCACGGTAAGTGGGTCGTTTAGTTGCTTGTGCAACTTCTGCTCCTTGGACAAATTGATCAAGTTGTCGTCGCTGGAAACCGTGTTCGGAGACATCTCCGTGTTGTTCAAGGTTTGTTCGCGGAGATGGTCCTTGTCCACTAAATCGTGCAAAGATCCCGTAATCACTACTTTCTTCTTGTTCATCTGCAGTTGTTCAGTGCTGTAATTGTCCTTGTCGTGCAGCTGCTTGCTGTGGTTTTCTTGGCCCTGGTCCTTGTCTGGTGGTCCACCACGAGGACCAGTTTCGCGCAGAGAGGCGCGACTGGCGATCGGCACATCATCATCATTGTCGTCGTGGAATCTTCCTGCTTCTTCCGGTGGTTGCGACCCCGCCTTGTTTTCCATCTCCATCTTCTCGATCAGTCCCGGCGTTTATGAGAGCGCACAACCCCACCCCCTCCAGCTCTGGTCTCTGGAGTGCATTTCTAGCAACAGAAATAACCGCCACCTCTCCTAAATAAAAATGCAGCGCTCTTTGCCTCCTGACAAATCTACAGTCGCTGTGTAGTGCAGTGTGGGCTCCTGCACCGAAAACTTCCCATGCAGGCACGCCAAAAAGTAGGCGCATAGATTTGGCATTTTTGCATGACAAATTAAAGGGGCAAGAGGGGGAGTAGTTGTGCACGACCACTCTCATAGGGTTTCGAACATTTCGTGCTCCGGCTCGCACTCCGAGGCGTAGTCCGAGTTGTTGCCCCCACCGGTAGTTGCGACATTCCCAAAACGCTGGTGGTGCGTGAAGTTGCCGTACGGCGAGTAGTCCTGATGCGCAAAATGATCCGCCCCCGTGTTGGCACCAGTGGAGGATTTGATGCCAGCAGCACTCGATTGTTTCTGCAACTCCTTTCCAAGCGTCTTGAAGGGCGACTCCAACTCCGGTTTATTCAACATGTCGATGATGTTATGTGTTTCACCACCACGATGGTGTTCTTGAAGGTCCGCGACACTGGGATCATACCCCTGCAGCTGATTGCTCTCGTGCTGCGGTCCTCCGACGCCAGCGACGGCCCCGCGCTCCCGGGAGGCTTCCCGCGTGAGGCTCTGTTTTGGTGTTGACGAGAATCCACGAGGACCTCTGCTGGGGCTTAGTTCTTCTATTTTTGTCGACGTGTTTTTATTAGCAAGTTTATTTTTACCGGTAGCTACTGCTACTTCTGCATCCGTGGATTTTTGATTTGCACTAGTAGTACTACTAAAGTTCTTACAACTAGAACTATTGTTCATCTTGGGTGTAGTAGTCGCCCCCTTTGCGTCGACGGAAACTTGTTCTGCAGCACCGCTATTGTTGCCGCTCGTACTGTCAGCAGCAGCACCGCTATTGTTGCCGCTCGTACTGTAATAACTTTTTTTTTCAGTAATCACACTGCATGCTTTCTGCCGGTACGGCACTCGACATCTGTTGATGGTGGAAATCTGTGCGTACCTATCTGTATCTACTGACTTTGCGCTAAGAGAGCTCGCGCTGCGATTTTTGTTCATACTACTATTTCCAACTACTGATAATTCTCCGTGGTCCCTGTTCTGCTGCTGCAAAAAGGTGATTTCTCCTGTATTCCTCCTGTTATTTTTGAAGCAGCTTGTGGTTGCTTCGCTTTCATCGCCACGCGTGAAAGGAGGCGACGGCGTTGTCGTACTAGTTTTGTGCGTGCACGAAGCAGATGATGGGCTTGGCGTCAAAATCCTCGTCATGTCAAACCCAAGATCTCGCTCCTCCTCGGCGAACCGTGGAGCTGAGTGCAGCTGCTCGTTACAACGCACGTTACCGCTCTTGACAGGTGAACCATTTTGAAGATGCAGGGACTCTTCATCTTGGCTGTTTGAAACCGCCTCCAGTTCCTCCTTGGTACAGAAGGTCTGCATGTCCCAAATCTCCACGCGGCCGTCGTCAAACAGGGCACGCATCGTCTCAAACTCGAGCTCCTCTAACTCCTCGCGCTGCTGCTTTAATATTCTCTGGGACTCGAGCTCCTCGCGCTCGCGCTGCTTCTTTCTCTCGAACAACTCGAGTTGCTCTAGCTCGCGCTGCTCCTTCTTTACCTTAATTTCTTGCTCTTGCGCCATCTTCGCTTGCTGTTGCTCACGCTGCACGATCTCCCACTGAGTTGCCTCTTGCTTGGTCGGCGGCGGGGTGGAGGGCGGCGGCGGCCGCGGGGCAGTGAGAAGGGAACAACAATCTACTGCAACCGCAGCTTCCACGTGAAGATCGTTTAGCGGAGGTGCCCGTGCCGCTTCAGTGGTCAGTCCACTTCCCCCTTCAAGAACATCTTCCTGCTCCATCATCTGCACGCGGATTTCCTCCTGCTCTTGCTCCCAAATCAGTCGGATGTGTCTTTCGATGTCGGATTCACCAGTCGTGACATCATCCAACGTCTCGGGTTCATGTGTCGTGTGCAACGTCGACCTTTGTTCCTGTAGTTCCTCGTGCTGGTCCACGTGCTCCCGCCGCCCCGGGGGCAGAGGCTGAGCATCTTGGCCTTGGTCTCGTCCTGGAGAAGGAACCGCATCATCTTCGGGAAAAATTTTTGTAGCGCCTGCGGTCTCCTGATCCTCTTCAAATCTACTTGTTAACTGCGTCCCGCCCGCCTCGCCCTCGGCCTCGTCCGGTTGCTTCATTTCCTCCTCGCGCTGAGATTTCATTTTCATGATCGCCAGTTCGTGAGCTGACTCGTCCTCCACCTCCGTCATCACGGGAGCTTCATGTTCATTGTCGTAGCCTTTAGAAGTGTGACTGTCGCAAGATGAGTTTCCGCTTTCATCTTGTTCGTCAAATGATCTCGATGGTTCAACATCTTGCGCGGCCACATCTTCTACTTCAAACACCCCCGCGGCCGGTTGGTCCTTGTTGCTCGGAGCAGACGGTTCTTGCGCTTCAGGACGTTCTTGTTGATCTCGAAATGATACTAGACCTTTTCTGTGTTGCTCCACCAAGTCGTCCTCTTGCTCGCCCTGCGCAGGAATATCATCGTCGCGGCGATCGACCTTGCTGTGGTCGTGCTCTTTCTTTTTCGTTTGCGCCGCTGAGGAGGACAAACTTTCTTCAAGAGCAACCACATCAGTCACCTCTTGCTTAATCTGCTCAACATCACAACCATGTAGTTGTAGCCCAGCTTCTTGCTGCACGACTTGCAAGTAGTTCTTGCGCGCGGGCGTTTCCTTATCATCTAATGTCGTCGCATTATCATTATCTTGATGCCCCTTGACAGTTTTGCTTTCGCCTTCGACTGTTTCATCCGGTGCAGTTTCGTTCTTCGTCTCCTGCTGCTCGTTTTCTTCGCGATTCGCTTCCTCCGTAGGTGGTTCTGCGCCAGTGGACAAAGCAGCTGCTGGAGAAGCTTGACCATGAGAACAACCGGTGGCTTCGTCCGTCGCCAGGATGGGCATTCTGTTTATTTCAACGACATCTTTTTCGTCGTTCGCAGTTCTTTCAGATTTTGATTTTTCGTCGTTCGCAGTTGCTTCATCAGATTTTGTTTCCTCCAATGTGGTCCCCTCAAGCAGAAGGTCAGCTACATGCAACTCTACTTCCGGCTCGTCCTTCCGACTTGATTCGTCCTCCTCCTCGTCGTCGACCATTTGGTTTTCAACAAGAACAGCTTTGATCTTCTGCCGCGGCCGCTCCGTGAGATTTCGGAAGCCAAATCTTGACCCCTCCCCAAAGATGCAGGCGGGTGTCCCGGTCGACAAGTCTTCGTCAGAGCTGTCGTCTTGTTCATCTTCCGGCGCGTCAATGCCCTCCTGCTCACCTTGTTGCTGTTCATGACGACCGTCGGCAGCAGACAATAAACTCCGCTGCTGGAGCTGCTGCTGTTCCTGCTGCTGAGCCTTTTTGAGTTTTTTCTGCTCCTTCTTCTCGCGCTTGGCCAATTTTTTGCTTTTCTTTTCCTTTTTCTCCAATGCTTCCTTGTCTCGATTGCTCGCCTTCTTTTTCCTTTTTTCGTCAACATCCACTGTCGTATTGCTTGCATTTTTATTCTCCTTTGCTGCAGCCGGCACAGGCGTTGATGTGCTGCGGTCATGATCTAGTACTTGCTCTTCGTCTTCCTCAGCTACAGGCAAAGCAGGTCGTTCCTCAATTTGTTCTGCTGCGTCTTCTACTGTAATATTTTTACCTGCAACCACCACACCAACATCAGCATCTTCCTCCACCACCACATCCACAGCCGCGCTGATTTCAACTTTTTCCTGAAGCGCTTTCAATGCTTCCCCGACAGGCTTTTTCTTTACTTTTATTTTCTTTTTTTTGTTTTCCGCTTCCTTTTCCGCATCCGCTGTGTCGTCGGCTGCACCAGCGACAGCGGTTCCGGATTTGGTGGAAGCAGTAGCCTTCGACTTCTTTGACTTTGATGCAGCTGCACTGGCTTTCGCCTTCGATTTATTCCCGGAAGCTGCACCGGGTGTCGCTTTCGAAGATTTCGTTGTACTGGCTGACGCTTTGCTGGCTCCTGTGGTCCTCTGTTTATTCACGTCAGCCGCCTCTGCTGCACTTCTAGTGGTTGTCGTGCTGCTGCTCTTCGCCTGCTGCGTGGCAGTTGTTTTGATGTCTTGCATTTCATCGTCCTTCTGCGAGGCCGCGGATACGAGTGGCTTGTTCACGGCGCGAAGAGGAGAGTCGGCTCCCTTTTTCAATATAGACAAAGCCTTCGCAACGGCTGCAGGGGTAATATGACTTGTAAGCATGGAAGAGTCCTCCTCTGTGTGCGACTTTGGCTGCGCCATCGGATCTTCTACCACTTCTTCCACGCACGAGGAAATACAGCTAGAAGAAGATGAAACAGAGCGACTACGTGCACGACCAGGAGAGCGTCGATCAGTCGCGCTTTCATCGCTTTTGGCGTTGCTCGCCTTGGAAATCAGCCACTCGTCCTCTTCCGCGTCTTCTGCAATCTCAAAAAAGTCCGTCATATCCGGACGGTCGGTCTTTCTTTTTTCAAGATCACGACCTGCGGACTCGCTTTCGTTTTCATGTCCAGCAGTAGAGTCCACATCCATTTCCTCGTGGTCGCCGTCTTGTCTCTTATCTCCCATGACATCCTGCTCCTGTTGGTCCACCATCTCCGCAAGCTCCTCCTCGTCCACAACTCTTGATGCTTGCAACTCCTTTATTTGCAAGTTAGTTTGTTGATGCTGTTCCTGTTCCTGTTGCTTCTCCTCCTTTTTTTGCTTGTCGCGCGCAAACATCCGGGCGTAAAAGTCTTTTTCTTTCAGCGATGCCTTTTCCGGTTTTCGTTTCGTCGACGAACAAGTCTTGACGCCTTGCTGTTCCACACCTTCTACTTCCCCAACACCACCTGAGCCCCGCCCGCCAGTTTCTTCTGCTGCAACAATCTCGTGGTCTGCGCCGCCAGCAGTACCGGTTGTTGTGCGTCGATCAGTATTTTTACAAGAACTTCTGGAGGACGAGGAGGCAGCAGTTTTCGTTGCAGCACTAGTAGTGTTGTCGCCCGCGTTGGAACCATTGTCATCAATTTTTTCCTTCTCGCAAGCATTTTTGGCAGTGGCAATGGAAGTAGAAGCCTGATCCTGCAGCTTCCAAGACGACACAACTTGTTGGTACCTTTCTGGGCTACACAGCTCTATCGTGTAGCCCTTTTTAGACATGGCAGCGACGTCTAAATTCTGCATGAAACTGCGGAGAGTTTCTTCCTGTTTTTCTCGACGTAGGTCTTTGAGTTCCTTCATAGTATCCACCACCGCCGTCTTTCCTTTTTGCTCAACAGTAGGCGGCTTCTCCTTAGAAGTACCCTTAGAAGCTGTCAACGACACTTTGTTCTGTTCCTCCCGCTTTGATATTTCGACGGTCGTTGAGTCAACATCTCCATCCTTCTTGGTTCCGTCTTTATTCTTGAACAATTGCGCGAAATCCGATGACGCGACTAAATCTTTAACGGTCTGCTTCAGTAACTTGAGCGCGTCCGGGGTACTCGAGAACAGCTTAGGATCCCAGTCCCGCCATTTCCAAAATTTGTTTACCAACTTCGCCGCCTTCTCCGTTTCGACACCGGGTGGCGGCAGCTCGGTCTGGACGTAGTCGCCCTCGGTTACTTTGTTCAAGCGGAGAAAGCCGTTCGAAATGTCGCTTTTCGTTAGGACCATGCGACGTCCCAATTTCTCGGAGTGCAGCAAAACAACGCAGTCCGGTGTCTTTTCCTGCTCTTCGTCAGAGGACATGCTGTCGAGCTCCTCTTGACAGTGATTGATCAAAAAAGTCATCATGGCGTCCTCGGTGCTGGTCCCGAAGTGACTAACGGGAAGATCCAGCACCTCGTCCCTGGTTTTTCTTTTTCCACCTCCGAGGAGCACCTTGCCGATCACTTTCCGCATCCTTGCGGACCGGCCGCTAGTACCGCTGGGAGAACTGGCATTGTAGACCTCTTGCATTTCGTCCCGAATACTGCGAGCAGGAGCTTGTTCAGCTGGTACGACGTCTTTCGTAGAACACGAAGGCTGTAGTTTAGCTTTGCCTGACTTCTGGAAGAGCACAATGCTGGTGGTTCGGCCGGTCGTGCTGGTCGTGCCCGGACAACTCGAATTATCTAGTACTTCTTCTAGTACCGGAGGAGATAAACTTCTAGACTCAGCATCCGGCAGTGTTTTTCTTTTATTTTCAATCATACTTCTGATTCTAGCAGCAGAAGATGATGAATCGTTCTGGAGGACCTTTAAAATGTATTCTTCAATATTATCACCGCCATTCTGCAGGATCGATTGTATCAACGCTTTTTTGTCTTTGTCCTCTTTCCCGCCATCTACAGGATCTTCCATTGTGCTATCCGTGGCAGAAGTAGTCTCATCTGCCGCGATCACTTTTTTGCTGCCCTCGTCTTCAAGCACCGATAAGGAATCTACTCCTTCCTCTTTTAATAGTGGTTCTTCTATCTCTTGCTGCTGCCGCTGGTGCTGCTCTTGTTCCAGTTTCTCTTGCTCCAGCTTCAGCCGTTTCTTCCGCAGATTCTTCTTCTGCGTTTTGCTCAGCTTGCCAGTGGTTGCACTGCCAGCCGTGCTGCTGGAGCTGCTTGTCGTGTTTATTTGCTTGCTCTGCTCTAGCGGCAGTGCACCGGCGTCACTTGTCTCCTGTGGAGGTCTGTGCTCCTCATCATCTGCAGGAACCACTGCTGCGGAAGAAGACGCTGCGGTACTACTCCCTGCAGATGTAGCTGCACCAGCTCCACCACGCGACGTCGACTCAACTTGTTTGATATTGTTCCTACCACGTTCAGCTTTAGCACTTGCTGCAGCGGCCGCGGCTGGATGTATTTTTCCGGCGACTTTTTCCAGCTTCGCTTTGAAAGAAGAAAACTCCGTGGGAAGATTTGCAGCTGATGCTGAATCAGTGTGCGAAAGAAGCAACAACATGTTTTCTTCTTCCCGCGTCAGCTTTTTCTCGTGGCTGATTATCTTGTCTACAAAATGGTCGCCGTCCAACATTTTTGTCAAGAGATTGTCTAACACGGAGCCTGATTCTGTCGAGATGAAATGCACCTCCTCGCCTTCTTTTGCAGCAGCTACTTTCCGGCTGTGGAGAGCAGCCTCGCCGTGCTCATTCACTGCTGTGAGCGTGGCCGCATCTTGTTTGGGCGCCTTCAGTGTGGTTACACGTTGTTTGTCGTCGATGTTGATGGCTTTATTTCCTGGGTCTTGTTGTAGTTTCCAAAATGCACCATCTTCTCGGCGTTCTAGTCTTTTTGGTTTCTCTTCATCAACATCTGCTTCTTGCGCTCCTTGTTCACCGCCAGCAGCATCTTCCGATTCAACATCTATCCCCTCTGTCCGCGTTTTATCTTCGTGCTGTTCGATCTCCGCAGAGGACTTTGAAAGGACCTCCATCCCGACCAGTTTGCGCTCGTCCCGCAAGATCTCTTCCCGCACCTGCTCCCTTGCCCTGGAGTAATTCCAGTCGTATGAAATGCAAAAGCAACGCACTAGTAGAAATCGCATGACAAATTCCCTCAGCATGAAAAATGGAATTTGTAATGGATATTTAGGTTAGGAGTGAGATTTGTAATGCATGACTGCGATTACTACGAGTACGATACTTTTACACAGGATAAGTCGAGCACGTTGGCAAAGGTCGGACAGCTTCTTCGCTTGTTCTCCTCCGCGAGAAACTCCAGCGTCTGCTCGTGGATTTGCCGCTCAATGTCGATTATGAATTGCAAAAGATTGAAGTTATCCTCGGACTATTGTAATCCTTACAGATGTGCATCACAAATCTACTTTTTGTTCTTCAACTGAATTTTTACATTACATTCATTATTGCATTGCAGAGGCAACCTGCACTGATACAATTTCGGCGAGTTTACGATACTTTTGCAATGCATACCGATGAAGTGCCGGTTTGCGAAGACGCAGGTCGCCATCAGTCTGATGCTCTCCTCCGCGTGCAGTTCATGCACCACCTGGGTGTTATCAGAGTGCACAACTTCCCCTCACAAACATTTGTCACGCAAAATACAGAGCACTACCTTTGCCCTATGGCGCTGCTTCCGTGACAGACTCCTGAAGCCGAGAGAGCCTTGCGATCGGTCGCAAATTTGTCATGCAAGAGCTGCGGGTGCCATCCAAATGCGGGGGAGGAGGAGGTGTGCACTCTCTTACGTGTACACGAAATGACACAAGCGGTCCGCGATGTGGTCCATCCGGTCCAACGCAAATTCCGGCAGAGCGGTAAGCTGCGCGACTTTATCAGATGCAAATGTGTCTGGGTCTGGAAGCTTGTAATTCTGAGTTGTGAATTATAACTCCTATTGCTGAGCGGGGGCAGTTAAAATTTTGCAACAGGGAGGAAAATCGCCCACGCCGAAAAGTTTTTAACACTTTTCAAACTTTTTAAAGCTGTCGCGATTTGCGAAATCGCTCACCGCCCAACGGCCAACGGCCAACGGCCAACGGCCAACGGCCAACGGCCAACGGCCAACGGCCA